GGGGGGGGGCACCCAATTAATCCTTAAACCTTACATAAATACTCACACAGTCAGCAACTAAATAGCATAGTCCAATCAAGCGCGATTTTTGCAGTTGTGTTGCTGACAGGTAAGACTATAACAAGCCAAAGTTGGGCTAACACCGCGCGGTCGATTTGAGGAACTTTGAGTGCCAATTAGTTTCTCCTTGACGGTATTTGATCGGCGGATCTGTCATGAATCTGACGACGGGCAGCAGACGGTTCAGAGTGTTCAAAAGGTAAGTAAAGATATATATAAGGGAGTGGGAAAATCTCTCTGGATCTCTTGTGTTTGTGTCTTTGACTTCGAACTGCTCCTAAGCCAAGACACATATACCTCTCGCCGTTGAGATAATGGTTCAACAAGAATTCTACCAGCTCCACCCTGTTGGGTACGAAACCCACCCAGAAGTAGAGGAGTTTCCTCTTTCGACAATTGATCTTACGTGCGTGTGCACATATAACCAGTATGGCTTCGTTTTCAAGTTGGACGAGTCTACGGACAGGACTGCACTGGCACAATTGGTCAGAAAAGGGCTTGAAGCTACGTTAGGACAGTGCCGGCATCTGGTTGGCACAATCGAGAAAAACGAGGCCGACGAATATGCCATTGTCAAGAGGCGCAGCAGCGTGGTCCCCTTCGTAGTGCAGTGGATGGATGGTCCAGACTCTCAAGCCAAGTCGTTCGAGGAGATGTCCCGGCTTCACTTTAGCGGAAAAGCATTCGGGGATAAAACGTACATCGGTATTGAGGGTATGACCTTTGGTGCGCCTTGTCATCTTGACAGCAGTCCGGCCGTGAGTGGTTTCAAGCTCAATTTCATTCCAGGAGGCATGATACTTTGTATCCACCACCACCATTATACCGTTGACGTGAAGGGCACACATAGCTTAATCATACAGTTGGCTGCAAACTGTAAAGCTATGTTCGAGGGCACTTCACCGCCGTCCTGGGACGACGCATTCATGGACCGATCCTTATTCATCACGCCGCCACCGCCCCTTGCGGACAGCGTTGAACCACCCCCAATGCCACAAAAACACCCTGACCACAAGAGCTGTTACCAGTTGATCTTTCACCTCGCCAAGAGCAAAGTGGCCGAAATTAAGCGCATGGCAACGCCGACAGATGGATCATGGGTATCGACGTACGATGCCATGATTGCGCTGTGGTGGCGGATATCGACCCGAACACGACTGGATTTCTATCCCAAGACCAACCTCACCTCAAAGGCGCTGTTCTTTGAGGCCGTGACCATGAGACACCGGCTCAGACCTCCATTGCCTGAGCAGTTACAGGCGAATTGTCTCAACATCGGCCGCTCCACCCAACTAGAAGAACGGCAACAGCTCACCCTTGCTGAAGTCATGTCTGACGAGGTCCCCTTGTCACGGCTGGCAAGCGAAGTCCGGGGCATAACGGACAGCTCAAATCCGGCATTTCTGTTCGACAATATCAAGAAAGTCGCAAATGTGCGAGACAAGGCATCGCTCATGTTCCGACTGGACTCGTTTGCGCCTCTATCCTTCATCGTGACTGATTGGCGTAATAGTCCAATGTGTGAGGATGACTGGGGTTTCGGCCGGCCAGCCGTCTTCCGGCATCTGACTAACCATGGTTTCGAGGCTGAAACCATCATGGTGGTCTCACCTCCTAGAACTGTCGAGGTTGACCCCGACGAAGGATACGAGTTTTTGATCCCGTTTGAGGAGCACGATATTGAAGGGATTTTGAAAGATCCCGATGTTGTCAAATACTTTGATTACAGAGGTCTGCAGTAGCTAAAAGTTACAACCACAACGGAAGGTACTTTCTTCTTCTTGACTAAGCATTGTCCTTATCGATGAAATTCATGTCTTGAGAAAGGCTTTGATCAACGTAGTGCGAATTGACCTCTACGTATGATTGATACAGAAGAGTTTCCTCGCTAAACTATTTGCTGTCGCAGTGCTGATGATTGGTTTCACTTTCCTTCTGATGTCAGTCTCTGACCAAAAGGTCGTCGTAGCAGCTTATTGCGTTTAGGGACTATCTTATCAAGCTCGTACGACTCTTGCAGCCCGTATGAGCCTCTCTTGTTCAAAGGATCTGGTTTCATCAGCATTTGAGTAGAGCACTTGTCTGGAGTACTCAGATGAACATACCTGCCTCCCAGCTCATCCAAATAAACGTACCAGCAGCGGCCAATGATAGAACTGCTGTCACAAAGGCAGCCCCTATTATGTCGAGAGTGTGTATGTCATGCAGTTGCGGATGGAGAGGCAACCGTGTAGAGCCAGCATTGGCGTCACCTTGACTGGTTCCTCCAGTGGTGTTTGTCACTGGGGCCTTGACACCTTCCACAAGCAAGGAGGACAGAGCCCCGAGAACGTTCATCTGCTGGCAGGCGCCGGTAGCCTTGTCGACAGAATCAGGTGCCCATCCGAATGTACACATTCTGCCATTGTCGCCTTCTGTGCAGTGGTCGGCCGCGGCGCGTGCAGAGGACTTCAAGACTGGATATATCTGCGGGAATGTAAAAGGGGCTAGCTGCGCTGCCGACGCGAGCCATCGGTGGACGTACCCTTTGAAGCTGGTCATATCGGTAGTACACTTGTTAAAAGCTTCACAACTCGTCTCGACTAGATATCCGTCGGGAGCAAAGTACGAAAAAGTCTGGTTGACCAGGCCCTCGAGGCGGTCTCCCCACCGGGGATCTCCATTAGTCTATCACAAACTCAGATCAGTTACCGTTCCATTGTTTTCTAACCAGTATCGACGATGTAAACTTACGAAGTTGTAGAGATTTGCAACGCCTTGGATCAAGGCTGCAGCACTGTATGAGAACTGTGCATTATTTCTCGAGGAGCAATCCAGTTGATTCTGAGGTGCCGGGCCGAATGTCCAGTGGATGCCATCATACACATTATACTGGTCGTCAATGATGGCGTACTCCGTAAGCCAATCCCAGGTATCTTCGCACCACTTGACATAAGTCTGGTTGTTCGTATATCTTGCTAGCCGTGCTCCAATGTTGAGGAAAGCGGCGTTTGCAATAGCTGCGATTGTTGCGCGTCAGTGTTTGTTACAACTCCTCAACACCGGCAGTTGAAGGCAAATACATACCATTCTTGTAGTCGTAACCCTTATTCTGGGGGTACATTTGCCAACGCAAACCCATGCCGCATAGACTGCTGTTCCGACGATCATCAGTTGCCTGCTCGTTCCAGACCGCCTGTGCTAAGGCTAGCCATTGAGGTTGATCCTGAGGAGGATCCGGGAAGTTGATCTCTGCCGCCAGCATCGCTGACATTCCCCAGAAGGACTGGTCGTCATTTCCAGTCGAAGCTGTCCAATTGGGTTCAAGAAAGTCTCGATTGGGTCCGCTTTGATGAAGAATAGACTGGTTGACTAGAGCATTGTACGTATCATCGCCAGTGTAATGCCAATAATCGAGCATTGTGCCCCAGAGAGCACCGCCTAACCACCTAGAAACAAAATTAGGGGCGGCAAAGAACAAGTCAATGGAGTCGAATGGATTCTGAGCAAAAGCCTACCAGTAGTAATCGCCATCTGGGGGTGGACCGGGAAGGATTCCAGGCGTTTGTCCAGGTTCGTTGCCGTGATAGAATCCCATCAAGTCGGCGGCCACCTGTTTGGCTGCATTTTTGATAGATTCTGGTAGTTTTAAAGGTCAGCTGCGTGATGCTATTACAAAGAGCAAAGTGATAAATTGTTGCCTATTGTGACTCACTAGGAGAGTCGAGGTCGACCTGAAGGGCAGCTAGTACGGCAGCGCTGAAGTAGATGGCATTGCGCAGCTGCATTTTATGCCAACAAGCCAATGGAAAAAAGACCAGTCTTAAAGCAGGAGATCCGCAAGCAGAGAGATGCGCATATGGGATGTGGATGTTTTGTAAAATTGGCGTGATGCTGGGTCTCTATGCCAAATGCTTCTCTCAGATCGTTGTACTAGAGAAACTTCGAAGAAATAGACGCGGGTATCTGCAGCGATGATTTTGATGGATACACTCTGTCAAAAGAATTTTGAAGAAAGGAACTCGGCACCATCCAGGCTCCTTCGACCCGCGTGCAAACGGACTTGCCAAACCACAAGCGAATGCTGTTCATTGAAACATCTCGAAGTTTTGACATGGAGGTCCAATCTCATGAATTTCACTGACTTGGAAAACCAACCTACCTCTATAATCGGCCTCGACTGGGTTAGATGCAGCTATCTCATTTTCATTTCCAAGAGGTCGAAACTGATCTTGGTGTTGAGCACTTTTACACCACGTGCTATGTCCATGCCTCGACACCACGATCCGCAGTCTAAACATGGAAGAGAATACAAATTAATGGCTGGGAATTACCGTGCAGGCTGTGTAGGTAGGCGTGTTATTCTAGATACCCAGGCAACGATTTGTTGTTGCATAATATTACAACTTGGAGCGAATCGGGCTTGGCGTATTTATTGACACGATATATAAACACTGCACTGTGTAGAGAATACCAATCGTACTGCCTGTTGGACATCAATGGTTTCAATCAACTGGTCGCATCAAGATGAGACGTGTCTCGTCCCACCACTACATGTTGTATACATATTTGGCTCTATATACTGCAATTGCTCTGAAATAGTGCCAGTGTAAGATTGGTTTTGGATATTGGAAGTGCCGATTCATAGTAGAATTTTTAAATCTCCCGTAGTAGGCTTATTCCTGCTGAGCGATAGAGACAAAGTAGCACAACAGAAAGATGAGAAATAAAGCCAGAACAGAAGGGATACAAAATTAAAAGCAATCAAGCATTAAAAAGAAGAAAAAAAGGATGGGAAAAGAAACCAAGGAGAGAAAAGACCCCAGAGAAACGGCATTGTTGAGTCTGAATGTTGTTGTTTGAGACATACAGACCAATTGGGCAGCTCGACGGCTGGGATCGGCAGAAGAGGCGCTAAGACACCCTGGCAATAGCAAGCAACGAGTCGGCGCGGGACCTTATCAGTGCGCAGCGATCACGCGCTCAACCAACATGACAACGCCTCGCTGATGTTTCTAGGTTGCAACCAAACCCAGAACATAATATCTCATAATATCTACCACTCACCTCCCCATCGCTCACGGGCCCATATTCTCCTTCTCCTACTTCCTCCTCCTCCTACATCGTCGGCACCAACATGACGCAACATACCCCCGAGTTCCTCCGACAGCGCAGCTCCAACATGTCTCTGCGCATGGCCGCCGTGGCCAACGCATCCAGTGCGACCTCGCCCGTCCCCTTTGAAGCACGATTCGACGCACAGGAGAGGCAAAACACGGTCGCCGCAAGAGATCTCAAGCCTGAGGACTATACAAAACCATTTTGTGAATTTCTGCAAGAAAACCCCACCGTCTTCCACGCTGTGGACTACTTCAAGTCCAAGGCATTCAAGCATGGTTATACCGAGGTGAGGGAAACATACCACAGCGCCGCTCGTTGAAAATTTATGGGGACTGACGCAAACGCATCATAGCTTTCGGCTCGTGAGGACTGGTCTGGCAAGATTGTACCCGGTGGCAAATATTTCTCTACGCGCAATGGTAGCACCATTATCGCCTGGACGGTCGGCAAGGCTTACAAGCCCGGAAATGGTGTTGCCATGATCGCTGGCCACATTGACGCATTGACGGCAAAATTGAAGCCCGTCAGCTCCAAGCCCAACAAGCAAGGCTATATCCAGCTCGGCGTTGCCCCGTATGCTGGTGCCCTGAACGAGACATGGTGGGATCGTGATTTGAGCATCGGCGGCAGAGTCATTGTTCGTGAGGAGTCAGGCAAAACGTCGAGCAAGCTCGTAAAGCTAGACTGGCCCATTGCCAAGGTTCCGACACTTGCACCTCATTTTGGCGTTGGTATGCTAGGTTCAAATAACAAGGAAACCCAAGCCGTTCCGATTATTGGACTGGACAACTCGGACCTGTACCCGACTACCAACTCAGCTCCCGCGGAAGCTCTTGGTCCTGCCGGGTCATTCGTAGCAACGCAGCCTCCCAAGCTCGTCAAAGTGATTGCCAAGCAGCTGGGCCTCACGGACTACTCTCAGATCGTCAACTGGGAATTGGAGCTTTTCGACCTCCAACCTGCTACGGTTGCTGGCCTGGACAAGGAGTTCATCACTGGAGGTCGGATCGACGATAAGCTCTGCAGCTGGGGTGCCTTTGAAGGTTTACTGGCATCAACACAAGGAGAGGATGAAGGAACAGTCAAGCTCGTAGCGCTCTTTGACGATGAAGAGATTGGTTCCTTGCTCAGACAAGGTGCCAAGGGTAACTTCATGCCTCTTGTCATTGAACGTTCCGTGGAGGCCCTTTCCGAGAAGGCGGGTAAGGCTTTCGGTCCCAGTACTGTTGGTCGTACATATGCCAACTCATTTCTGGTCTCGGCTGATGTCACACATGCTGTCAATCCCAACTTCCTCGAACGTTATCTCGCTGACCATGCACCGCGGTTGAATGTGGGCATCACCATTTGCGCTGACAGCAATGGCCACATGACCACCGATTCCGTGTCGACGGCCATTTTGACCCGAGTGTGCGAGCTTTCCGACTGCACGCCGCAGGTTTTTATGATTCGTAACGACTCCAGGAGTGGCGGGACTGTCGGCCCAACTCTGAGCAGCATGATGGGAGTCAGGGCCGCCGATGCTGGCATGGCTCAGCTTAGCATGCACTCGGTTCGGGCGACCACTGGTGCTTTGGACCCTGGTCTGGGCGCCAAGTTCTTCAAGGGCTTTTTGGACCACTGGGAAAAGGTCGATGGAGAATGGACGCAGTAAAGGTGCATATCCCTTTTTGTTGTTGTTGTTGTTTATAGCTACATCTTGAGACGAAGCATTTACGTGGAGTTTTTCTAGACTTTTGAGCGTATGTATAGTAGTAGACATGGGCCATGAGTTTACAAATGTATCACGACATCTGCAAATTTCTTGGAATGTTTCGCCCGAACATGTTTGTATTTCAAATCGTGATATAATGTGGCTCCAACGTGCAGAACTCATGCATGCACAGGCAAGATATTCTCTCGTTCCCTCCCTGCCCATTACCATGAATACTATGTAGGTACTCCAGCATCCCGGAAACCAATAATCATGATCCACGGCCCAAATCCATCATGTGCAGGGCAGAAAGATCTGGAGCATTCGACGCGCTAATGCCGGAGATATGGGACCTGGAAATCGAAAACCCTCTCGGCACGATCCGAGGTCTGACGTAGATTTGGGCTCACAAGTTAGGTGCCTTAACCTATGTACCTACCTAACCTTAGCTTGTAACGGGAGCCTGAAAACAGACGTAAACTCTCACAGTGGACGCCCGGCAAGGACAGAGAATTAACAGCAAGAAAGATTGATATTTTCTCTAAAATTATACACAAAAGATAACATACCATTAATAATTACTCTGCCTTGAGAAATAGCACCAACCTTTGCAGCTTGCATTGCCAACTACAGGTACGTACGGTCACAGCCCTGCACAGCCCATAGGGTATTCAACACCATGCCTAATCCGACACCGAACAAAATTTCAGAGATCATGACGTTAGTCCAACTCCAGTAACTGGACACAAGACCAAGAGCCAACAGCCACGCAACTGCGCCGCGCACTCCGGCCGAGGTTCTGCTCACACTCACCCTTGGCCACAAAGTTTTTTCACTTCTTCCTAGACTCTTTGCCCTTATAACCTGTTCATTCTATCGATTGCGTATCTGCTCTTTCTCTTGTATTTCTTGTACTGCTTAAAATATAAAGGATTATACGATACCCAATAAACTCCGATTTGATTGATCAATTACTTTGTTGCTGCCCAGCGTGGAAAAGGGGCATTGCGCACGTTCGTGACAGACACCACGAGACTGAACGAATTGACCACTCGCTCTAGCAAGGAGACGGCCGACAACGAGAGACAGGCAATACGAAAAAAAACTTCCCGGCGGAAGCAAGAAAACTCAATAAGCAGCGCTGAAGGATCGCACATCTACTCCAACCGCAGCGCCATGGCGGCGTCTTATCTGTCCAAGCTGAATCCGGTGCCGAGTTTTGCATCATTTACGGGCCCCTACAAGGTCGGCACCGTGGATGTTGAAATCCCCGTCGATGAACTGGATTCGCCAGCACCAGCACCCGAGGGCTGTGACATTGAAACTGTACAATTCCGAATCTTTTACCCAACTGCCCCAGAGTCGACAGGCAAGAATATCACTTGGCTCCCTGCGCCGCAACGGCCGAATCTTGCGGCCTACGTCAAGTTTCTCGGGGCCGGCCCCCTACTGGCAGACGCCATTTCGTACGTGCTCCCCTTGTTTCATTCTAGGAATGCCATACACCTACTGGGGGTCCTCGTCGTTCACTGTACTGATGGACAGCATCTAGTCTCCTGCCACGACACCTCCACTATACAACGATACCCGCGATCAAGAATGCGCCACTCCTTGAGCCGAATGCGCCGAACCAACGCTGGCCGACCGCCATCTTTTCCCACGGCCTCGGTGGAAATCGCAACGCATATTCCCAGATAACCGGACAGTTGGCATCGCATGGAGTAGTGGTTGTTTGTCCCGAGCATCGCGATGGAAGTGCGGCCGCGACGTTTGTCCGTCTTCCCGCGGAACAGCACCGGTACTTTATGCGAGACCGGCGGCGCGAGATACCCTACAAACGCATCCCCCACGACGCAACAGAAGAGGTGCGCGAAGCGAGAAGCGCACAGCTGCGGATCAGATTGTGGGAGTTGGGCTTGATTCATGACGCCGTACTTAGGATCGATCAGGGCGCAGCAGTTACAAATCTCAACACGAGCACACCTTCGCTTGACCAGTTTGTCAGCGGCCTGAACATCCACGAGCCCGGCAGCATCATATTTGGGGGGCATAGCTTTGGCGCTACGACAACGGTCCAGTTTCTGAAATCCGTGTACTACGCAGGATCACCGGCCGTAGCCGCGATGAAGGAGCCTCTCTTTACGCCATCTCAGGACTCTGCTATATGCGCTCAGGTCACGCCAAAGACGATTACGATTTTGCTCGACATGTGGTGCTTTCCCCTGACGGCAAAAGCTACGAGCGCCCTATTCAACCTTCCCTTACCCGTCTTTGCTGATGATCCGTCGGCGCCCGGGGGCAACGGGCTGCTCGCCGTCGAGTCCGATGCGTTCGTCAAGTGGAAGGAGCATTTTCACGTCACGGCCCGTGTGTTATCTCCAAATCCCGCTGCACCAGTAGTCGAGGCGCAGGCGTTTGAGAGGCCGAGCGGTATCAAGCTGCAGGAGCCCAACTTTTTCTACGTGCACAACTCGGCCCACCTAAACCAGTCAGACTTTGGTGTCCTGTTTCCCTGGCTCACAAAGAAAATTTTCGGCTCGGCAGAGCCTGAACGTGTCCTGCGCCTGAATATGCGGGCGATTTTACAGATTCTAAGAGTCCACAACGTGCCTATCGGGAGAACATCCAGCGTCGATCTGGTAGATGGTGCGCCGGAAACCAAGATGGCAGAAGGCGAAGGACTAGACGACGGGATCCATGATGACAAGGCAATATTAGACCGGAGTGGCAGCAGCGGCGTCGAGGCATGGAGTTGGATCGACATCATTGGCATGGGCGACGAGGCCGTTGGCTCTGGAAATACCGAAGACGAGAAGGCGGCTGCCGAAGCTCAGGAACCTGAGATGGCCGCGGAAATGGAACCACAGGTGTCGGAAGGTGAAGCTATCAAGACGGTAGTAGCTACCGCCACGTAGGCGATCGATACTCATGCCAAGTACGTCTTTCCACATGGCTGAGCTCCTGCCAAGCTTACACAAGATGTCTTTATCGGGGAAAAGGCGTTGTATTCTTCTATGACTCTGTTGTGATCAATTAGTGTAAATAGCAAACGGCGCATCGGCGTTCCTTGGATACCATGTTAGAGGCTATAACGGGGGCCAAACAACTAAATATATATCGAATAATGACATTTATGCATATCAAACTCCGCATCCTGTGTCGACGTTTTGTGTTACCGGTCATCTCAAACGTGCAACCGAACATGAACATGTACTTGGTTTCACAACCGCCTCTGCCATCGTTGGCCGGAAGACTTGTAATGACAACTTGCCACTGCCAGGTTGTATTATTTGTGAATTCATCCTAATCATGGGTCCTCAAAGCTGCAGGATATACGTATGTTGACTTGTAGCCATCATCAACGTGCAAGCTTCAATTGTGAATGAAAACCCAACAACCTGCCCTTTTTCGGACTTGTACACTATATGACCGCGGAATAAAGTGAAGTCGGAGCAGGTGTGATCTCCCTTTCCACCCCCGCCTCAAGCGGTCACGCCAATGCTGATGTAGTTTGTGCCCGGGGCCCTGCAGGACCCTTTGTGGAATAAGGATAAACCCCACGCACTATCAAAAGATTGAAGCAGTTTGATTCTGTAGAGCATTGGGATTAAATGTTCTCATATTCCGATGACATGTGAGTATAAAGAATAGACTTCTTCTAAGAGACACATCCGCACACACACTTTTCCTCACTAGATCTTGCCCGTGAATGCGATTCTGATTGACCATTTACTGATAAGAGTGGCATGCTACATCTGGCTGGCGTCTATCTCAGAGTTCAGATCCCTCCTGGATGATGTACTAGGCCTCCAGCTGAGAGAATCGCGGCCCACTGGCGAAGTGGAGCGGATGATCTTTGTAGGTAGTTAATGTGAAAGTACCAAGGAGGGATGTATGGTACAAGTGCACCACAAACCCAGTTGTACCCTCTGTACGATATATCGGCCGGACGTTGAGAGTAGCTGAGGATCTCGTTCCGCACTCTATGGGTTCCAAATGTTTCTGCGATATACCTGAGACTTCCAAGCTGGCCAGGAAAACAGATCAGCAGCTTTATCTCTAGTCCACGCACTGTGGAAGAACGACCAAATCAATCTATTGATGTTACTGTGTATGTTCGGTGAATCATTACACTATCAATAAAATGCATAATTCTTTTGGAAATCTTGTCTACCTAGATATTATTAGGCGGATGCATGAAATTTTCCATGGTTCGGTACGTAGTGACCGAGTAGTTGACGATGGTGTTTATGAAGCTTTAAAAAAGCTTGGGTGCAATTGAGGTAGGGCCACCAGCGCTGGGCTGCGCTGAGCGTGATCGGCAGGGATCCCCGCGCCAAGGCGAGATTGCATCTGGCACAAGGTGGAAAACAAGCATCGCCAAGCCACGGGCAGTATTCTTGGCGATGCAGGTCAAGCTGGCGAGCCAACTTCAGTCCATCAATCTACCTATCCATGCTTGGTTTATCTGATTCGAGCTACTGGCGATATTCCTTTTCAATCACTAGTAGTCAATTGAAAGAGCGATATATTCCGTTCTTCAATATTATTTGCACGCACATGCCAGGCAGGCGAATGGACAGTAGACACACAATGAGCACGTTTCTATCCACATCCACAAGGCTTGCTTTCCACCCGATGATCTCATGATGAAACATGGCGGTCCAGTCTCAATCAATACCAATCATCCAACTCTGCAATAACCGCCCACATTTACGTGGGTGCTCTGGGCTCATTGGAGAAACATCTCATGACACGGTAGGCGACTACGAGTCAATTCCATGTGTATAACAGACACAGAACTGTCTTTCCCTATCTCCCGACACCGCCTCGCTAGATCCAGATTTGACCCTGCATTGCATGAAACTACAACACAAGCTGAACAACGCCCACCCAGGACTCCAGCCCCATCCCAGCTACGACTATCGAGTTCCGGTTTGTGATTAAAGCTTCTCCTAGTCCCCTCATCCTAATGATGTCAACCCGTCCCCCATTTCGCGGCGCAGCTGCCTCTGCATGGAGACCAATTCAGGGCCGGAACGGTCGAGCAGGACACGTATCCTTCCAGGGTCTTCAGGATGGCGACCTTGATGGAACCACTGGTGAGGCTCATCGACGTAGCTTGCCGCGAGAGTGGCGCTGATCCAGGGTCCTTACTCCTGGATCGATAGGCTATGATCCACGACTTGAACCTGCTTTACTCTGCCGATTGCCAACTTTTCTTGCCTGCCAACTTGCCTCCTAAGCTGCCTGCTGCTACCTATGGAGGTATACTAGTGTAGGTAGGTAATATACCTTGCGTGGGATATCTCGCCATCTCGCCATCAATTTTCGCCGACTGCCAGCTCAGGGGCGGGGTAAACTGTCGCCATGACTAGTACCTGCTTAGTATACTTTGGGCCTGGATCGATCAGTTTAAGCTCGACATAGCTCGACAATGTCCAACCAACGTACCTTGGACAACTAACTCGGCCACAACTGCCTATATCGATACTGTTATTCCGATACGCTTTAGCCATGGCATCATCCCAAGTCAGGGGTAAAAAGTCAATGTGCTGTTCGTGAAGCTCAATTGGCACCCCTCCAATGTGGTTCTCCCATTCCATGTTGCCATTGACAAAGAGGCTGCAAAGATGATCCCGGAATATCCAGGGGAAAAGACCAAGGTGGAGCAGAACAAGCTTTACGAAGCTCGACGTCGACCCACTCATGAGCGCCTTGCCGCATAGCCGACGTTTACGGCGTTTCGCAAACCCACATTACGTATTGAAGCTTCGAGTGCCGGAACTGACCGTAATGCATCAATCTGAATAGAGGGGCCTTGTGAGGGAGCCGGCAATGGCATGTCGCGCTGGCGTCTCTTGAGTGGTCAACAAGTCTCCCGGCGCTTGATTCTAGGAACCCGGTCTGATACAAGCATAGCCCACATTGTTGTAGATCAGCGTCTATTAGTTTTCAGCTCGAACTAAACATGTCATGCCAGACAAGCCAGAGAACCCTGCATGACGCTATCATGTGCTTGACAAGTCAACAATCAACTTGATGGACGAGATTCAGGTGTGCGTCAGAAGTGGCGGTGCTGGACGAGGGGTCCGAAGGCTCAAGTATACTTAAGCTGCCACTTCTGCCGACTTGTCAACAACTTTTCTTTATTCTTCATCAGACAAGCTTCAAGTTACAATCACTCAAACAACGAAACTCATTCTTCCCCTCTTCAATCGCACACACAAACACACACACACACACACACAAACATCAGCCAAAATGTTCGGATTCGGTTCGTGATCATACCATACTATTGCCCATATTTGGCAATTGGCTAACTCCAATGGCAACAGGTGACGCCAAGGCTTCTCGCGATGAGATCTACGACGGTGAGCCTCACCAGTCCAAGGTCAGCCACGAGCTTGTGGCCGGAGGTGCTGCCTTTGAGGCCATGAAGCTCTTCGAGGACCGCCAGCGCGCCAGTGGTACGTCATATACGCCCCGAGACTATTCGTCATCCCAACACCCTTTACCGGCCGAGTTCCATATACTGATATATACACCACAGGCGAGCCCGTCAAGCACGCCTTTGCCAAGGAGGCTCTTGCTGGCATTGCCGGTGCCGAGGTCGACAAGCTCTTTGAGACCAAGGGCCTCGACTTCCTCGACCGAGAGGAGGCCAAGCACAAGGCCAAGAAGCAGGCCGAGCACCTCTACGAGGAGCACTACGGTCAATATGACGAGTACAACCCGTAAGTGATGGATTAAATCAATACCTTCTTTCCATTGCTAACTTTACTACAGTAACGAGCAGGGCCGTCACCCCACCCTGGACTACTAGATGTTCAGAGAGGGATAAACGATAGAATACCCATCATCAATCAATAAAGACAGTTAAATGATCATATTTCCATCTTGACTGAAGTAATTTGGATGAAGCGATGCCATGTATTCTTGGATTTTCTTCTTCGTAAACAATGACTATCAAAACATGAATCTCAGATGTCGAATTATGGCTACATGTTGCGAGTAGCATGCTTACGAACCCGAGCTAGTATGACAGAACCTCCATTTACATTTTTCTGCGCAACCGTCTTTCTGTTTCGGCAGCCAACCTATAAACCAAGTATACTTGACCACATGACATGAAAACGATTGAGTTCGCACCTGCATGAGTGGAAGGGGTAGAGGCGATGGTTGTTCACCTAGTAAAGACGGTCAGTTCACAATCTTTCCTTGAGGTCCTACTTGTACAGGCTTGTAGATATTATTGCTTTGCGATTTGAATTCGAGCTCATGTTTTTGGCAACTCCAACCACTGTGATACTTTCGAGACCAATATGTCTTTCTATAATCCAACTGTACCGACCCGAGCACGCCTAGTTGATCTGGCAGAAGAGAGCAGCACAAAGTGCTCTACCCGTAAATTCTCCAAGTCGAGTCATTCCCGGATATGCGACTGATTATATTGGCATTCGATAAACCGCAGTCCACCCGTGGTTTTATAGGCACAGAGTGTGTACCACGAGGTCAATTTGCCACTACTAAGTCTTGAGACGTTCTGTTCACAAATATTACTGGTTACGAAATCAGGAATATGCCCAGTTGCAGAACCTCATCTCGCGCTAATCCAATTTCCAGATCAATATATCCTAGATTGATATATGCAATCTGAGCAGGAGCTACTGGAACAGTTCCAAGTCTTCCTTTGGCTGTCTAGAAACGAGTATCGCCTAGTGTTCAGTTCAAATCCGCGCAGGTCTGGCGAGCTCATTCCTCTCCCTTCATTCCAGCAGTGTTATCGTGATATCCGGCGCTGTGTATTTGACGCACCTGATTGATGAGGTCAACAGCGAAAATCATCACATGCAGCTAAAGTCTACGAGAATTCATCGCTATTGCAAATGTGATCCTTTTTATTGTGTCGAGTATTTTTTTGTGGGGGTATCAAAAGCAAGCATTCTACCTTGCGCCGTATCTATGCACGTGAGCGCTCCGAATTGCGTCTTTTTCTAAGCAGCTTTCCCATGCCGCTGCTTCTTGTTACTCTTCCCCTTGCCCTTGAGTAGCTCACGCTTCTCCTGCTTCCGAGTTGCCTTATCCAGGCTCCCAATCACCTTCTTCTCCTGTCCACATGGCCATTTTTGGTACACTTCGGCTTCCTGCTCTTCGGTCCATTCTTGCGGTAATACGGCAAAGACAAGGTATGATGTATGTGTTTTAATCTCAGGCTCCGTACGATGCACAAGATTGCCGAGCATGAATGGGGGCAGTGAGGAATCAGTATCTTTCTTGGGGGAAGACTGTTCTGTCGAGCCGTTGGTCTTGGAGTCCTTGGCCTCGCTTGCATCGCCCATATCAAGATCACCATCGGCATCGGCATCGGCAGTCTGCGTGGCCTTTTGTCCCCGTCCGTGGAACTCCTTGAATCTGCCCTCAACTTCCCGCAGACGATCGAGAGCTTCAGAAACATCGGCGGGGTTCTGATTCGAAGATCGGTCGCCAGGTAAGTTTGAGCCGATGCGCTCGCGAACGACATTTATCCGCCGATGGGCTACCTCGACCATTTCAATGTCCATCCAACCGAGCCTGCGCATCGAATCCACAGTACGTGTGACTTGTTCGATGCAAGGTGAGAATGTGCAAAGATGTACTGGGCGGTCTGGTCGTAAAGGCGATACCCAAGGTTGCTCTGCGGACAGGGTGGCTGGTCGGCTTCGTGAGAGATGTGGCAGTGCTTTCCATGGGGCGGGAAGATCGAGAAAGACAGACTCGGCCGCTGGACTCTCTCCATTGACCAAGAAGCCGTCATTGTAGACATCCCGGTGCGTCATTTGGACAAGTTCCTTGAGCCCATGGGCATCGATTTCCTTTGCCATCTGGTGAAACCGCGCCTCGTTGAATTCGAAACTGAAGACCTTGCCTTTCTGGCTGCCAGATTCAGTCGGATATCCATTATACACTGCTCTTACCGAGGCATGGGTAAAGCTTCCGCTTCCAGCACCAGCCTCTATTATCCTCATGCCCGGTCTGGCGCGGATACGGTGTAATATGTAGCTGTAGTCGGGGGTGTATACAACCTGTGTTCGGTGAGGTAGACCCATAGTCCACAACTCGGGAGTAGGCGGTAGCACATGGACAAAGCCACTTGCGGCGGCCGTGGGCTTCTTTGCAGAGGTAGTGGGCTCTTCGGTGTCATTGCTAGGTTCGTCGGTCTCTTCGCGGGCCTTGCGCTTCCGGCCTCGCGATCCGGTGTCGACAATGGAGGCACGTACTTGCGAACCCCATGGTTGGTTGATCAAGGTCGAGTGGGGGAAGGATCCGAATCTCGTGTTGATGACATTGCCCTCGGCATAACCGTCGACTGCACCTACAGTGCCATTGAGAATGGTTGGCACCAGGTTATCGCGGGACAGATGTACAATGGCGATCGAGTCTTTCTTGGTGCGAGGACCAGAATGAAGAAATGGCGACACGGTGCTCATTATGAAGTCTCCATGAGCTTGTACCGGGGAGCGCGAGAATATGTTACCCAATAGGTAGTGACGGGTGTGGTTTTGGTGGTACAGGTTTGTCTCAATGGCGAGTCACAGATATCAGGAAAAACTGTAGCTTCTTGTTGTCCATCCGCCAGAGTTCCAAAAATTTCACACAAGAACATGGCCGAGGTGGGGCAAGATTTGATCTGCGACTGGGGGAGGTTCAATCGGCATAGATAGCGATAACAGGTGCGCTGGGTTCCTTAACCTTGCCCGCATTTCCGCTGTCTCTTCCCCACGAACACCACCATGTTACTGGGGCCAATCCCCTGCAGTTCTTAGACGTACCCAGCATCCGGTGCTGACAGAATAGGTCCTGTTGGTAGATGGATTGATGCCTATTCACAATGCGAAAATAGAAATTTCCTTGATAACTGGGAACTGAAATTGTGAAACGTAGTCTAACGAAAGCAAGAATAACAGTATTTATAATTACTGAACAAAGGCGAACGATGTCTCCCCAAGATATGTAGCCAAAGATGTTCCTAATCACAGCGGAGGACGTCGCTGGACCATACATTCATTGAACGACTTGCTTTCTATGACACTGCTCTATGGTACCAATGGCCATATACTATCGCGTATGCGAAATGAAACAACAAATGATCTATAAAGAACAAAAAGATTCTTGTTTGTCAAAAGAAATCTGCCATCATGATGACGTTGGCTCCTGAGGAGAAACCTCATGACCTTAGCAAGTACATTATATAGTACATATGCTGTTTGCTAACCTAGGTCAGTCCCTACATAGGTACCTATTATACTCAGGGCAGCTCGTACTACGTCACAAAAGAAACCCGACGGCACCGAATCTCTATGTCGGTCCCGAAGCTCAAACTTAGTCACTTGAACCTAACTTCGCTTTTATCGGACCTTTGCTCTTGTTGCCGATTGTGCGGCGATCATGGGCATCATAAAGTCTCTAGCTTTGCAAATTTATAATATGCGCGCGGTAATAATGTTTGTGTATCCATGCTGCTAGAGATCAGGTGCATCGCTGAGTCAATAAGCTTCCCTTAGTACAGACTTGCACACATGGTTTCGTTTTCCGAAAGACCGCTTAAGTAATACGGCCATGCAAGAATATGATAGTAAATCAAGAGTCTATAGTATAAAGTAGCGAGTTAAGAGATGCATTTTGATTGATATTATTTGGAAAATAATAATAATAATAATAATAATACGCATGTCAGCCAGAAATCACAACGTACCTAGCATATTTGCAACTTTGGGATCCTGCCACCACAAGATGGAGACGAAATCTGAAGCCCCCGTGTCTATACAGTTTTTGTTCACCACACTTCTAGCTGCCTCAGTACTCTATTTACTACACACGCTCATAACTTTTGGGTTTTCTCCGCTGCGCTCCATACCCGGTCCATTTCTAGCACGCTTCACAAGGTTGTGGCTTTTGCGACAGCTTTCCAGGGAACAGTTTGAGCAAACCAACATCCAGTTACACCGCAAGTATGGTATGTCGTTCCTCCGGTAAACTGAATGCTATAATGCATGAGACTCATCTCCAAGTCGATACAGGCAAAGTCGTCAGGCTCGGCCCGAACGAGTATAGCATTAATGATGTCGACGCTCTGAGGACCATTTATGGCCCCGCAACTCGGTTCATCAAGGCTCCATGGTACTCTGCGTTCGATGAGCCCAGCGCTCCCCATTCCACCATATTTTCGATGAAGGATATCAAAGCCCATGGCCAGGAGAGGCGAAAGTACGCTACTGCGTATTCCATGTCGACAATGTTGTCTTATGAGATGCACGTCGATCAATGCATTGAGATCTTGGATCAGAGATTTCGCGAATTTTCTTCTACCAAGGAGCTTATCAACTTCGGCCACTGGATGCAGTGTTATGCTTTTGATGTGATTGGGAAGATAACGGTGATATCAAACTTGCCTATTGCTTTTGTATATACCATGACTGATAGATTCCACAGTTTTCGAAACGCTTTGGGTTCCTTGATCGCGGCCATGATATTGAGAACTTGATAAGTTCATTGGACGCTTTCAACTTCTATGGCTCTCTTGTGGGCATCATACCTGAGTGGCATAGATTCCTCTTTCCTTTGATCAATTTCTTCAAGCAGAAGACTGGGCTTCGGTACCTCTTTGAGTTTGGACGAGCCGCTATCAAGGAGCGCAAGCAAGATAGCGATAGGCAGGATGGCCCCAGCGATTTTGCAACCAAATTCATGGAGGCCAGCGCAGAAAGTTCCAAGTTCACCGACTTGAATACGCTACGAGGATGCATGGCAAACATCATTGCGGGAAGCGACACGACGTCTGCTACGTTGAACTCCATCCTGTTTCGCATCTACGGTGACTCAAGTTGCCTACAACGACTTCGTGATGAGATTGATCAATTTCCAAAGCAAGGTGGCATGACACAACCCATTAGCTACAAAGAAAGTTTGCAAATGCCATATCTACAGGCCTGTATCAAAGAAGGTCTGAGAATACACCCGGCGACCGGTCTCCCGCTGTTCAGATTGGTTCCTCCGGGCGGAGCTACCATTGCTGGCGTCAACTTTCCTGCCGGTGTAGGTCCATCTATATCAAGATTCCACACATGATGAAGCGCTTACTGACTGTGATATCATCTCCTTCCCAAGGCCGTCGTGGGCATCAATTCTTGGGTCGCGCATCATGACAGCGACGTCTTTGGCCCCGATCCGGGTGTCTTTCGACCTGAGCGATGGATTGCTACCAATGCAGAAGATAAGGATAGGATCTCTACACTCGATCGCTATTTTATGCCAGTGCGTTGAATATCCTCCTTCATGCTCTTCCTTGGGAACTGATAAAATTGCATAGTTTGGTCATGGAGCACGAACATGCCTAGGCAAGAACATTTCTTATTTGGAAATAAACAAGGTCGTACCATGGATTGTGCAGAACTTTGATCTACAGATCCGAGGTGGCACAGCAGAGGATAGCAGATTCATGAAAGCGAAGAACTATTTCTTCGTGAAACAGAGTGAATTTCAGGGCACTTTGACTTTGAGAGGGTTACATGACTAGGATAGCTGATAGCTAACGGAGAAGATGGATCCTTGGACCGTTTGTAACCATGCTACGTCCTCTGAGAATGTTCATCTCTCGAGATGGCCGGATGGAAAAGAATATGATGTCTATTCATGGACTCACTACACTATTGATTGAAGTAACTCGCCGCCTGAAGATATCCTCTGGAAAGGGAAATCGAAATGGGATCTATATTCTCCCCATTTATTTGGGTTTAAGTCACTCATAAGCTACGAATACTCTACCCATTGTCCTTGGGCTTCTGCTCATTTAGAAATTTACCGTACTACTGTCTCGCTTGCGCCAACGTAGTCTCATGTGCCGAGTCAGCCATGTGGACGTGACAACATCTGCGTGACAAAAAGAGCAGACCACACAAACGGATCTGAGAAGCTACGATTAACTAGAAGAAATTCCATTTCAACTAATGCGTGCGGCAAAATCATATTGAAGCGACTGGCTGGCTGGAAACCAGCTGCTTATTCGTTTGGCTGCCACCCATCAACTAATTGGGCAGTGAAAGTTAAGTGCTGGCTGAGCAAGTTGGTGGCTTCTCGCTAAGTCCAGGGATAGGTTAGCTCGTCCCGTATACCGTATACCGTATAATATCGAGGAGATCGACACCGACCTCCCCCTGTGGGCTTGCGATGTAGGGTGTCAGTACTTTAGCAGTGTCAACCTTTTTAGTATGACAAATGCATGTATGATGACTTCTTACCAGCACAACTTACTCGGCTCGCGCTCGTAGATCATGTCCGGCAAATCGCGACATACTGTAATTCACAGAGTTGATGCGCTTCAACCACAATGCTTGATACTAAGCAGTCTAGTCTTTTCGTGCTTAAAAATATGTTTGGCCATGTCACCAAGCCGCGATCTGCAAATAATTGCGGAAAAAAGAAGTGCGATTCATTCTTCATTGGATCCTGCGACGATTTCGGCCTTCGGACTATCGTCTCTGCTGCTGTAGGCGGTGCAGAATGGCTTTGAAATCAAAGCTTGTAGACTTGTTGAAAACTCAAGGAAAGAAAGAAAGAAAACCTATATTATGCCTGGTAGTCTCTACCAAAAACTCTGAGATACACACACCATCAAATCACAAATTTAACATTCCAAGAACGTTCCAGCATGATGAAGCTTACTTCTATCGCGGTACTGCTGTCTCTCGGCCAGAGTGCCGTTACTTGCGCTCCAGGCAACATGCAGCCTCTTCATCAGATGCGATCTACTTTGAAGAACAATTTTCAGAAACGAGGTGTGTAGGCATACTTCTTGGCAAATCGAATCCGGAAACGGTCATTAACTTCACTCCTAGAGACCACCCCACAAGAGATGACAACGAATCAGGACAACGTAACACATTGGTCCGTTGCCCAGAATATGAGACAGATGCAGGTTACCGACGATGCATTCATTGCTCGGGATATGCCGCGATTCAATCACCACCCGAATATCACCGTCTACTACACTGGCGGTGTGACAATGAATTTGACGGAACATTTAGAGGACATGCGTTTGACTTATTCGACAACTGATATCACCATACACAACCACGACTACAAGATTCTTTTTGGAGAAGGTGACTGGACTGTTGCCTTGGCGGAAGTGTCTGGTCTCCAAAATGGTCCACTTCCGAGTCTGAGCGGGACTCTGCTGCCGCCTACCAACAAGCAGTACAAGATGGACCTCATGACCGTTGCTCGATGGAACAATGGGGATGATGGAGGAGTTTCTCTGGTCTGATAGCCCAGCCATGTATCGAAGCCTCGGAGTGCTACCAAGCCCGCCCTCTGATGGTCTTCCCGACCTTGAGCTCAATCTTGCGACTCCCTTGTCGTCTGTGCCTGGCCAGGACAACTCAGCAATCAACAAGGCTGCCATTTTGCGTGGGGACGATGCACTGAATAATGGTAACTTTACTCTCGAGAGCCTCAACCTATCACCAGATGTGGCAGTCTACGGACTTACGGACAAGCCGCTAAACGCACAGGGCTACATCAATTGGCTTCAAGGCATGAAGACCGCGTTTCCCAATCTTCGGCTCGAGAATGATCCGTATTTCCGACCAGTCATTGGCCAAGGGGATTGGACTGCTACGGTAGCTTTTCTCAGTGGTACTCACCAGGGTAATCTTTCTCTTCCTTTGTACATATCGGACGCGCCTGTCAAACCCACCGGGGAGAACTTCAGTCTACTTCACTTCACGATTGCTCGGTGGAAAGAGGGAAAGATTGTTGGTATGCGAGTGAATTTGGACCTCTTTGGGATTCTGGCGTCACTCAATATTACGTTGTAGACCATCGAGGCTGTTCAGTTGTTGAAATGAACGGGCCGGCGAACAGGGGATTGGTATGGGAAGAGCAGTGACTGGAGATAACGGCAGAACATCCTATCTGTTTGAGACTATGTTGAAGCTCAACGGTTGGTGTTGGTGGATATAGTACTAGAATATTACACTGCCGCGCTGCAAGAATGATGTCTTATCTCCAGAAAAAAAGTCGGAGAAGAATTTCTCGTCCTCAAAGCTAGCTCGACATGCCCACAACTACCCATGGATCCAGGCGTTCATGGCTCGTCCAGAAGCTGCCATGTTCAAAATGGGGATTTCCTTCCAATTCAGCGGTGAGAATGCTCAATATCCTTGCGAAAACTGTGGCTCATCTCCATGTTCCGTTATCTCTTTCGATCTTGAACGGAATGACATTGAAAGCCTCCCATTCGAGTAGCGAGGCCGCCATATCTTTAGCGGCCACCACAGTCACGAAGGACCTAGTATTCATCAAGCAACTTGACGGCCAATGTTGCGAATCCCAGTATTGCATCAAGATAAACCGTAACCTTGAATGGTATACAGACTCGATTTTCACAGACCAAGTAGCTGCCCAAGGTGTCAGTCAGCACACCATACGCGGACTCGTGTCATTAAGGCGCTTGTCCGCCTAGGTTTACTAAGTAATTCATCATTTTTTAACCTGCCCGTACTCCAAATCCCACTTTTGAATTCAATCGAGTTTGGATTATGGCTATTAGAGTGTGTGGGCACCTACCTTAGACACGAATGCTTGGAGGTAGTGCTGCATTAGTGACTGATTACATCAATGCCTGCTAATGAAGTGTCTAAGCACAGCTGCCTGGTTGATGCCCTAGCCTGAACCACGCTGGCGCTTACAGGAGGTTTCGCTGGCAAAACGTCCATAATCTACAGGCAAGCATGACCAGATCCCTTCCTCATTCCTTTATTGCTCTCCCCCCTGGTCGTATATCGCATACCGTACTCGTGTGCGCGCTTGGACAAATAAGCATCATATCTAGCCTGGTCATTGCCGTGATGAATCACCCACCTCCAGATGCCCAGTCCTCAACCTTAGGCCAGTTCCAAGGTACCGACCATCGTGACCGCAGACGAAGGAAGGCACACCACAAGGTCAAGACTGGATGTCAGTCCTGCAAGAGCCGCCGCCAGAAGGTAAATGTCTCCCAGCCGTGTCAAATTTTATCTGTACTCTCCTTTAAACCGCGAGTGCCAACCTTGTTTTCAATAGTGTGATGAACGAAGACCCGTCTGTTCTGGCTGTGATAGACATTCAACGCCATGCATTTACCAAAACAAGGAGAGTCGCCGTCGTCAGTCCAAGCCCCAGGCGCAGGCGGCTTCCAGTGTAGACTCAACCGACGAGAACACTTTGAAAGCGCCGCAAGCGTCGGAGCTAGGGATCCTTCCACCGCCAGAATTAAACCTTGGCGATCTTGAACTGATGCATCAATACCTCACGTCCACATGCTCTATAGCAGTAGGACACCGCCCCGACATGATCGCCCATCACCAGACGACCATGCCCAGACTCGGTCAGGAGTACCCCTTTGTTATGCGCGGCATTCTTGCCATGGCAGCTACTCACCTCTCCTGGCTCAAACCTTTACAGCAAAACCATTATGCAATGGTCGCGGCGAGGAATAACCATGCTGCCCTACCAGAGTTCCGCTCAGCCTTGCAGAACATCAATGAGCAAAACTGCCACGCTCTCATAGCCTATGCCAAAAGCATCCTATGGTGTTCATTCGCTGGATACAAATACTTGCCTTCCTCAAAGCCGGAACATGAATTTGGCCAGACGTGGTTTCCTGAATGGTTTCGCCTTATGCATGGTTCATGTCATCTTGTTGAGATTGCCAGGCCCTGGATTAAAGAGGGTCCGCACGTTCTTCAAATATTTGACAAGACCGTCGACATTTCGGGTAGCCTTTCGGACGACCATCATCTTTCCATCCTCATGAGACAGCTGCTACATTTGACTTCCAATTCACCGCTTTGTAAAACTGTCCTCACAACTCTTCGGGCCTCTTTTGCGAGGGCCTCTGTATCCCATCACAACACGCCGGTGAGGAACGCAATGAACTTTTGGGTGAGCCAGGTACCTGATGCGTTTATGAGACTGCTACATCTGAAAGAGCCCTGGGCGCTGGTCATCTTGGCACATTTCTGTGTCTTGGTCAAACGCCTTGAAACTGTGTGGTTCATGGAAGGCAATGCGTCTCGTCTATTACTATTGATTATCCGTTACCTTGATCTTCATTGGAGATATTTAATTACATGGCCGTGCCAAGAAATTGGCATTGACTTGGAAGTCACTTGACCGTAGTATTCTACGCGGCCATTAAGCGTGGAAAGCATCTAGATACTTAGATACCCAATAAAACCTGCAAACTGGAGTGAGTGAAATAATACTATCATCTCAAGACACGAGCAAAGGGTTCCCAATAAAAAGTCAAGCAAACTGACTAGGCGATGGTGATGACAGATCAAAGTGACGTCGAGGTCACTACCTGCTGCTCACACCGTATATCGTACGTTGCAAAGAGTAGGTAGCCTGAACTAGTGCCGCTAAATTTCATGCTACATCTTTAATGGGATGCAACAATACGTGTACTGCTGAGGCAGTGCAAATAGATGCCAAACAGGAAAATCAGATCTGCAAACGCCTGTGATTATATAAAGTGGAACGACTGTCCATATACCTGCCCTGTGACATTGGCAATCTTCATTCAATATCTACTAATAATTGAGGCCCCCAATGTCCGGAATTGCGGCACTTGCAAAGTTCAAGAAACTTTGCGTTACTAACGACTTGATAAAAGACGCAGCCAATCCCAATGGCGATGACATTCGATCCGGTATTGTTGATGACGGAACATTGTTGTACGACCCGCTATTTAGAATGGCTCATTATTGAATGAAGTGAAAGCTGATAGATCTCTAAAAGCCGATTTCTTAGGGCACGTAACTATGATGTGGAAAAGGCCTTTCAACAATACCAGGCGACACGAAAGTGGCGGGATGAAAATCAGCTCATAGAATTGTACGAGACAATCGACGTGTCAAAGTACGAAGAAACGCGAAAATTGGTTCGTTGACCCCTACCTAGATGTGTTGCTGACGTTGGGGACTTGCACTTTCAATGTTAACCCATGCGGTCATGATATAGTATACCCACTGGACTGGTCGCAGAGATCGCAACGGCGTTCCGTTATTTCTTTTCGAGATTGGACAGCTGAGCCCAAGTCTCATGGCCGCGTACAAGGCCTCCTGCTCATCAACGACCGATACGGTGACAGGGACAGAGTCTCAGGCCATGCTACGGTTGTTCTGCACGTACGAAAACCTAATACGATTTGTGTTTCCTCTTTGCTCCACGGTTCAATCCCGACCCAATCCAGGTATACCCATAACGCAGGCTACCTGTATTGTAGACATATCAGGGGTGGGCTTACTTCAGTTCTGGCGGCTGAAAACCCATATGCAAGCTGCCAGCTCATTGGCTACTGCACACTACCCAGAGACGCTTGGAAGAACCTATGTGAGTACCGTTGCATCGCCGGATTGAGTCAAGTCCTAAATCATCATCGTTGACTAATGAAACTTCACCTTCCAGATCATTGGTGCGCCATCCTTCTTTCCCACAGTCTGGTCCTGGATCAACAAATGGTTCGACCAGAACACGGTGTCGAAGATTTTCATAGTTCCTCCTGGGCAGGAGTATTCCATGCTGTCTGAGCTTATAGATCCCATCAACATACCTCATAGATATGGTGGTCAATTCGATTTTGACTTTGGCATGGTTCCGGACCTTGATTCAGAGATCATGGAGAGGATGAAATGGCTAAAAGATGAGAATGGACAAGTCTTTGAGGAATTGCCTCTGGGGCCTATGCGATGGATTGAGCAACAGGATGGGACCAGAACGGCGATTGCTGTCGGGACTGTGAATCAAGCACAACGGAAGATGGACATCATGGCGCTTGGTAACTAGCAAACCATAAGGCCTGTGAATATTGAGTATCAAGCCTTTACTGTTAAACGGTGCCCATTGCAGCTCCAGCACCCTTGGACGAATAATCTGTATTTCTTAAGAGCCTGAGTTTGAACACTCAATTCGTACTGTTCAACGTGCTATACCTACTACATTGCAAACCATAATGTTCCATCGATCGCCTTTAGTTTTTAGTCATCGTCTTCATCCTCACTGTCATCGCTATCATCACCTTCGCCTCCATTGTCGCCGGCAAATTGGACTGCTCCCGCAGCTGGTTGGGCAGGTGGTCCAGCCAGGGCTGCGACTCTATCAAAATCGGCTTGAGGTAATCGAGCCAGACCAAGCTGTGCCTGAAAGCCACCAAAGCCTACATTGTGAAAGTTGAGGACGGCAGCGCTTGACTCGGGATTCCCGACAGCTTTGCTTCCAAGGGCCCAACCCATTTCGACCGTCGCTGCGGTCTGGTCTGGTCCTAGACCAAAGGTAGAGGCTAGACACCCCTCGCACAGGAATGTATATGTCAAGAATGAAGAGTTGGCCGACGTGGCCTCGGCAATCGGCAGCACCGTAAAAGCTCCGGTGACCTCGGGAGGATTATCGTCCTCGTTGTCGGCCTGTCGAAACGAAGATACCACACTACCACCATCGGGGCCAAGCCAGGCGGCCATGAGGAGCGGCCCTTCCATGTCTCCCGTCAAGGACCAGCCACCCCAACCCGCACCGTTTGCGAGTGGAAAGGTCATGTGGCCGATGAACGAGGTTGCGTTGGCAGTGCTCGGGGTGTCTGGGACGGCGATGGCAAAGCCAAAGCCCGACTTTGCGCCAAAGAATCTCTGCATCAGTATACCGGTCGCGGGCTCCGTAAAGTTGGCAGTAATCTTTGTCGAATCGTCGTCATCGTCTGCCGCGACATGTTGAGCAATCATGAGAATGAAAAGATAGCGTAAAGTCGGTCGAAGAGACGACAAGGCGGTCGAAAGACTGAGCTTCATCTTGATCAAGTGTTTGCTGCTCGTATTTTGATGCTGGAAAGAGCTATGTGTATCTATATAGAATTGGGGATCTTGAATGAACACAATGAGTCAATGTGCAGTCTAAAAGAGATGAGTTCTTCCGAATTCATGATATATGAGATGAGTGCAACAGTTGATGGAAGTGCGGACTAATCATTATAAGGTATTCCCACAGTACTCTACATACCATCCATGCCTTGGTAGATAGACATGGCCAGTGTTTGAACAAAGTCGGTCATTCAATAGTCGCGAAACTATTCCAACACAAATTGAACAGATTTTCAACCAATAGAGCTTACTCTTTTGATAATGATCAGGCCGTTCGAACCCATGGTCTGGTTGATGCGTGCCGTTCAGCCGGCTTTACTCTGTTCGGTTTTGGCGTATATGGTAGAAAATGCAACTCGTGCCGTGTCAGGACAGTGAAGCTTGTCGACCTTGACACAAGCTGTCGTCCCAATCTAACCACACCTACTATCTGAATAACAGCCTTGGCCGTCTGCCAAGTGTGGTCGCGTGTCATATTGCCGTCTTGAGAATAAGCTTGTTTGAAGTGTCAAGCTGACAGGGAAGTTTCTGGCGGGATCGACCCGAATGCAGTGTCAATCGCGTGGGGTGCCAAGGAAAGCCAAGTAGAATGTAGTCTGGGGTTGAGACTCCAAACAGTACATATGTAATACAATCACCAGGTCTCTATACACCACAGACCATTTCCTGGTGGGATTGTATTTGAAAAGTTCAAGCAAAAGCTCTCGATGAATATCTCCTTCAACTATTTGCATGGGTGAACAGTGTTGAGGTAGAGCGCCGCGATTAACAAACCCTTAAAGACACCCTAACTACTCTAAAATCAGTCAGCATGGAATAATGGTGGTATTTTATTCGCCATGCATGTTTTCTCGTTCCCTTTTGAAGCTGCGACATCCAGTGGTCCAACTGCAATAAAAAATCACGGTCTTAATTGGTGTATAGCAAATGTCTCTGTGCCTATGCTCTCGAGTTTGACCTACACCTATCGGAACAGAGATGTAACTCAAGTTGAGATTAATCCTTCACGCAGCCATTTTCTTTACCAACTCAGTTGAAACGTTTCAACAAGAGCAGGTATTCGCAACTAGCGATACAGGTTCAGCACTTCTAGGGCCAAAGCGCTTGCTTCTTCCAGGCTTCACCCTCACGTTGGTATAGTATGCGCCTATGCATCCGATCTGTTGCACCTTGCCAGAACTCAACCGCAGTCGGCGCTACAGCGTAAACTTTCCAGGCAGGCATGACCTGATCTGGATTCTCCGTAAAAAGTGCTTCCGCGCTCTTCAGTGCCTGTCTCAGCTCATCCGTTGATGACAAGATGTCGCTCTGCTTGGAGGCTGCAGCGCTGATCTTGGAGCTGACGGGTCGCTCAGAGAAGTCTCGTGCACAATCGTCAACGGATTGTGCATGAGCAACGCCCCGAATGCGCACCTGGCGTCCCAATTTTGGCCAGTAGAAGGTCAGGGCCACCTCGGCGTTTTGCTCAATCTGCCTACCCTTTGGACTAGTACCCTTTGCCGCGAAATGCCAACCGCGCTCATCAAGGTCTTTCAAGATTAGGACACGAGCATCCGGTCCTCCCTGTTTGTCGACCGTCGATAGAGTCATAGCATGAGGTTCGGTGATGCCTTGGGCAATGGCCTCGTCAAGCCAGACTTCAAAGGCCGCCTGTGGGGTGTCAGGCAGCGTCGCAGGATCAATATCTGGCAGAGGGCCCTTGAGTGAGGACAGGCCTCGCAATTTTGCCCTTATTGTATTCGGCTCTGGTGTCATTCTGGATAGTTTGTGCAAATTGGGGCGATGACGAGCTGTGAACGGTGCAGTTTTCTGTAGGTCTCGACGACTGAAACTTGGGCTGCAGTTCGCTGGATATTATACTGAGATTTCGTTGTTGGAAGAGCGGTCTCTTCTCGAGTTCCTATTATACAACGAATTCGAAACATGAGTCACTGAAGTCATGGCCGCTTTCGGGCGCACGTTGTAACAGTCAAAAGATCCCAAAACTGCGGGGCACCGCCTAGGGTCGTATAGAGATACAAGGAAGATGAGCTGCCCCATAGTACCCAACGACCCTGGAGACTGGAAATGAAGGTGTATTATATCGAGGTGGACATGCACGCAAATGCTCTGCACGTACCCTCACGTTGGTGTGGTGACTCTCTGAGTAATGAATTGATTGAAATACTCATTCGAATACTTGACCAGCTAGGAACACGAAGGCATGGATAATCTCTGCGCGTCAATAGCCAGTCGGCTACGAGAGCAGCCGCTAGGCTGCCGCTCTACGCTGCACAATTTCATCGATTCGTCCCTCAAGCGCAGCGGCAATCTCGTCGCTGTTCTCCTCAAGAAACATCATGTGTCCATTGCCGAGCAAGCCAACGCCTTGCAACTCCATGTGTTCCGCCTCGACACCGGCTTGCCGTAGATACCGCACTATTGCCCAATCGTACTGTGCGTGATACGAGGCCTGGGACGTCATGAGTAGTACCGGAATGCCCTTGAGATTGATCAGCTGTCGCGGCGGAGGCGATTCAGCCTGCTGCAGACAATCCACCCGCGATGGCGAGTTTGCCTTCAAATCCACCTTGACAAAGTCTGTGTCGGGATCCGAGACTGGCGGGTCGTAGGTGATGGGGGCAAAGGAGACGCCGTAACGCGCCCCCGGACCCTTGATAAACGAGGCCTTGGAAAAGGGAGGCCCGACCGGCTCAATTGTCACAATCATTTTGACCTGGCTTGGTCGCACGTCGGCCACAAGCAACGGAGTCGAACCACCTTGAGAGTGGCCGACCAGAATCACCGGTCGGTTGATCCTATCTAATAATGCTGCGCACGCCGCCTGCGTTGCTCGCTCCTGGAGGTCTGTATCGCCGACCATCTGGAGAGTCGAAGCGAACAGCTGGTCAAAAATGGGATCACCCATCACGCCGGTACCAGGCCACTGTGTGTGCAGAGCTGCCTGCGGCCATATCTCGTACTGCTTGCACGCTGTGAATATCTGCTGGATCTGCTCGGCAGTGTAGGCGATGATAGTTCCATGACCCGGGGGCCATGCACTTCGACCGCGATACGGTTGATCAACTAGATAGAGCTCGTACCCACGCGACAAGAAGAACGAAGCCCAACCAGGTTTGCCGTCGGGTTTGGTGATCCAGTCCTGGTATTCATTTAGCGTGTGCCCACACCGCAAGAAGATGATAGACCGACATTGGCAGTCCTCGTTGCGCCGTGTATAAATACGAGAGGAAAAGGTTTGGTTTCCTCGGTCCGACTCGGTGAGAGATGCTCGACGTACATCTGCCCAGACAGCCTATGGTTACCATCTTCTCCTTGGGTGTAGGAGCCGCCTACGAAAAAGGTCTCTCGTTCATGCAAGGTTGCCATTGGATCAGCACGTCGTGGTAAGTCCGAGGCAAACAACTTATTCGGGTACAAAGTCGATGTGCATGGGTTTGACTTGAATGATCATAATCCTATTTTGGTTGGTGTACGCCTCTCAGTCCGTTTCTAGTGAGCTGAAAGAGGGGTAAAACAGGTACATACGGTATAGGTCAGCACCTAAATAAGGGGGGGGGGGGGGGCTACAGGATTATACAGTATGGTGTAACTAACATTGGAGTGCCCTGGAGCCTCCAGGTGTTCTCCATTAGGTCGCCCAGTGCCATTGGGCTTCTTGCATTAGTCCGTCCCGCTTTGTATCACCGGCAAGTGCTTTCTTTGTATTGAACTGTGTCGCAGCATCTTGGCCCTGTACCATGGGCCGATTTCTCCCCCCGATTAACTTTAACTTCCAACCAAATATGATACCAAGTTCGACGTTCCTACTTGCTTGCTTGACTGGCTTTGCCCAACCTTGCGGTCATCTAATAATTCAAGGTCAACAACTACCTTGATATCTCGGGGCTTTGCGGAACTTTAAAATTGACCCTTTGGCCTCACGGCGCAATTAGGGCAGAGCAGGGTTTGTGGACAGGTCTCGCTTAACCTAACAGTAACATATGTTGCACTCTTGCAGTCTAATGGGACAGAAATATTAGCAATAACAATTTGGCCGCCCCGTGTGTCTCATTCACTACCCATAATCATATTAACTTGTTCATTCCATATTCACTGTCCATCAAGTTTGTATCGCGTGTCGCGTTGTATATGACTGTGTAGATTTGCCCAGCTAATCAACACCGCAGACGCGGTCAGCGTTTCAGCCTTGCTAGAGTGGTCGGACTATCAGCCACCCTGGCCAAAGTGGCAAGCACTGTCAAAGTCTTGGTTGTTGCCACTGGGACGTGAATTGCGCGAATGCAAGAGCAGATTTTCCTGATAGTCTTTGGTGCGGCAGATTGCAAGTCGTGCAATAACTCTGTCAAATCTGGTGGAACTATGACGCTATGGCTCGGGGTTGCTAGAAGTATTGGAAATTCACTGTGTCTTGTGTTTGTATCGGGACCCGAGCTCGTGGAAACTTCGAAAGCTGACCGACTTAGGGTGTTTTTAATTTCAGCAACGGAAACTTTTGAATCGGATGCAAAACAAGATTGTGTGTCTTGAGATGTAGAGACTGCCTCGTAGCTTATAGTTCGCCTTTCTAGGTCCTCAGTCGTAGCGGACAATTCCAAGGTCGCAATCTCGGGTGGAACAGAACATTCCATTTTCGGGCGAGCGATTTTGTTGGTTGCTGTAATAGAGTTTGCCAGAGAAGTGATTGATGGAGTTGGATTCGCAATCGTCGAGTCGGTGACAGAATCGGTCTCTCCAGCTCCACCAACTGATGTTACCGTCCTTGTTATTGTCACAGTAGCACGGTGATATCGTTCCCAACAGAATGACTGGGCTGCCGGAATGGTCGACAAAGGTGCAAATTGGGAGTATGCCGCCTTTTGGCATAAATGACTTCCAGCTGCTGATACAGTGACGGTTTGACAAAATGGCAAGGCAGCTAGCCATTTGAAAACGATGGGGATTTTCATCATGGCGAGAATATAGTAAAACAGAGCGAAAGACTGAGCAAACCCTGCAACTGAAGTTCAGTGGAAACATATGTATACAAGTTTAGTGATACGAAAGCAAAATCCTGAGGAACAGTGATGTGATATGTATCGATTGATATACTCATTCTGTGTACGGTCCAGCAGACTACCAATCGGTTGCTGTAATCCTGCCTTTCGCACCGCATTATTTATTACAAGCCCAAGTGCATCCGGAATTCTAGGTTTAGGTGCGTGTTGAAGCACTATGTTCCAGTCAAAGCAAGTCAAAGCCAGCAGACGGTGACCTCCAAAACCTTTTCCCAGACAACATTCTTGAGTACGTGGTCATGGGCCAGAGCGAGTATATCAAGTGGGTCAATTACATTTGGAGACCTACATGCGATGGAACAGACGACAAACAGGCGCGCAGACTTATAGATTTCAAGTCTGATTCTCGTCCCCATACATGTTGTGGCTTCCAAATGAGTGAACCCGATCAGAAAAGCAAAAGTGTGCTGCCTCTTCCACAAATCATACTCTGGTAAGGTTTACTGACTGATTTGATTTCTGGTGCGGGGTCATCAAAGTCCTGCATACAATGTAGAAAAACAAGGGGTTCGCGGCGCAGCAGTGACGCCCGATCAACGAATGGGACCCTCATCCATTTTCCTGCAATCAATGACTTTATTTTCATTCTGCATCCTCACAAGTGGTAGTACAACATTTACATCTCTCCTCAGACACTATTTCTTCCTAGTGAAGCTGCAATTGGCAATCTACATTAGACACGGTTCAATCCAGAGGGTGTCTGTTACACGGACATTGCAACCAGAGACTCAAGTGTGAGTAACTCTTTTCTTTTTAGGTAGTTCGGATTCCACTTGTCGATCAACCTGTTACTTCTCACCTCTAACCAAATGCTGCTAAATATGCTCCGATAGCCAGCAGTCAAGGTCTCGTGGCGAGTCCCCGTTGCAAGATTTCCCATCTTCATTGGATGGGGGACCATCTAGGCTTTTCCCAACTGCGCCTCTCTCGTGGAAATGGCGTGCCTTAAGTTGAATCATGTCCTCGAGCAAGGACCTCAAAGTCAGCCAAATGGCTTGTGCCCGGCCTGCCAACCAATGTTTGAGTTTATCATGAAGAGCGACGGGGGAAAATGTGAGGATTGTCTACGACAGCCAGAGCCCCACCTGCATACCCGAGATCAATACCATGCCAACATATCAACATGCCTAGGCTGCCGTCTAATCAGCTCGTTCTTCCGCTCTGACAAACGAAATCTCAGTAAGACGCCTGCAAGAAATCTTCGTATCCAGGCAAGGAACTTCGGCCTATTTAAGAAACTAGACGCCGATAGCTTTGTTCTGTGCGGTGGTGGTCTTGTTGTTTTAGTTGATCGTCAACAACAGAAAACACCGATTGGCAGAATATTAGCAAATGGATGTCCACGAATGACTGTGGCCTGTAGGAAGCATGCTTCCTTGCCCCCTGTGGATGTCGAGTATCCTCAAGGCCGGATAGTGCCTCCAACAGTCAATGTCGATCTCGTAAAAGGCTGGATACAGTCCTGCAGCTCGAATCATCAACAATGCAGTTCTCTGCACAGACAGGCATCTGTGCCCTTACGCTTGATCGATTTGGAAAATTTCAAAGTCGTTGAATCTGCTTCCAATCATAGGTACATAGCATTGTCCTATGTATGGGGTAAAGATACGGAACCTTTGTTGACCCGGGAGCGACTGCCCAAGTTTCTGCTCAATGGCGGGATTCGACAGGTAGATGTTCCACGAACTATCATGGACGCAATGCAGTTCTCAAAAGCCATAGGGTACCGCTACATGTGGGTTGATTCAATTTGTATAGTACAGGATGATGCGAACGATAAAAAGATGCAACTCCCAATCATGGGTAAGATCTATGGCGACGCCGACTTGGTTATTGTCGCAGCCGCAGGGGACTCTGCGCATGCTGGCTTACCTGGCGTTGGGGGAAACGTGAGGAAGAGGTGGCAGCAGGTCGAGCGCCTTGGGCCATGGGAACTTATCACAATTGATCCAAAGGTCTCTTGGGTGGTAAAGAAAACTCACTGGAACACTCGAGGTTGGACATTCCAAGAGGCATATCTTGCACGAAGAATTCTGTTCTTTTCAAAAACCCAAGTTTTCTGGATCTGCCAAAGCATGACCTGGCGGGAGGACACGCATCTCGAATTACAACCAATATCATCTGAGAGCAGTGGTCCGGAATCTTTATGGGGATCTGCAGATGGATATGATAAATACGTATTCAGCCGCAGGTGCCGTACGAAAGAGTATTGTCGAAACGTTGAGATATTCTCACAGAGAAGCTTCAAGGACAAAAACGATTCTCTATGGGCATATACTGGGATCCTAGAAGCCCAAGAAGGGTCGTTTCCGCAAGGATATATTTGGGGTGTTCCCTTCGAAATATTAGATGCGGCACTTCTATGGCAACACAGCTGTGGTGGCACCTACCAGGATAATACGGAACGCCAATTGACGAGAGGATTGACAGCCGATGCACTACCATATCCTGTGCCATCTTGGGCATGGCTCTCCAGTACACACAGTGTTACATTTCGGACACTTTGTGGGAATCTAGTTTCTGAAGTCTCCTGGCTCTCTCCAGTCGACTTGAAATATTCTTACAGTATTTCGATACGCGCATGTGCGTGGAGACAAGTTTTCAAAATACTGAAAAAACTTGAATCGCCTACAAAAGCCAAGCCTGCCACGACAAAACATGGAATGATCTTTCAACATCTACACTTCTCTGCAAACACGGCGGACTTGGTGGTGCATGTCGATGAAAATGCAAGATGCAGTGACGAATTACCACGAGTAAAAGATGGAACTTCAAGTCTGCTTGGCCTATGGTGGAAACGATTGTTCAGCTTCGACATTCTTCAACAGGTGACTTTTGCGCTTTGGCACCCTGGGAAATCTCGAGAGGACAATCCACGGAGAACACTCATCATACAGGCCTCTATTATCTTGGCAGGAAAAAGGATTGGCCGTCTGAGGATTCCAGAAGACTATATGAGGCGTGCTTCGAAGAGATTAGGACAATTTGTTCTGCTCTCCTCGAATACAGAGAACAAGGCAGATGACCGCTGCATCAAGTCTTCCTCGCATTTGGACTGTGGCAACATTATCCACGTTCAAGATTGTGATCATGTCATTAGTCACAACGTCATGCTAATTGAGTGGCAAGGAAACATTGCCTATAGACGGGCGCTTGGTTCTATCAACAAAGATGATTGGGCGAAAGTAGAGGTTCAGAAGAGAAATATCGTTCTAGGATAGAGAGCATCTTTAGGGTAGACATCGAACAGAAAATAGTCACCATGACTCCGCGAAACTTTCGCAAATCACTACTCATTTTGCTTATCTGTCTGCTTTTCGGCTCTGCCAGCTAGATTATCACGCCCCATGATGCGTTGCAGCAGCTCAACTGGAAGCCCAAGATCTTTGCCTTATCAAACATTCTGAATGAGCCTCATGATTCCATAACGTTTGTGCGATATCTTGTCTATTCCAAAGAATTCGATCCAAGGGGCATCTGTGAAACTAAGTCATGGTGGCTTAAGAATTAAACTCATCCCGAGGAGATAAAAGCGATTATCCAGGCAAACGCAAAGGTCGTTGATAATTTGAACCAATATGTCCATCTTACGGCTCAACACCCGCCTACTGAAGGCCTTCTACGCCTAATCACATGTGGATCTGCTGTAAGCCTTTTTCTCTCCACCTTCTTTCCCCTTTCCCCGTATGGCCTTGTAGACTTCAAAATCATGCCAAGCGCTGATATGAGATAGTCTCATGGATTAGCTCCTCTGGGTGATACAATAAGCGACGGTGCGCAGTGCATTATTTCTAGCCTATAGACTCTGAGGAGTCTCGATACATATCTGTATTGGGATGCACCCATGCTCTAGCCCAGGCGTTTTATCATCTGGGGCGATGTCAAAGTTAGCGTCCACAATAGCATTTAGCCGGAGCCTATTTGGCCAACTCCAATGTATACTAAGAGACAAACAAGGTGTGACAGACACTTGACGTTGCATCGTGCTTCACGCTGTAATTGTTTTCCCCCAAGCCCAAATGCTATCTAATTCTCTGGTGCTATCGGTCGCGCTGATGGAGGCCTAGACTTTCACATTCGTCACTGCCCAGCTAGACTCATTTATATACGTGGAAATCAGGTCGAGGAGACAGTTAGCGAAAATAGAAACTCATCGAAAGTTACCTTGAGGACAGAAAGAACCATTTTCAGTGTCTCTGGATCCGACTGAAGAAGGTTCGCTAAGGCGCGGGCGTCCGCTGATGTTCGGACCGATTGTACCTGTCTGGGCAGTCCGCATCCAAGGGGGGATATAGGGTTCGAATATTGAGACCACTTTTGCGTTAGGTATAGGATGTCCTTTTCGGCAACGTTTGACCACGGCTTAGGTATCAGTCGAAGTCAAGAGATTATCACAAAATTTTCGTTTAGTTCACAGTCTCGCCAAGAATGTGCCTAACTCTATAAACTTTCTTGACATGTCGCGTCAGGAATTGATAAAATTGGGTGATTCCATCTGGATTATAAATACAGTTGGTACTCCCGCATTCGAACTCCTTTCTTCCTAACACTTTCTTTAAGCAACACCATTTTGTCTTCTTCTGGCGCATGTCAAATGAAATCCTCCAGCCTCATCAAAAGTCTCGGCGCCTCGGCCATGTTCTGTCATGGTGCAATCTCGACTCCTGTTCCCACGACGACTACAACTGTAAAAGTGCCAACAACTCCAGAGTTAACCAGCACAAAGAATTCCAGTGCCGTTGCAGCGAGCGATGCGACGCTGAAAACCCTGATCCCAGTACGTGTATTCTCTGAGATTCTTGGTTTTTTTTTCTTTCCCCCGCAATACAGTTGTGCAAATTTGATCTATCCAAGAGACAAAGGGCTGACTCAACACTGCAAAAAAGAGGAGTGACGCGTACTGCCTAGGTCTCATCCCGTCGTGGGAAGACACAAGTGGCCAGATATTCAATATAGAATGCAATCCTGATTTTGGCAGAGGTACCAACGAAATTTTGACCGATCCGGCTGAAAACTTCCAGAACTGCGTTAAAAGGTGCTCTACCTATTCCGAATGCGTCGCTCTAGTCTTTTGGGAAGAGGAACGGCAGTGTACATTGTTGTCTTTTGTTGAAGGCTATGAAGATACCTCCGACTTCCATAGAGCGCTAGGCACTCTAGTCAATGCCGCAGCGGGAAAAACCCTGTTCTGAACAATGATTGTTTGGCTGACAATCATTGTTCTAGGAAACAGTTATAGTATATGGGACAAGCATTATTAACGTCGATGATCATTCTTCAGAACCACCCCACTCCGGGGCGGTAAGCATACGGAGGACTGAGACATGCCAGGCAACCGCGGCAGCTATTCATTCATTTTATACTTTGTCAATTAAGAAGAGCAATGTTCAGAATAACAGTGAAAATAAAACTCTAAACTGGCAAAGCACTCAATTTCGGGGTCATCAAAACAAATATGGAGAGCACTCATATTCATATGATGGAAAGTAAGTGAATGTGTGTGTTTTATGACTACCTAGGTAACGCAAGAATCGCGAAATCAGACCCCGAGCCACAGATGCTCTCTATGCTTGCAATGAAGAAAGCGATGTCGAGGGTCTAGGCACAACGGCAGCAGTCAAGGCTGACCAGCGAAGCGTTTACCCCGTCCTTGAGTCTCCAAAGGGTTCCTGTCGACGTCATCAATGCCTCTGTATGCGCGGCCTCCATTGATGAACTGGGCAGGATCCAGACTGGAATCCACAAACGAATCCAGGTCCTCGCCTCGAGCAACCGCATCCTCCAACATGCCAACGTTTGACTGCTCTATCAGAATTTGTGCAGGTTTCATTATCATCTTAAAGGCTTGAACGTTCCTAAGGTCAAGAGCATTAGTGTCGTTGATGCTCGTCTGCAATGCTTGTGTCGCGACAAAGAACATCCCCTCATTCACTCCACCACGTATCTTTTCGATCTTCGGATCTCGGACGACTAGGGCCCGTGTCTCACCGGCCTGCTCCATCGGCGCCCTGGTGAGCTCTTGGAATTCGCGCAACAGAGTAATGCAGGAATCGAGATCCGCCGATGTAATGGGTTGTTTTGCGCCACTGCTTCCCATGTTTCTGAATCGCTCAATAATCTCTTCCGATACATGCATGAACTTCTCGGGCTGAGCAACAAGAGCGCCAACCTCTTGAGTCAACGATGGAAGCAGCGCAACTGACTGGTTGAAACGAGTGATCATCGTGTTGATGGAGGACGAAGGATATGTCTGATCATCTCGTGAAACGGTATCAGGACTTGTCTGTCTTTGCTATTAGACTTTGCTTTTTGGATGAGTGTAGAGTATTGCTCAGCCCTGCAAAGAAATAGGGAGAGAGCCTACGGAAGACATTGTGATTTTGGTATGTCGTAATTGATAGGGCCTTGATGAAAGGGTGCGGTGAATGAGTCTCTGCTGTTTAATCTGATCACGAACTGGGTTCGCAGACGGCCGTACTTCTATTACTTATGACAGTAGTCCTCTTTCTCTTGCTACCTCTTGGATTGCATGGAAGGACATCTGGGGTCGCACCTCGAGGCATAGGTTGACTGCTTTCAGATATAAAATTCCAAGGCATAAATCGAGTACAACCAACGGAGCGCAAAGATGTGACATGGAGAAAGGAAAAGAAAACAAACGATGCGTTCCAATCCAAATGAGCTTGGAAGTTACAAACTACGAATCTGATTGGTCCATAGCTACAGGCCAGGCAACCGCGCAAGGGGGGCGGCATTGGACAGGGAAAACGGACGCAGTTCACGGAGGCCGGATAGGGGAAGCAACCATCGGCAAGGGGTGTTTTAGAGCCAGTTTCAACCCGGAAGTAGACTTGTGAGCAGTTGGTGCATCGCCGGACTGGGCCTGCCACCTTTTCCCGGGCATCTGACTGGTCGGGATTGCCAAGGAGCACTGCCCCCTTCAAGTCGATCATTCCAATGCCGACCAGAGTCAAACTGGACGAAGCTGCGGGCGGAACGGAAGCACAGAATGATGTTGGCTCTATGAGCGAGCCAATTACGAAGATGTTCAATATAGCGCTGGTGAAACATGTACCAGCCATTGAGGCTTGAGATAATTCCAGTCACTTCAGCAACAGCTCATACAGGCTTGTTAACAGCACAAACCACACTGCCAAGAGCTCAGTTTAGAAAGTGAAAAAGGCACTCAGTGTGCACTCTACCAGCTTGCTTTCATTGGAGTTATTGATCCCTATGGAAGCTGCAGTAGTTGAAGCGCTATGATATTGTTGCAAAGCCTCGAATTGCAACGCCAACCCGACTGCCACTTGTATCACTCATTACTGAGTATCAACCTAGAGAACTTGTTGTATATGGCCATGACTCGCGCAATACGTCTTCACGAATGGATCATGTTGCCAGCTGCTTACTAGGTATATAGACTAAAGCGACGACTTGGATGCTCTGGTTGGAGCACAACGTAATGACTGCTGCAAATTCAATGATCCGCAGACAGACCACTTAGGTGCTAGGTACTAGGTCGGCTTACGTGGCGTCCCATTCATATCCTGCTCTGGGCGGGTCAGGCTAAAAAGTTAGCCTTTATACAAATATGTTTGACGATTAAATGTCAATTACTCTGATAAACGCCGAAATCTCCGATGCCGCGCAATTTCTGACTCATGCACACAAATTTACTATTCTGTGCACCCCATATGGCAATTCCAATCACTCTGTTCTAATGTTTCGTAGAATCTCAAACCAACAAGTTCATTACAGCAACGGGACTATTGAACAGCAACTTGCCTTGCGCCAAAGGGTGCCATGATGAGCTCCCCCCAAGGGCCCACGCAACGGTCTAGCCAAGCGTCTACAATGGCAAGGGTGCAAGAGCCTCGTGACTTTGTAGGAGGACCTGGCCGGCTGATATTAGCTACAACTATCACGTCTGTGACTTGTGCAACCTTCGTCGGCTCTATCAATGTGGGCATGCTGACTATTGCCATCCCTTCTGTCGCCGAAGATGTTGGTTTGGACTCTAGTCTACTGTTGTGGTAAGTCGGAGAGTTGACACCGTGTGGTGTTGGCAATACTCATAGACATGTATTCGCTGATATCTTCCAACTTGGTCCTACATGCATTGATGTTGCTAACGTCTTGCACCAGGCCGCAGTCGATATCATCTTTAGTGTGTGCGTGCACATTACTGCTTTTCGGATCATTGGCGGACGCTCTGGGAAGCCATAGAGTATACTTACTCGGCATTGTTTTGCAGACTGCCTTTACATTGGGTACTGGCCTCGTGCGTACGAGTGGCCAGTTGCTAGCATGCCGAGCTCTGGCTGGACTAGCACAAGCTGCAATCCTACCCTCATCTGTGGGATTAATTGTGCGGACATGTCCCGAAGGCAGGATTAGGAACATTGCTTTTGCGTCCATGGGTAGCGGCCAACCCCTAGGCTTTTCTATCGGCCTTGTAATGGCTGGTGGTCTCATCGAGTCGCTTGGTTGGCGATCCGGCTTTTATGTCGCCGCCGGCATCAATCTGTTTGTGTGCATCCTTGCAGTATTCAGTCTTGCCGGCCCATCTCGAGAAGCACCAGTTGAGTGGCGATCCCTCCGGGAATCTATCGACTGGGTGGGCACCTCGGTCATGACCACATTACTGGCATTGATATCCTATGTCTTGACGTGAGTTGATGATTCCGCCTGGGCCTCATAAAGTATTTACTAATCTCGATATAGCATAATCACTGCAGAAGGATGGTCCGTCTCATACAAATCCAATATCACCATGCTTTCCATTGCAGCAGCTTTATGTCCAGTCTTTGTTTGGTGGCAAGGCCGTCAAGTGAAACTTGGACGATCAGCCTTGATCCCAAATTCCCTCTGGCGACAAACTAAATTCAGCTGCATTTGTGCCAGTGTTCTTCTGATATGGGGTGCATTCAACTCGTTTGAACAATTCATGTCATTGTGGTTTCAGTTGGTAGAGCAAGTCTCGCTTCTTGACACATCGCTTCGATTCCTACCTCAGCCCGTCGCCGGCGCCGCAATAGGATTCTCCATTGGCTTCCTGGTGCATCGAGTTAGAGCAAACTACATTATTCTTATATCGACCGTGGTCAGCACAGTGGCGCCATTGCTTATGGCACTTGCTAGCCCCCAACAAAGCTACTGGTCCGCGGCATTTCCGGCTCTCACCCTCAACGCAATTGGTGCAGATTGTCTGTATACAGTCTCCAACCTGATAATCTCGTCACTGTTCGAGCCGAATATGCAGGGAACAGCAGGCGGTGTTTTCAACACTGTTGCACAGATAGGAAAAACTCTTGGTCTCGCCGTGGGAACCTTGATCGCTGGTGCGGTCTCTGCACGAGCGTCCGAGGATATCGAGCAGTCGCAAAGGTTAGTATATGGATACCAGGCAGCATTCTGGTTCTGCATGGCACTTTGTGGCCTTTCGGTTGGAATATGCAGCTGGGGCCTCCGATCTGTTGGAAAGGTCGGACTTAAGAAAGATTGATGATCATACTTCCACAGCTTGAGCAGAAAAACTACCAGAAAATATTTACAAAAAATTACGCAAAAGAAGAGAGACGCCAAAAGGGGGAAAGGGAGGGGTGGTGGTGAGAAAAAGCAGGCATGACCTAGCAAACTCCAGCACAGTGCCATGTCACCGTCAGTACAGAGCCACTTTCACTCTCCACTATATACAAGAGCCTTCCGTCATCGCCGCCCCAGGTGAGATTTGTGGTGCCTTGTCCGAGATGCCCAGTCAGAATCCTAGTCCGCAATGTGCCATCTTTGCGATGCACAAAGACCGTGCCAAGGGTAGAATGAGCTACGAAGATATTGCCTTCAATATCAGTGGCCATTCCATCGGGTCCTCCGACGCCGAAATAACTTGAAAAGCGGCCAGTGCGTTGGACACTGCCATCAGGATACAGTGGCGCGAGCCATATGCTGTTATCCCGGGTCATTGCGACAAACAGAGACGTCTGGCTGACGTCAAGCACTAGGCCATTGGGTGAAGGGCAGTTTCGGAGCAAAACATCAACCCGGCAGTCGGTACCTATGCGGTAGACCCTGCCACTCGGATCTTGAAGTCCGCTCATGCCCTGATCGGTGAAAATAATTGTCCCATCGCGGGCTACAACAAGGTCATTTGGACCCTTGAGCCTTTCGCCGTTGAAGCGATCCATGAGCGTTGTGACTTTTCGGTCATTGAGATCAAGCTCCAGAATACCGCACTTGAAATCGGCAATGAGAATCTTTTGGCGGCCTTCGTGCCACGCGAGCCCATTTGGCTCGCCGTCATACTGGACCACCAATGTCCATACCCTGGTGGAAAGATCCAGCGCAAAGATACGTCCGTAGGGGATATCGGTCAAGTACAGGATGCCATTTCGTACCAATGGACCTTCAAGAAAAGAGTCCAGCGGCCGGCCGCGCTTTTGGTTGCGAGAGTGCTCAGACTGACCAAGCTGTCGAAAGGAGTCTGGCAACGCCGAGAAAATCTCTGCCTGCACTTTTTCAGGCTGTTCCCAGAGTGAAGAAAGCATGGCAGAGTTGACAGGGAGGCGGAATTGAGCTCGATACAGCGATAGGCAGTCAAGGGATGGCCGTCATATGTCTCTCTGTGCTGTAGACCGGCATTCGGGAGCAATCAGGCTCGGGGTCGGCTCGAGGGAAGATATTTCGAATGCAGTCAAACATCTCCATACGCCATTTCCGCGCAAGTCCTCTTCTTGTCGCGATCGTTAAAGACCCCCATCAACGTACATTTAGCGGCGGCTTCTACCATGGTGGAGCCCGGGTGGTCTGGTGTTGATGGCATATCGGAATAGTCCGAAGCGCGGAGTTTCTCCTTCGTACTCAAGCATGGGTTGGATATTCAGGAGGGGATATCTGCCCACACCGCCGTAATCTCCACGACCGACGCTACCTCGTATCAGTCTCCAGATGGTACGAAATACAAGGTATTCTATGCTCAGTGGACTCCAGAAGCCAAGCCAACGCCATCAGTTCACCTTGCGGGGACCCCGGATCTTGGCCGTTTGGTTCCACTTGCTTGACGGAAGCTTATGAGATGCCTGGGGCGAGGAGGATACATACTTGATCAACTAGAGTGTGCCAAGTCCCCAGCGGGTTATGTTTTCTGTGATTTCTTTCAATATTACAGTTCAATGCTTTTACTATTATAATTCAAACAAGCCATCATAAAGTACAATTCGTCTAGTTGATAGATTGACCAATTCAGGTCCGCAAGAGATAGAGACCATTCGACAATGCAGCCCTCTTCCAAAAACGAGTGTGACCACATTGAGAGTGCCAAGGTCATTGCGTCCTCTTCGCAGCCTCTGTCCTCCGATGCCGAAAAGGAGCGCCGCCTTGTTCGCAAGCTCGACCGGACCATCCTCGTCTGGATAATGATATTGTATCTGCTCTCATATCTTGACCGGTGCGTTGTGATTGATTCGAAAGCCTTCCTCACCTCACTGGACTGGAAATGCTAATTCTTCTTCTCCGTCGTCTAGGAGCAACATCGGAAACGCCCGTAACATTGGCCTCGCCACCGATTTGCATCTCAACAGCTCCATGTACCAACTCGCGTCGGCCTCATTTTATATTGGGACATTCCTCTTTGGCACGATCGGGGGCCTCATGCTCAAGGTCATCAAGCCTTCTACTTGGCTCGGTCTTTGCGCCATCGGATGGGGCTCCGTCAGTTGTCTACAGGCTGCATGCACAAATCCCGGTGGCCTAATAGCCATTCGCTTCTTCTTGGGAGTTTTTTGAAGCATCATTCGCACCAGGCTGTGCCCTGTATTTGAGTTTCTGGTATCTCAAGTCCGAGCTCTCCCTACGCATCGCAGCATACGCGGGAATGAGCGCCGCAAGCGGCGTGATATCGGGTCTCATTGCGTACGGTGTTGGCAATGCTGGATTCCACAAACCTGCTGCGTGGCAGGTATTGTTCATGGTTGAGGGTTTACCCACTATTGTGTTTGGTCTGCTGACATTTTGGGTTCCTCCCGGCCGCCCTGAGATGGGCAAATCACACTGGTTCACAGATGAAGAGCACTTGATCATTTTGAGCCGTCGGACTCGATTTACCAAGAACTCGGACGATGGAATCAACTGGGTTCAGATAAGAGGGTGAGTCAATTCCCTGGGCGGACTGGACTAAATGATCTTGACTCACATTTGATAAAAGCGCTTTCAAAGACTACCGCCTGTATCTTTTCGTCTTCATCTACTCTGGGCTATCCTTGTCTCTTGCTGTCAGTGCGGTGTTCCTACCAACCATTGTGGGCACACTGGGCTATAAATCAGTCGAGGCCAACTTGATGACAGCCCCTGTGTACGGCGTTGCATACTTTGTCCTGCTCGTTACTGCCTGGTTGTCGGACCGTTTCCGTATGAGAGGACCCTTTATCGCGCTTGGGGGATTGATTGCTGGTATTGGCTACATACTACTGGGCACCCTCAGCGACCAAAAGTCCCGTTATGGTGTCTGCATATTAGCCATTGCTGTAAGAACTTTTCTAAGGCTGACACCCCTGGCCAAGGAGCATCGCTGACTCTTGTGTCCTCAGGGAACGTACATGGCATTTCCTCTAACCCTAGCCTGGATCTCATCTACATTTGCGGGAGATAGCAAAGCTGGCACTGGTATTGGTGTTGTGATTGCTGTCACTCATGCTGTTGGTGTTGCAGCGTCCACCATTTACCCTGCCGAGGATGCTCCCCACTACCTGATGGGCAACGCCGTTTCTGGTGCTCTGACGCTTACCACGGCAGTTGCTGCAATTTTAATGAGCTTTTTGTTATTTAGAGAAAACAGGTCGAGGGACAAGAAGTATGGACGCCCCGAAATTGGTATTCCGATTGACATGGGCGGCGACGCCGACATGGCCCGGGATTACCGATACGAGCTCTAGGGTAGCCAAGCGCACTCTTTTCAGGATAGTTTTATTTTGTCAATCAGCTTCCCCTACCAATTACTAGATAGCAACTTAGAATTTCATATTTGTTTTCTTGGTAGTATGATAGAAATAATACGCCGTGAGCCGCAATCAGGTGGTACACCGCAGTATGGCAGATGCTTGTGGCTTAAAGCACTAACCTACATAGGTACATATAGACCCTCATGGATGCTACGAGTATGAATAAAAAGAATTTCTACTTCCTTTGTTCGTGCACATGTAGTCTTTGTATCAAAAGAGCATCTTCCAAACCTTCGACTCTTCATTTTGAACAATTGCGTATCATTTGAACATGGCATACGACGCTTCGAGCCACTATGGCTTCGTTTCAGTCATGGACCATTACGAGTCTGTAATGCTTAAGAGTAAGCATTGGATGGCATGATTACACTCCTGACTGACGAGTATCTTTCACAGGGCGAAGAAGAAGAAAAAAACTCTAATTCTGATGGGGCTGGTGTCTTCCACGCTGGATGATACAGCGAAAAGAAACCCGGATGCGGGACGGAGCTTGTCCGCTCTCTGGACCTCTTTGCAGGATCCAACGGAACAACATGAGTGAGTTAAAGGCCGCTTTCAACGACAAGGACTCTGCTGTAGGAGTGCAGCTGCTGAGAAACTTCATGATGGATATGTAGTTAAACCTCATAGCTAGATAAATTCCAGTAATGTCATTCATGGCATACGTGCTAGACATGACCTGGCCACCTCACGGGCCAAATCTCTCTCATCCATTGATTCGACAAGGAGTGAAGTTTCCACTCATCGGCACAAGAAACTCGACATTTTGAATTCTTCTACATATGCTGCACTGGATTGTAGCTAATCCCGTTGCCTCTGGGGTTCAGGACCCTGCGCAGTCAAGAAGTCAAAGTCAGCACCCTTGTCAGCCTGCAACACAGTTCGTTTGTACAATCCGCGGTAGCCTCTCTCTGTAGCAACAGGTCCATCGGGCATGATTAGACCGGCAGCGTCCTCGGGAGTCTCCATTCTCTGTTTTTGACGAGCTGCAATCTCAACGTCGGAAATCTCGACCCGTAGTATGCGATTCGCCACATCGCAAATGATAGTATCGCCATCACGAACAATTCCCAAGACCGAGGTGGGATGGGCCGATTCGGGGGAGATGTGCAAGACAATGGTGCCGCCAGCAGTACCGCTCATACGACCATCCGATAATCGTAGCATATCCATAACTCCTTGCGAAGCAAGCTTGGTCGGGATAGGAGTGAGACCAGCCTCGGGCATACCAGGGTTCCCTTTAGGACCGATATGCTGTAAAACGAGTACACTGTCGGCTGTCACGGGCAGTGCTGGGTCATCCAGCCGCCGCGCCATATCTTCTGAATTCCGAAATACAACGGCCTGGCCCTTGTGTTGTAAAAGGCGGCGGTCTTTGGATGCGCTCGCCTTCATAATAGCACCATTCGGTGCTAGATTACCACGTAATACTACCAATGATGAGGCTGGATACAACGGGTTATCAAAAGGTTGGATGTGGCTGAGCTGTTGGGGAATCTTCATCGGCGCAAACCGAGCCATCTCTTCGCCCAACGTAGAACCAGTATATGTTAAAGCACCAAGGTGCAATAGCGGCTTAAGCTTGTATAAAAGCGACAACATGCCTCCAGAGTTATGGAAATCAGTCATGTAGTTATCGCCGCTCGGCTTGAGGTCGACTAGCAATGGTGTTTTGCGGCCGATCTCGTCGATTGTATCCAGTGTAATAGTGCCTGCAACGTTGGGGTGACGACCAATTATAGCCATTAAATGTACAACAGCATTGGTCGAGCCACCAATAGCCTGCAATACGGTGATGGCATTTAGAAAAGAATCTCGCGAAAGTAGCGATTGTGGATTTAGCTTTTTGTTAGTGGCCAGCTGCACTGCAATGCGACCGGTTTCCTCGGCTATGCGTAGTCGCGACGACGAGACGGCCGGTGCTGAGGCGCCAGCGAATGGCATGAGACCCAGGGCAACGAGGATGCAAGCCATAGTACTGGCGGTGCCCATAACGCCACACTACAACATCATGTGTTAGCAATTGCCTATTCGGGTAGATAAATGAGTTTGAAGCAACTCTTTTGAGCAATTTGTCTGAGTATGCTCTTTTGCAGCACCAATTTGGGCAATGCTTGCTCATGAGACAACTCGGAAAGGGAGAGATATGACATCGGAAGTTGCTTACAGTACCGGCTGTTGGTGCCAGCTCATCATTGATCGCTGAAATATCTTCAATGTCAATCTTGCCAGCCCGGAATGCTGCCCAGTTATTGCGGCAATCGGTGCAGGCGCCGACGCGAACTCCGCGGTGGCTGCCGGGCATCATTGGCCCCGTTACGAGGTGCACAGCTGGCTTGTTGGCGGACAGAGCTCCCATGAGCTGGGCAGGTGTCGTCTTGTCACAGCCTATAGCATAGGGCCAAGCCCTCTTGTTAGTAGGAGACCCAAGAGATGCTGAGGCAGGCAGTGCGCAAGCAAGACAAGGAGATTGGAAGGGTCCAGGATCGAGCGTACCGCCAATGAGGATAACAGAATCGCAAGGTTGCGCCTTGATCATCTCCTCCGTGTCCATACTCATGAGGTTACGCAGGAACATGCTGGTGGGCGATGAAAACGACTCGTGTATACTGATCGTCGGAAAGTCGATAGCAAGGCCACCAGAGAGCTGAACACCACGCTTGACAGCATCTATCAATTGGGGGACATTGGCATGGCACGGATTGAATCCCGAATACGTATTGATAACACCGATAATAGGTCGGCTCAATGCATCTTCGCTGTACCCAAGCGCCTTGATAAAGACCTTGCGAAGGAACAAGGAAAAGTGTGCATCTCCGTATGATGTCAGGCCTTGGCGCAGACCGTGGGTCGACTGTATCGCCTTGGAAATGTCATAATCTGTATGACGGGACTCGCTGGTGTCACCTTGCTGTTGCTCGTTCTCGGACATTTCTGTAAGACTCTGCGGTCCAGAGGTCAATAAGGCAATAAGTGTCGCGTGAGTGAACAGCCAATTATGGCAACTGTTGAATGATATGAAGGAACGCACATTTGACGGTCCAGGCGAAACGGAAACAAAACATTTATTCGTAGCCAATAAGAATAAAGACATTTCATTATAAAGGCTTAACCCAGTAGTCCTGTGGGGGACCAAAGGGCGGGGGGCGAGAGACGGACAAAGTCCGCGAGACGGCGCTGGTGCTAGACGGAGCGGACGGAGTTTTGCCGTCTAGTCGGACCACGGCCCGTCATGTGTAGTATGGATGTGATTGCGTCTTCCGACTCGCTCAACTGGTGCCCTGCAGACGCGGAATGTTCCATATTCCGATGATAGCAGCTTTGGCCATTGCAAAGACGCGAAGTGACATCTACTTCTCAGATAGAAAAATGATTGCAAATCAACCTTGAGTCGCATTTTGTCTTTTTTCTGACGGAAATATTCCAGCAGCTTTTCGTTTTCGTTCCTCAGAAGGGGAAAAGAGATAGAGAGAGAAGGTTGTCGCCCTGAATTTAGCTCCTCATCTCCTGTCAAGGTCTCAAAAGGGTGTGAATTTCGACATTATGCTGAATCTCAAAGGAAAAGTCGCAGTAGTCATTGGTCTTGGCCAAACCGGCACGGACGGCTGGGGCATCGGCGCTGCATGTGCGGTCGCTCTTGCGCAGCAAGGGGCTGTTATCTTCGGTGGCAATAGATCGCTGCCATCCACGGCCAAGACAACAGAAACTATCGCGAGCAAAGGCGGACAATGCGATGTCATGGTTGTCGACGCGACCTCGTCGGATTCTGTAAAGGCGCTTGTCGATGCTTGCGTGACGAAACACGGGCGCATAGATATCCTCATCGCCAACGTTGGACAGTCTCAGCCAGGATGCCCGGCTACAATGTCCGAGTCGACGTGGGACTCGCAAATGGATATCAATCTGAAGAGTGTCTACCTGGCCTGCCATCACGTATTGCCCGTGATGGAACAACAGCCGAACGGCGGCGCTATTGTGTGCGTGTCGAGCATTGCAGGCTTGCGATACATTGGCAAACCCCAGATCGCGTACAACACGGCCAAGGCGGCGATCAACCAGTTTGTGAAGGCCACAGCGGTCATATATGCCAAACGAGGGGTGCGCCTGAACAGTGTCGTTCCGGGTTTGATGGAGACGCCATACACCAAGAGTCTGTCCACCCGCTTTGCTGTCGAGGGTGGATACGAACAGTTCAAGAAGATGAGAGACGACCAGGTTCCTATGGGCAAAATGGGAGATGCTTGGGACGTGGCGAATGCCGTAGTCTTCCTTGTATCGGACGAAGCTCGATATATCACGGGCCAGAAGCTAGTGGTGGATGGTGGCATCACATCCTCAACTGGCCCCACGTAAACAAGATACGTGGGTCGGACGGGTGGTTGTTTACCAAAGTCGGAATTATGGCGCGAAACGCCAAGTCAGTGGCCGAAATTACAGGGCGCGACTCTAGGGGGGACACGGGGTTTCTGCCACTTATCTCGACCGAGCACTCATACAACCCTAACCCGGACTGGCCCCACGCCATAAATCGACTTCCTGAGCGACCCCAAAGTTTCACGTTCATACTACCTACCGTGTCAACTCTCCCACTATGTGAAGGCTCTCGGGCTCTTTAATAGTCAAAACCAGCCATAATTCTCAAAATATAAGAAATTCAATCTGAAAAGTACCAAAGCGAGACATGATTCCTGGGGCTGAGGACCCTGCGTTGATGAGCGTCACTCCATCTTTGGATCATCGAACATGATTAATCGTTGCCCAATGAAATAACCCATGAGTAGACGGATATTCGTAATAATTAGGTTTACGCGTAAAGAATATGACACGTAAATTATGTATCCATTGTCATGTACTAAGCAAATCCTCGGCAGCCATATTCTTTCCGTCATTGTCCCCGATGACAATAGACACGGGTATTAATACGCTTGCAAACTTCAGTTCTATTATCAGCATTTGCCAAGTACGCATTTATCCATCAAGTCCACTCACCGTGTTGCCTAATGCTTTCTTCCATGAAAACTCGCACAGCACTTGCAGCAGGTGTTCGTGGCCCTCTGTGGCTTTTGGGTCGCCTATAGCTGCAAATCCAGGCAATTCACACGATCGCCATGTGCACGAGTCAATTTCAACATGATCCCAACCAGATTTTGGTTTCAGGGGAAAGTCCATCCGTCTTGTTGCAAATTCCATACTGCTGTGATCCAATGGTATCGACTCGCGAGCTCTAGGGATTGTCAAGTCAATCAACGACAGACGAATGCTTCTCAAGCGAATATCCAATTGGTCGGTGAGGCAGGCCGATGATGAAATCCATAGTCTAAGACCTAGACAGTCTCCAAAATGGAGGGGGCGAAATCCATCATCAATGGCCGCTCTGACCACCAGCGCCGGTCTGTACACGGGGAGGAAATCGCCTTTTCCTGGAGGCAACTCAAGTTTCTGCTCCTTTATATCAAAGGGGAGAACGTGACAGGATTGCCAGGGCGGCCGTGTCCCCGTCGATAACCAGGGAATATTGGGTGCATCAAGTCGGACAGACGTAAGATTCATTGTCTTGGAGCGCTGCAATCTGAGGCAACCCAGTCCTCGAACCGTGGCACGAACGGTGTAAAATACACGTGTCGGATCCAGGGATTGCCTCGTGTTGAGATCCGAGTCTAGCAGCTCTCTGTCCACGTAACATAGCAACAAAGAAAGGTCGATGCCGAAAGAGTAATCGTGCCGGCCTTTTCCAAGCGTGTATCGTGTCTGAGACAACGGGAATCGCGGGAACAGAGTTTGAGATGTTTTGATTATCTGCAGTCCATCTTAATTGCAACTCAGGGGAACATGGGTTTTCTGCTCCTTTTCTTTTCTTTTTTTTTTGTCACGCTGAAACAAAAAGGTTGAAAAAAAAAAAGAAGTTTAGAGAGGTCTACTGACCGTGTGATAGGTAGGTAAAGCCGGATATTCTCCATTGATGGCCACGGGCTCAGATGCTCGGAGTCTACCTACTTGACGGGCTTGTTGATTAGCATGGACGAAATCTTCCACTTTTTGAAAATTCGAGACCAACAACCTTCTATATTAATTTCGAGTCGCGATATTGACAGGCTTCTGGCAATGTGGAGTGAGATGACTCCGGTCACCACATCTGTAGAGCTGTATACCAGACTTTCATGCTGGTTTGCCAATTCTATCCTCAGTTTCATGATGAGCACAAGGCCGCGAGGATACTTTGACTGCAATCTCTTTGGCAATATTTTAGAGTATAATTAAGAATGAATTGATAAGTATTTCACTTTATAGGAATATTCCCAGATGCTCTTTGTTTGAATTCTATCTCGACTTGTGATTAGATTCAGGCTTGGATCACATTCGACAGGTACAGCGGTTCAATGGCCGCTAGTGCCGGCAGATCCGCCAATGCTCAAGGTGATTTCCCGAGAATGCGACCAGAGTCAGGATATTACTCGCACAAGGCAGAAAGACAATGCGCATATCTGACATCACTTTCATTCTATTCGCTTCGAATCAAGTTATTATTGATGAACCGAGCTGATGAAGTGGCCAAAGATGCATGTGCGTGTATACATATTGCATGGGCCCTTCTGTGCAAGGCCTCAAACCGCCCGCTCCGCCTCAGCCGTTGGATCCGCGGCACTTACATAAAACCCCGTTGGAGAACGTCAGGTTTTCTGCATGTTGACTGACTTTTCGCAAGTTTTCCCCAGATAATAACATTACTAAATATTTTTGTCTTTTATTTCCTCTAAGTCAATCCGTTTGAGAGACCCTATAAATAGATACTTTTCGGTTTGGCTCTTTTCTTCCAATTATTGCGATAGATCCCCCAACCCGCCGACTGTAAACTCCTTCGCTTCACAATATCGCCAAAAAATGCCCGCTTCAGACGACGCCGAATTCTACAAGATGCTGGACTCGATTGCCAACACTGGTGACGAAGACGCTGTTCAGCAAAACAAACGAATCAAAGAGGCCCAATTCGCCGAAGATTCTTCAGAGCCGAATGAGGAACAAACGGCAGCAATTCGCAAGGAAGTTGAGGCAGGCAAACATAACAAAGCTGGCAGCCAATGTTGCAGATCGTAGTATGGACTCTTCTGGATACGCGGGGTGGGGTGGAATCATGGACCATTGTAGAAATTCTCATGTACTTGTTGATATTTTTGACAAAGCATAAGCACAACGCAGCGACATCCGCAATGAGGATCTTCTGGCCTTGTAGCCTTTGGGTAATAAATTCAACACTGTATTCGCCATTTCACTAAAGGTGTACCATAAAAAAAACACATTTTCTTCTTCAACAAGATTTCATGCTGTTGTCCTGTTCATGAGAATTGAGTCCAGTTTTGCACTAATGCAATGAACCACATTGAATGGAGCGTGACAAATTGGAAAGTCTAGCTTGGACAATTAAAAAAAAAAAAAAAAAAGGAATTCAATAGCTGAGAGTATATGTGACATCATCTTAATCAAGTGCCTACGTCTAGGGCCTGCAGCGTTCAGCAGAGACCCAGGAGTGACGACGTGTGGGACCCGGGACCGGCGGTTCCAACGGCAGTATAGGGGAATGAATTTCCATCGTGAAGTTTCAAATCAGCGGCGTCTGACATAATCTTACTTCTTAACAACGTTAACAACTCAACCTTGAAGTGCATGCAACTTGAGGTATCAAGTTTCAAGTGCCTAAAAAGGTCCAGTACATCCCAGGACGACTGCTGCTTTCAGTAATTGGATCGGCAAAGGTGATTGAGCCACGACTTCGTTCGCCATGCCACAATCTTGGTCATCCTCGTCTCGCAAGACAAACGGCTCGTCGAATCGTGATCACGAGCTGTCCTCTATCCCAGAAACCTGGAGGGACCTGAGCGAAATTGAAGCGCCCGCTCCAGTGCAAAACCCAGATGAGTCTGCAGAAGCTGAGTACAAAAGCCTCGAGGACGAGGTTTCAAGTCAGCGCAGACAATCATGCAGGTCCCAAGGAGAGCAAGATTCCAGTCGAGGCTTTCAAGGTCGACTCTCGGAACACATGGTCGGCAGTGGTCAGAGTTTGAGATGGTCAGATGATGTTGCTGATGCTGAAGAGGGCTACACTGCCCCTCCCGAGGTTGCCAATTTGACAGAAGCGATTCCTGATGCTGTTGTTGATAATCCGCAAGAAGATCACCGTTACTCGCACCACAGCCTTGAGGAGGAGTTGGGTCAAACCCAAGCTGCCGAGACACCAACGAGCCGACGATTTTCACGTGTGGGACGTTCACCATCGCAGGAGCCTCCACCATCACAAAACCGTGAGACTCCGACCCGAAAAGGCCGAGTTGCAACTGGAATATATCTATTCTCACATCTCGTCTTCTTTTCCATACTTGGGACTTTGGCACGCTTGGGTCTCACGGCATTGACCACATACCCGACCGACGTTATCCGTTACGGTAGCATTTGGCCGAATTTCGCTGGAACATTTATCATTGGGTTTCTATCTGAAGGCGCGGAGCTTTGGCACCACCCGGCTGCATCCAGGAGCATAGCTAGGCCCGCCATTCATAACTCGAAAGAGTCATTGTCGCCAGGTCATGATACCGCTCAGTCGGGCGAGTCAGTTGAAGCAGCCATGCCCGCCGTCAACAAGCCCAATGTGCCGATTCCTCTTCACATTGGCCTCGCAACTGGCTTTTGTGGCTCCTTGACCAGCTTCTCTGCCTTTATGCGAGACTGTTTTGACGCCCTCTCTGGAATCTTGGTGAGCTCATCATCCCAGCCCTCGCCTGGTCGGGATTTCATGAGTGTCGCTGCAGTATTCATCACCACCTTGGGCCTATGTGCTGCCGCCCTCAAAGCCGGAGCTCATACTGCCATACTTTTGAAAATGTTGGACAAAAGGTTTCCTAGACGTCTGGTCCACTGGGCTGATCGCATCGTGCTGGTCCTCGGAACGGGTTGCTGGGCTGCGGCGATCATCATGTGCGTCGTGCCGCCGGATCGATTTCGCGCACCAGAGACTTGGCGTGGAGAGGCATTATTCGCTATAGCGTTTGCGCCTGTCGGTTGCCTTTTAAGGTTTATTCTGAGCATCAAGCTCAATGCACGTATCGTCGGGTTCCCACTCGGAACATTCTGCGTCAATATGCTCGGCACGTTGATATTGTCCGTGGTCTGGGATCTACAGCGTATTCCAAAGGAAAACATGGCCATCGCCATTGGCACAAATCTGCTATCGTGTCAGGTCTTGCAGGGTATCGAAGATGGCTTTTGCGGCTGCCTCACGACTGTTAGTACCTTCATTTTAGAGCTCAACAGTCTTAGAAGAAGACACGCATATTGCTATGGCGTTGCTAGCTTGTTAACGGGACTGGCCGTCGTGGTCACCATCATGGGCTCGCTAAAATGGACGGTCGGATTGAGTCAGCCAGTGTGCACTTCACTATAAGCTCTTGGGAACGGCCACAGACTAGCTTCGAAAAAGATCCAAAGAACAGATAAATAGACATGAACTAGATGGATATGGAGTTGGGGGGGACTTCTCCGACGCCGAGTAGTGTGTTTGTATAGAATAATGATAGATACGTTTGCTTCGGATTGCGCGCTACGAGTCCATCCTAAGCATCCGTGTGACCCTCGAACGGGTTTTGAGGGTCCTCGAGCATGTTCAGAAACTCCAAAGGCCAATTCATTGAGTCGGGAACAACCGTGGACCGCCCATCGTCCACACCTACTCCGAAGTTTGTATCTCCTTCACTATACAGTAGACCAGGATAAACGTTATCTGTAACGATTGCTGACATCTGGCCGGCCAAGTCAACTGAAGCGGTTGTCGGGTCTTGAGTGGGCATGTCCATGCCCACTCGACTTTGGCCTGGTAGTCGAACCTCTTCGTGAGCTTCCACAGCCCTACGATCGAGCTTGTCAGATATCCGAGCACCCTTTTCTCGGAGGCCCTTCAGCATTTTCAGCGCAAGCCTTGCACCAGTGGACCCATTACTCAATGCTGTGAGAACCTCCATGCACGTTTCGGAGTCCTCGTGCAAAGCGGTAAGTCTGGCATCCGTACTGGATTCTTTCTTGTCGCAGCACTCGGTCAGAATCATTACTGAAGCTGCACAAACGAGACAAGAAATCATCTGCCACCATGGATAATTCATGACAATGTCCATTGTGTCGCTCACGTTGTGCATCAAATGCGCAATCGCTTGGGCTTCAAGCGTGCAAGTCTTTCCATATTGCTGAACTTCTGCGTGTTGATCAGGCTGAAGAGGTTCCGGATCTTGACCTCTTAGCCATGGGAAACACAAGTATGGCCGGTGTATCAGAGTCCGAAGATGGTGGAATTTGATCGCAAGCATGTTTCTCTTTGGCACTTATTAGTGGTGTATAGTTTTGTGTTGGAGTCCATCATACCTGTCGTCTCAGGACCAAAGATTGGTCAAAGACGTGTCCCATATCGAATCTCAGGAACCGCGGCAATTTAGACCTCCACTGAATAAGGAGTTGATCGCAATGCTTAGTGCTTTGCAGCATTGAGGCCATGTCTTTTCGTGGATGGTAAGTCTCACGCAGTACCCTGCCGATAATAGAAGAGAACTCTACCATGCGGGCGAAGTATTCACTAGCATGACGTTGCTCGTTTTGGCCCTGTACGATGGGCCTATTGTTGCAGTCTACTTCCACATCTTTCATTCGTCCTGGAAGCGGAGTATGGCAATCTTGATCTGAAATAGCCGGCGGCCGACCTAATTGTAAGGCCATCAACCTGTCTAGGACATAGAGGCAATACCATATTCTGTTTTCGACTTCATCATGTTCTGCATGTCCTCTTGGGTCGGAGTTGTGTGGCTTCGTAGCATCCGTCTTGGCGTGTAATCCAATACTCTGGCTCAATCGAATTGCGATACCAAGAGAAGCCCAGCATCTTGATCTTGCTTAGCAATATATTCTTGGCTCGTGAGTAGTGCATGCACTGAGGTAAATAAAATACGAACCTGTCGATTTGAGATGTTGCCAACATGTAGAAGCATTGTGCAAGAAGAGCCGAAACCTGAACAGTGGATCTTTCCAAAGCATCATAACTTGACAAAACAAAGGAACGCTCAAAGAGCCGGCGGTGAGCAGGATTGGAAATGCTATCATCTTGACAAAAGGAGTTGTAGAAAGAGCCGATGGCAAGTAAGGCGTCTACACGTATCAGTCAAATGTACAGAGCATATGGAATTGTCGCGACTGACATAGCAGGGAAAACCAAGAGGGAGTCAAGCCCCTGAATGAAGCGTCTTTTTGGATACTCTCCACCTTTCTCATGAAGACGAATTTTTGCACAAAAGGGTAGGCAATGTGGATAGTCGAGAAGTACGTGTTGAGATTCCCGGCAACTTCATGCGGTGGTGGCATGCCGGTCATGGGATCACGCAGACGATAAGATGTAGCCACCTCTTCTGGATCATACGTATCCACATATTCTTGAGACTCATTCCTTTGGCTATCGGGCAGTGCCAATTGTGTCATTAGTAGATTCAAGAAATGGATATCGCTGATTTCGCCCACAAATTTGCGACTGTCCAAGCGCGGGATCGTGAGAAGAGCTTCATGCGAAGTAGTTGTACACGTATTGCATGGCGGAGACCCACACCGCACGGCATTTTCAACAGAGGCGAGACTCTTCTTTACCTCTTCTTGGGTTTCTTGGGAAAGCTTTGAGCAGAGTCCGAGCATGAGCTGCCGGTGCTTTACAAATGTCTCTGATGGGTGATCTTGGGTAATGGAAGACGGTATTAACTGTGGTGGTTGAGTGCTTTGGGATGGTGTTTGGTCGCTCCATTGACACTCATAATCATATCCTGCGCAACGCCCGCATATCGGTTTCTGACCATCGCACTATAGGGGAGTTGTTAGGCACACTGGGTACAAAACTCGAGCGCTACACACCTCATTGGTCACTGAAGGTTAGAATGCGAAACAAGACACACCTTGGCTTTCTTGGCCCGGCAGCTATTACACGCAACGGAAATACGTTTACGTTTGAGCCTCGGTTCTCCCGATTCATCCGACATGGTTGTGGATTACACTGAAAGATTTAGCAGCGGTAGTAGGGGCAAGTTTTAGGTGAAAGAAATGATGCGGAGATACCGGGTCCATTCCCTACTGCTGCTGGTGCTTTTAGGCCATTCTGCTCCGTTCTAACCGCCTGTTCCGGTCAAGTGTCAAAACTCTTGTATAGTGGGCAACCTTCGTCATTGCTTCTGACTAGTACCAGCAGCCAGGTAGCAATCATTTACTGACCTCGGGACTGGGTTTTGCCAGGGCATCGCTGCCCCACGACACCCGTAATAACGGTAACGAAGATACATGTATGTAGGATACCTACTCCCTAGGTCGGTATTTACGAGCCAAGTGCCGGGAGATGATGTCACAGGTAGTCGACACTAGATAAGGGGAGGAGGCATTGACGCCTAATTCCCTTCACCACCAGCCTGTATTTTTAGGGCAAGCGGGCAGAATGCACAACCCCCTAGGCCAACCACATTATCTCTGGAGAGCCATTGCTTACCATTCAAGTAGGGAAGCATTCATCGCGGCCTACCCTCGACACTTTCGAGGACATCCAATGTGTTAATACTTTCTAGAATTGCGCAGGCATTGAGTTCGCCCCTCTCTTTTTCTCTATCACAGGTCTTGATAACTGCCAACAATTGCGATGACTTGCTATGGGAAAAGTGCATCGGTCATATCCACTGCTATAGGCATTGCATTCAAGCCTCGGAGATAAGATGACATTCCGAGATACGACCCCCATCTGTCAACCCCAGATTGTGCTTGTAGATCTCCCCGCATCTCTTAGCTCAGCGTGGCTAGACAGCGACCAGTAGGTCGGAAAATCCGCACATAGTGCCTGTCCAAGGGCCACGAGTGTGGTGAGTCGGGGGGATACATGACCAACCAGCTGTCATCAATGCAGGGCTTGGTTTCTTGCTCAAAGTAGGCGGGCCCTTGGATGGTACCTCCTTTTCAACCAACAAAGACAAGCCAGCAATCTGAAAACAAATATTGGCCATGGCTGACAAGAAACAAGATGCGATACTGGACGGGGATGCTGAAGCCCAGCAGGTAGAAAACGCTCTGCCAGTAGGGGCGCTTCACCGAGTCAGCTTGACAGAAGAGGATGTTAGTGTGCACAGCATGGTCGGCATCTATCTCGACAACTTACAGTATCTAGGATAAAATCATTCGACGAAAGACTGACAAAGTCATCCTGGCCATCCTTGTCTGGGTATACTTTCTCCAAATACTCGACAAGTCGGTGCTTGGCTATGGAGCGCTCTTTGGTCTCCTGACAGACACTGGCCTGACGGGGACCCAGTACTCCCTCCTTGGATCAATTGCGCCGATAGCCCAACTCGCTTGGCAGCCGTTCTCCGCGTGGCTCATTGTCAAGGTCCCTCATCGTATCCTGATGCCAACTTTGGTTCTAGGTTGGGGCATTGCTCAGGCCTCAATGGCAGCCTGCCACAGCTACAGCGGACTGCTAGCGACTCGGTTCTTCCTCGGTCTCTTTGAAGGTGGCTGCTTGCCATTGTTTTCCGTCATAACGAGCCAGTGGTACCGTCGCGCCGAACAGCCCATTCGTGTAGCTGCTTGGTACAGCACGAACGGGACTGCCACAATCGTTGCCGCCGCCTTGTCCTACGGTCTGGGTCATATCCCATCCGAAACACTTAAATCGTGGCAAATGTAAGGCCTTTTAAGCCTGGATGCTTTTGTTATTGCTGACCGTTCTTAGTATATTCCTTTTTGTCGGTCTAGTCACTATCATCACAGCTCCGTTTGTGTATTGGAGGCTCGACAGCGACATTCAATCAGCCAGGTTTCTGACTGATTTGGAGAAAGAACAAGCCATTGAGCGTTTGCGTAGCAACCAGACCGGCACCGGGTCTAGAGACTTCAAGTGGTCGCATGTTGCAGAGCTGTTTCTGGAGCCCAAAAGCTACCTTTGGGTCGGCATGACTTTGCTCCTCAACGTTGGCGCGGCTGTCCAAAACACCTTTGGGCCCTTGATCTTGTCGGGATTAGGGTATGACAAGTACCTTGCGTCGTTGCTGAACATGCCTTTTGGCGCTCTGCAAATGATTGTTATCCTCGCGGCTTCGTGGGCAGCGCAGAGAGCCAAAGTCAAGTCCGCAGTGTTGGACGCTATACTAATCCCAGTCGTGGTTGGTCTCGCAATGCTATTTGTTCTAAGGCGCGATCAATCGGAACAGGGCCCATTACTTTTGGCGTATTACTTTCTCGCCTTCCTGTTTGGCGCCAATCCTTTGATTGTGTCTTGGATTGTCGGCAATACTGGTGGAACTACCAAGAAGTCGGTCATTATGTCTCTGTATAATGCTGCCTCTTCGGCTGGGAACATCATTGGACCTCTGCTCTTTTCTGCTGACGAGGCGCCTACTTATCACAAGGGACTGCGCAGTGTATTGGCCATTTTTGTCACACTTATTGTGGTGGTCTTGATACAGGCTGCCAATCTGTTTGCCCTCAATAAGTTGAATCGGAAGCGCCGGGTCAGGGCCGGGAAAAAGGCTGACATCCATGATCGATCGATGGATAGAAGATTTGCAAACAATTCTGAACAGGGGGAGAATGAGCAGAGTGCCACAAATGATGATCTCGACCTGACCGACGGTAAGAATGATGAGTTCATATACATTTACTGAGTGGCTGGCGTCTGCCCCTCAGCCAGTCAGATCCTGGATCAAGGTCCCTGGTTATCAGCGCCCAGTCGCCACAGCCGAGCTAGTAATCTACTCCGACTACGTCTTTCATCACTTTCAATAGAGCTGTGATTTTTTCTTCCTCGAGCCGCCGACCAATAAGCGCGAGACCAACGAGAGCGTTCTCATGGTTTTCGGGCTTTTCGTCTAAGTAAAGGGTTAACCTATGCTGCCTTCATCCACATCAATGAGAATACTTACATAGGTCCATCACCTCCTTATCTTTTTCTGATATTGGTTGCCAATCTGCTGGGACACGGTCTTTCTCCAAGTCAACTTTGGTGACGGGAAAGACGCCAGTAGTTAAATCAAGCAGTGGCGACAGGACGCCATAGTTCCATTTGTACTGTGTTTCATGGCGGATGGCTGGAAATGGTACACTCGGAGTGATCAGGGCATCTATTGGCCGCCCTGTCCCAGTCTGTACAGCTGTCTTCTGCCACCTCTCCAGGAAGCGCTGAGCCAGGAGCGACTTGGCATGCTGGTTTTGCCATGTCTCTAAAACAGTCATGGGCTTCAGAGATGGGTTTCCCGAACCCAGGAGCCGATCTACATTGGTCGGCAACGGCTCACCGGTGGCGCCGGCATCGCGCCGGATCTCCTCACCACCATCGGCCGTCCACATCTTGATGATAATATCTGTTGCCTCCTTCGTCTCGTATGGGATAAAATCAATAACCTGGTGCCCAGCACCGATGAGCTTGGCTTTTGTGATATCCATGGCTCTTCGCAACGGTGGCCTGTAGCAAGTGAGTAATTGTAGCCAAACGCAAAGTTCCTAGTTCATCTTACGAAGGTGTCACAAATCCATCGCCCATTCCGAAACCAAAGCATAGTCTCTCAGGCAATATCTCCTCGTCGGTTCTCCACGGGAGGGGAACGATTTGCGGGTCGTACAGCCAAGGCTTCCGGGCTACTAGAGCAGACATGAAGAGCCTAATGTCTTCGGGCGATCGCGCCATGGGGCCAGCACAAGAACGTACTGCCTCTTGGCCTAGAAAAGTATTTGTAACCTGCTGGTAGGATACCCTTCCGTGTGCCGGTCTTAGAGCGTAAAGCCCCGTGTAAGAAGCTGGATGTCGAATGCTGCCACCAATGTCGGTTCCAACACCAATGAAACTGCCCCGGAAGGTCACTAGGGCAGACTCGCCGCCCGATGAGCCGCCGGTTGTTAGGTTCCGGTTACGAGGGTTCAAGGTCCGCCCGAAGAGATTGTTTACGGACTCGCCCATCATGAGCGTTGTCGGAACATTTGTCTTTACGTAGAAGACGGCTCCGGCATCCCGAAGAAGCTTGACCAGAGTCGATTCCTCTGCAATTGGCTTTCCAGCCCATGAAGCGTAGCCAATCGTCGAGTCGACGCCGTCGAGATTGAACTGATCTTTCAAACTAAGAAGGAAGCCTCTCAGTACCAGACGCATCCATATGTGCGTGTTATTATGACAACCTACCTTATCGGCAAGCCATGGAGCGGGCCAACAGTCCTTCCTTCTCTGCGGAAGAAGTTATCGAGCTCAGCGGCTCTGGTGTAGGCCTGATCAAAGTAAATTTCGGTCACGCAGTTGATGAGCTGCTGTGCAATCGAGGTCCGCTTGCATACGGCCTTGGTGACCTCGAGGGCAGTCCATTCGCCAGCTGCAATCTTGGCCACCACCTCCGACGCCGTCGACTCGGTAATGGTTAGCTCTCTGTCTGTGAATAACCCAGACTTTGTGGGAAAGTCTTGCACGAATTCATCGTCTTGCGCAGGGAGGAGCGAGTTGGGGATGATCCATTCCGCTGGAATTTTGGATGCGCGCTCGGCTTGCTTGCGAACGGCAATATCCTGCCATGAGTCTTGCACCACTTCACCCATTGTCGAACAAGCTTTCAAGTGAATACTTAAACTGGACAACTGTTTGTGTGCCAGTTTCTCGGCTGTTGAAATACGAACCCGTAATCTAGGCTTATAGAAAAAGGATAGGTCTTCTCGTCAAGCGCTGGCGACCCAATTCAGTCGTGGTCGCGGCGGCAGGCACCCACTTCAGCTCCGTCGGATGGGTCAAATCCAAATATCTTTCTTATCTTCGGTAAAATTGACGGGTAGCATCCGAAAGGGATGCCGTGCTTGGCGCGGGGACGCACCCCAGCACATTTGGAGTGGTAATCTTCCGTTTTGTACAACACGATTGGACGCTTGAGAAGAAACCGGACCAAAGCAGGAAAGGTCCAATAGTGGTTGGAGATAAGACATATCGAGAGTACTATGTGATGGTTGACGAAGAGGGTTGTTGAGTCTCGGAAAGCTCTGTCGAATCCGATGCACTGCGATATGCTTGTGATATCTGGTGTTTAGATTTAAATCATGCGCGCGCACAGATCGATTCCCATGTTCTCGATAGCTCATTGGATATATGTATATTACCGAGTTGGACCAAAATTTGAACGTATGAGAAGCTCCTGATTAATCAAGTGTCGCCCCATCTTGATGCGCATGCAATGTTCAATTGTTAATATTTCTATCATATACCTGCCGACACCAAGCTAGCAAAAAAAAACCAAAAGAGTCGCATTAATTGCATCGAGTCCTGAATTGTATTTGAACGGTCAAATACGCGATGGCCGATTCGGGGACGCCACCGCTCCCTCAGGGCGTAGCCTACGGCTTGGTCTGTGGTAAGTGGTTTACTGCTGCGGGCTTGCACTATGTGGCTAATGTTTTTGATGACAGGGTTCGGCATTGTGTTTGCCTTGACAGTGAGTATCATGTTTTGAAACGCAGCGATGAAGTCATGGCCAGACATTGACTAGTAACTGTGCTCAGATGAACCTAATCACCTGGGTTTCGCGCAAGTATCTACATGAGTCCACTGTTAGTCGAGAATAAGCTCCATATATCGATATAGTGGCTAATGATGATTGACAGGATACGAATATGCTCATGACCGCCAAGAAAAGCGTCAAGAGCGGTCTTGTCGCAGCTGCTGTCGTCAGCTCGTGGTGCTACGCTGCGACTCTTCTGTACGTCCGTGCTGGATTTCGAGTCATTCTGCATGCTAACACTTGGTCAAGCAATTCTGTTCGGTTGACATATCTCTTTGGTTTTGCAGGTTTATGGTGGTTTGTTGCCGGAGCGACGGTGCAGATTCTCCTCTACGCAATTATGGCCATTGAGCTCAAGCGACGTGCGCCAAGAGCCAATACTATCCTCGAAGCTTTGCGTATTCGATTCGGCACCAGGACACATATAGTCTTCTTCTGCTATGGCGTGTCTGTCCAAGTTCTCATCACTGCCGCGCTACTTCTTGGTGGATCTGCGGCATTCTCTGTCACAACGGGTGCCAATATTGTACGTGAACAAGCCCGATTTTGTGACACTTGCTAACATGAATTATGGATTGCAATGAACTACCTCATACCATTCGGTGTGGTAGTATACACATATCTTGGTGGCCTGAAATCCACTATTCTGTCCGACTATCTGCAGTGGGTGATCTAAAGGGCTGCTCAAGGATGATATCACTGCTAATCATATACAGTACAATCATCATTTATGTTATTCTCCTGGTATTCATGTTCAAAGCAATGGCGGTGCAGTCACTGCCTGTTCTTGGTTCGCCAGGGGCACTCTGGGATCTTCTCCAAAGTCCCGACGTTATGATTACCGGCGGAGCTACTGGAGCCAAAAATGGCTCTTATCTGACAATGCAGTCTGGCCAGGCTCTGCTTCTTGCCGGTGTTATTCTTGTCTCTGGATTTGGATCTGTATTTGTTGACCCGTCTGTCAGTCGAGAGTCTGAAAAACTACACTCTTTGTCGTCATATACTAACTTTAATCTCAGTACGGGCAAAAGGCAATTGCTGGGGAACCGGGCGCTGTGGTCATGGGTTACTTTTACGGAGCCTTTGCGTGGTTCAGCATTCCACTCGGCCTCTGTGCTACAATGAGCTACGTGGCAATTGCGCTCGCCAATACCGAGTACTGGCCACTCGAGGGCGGTGTCACTGCCTACCAGATCAACAATGCAATGATCCTTCCACTGGCTGCTGAAGCTGTCATGGGTAAGGGAGGCGCCGTGGCTGTTGTTCTAATGGTTTTCATGGCTGTGACATCGAGTTTCAGTGCCGAAATCATAGCACATGCCTCCATCGTGACTTTTGACGTATACCATCCCTGTAAGCAAATACCAACGATCGTGCAAGTGACAGTACTAATTCTACATAGACATTAACCCGAATGCCAGCGATAAACGACTCAAACTAGTCTCACATATCTCTTTGACTGCATTTGCCCTATTCTCCAGCACATTCGCAACTGGGCTCAACTATTCTGGCGTCTCAATGGGCTGGATACTCGAGTTCCTGGGTGTTATTTTGGGTTCTGCCGTGGTACCCATAATTCTCGCCGTCAACTCGGCACATGTGGGTTCTGCTTTCATGACATTCGCAGCACCGATCGGATCGATATGCGCGCTTGTTTCTTGGATCGGCTCGGCCAAGGGCATGTACGGGCAAGTCACCGTGACAACACTCTATGAGAACTGGCCCATGTTCATCGGATGCACAGTCGGTATGACTCCTACCAAATAGACTTGTAGCTATGGTGCTACTTTCAGAACTGCGCTGACTTGTATAGGTCTATTCGTCCCACTCTTGATCTATTTTACCATGTGGCCGCTGCACCGTACGCCGTACGATTGGGATCGCCTCTTTCTCATGCAGCCACTAGAGCCGCGGCCGGGCGATAAGGTGTACTCACACGAAGATACCACCGACATTGGCAATGACTGGGATCCCTCTGGGTTGGCGCGCGCATCCAGAAACGCAAAGATAGTCTCTGCCATTATGGTGATCATCTTTCTGGTCATTATTCCATTTTCACTCTACGGGTCTGGCTATATCTTTAGCCGCAATTTCTTCACCGGCTGGACAATTGTGGTGTTCATCTGGTCGTTTGTCGCAGCAGGAATTATTTGGTTCTTGCCATTGTGGCAAGCAAGGGAGACATGGATTGGTGTGATCCGTGGTATTTTAGGAAAGAGCAGCGGGAATTCGAAGGTACAAGAGAATGACGATATCGCCGGGATCCCACGAGAAGACATTGACGTGGCTGACAAAGGTCTAAACACTTCCGACGTGGAAAAAGTAGTCGAATCGCACTGATTGTATCATGATATACATGGAATATTAATATTATGTCAATAATAAAATAGATGATACATGGACAGATGCTTCAACTTCACACACGAGTTTGTATGGAAAGAGGAGCCATTCAAATCAATCTGCGTAGCTCATCAATGGAGGTTCCACTGTGACCTTTTCGGGATACGCGAGGATCTGGAGGGCAGCAGTAACAATAAGTCCCGCCGTTTCCAGCACATCCACCAGGTCGAGACCGGGGGCAGAGTATGGGGCACATACGTCCGCAATGCTGTCCAGCCTGGAGACATCGCCCGGACCGTCATGAGTGAGGGCGTCGACAATAAGCGCGTACGTGAGGGGACTGTACAGGGCGCCCGCGTGTCCATAGAATGTCCCTCCGAGATGGCCGGCGCAAACGTCTTGGAGGTCATTGTTGGATACCCCAACGTCGCGGTCATCGAGGAGATAGGCCGAAGCACCGGTGCCCTGCTGCGGTTGAACGATCTCGTCGATCAAGGAGGAATAAAAGGTGGTGGTCGGCACATATGCGCTCGCGCCGCCGCTGGCTCGCAGCGTAGATACATAGTCTGAATCATAATCTTGCTGGAGCACGGCCGGAGCACAGGGGTTCAAGCCCGGGGTATCATCTGTATTTAGACAGAGGAGATAGGCATTGATAGTACCTGTGGATTTATTCTTAGCTTGACGGTGATGGCAACGATAAGATTACAATCTCGCTTACCATGGAAATCGGGAGACACTGGAAGGAAGTCAGAGACAACCGATCGAGTGGATGGCCAAAACGTAAATGCCCACTGCGTGTCTAGACCACCTTGTGACCAGCTGATGATACTAACATTGCTGTTCTGACTGATGCCAGAAATGTAATTGATGGCATATGCAATGTACTCGGCATTAGCTTGAGTATCGTTCAACATGGCTCCGGGAATATTGAGCCAGACCGGATCGGCGTAATCGACGCCAGTCAGGAGTTTTCGAAGATTGGGTCCAAATGTGTTCCCGCCGTACGAACCGGTGCCAGGGACGAATATTGTAGGTGGCTTGCTGCCATATGTGAAGTCCTCGGGTATATGAATGACTTGGCGAAGCTGTTCCTCGCTCAAAGAATATGCCGCATCGCTCTTGTCCTTTTGCGGGTATATTGAAGACTCTGGTTCTTTTATGTTGTCATTGACCTCGCTATTCGCCCCAGTGTCCAGGCCCGGCACGGTCTGAATGATGCTGTCGGGCACCAAGCCAGCCTCAATCTGGACGCCAACGTCGACCCAGAAACTTGTCGATGTCGTGCTGTAGATGGCTTGCAGAGTGCTCGACACTTGGACAACATTTGTGGGCGTTCCCTTTGGTTCAATGTTTTCCAAGATATTGAGGATCCCGGTCGCATTTGTGACCCCTTCCAAGAGATCTTCGACATTGCTCACAAAGGCCTCCAAACCTCCGACCAACCCTCCCACGAGACCCCCGACTAGTCCTCTCTCCGTGACGTGGTTCGCAGCATTTCGTGATGCCGGTGTCCCAAAGGCGGTACCAAGCAGGAGGCTGCCGACAGCAGTGCTGAGATGCATAGTGAGCAGCCCTGGCTCAGCCTATTCGTCTCTGTTGCGACTACGAAACGGCTCCAAGACCAGCCTGGAGAGAAAGAAGAGAAAAGAAAACGACAGATAATGATGCGGACAAACACGTCTACTCAATCTAGCGCCTTCCTGTTCGAGCCACGGGAGGTGACATATAAGTCCTCTTTTCATATCAGGCTCCCATGGCCCGAGGTAGCTGTCAGGTCAACAATATGTTAATGAAGGTACGAAGCAAATCTCCGAGCCAAAACACTCGGTGCAGATCGTTGCACGACCAATTGACGGTGGTGCCGGTATAAGAGCCGGGCGGCCACTAAGAACGGGCCGGCGCACACGAAGTGACGATTTGAGTCTAGAAGATTGAGACTACAATGGGGAAAGAGGTCCGAGCCCTGCAATCGCGCGACTTTTCTCCAAAACTCAGATCATTTTCTTATTTATCAGAAATACATTTGCCTTGCCAACATGAAATGTTTCGGCGGTAGCATGCAATTCTTGATTACTACCTGTCGTCACTTTGTGCGCTGCTGAGCCTTTCACGAACCAAAGAGTCTTGAATTCTCCACGATTGCGCGCATTGGTGTTTGTGCATACTCCTCTGCATCCTGGAAATGATTCACCTACACGTAGGTATATAATCAAATCAAGAGATAGCTTCCATGCACTGCCCTTCTTGGCGGAAGTGTACCCTTTGGTTGGTCTAGGCCTACACATATGGATACAATACAAGCCTACCTGAATGGGTATGTTGATCAGCAAGAGGTAGTGTTGTACAGATTCCAGGAAGAGTTGGAGGAAGCCTAAAAGGAAAATAATTACAGGCCGAGATAGACGAAGATGAAACTGTACCTCCAACCAAAAGGACACGAAGAAATGCTCATTGCGTACACCATGTTCGCTCACTCAGTCATGCTGTTCTCCTCTTGCCGAGGGCGCCCATGATTTGTGGGTGTATACGAGGCAATCTTCTTTTCCTATGGTTAGCTGGCTACCCTATATATTAAAGAAATCGCGTTTCTTGTTTGCGCAGTCTTATTGAGCCTAATGATAAGAGATGCTATGAAACACATATCTCTTGATTTCCAGTTGGAAGCAACTTAACTTTCGAATATACCAATTGAGAGGCTTTCATAGATGACTTCGAACTAGAAGCAAGATGGCTGGCCGGGTTCCTGCATAAAGCCTACCCAATTACCTAGTACTTATAATAAATAGAAGGTATTTAATGGCCAAATGGACTGTCGGCACATGATATTTCCGACTGGGAGATAGAAGAACAAAGCACCCATAGTAGATTACGATTACTGTAGCTACCTACCAATACCTGGCCGTGCCAGCCGGTTACACAGAACCCATCACCAAGCTTCAGGTTGGCGTGTTTGTGCCTGACAAGCACGCGCACTTCACGCAACATCAATAATGCGTGCACATGTGATGCCGTTTACAGTGAGAGAACCCCATGAAACCTCTGAGCGCCGCACAAGTTACATTCTAGAACCAGCTGCGGGGCAGTAAACGCAGTACATTGCTCTGTACTGTGAGCTCAGCTTACCTTAGGTACATTAGGTACAGTACGTACGGTACCTGCACCATCTACCACCAGACGTCTATCTAGGTACCGTAGCAGAGGCATCTGATCCGTCTTTTGGGCTGGGCTAGACTTGGCCTCTAGCGCCAGCTCCCAAGCTCCAGGTCCCCTCAAGTCCCCAGTTTCAGTTTCTCAGCTCTCACTTGAGCTGGGGCAAGGTGACGGATTTGCCCCTCCATCATGACATCATCGCCCGCATCTGGCCGACGCAGCTCCCCCAAACGCCATCCGACTACAAATCGCGATTGTCGGTTTCTTGGAAATTTCCATGTAAGACAGTGGACTTGTGTTGGCTAACAAAGGCGGGAGATTGCGTAATAGCACTGCGCTACTGCCTGTTTGACGTTGAGACATGGTCACCAGAAATGATATCATGGACCACTGGGAGCTTGCAAGGTCGTTTGTAAGTGACAAAGGGCAAGAGCTAGCAAAAGTGATCGTGAATAAGAAACTGCCTTTTCTTTGTATATAACTTGCTCTATTCCTTCCAAGTCCAACAGTAATCACTCCTCTCAAACCGCTCAAACAAATCATCCACCACACCACATCTCTCAAATACAATCATCAATCAAAATGTCCTCCAACGACAACACTTCCACCCTCAAGTCCTACGTCGACTCGGCCACTGGCGCTGTCCAGAGCGCCCTTGGTAGCTTGACTGGCAACACCAGCGACCAGACTGCCGGCCAAGCCAAGCAGGACAAAGCCGATGTTGAGCACGATGCCTCTCACGCCACCTTGAAGGGCCCTGGCTTCACTGCCTCTGCCGCAGGCGTGTCCAAGGACGACCCCGACCGAGCTGCCGGTAGCTGGAACCAGACTGTCGGTTCCGCCAAGGAAACCGTGGGAGGACTCATTGGCTCAGAGGTAAGCAGATCCCCAAATGACCACTTGGTCATGAACCCCTCCTGTCACTGGGACTTTTGAATGATTCTAACATGTTGTTTGCAGGGCCTGAAGCAAGCCGGTCGCGAGCAGAACCTCGACGGTCAACAGCAGGAGGCCAAGGGTCAGGTCAGCGACTACACCAAAGGCGCCGGTGACCGTATCACTGGCACCGTCGGCGCCGCCGTTTCCGGTCTGACTGGCAACACGGCTGCTCAGAAGGAATATCAGAACCAGCACGACACCGGCAAGACTAGCCAGCGCGGTGCTGAGCACGACATCCTCAAGCAGGCTGATGCCAAGAACGAGCTCAAGTAAATGTTATCACATGAGCAGCCCGGGATAGTTTTGCGACAAGGAAATGGTTATTTACGATTGGCATGCATGAACACAAACCTATGATACCCAAGAAAGACAGGATCGTGTAGTATAGGCATGGTATAGGCGATCCTGCCAGCTTAAACATAATAAATCATGTTAAATTATATCTCGTCACATGTGTACCCATGTTCTACTGGTTTTTACATTTAAGAATGTGACCCGAGTTGTACATTGACATGGTTGTTTGCATATTGAAAACATTTTCTGATCGTGGGTATGGTCCGAAAGGACGAAACAGAGGTTCGGTGATTGCACTTGGCCGTTGTGCGCCCCCTGTGCTATAGCGGGGATGCATTCCGGGCTCCACTGTGCTGCAACTTCTGCCATGACCAGCTTGCCAGCCACACATGACACTCATCATTGTCCCGGGCTCAAGTCCTCATTGTCGTTCACTTTGTTAATTCAACTATGGATTGTTTCCTCAATTCGAGGTTCTTCACATATAGAGCCATGACGATTGTTTCAACGAACGAGGCAGCTTTGTTTTGAAACGATTTTTACGTCGCTGCCTGAACAATGCCTTCAAGAAAATCAACCAATTTCAGTGAGACACATAAATATCTCCATCTCACAAAGCCTCAAAAATTACACGCTTTGCATACCAAACATTCATGCATATATCGGCCTGTGCATTGACTCTCAGCGGTCGAAACATGCGAAGTTTCCATGGGAGTTTTTTCTTGTAATGGCCATCTTTCAAACTCATTCTCACTGCCCCCGTCAGTATGCCGAAGAAAAGTAATCACGAACCGGTGGTGCGGATGTCCGCGCCGATGCCAGATGGTTACGTCTTCGTATCGAAAGGCAATGTTTACATGACAGCCAATTGCCGGAAACAAACACAGGCCGAAGGACGGATTGTCTACGCCGTGGTGGATAAGAACAAACGCGCCCTGGGCATCCGGGTCCCGAGGCCTGTCCGCGATACCGTATGGGACTCTGAGGCAGCAACCCGAAAGGACCGCGAGGCTGCTGTTCGGAAGCGCGACAAAGCCCTCGAGCTCAAGTTTCGCCAGACAGTTAAGAAGCTGTTCCCGGCGGCGCCCGACGGCGAGATCCCCAGCATCGTGGCCCGGGCCATGCAGAAGGGTAGCGGCCGGGTAGGCAGAACGTCAAAAGTCGACATCGAGAGGAGAGCCACCCTAGCTGTCACGGCGGCCATTCGTCACCGCCACACCGACTACGACAAGAAACTGAAAGACGGCATGAACCGCACGAAGGCTCGCACTGAAACTTTTAAGCAAGTCGGGGAGATTCTGGCGACTTGGCGCGGAAGAGCTTCACCCGCCCAGAAGGCGCAGAAAGCCGAAACAGACAACGCAGATGGGAATCAGACCAAGCCTCAGGCTAAACTGTCGCTTCGCGCGATGAGGCGAATGAGACGAGCGGAAAAGGCAACAAAGCCTACCCTGGATCTTCGGTCGGGCAGTCGCTCCACGAGCACGCAGAGTAACAGCAGAAACCCACCTTCGCCCAAGGAAAGGCGAATGTACAAGTTGAGAACACGCCAGCAAAGAAAGACACCGGCATTACCCGTCGAGTCTCCACCGTCACAAGGCAAAATCGGTCAATCATTGAGGGACGATGGTTCGGAAATCGAAGAGAGCGATGAGTATGTTGGCTCCAGTGAGGACAACTGTATATGGATTAGTAGCGATGAGGATGATTAGGATTCAGGCTGCGTGGAGCACTGTTTGTATGTCTGTGCAAATGAAGGTTGAAGGGAATGATGCTGGCAATCAGCCTGCCGGGACGCAGCCAGACGATGCATCGTGTATATGTACTCGTCATTGGTGTAGTGACATGCTTGCAGGTCGAATTCGTGTTTGAAAAGCTTTGGTCAATAACTATGTAGTACACAGGAGGGTGCTTTAGCATGGAAATGCGATAATGCTCAGTCATTTCATCCTCGAGTAGGAATTGTATAGACGTCGCACACTGGCACAATGTTTGGTATGTGTGTAGTTCACATGCAAGCTGGACTGTATTAGCTATCAATGGACTCAATTGGTTGACGGACGAATATATTACCCGTGTCAATCTTGCCTTCTAGATAACCCAAGAGGTATCTTATTTGTCAGCAAACTACCTTGGAAAACGGCTAGCGTGTAAGAGTATAGGAGATACAAGATTGGTCCTGTCGAATTGAAGAGGGACTTTGCAGACTCTACTTATTACGCGTCTGATACGCGGTTCTCGGGAATTTAGAGCAGTTGTATGCGATCCGGTGGTGTGATCTGACCTAGGTAGGTGGTCATGCACCAATAAAGTCGTGCAAATTGAGAGAAGAGCGCGCCCAAGTTTCAACGCAATTTGATGTGGCACCATAGTCGTCAACTCCCCGCATGTCAAATATCGCTGCCTAGCTCGATACAACGGCTTTTTCAGTACTTTGTTGAATGACCCACGAATGCTTCTTGTGTCTGACAGCAACATATAACATCTGCTTGGTACGAACATGCAATCTGTACGCAGACGACCAAAAATCGATCGGAGTTCAGCGACCCACACGCCCGTTCTGCTTTTGACCCGATTCGGAGTTCGCTTGCAACCGAGGACTTGCAACCCAAATCTGGACTAGGCCACTGAAGACTTTCCAGGCTCGATGCCGTGTTGCGGCACGGTCAAAAGTCCCCTACATGGGAGATGGGGGGCGTCGAACAACTGCCCATTCCTCTCCCTTCGGAGTTCATAAAACCTTCCCAATACTCCCATCATTCATTATTGTCATCTCACGGATCACTCGCTATAGCTGATTCGTAAGTCCCGAGTTTTAAGGATTGCCTCCGGTGCCTACACACCGGAAATGCGCTTCGGCAAGTTGGCGCCTGAGACTATCATCACACACACACTCACTGCCAATTCCGAAGACTTTTCAACGCCGAACCATAGTCTCTAGCCTGGGCACGGCGTGTCTCATATACGGCGCCCTGGCTGTCTGCCAGACATGGCATACCAAAATGTCCAAGACCTTATGGCTGCCCCAGAGCCCACCGCGGTGCCGACTCACCACGTAGGGAAATACCGACGCAATGGAAAATTGCAGTCGTGCGAGCCATGCCGCAAGTCGAAGCTCAGATGCGATCGTACGTCGTGACCCAATTCTTGCTCCGCCTCTCCATACAATCAGAACCCATCCCACGTTTGCTTTTGCTAGAATAGTATAATAGGCGCAATACAACACTACTACTGTAACCCCACAACCTCACTTATATATGGACACTGACTATTCCGTTCCGATATATAGATACTGTACCAACTTGTGGACGTTGCATAAAGAGGCGCTGCGTTGATCAATGCATATATCACCCCAACCCACTAACACAACCGGTTAGTATATACTTTTGTTGTCACTCAGTTACTCATACTCAATTTTTTGCTGTTTCTTCATCATTCACGATGTATCTCTATCTCTTTGTCCGTTTCGAGCTCCTTTATCAATCAATATAATGTGAACGTCCGTCTTTCATAATCTCAAGGTTATGCTGGCCGGAGAACCAAACGGCCCATGATGTCGAATTTGCTCGGCCCGCCCCCAAAGATCATATTCAACGGGGGCGGTCCGAATGAGACGGAGCTAATCAGCCTACGTCCGAGCCAACTCGTCACTGGAACCTGGCTGATTCTCCAGTTTCAGAACCGTGCATCTCGCCAGGCACCGAAGCGGTCGCTCCCAACGCCGTCGAGGTCGGCGGATGATAGTCACCCACAGAGCATCGCCTCGTCCATTGAAGGCCCCCGGCCCAACAGGAACGATGCGTTCGCTCCCAGCGCCAGCGCACATTACCAGACGGACTCTTCTGCTCAAAGTCAACGAGCGGCTTCGGCGCCGCCTTTTCGTCTTGATGCCGAACCATATATCAAGAAGGACACATCATATACGGCAGACAACAGCTTCCGGTCCATATTCAGGGAGAATTTTGATACTTATGGAACCTTTCCTACGGATTCAACATCTACTCAGCAGACAGACTTGCCAATTGCTGCCGAGTCTGTTACTCAAGGTTGCCGCCTCCTGACGTTGCTGAGTAATCGATGGGTCGTGAATGATTTCATCGACAAGTGGTTCGAAGTCTGCGAGGGCGCCGATGACATTTCCATCGTAGGAATTGTCAAGGGCTGGCTAAGGAAACTATGGCTCTGCCATGGCGACGTGCTAGAGTCGCAGGATACCGACAGCATGTATCGACTCTCGGAACTACTGTGGCGCAATACGCAGGCACCACTCGTGTTTAACGGTACGACGACAGCGCCAGAGTGGATAGATCTGTCGACAGGCCCGAATATCCGCTGGGAGGTCATTGGTATTATTGCTGCCATTGTAGGAATTTGTGCAAGGTATTGCGAAGCATCCCATGCTATATTCCAGAAGCACAATGTCGACCGCCTTATACTAGCTAAGCAGGCCACACATGTGTCTAATACCTGCGTGACATTCACTCAGAAATGCGCGGCAGTCAACGACCTGCTGCCATGGCTATTGGTGGAAGATCACATCTGCTCGGCACTAGTCAGGGGCGTCCATACATACGACAGCTACAGACAAACTGGCGAAATCGTCTCAACTGTCGTCTTCTTGAAGTGGCATCAGAAGATCGAGGCCAACGAGAGTGTACCACACTTCCTGGTAGAGATGCGGAAGCGAGCGCGGGCTAGTGCCTACTGCGCCGAGATTGGCAACGCAACATTTCTTGGACGACCTCCTCGTGCCTCGTATCACTACTGGGATTTGGACGCACCGTCCGATCTGACCGACAGCCAGCTCATGCAGAGCAACGAAGAGATCGAATCCCTCCTCGCGCAGATGGACGAGCACGGGTATAACAGAACTGGCCGTCTTCACCGCGGGACGTGGTATCGTGTTTGGCTTGGCTTCGCTCAGAGGAGGGAAGATGTCTTGGACTTGGCACTGCGCAACTATACTAATGACGAGCTTCTTCGGAAAGCCTCTGACATCGAGAGGAAATCGGAAGAACACTGGCAGCGCATTCCAGCCTGGATCCGTGAGGCCCGACATCAAAAGTTCAACCCTACCCAGAACCTCTTGGAGCAATTGTACTTGACGGTCATTCGTCATGGCACACGAGGGAACGAGCTGATGCTGCAGCGTCTGCTGATTAGGAGAAAGGTGGCCACGTCGGAGAAGCTGATCCAGATATCGCAAACAATTTTCAAAGAGGTCCTCGAGGTTGGGCACAGCCCAGACATGGTCTCAAAATTTCAGCTAGACATTACCTCAATACTCGTCGTGCACGGTTTGCGGGCGGCCATCATCATCGCTGCCGAACTATTCAAGCAAGAACAGTTGCCTGTGTATCCCAAAGAGCCTCTGCTGCCGCGGAGCCAGACAATACAGGACCTTTCCGTCTTTGCAGCGAGGCTCGGTGTGGTCGATCCGTCCGATAGCATGTACGACATGAGTCAAGATGGCCGGCGCATGCTCATCTTTGTCCTCGACAAGATCCTAGCACCCAAGCCCGCGGATCAGCCTGTTGTAGTTCCCCAGCCGTGTCAAGGCCCACTCGATCATGACCAGCCGCAAGACCAGCTACAGCAACAGCCGCCGCTGGCGCCACATCTGGGTGATGGGCAGATGGAGGTGGAAACTGCCAGCAATTCCGGCGTGGCTTATATGCCTGGCATGGCCTCGGCAATGCCTAGCGACTTTGGCTTTGGCCCGCCAGACTGGATCATCAATGAAGACGATTCCATGTTCATGCAATGGTTGGACAGCGTAGATTGGGTGCGTCAAGGGCCATATGTTGGATTGTGATGTAAATGTACGGAATGACGATGGCTTTTGAATTGGCATGAGGTCAGAGGTACAAAGCTTAGCATATTCTGCATCAACCAACACCCTACTACACCATTGATTTTCTCTCTTTCTTGGTGTTACGTAGGAAGACATGAAACAACAAGGGTAAGAAAATGATCGTGCCGTCTTGCTATAAAGTAATAAATGATAGGTGCCTAGGTACTCTACGGATAAGACAACATTGAAGGACATTCGAAATTATTGTGTACTAGGTAGAGCATGCCACATAGTACCCAGTGAACATTGAACTCTAACAAGCGCTGTGGACACCTTGCTCGGTGGGGCCATTGCACTAATTTCCACCACATGGCGGCCAAAATTAGAAAGCGATGGAAATCCAGGCGACGGAACCCGGTGATCTACAGTGGGTGCTGACACAACGCAAAGAATCAACCAACAACTGTCTTGCCAATTCATTTTACATACGGATTTTCCTGCTCTGAGCCTTTCTTGCGATTATCTTCAGTTACCAATGGGGCCTCTGGGTGCCCTGATCGACCCATGGAAACTAGCACTACATGAATCTAGTGAAGAGCGTCGCAATGAGCTTCCTGCATACCAGGGCAACAGCGGCGTAGAGTCCTTGATCACCAGTTCCAACCCACAGTCCTTCGAACTCGGGACAGGAGCATCCATCTACACCAACTCGCTTCTACCTGCGATTTTGAAGGCACGGTTTGAAGTCATTCTCGTCACATGTTTCTGGGCATCATCTGCAACGCTCACCGCATTAAAAGAAACACTTGAGCAGCTCGCTGAGCAACGACGTCAACTCGTCCAGGGAGGTGGGCCAGATGCAAGTACTCTGCCTCAGCTGCGTATTCGCATCTGCTTCTCCTCGAGATCTCTCTTCCAGAAGCTCTTCCACACAACCTCCAGAAATGGCTACGTCTATCCGTCGGAGACATGGGAAGGCACCCTTGGGCTTCCAAGCCCCGATCTACTGAAGGCCGGTTGCATCGACCTTCAGGTCAAGAGCTTGTTCTTCCTACCCTTTAGCGTTATGCACCCCAAGTTCCTGGTCGTCGACCGAGAGAGAGCTTGGCTACCGAGTTGCAACATCAGTTGGGAATCTTGGCTTGAGGGATGTGTAGAGTTCACGGGCGATGCAGTGCAGAAACTCATGACATTCTACCGCGATGTCTGGGAGCAGGAACTAGACCTACAGCACTCCAGCTTAAGGGACAATGTCTTTCACAGCATCCTGACCCTTCAGGCCGGAGGTGCAACAACTCTTGGGTTGAGGACCATACAGAGCCCAGCCAGACACTTTGCATCATTCGAAGGCCCTGCTGTTCCAACTGTGCTCTTGCCATCTTCGCATCACCAAAACCCGAGGTTCCGGCCTTTGCCCTGGCTTGACCACCCAGTACCCCCATCCACACCCTTGAACGCGGCTATACTCCGATTGATTGGGATGGCGGAGAGATCTATCTACATGCAAACTCCAAACTTGACGAGCACTGCTGTAATGAACAGTCTTTTGGACGCCCTCGAACGCGGCGTCCAGGTTTCTATTGTTACGAGCAAGGGGATGATGTTGCTAGAGCAGATTGTCACGTCTGGCACCACGACCGCCCTCTGTCTTCGATCTCTCGTTCGCCAATATAACAGACTTTCAGACAGCAGGGCGAAACCTCGATCAATCACGAGTGCTTCGAGCGCCGAGCCCATGATTGATCTCGAAGCTGGACGTCAAAGAATCGGGCCTCTAAAGATTTCCTACTTTCACGCAAACCCGGAGAACGCGCGAACCAAAGCAACCGAGGAGCCAGTGCACTCACATCTGAAATTGACCATCGTTGACAGCCAGTATACAGTTCTAGGTTCAGGCAATATGGATCGAGCAAGTTGGTTCACCAGCCAAGAACTTGGAATGTTGTTTCACTCAGCCGACTTTGCCAAGACTGTGAGCGACACTGTCGTTACTGGCCTAGCTGGTCGGACCAGAACGATATTCGACGCGCGGCCAAACAATGGATAGCCATGGCCGAACTCATTGCCTGGACCCTGTCGCTCGCCGACTGATCGTTATACAGCTCGATTACCATGGAAGTAAGATATTTGTTCAATGACAACTGGCCAACGAGGTTGCCGATCTTCCGAGACCCGACTGAACCGAGTGCATCACACATTTGTGTTATCTGAGTTCCTTATCATGGTGAAGATGTGCATCAGCCTTGAGGTGGCGTCCATGCCGTTCGTTCCACGGTGGCGGTATGCTTAACTGATACTAGGTTTTTTTTTTTNTTTTTTTGGCCATTTGCGAATCGCTTGAGGCAGTGGGTTCTGGGCGCAGCGGTGCTCCCAAGAGCCTGGACTGCTGCCAGCCCAGTGATTGTCGCAAGTCCGCCAAGCGCCCAGCTTCTTGGAAGCGATTGAAGTGGATACCTTTCAAGTTCCTACTGTACGCCTAGGTATTGGGGAGCAGGGTTCGGCTTAGCGAGGCGATGGGAACCTTGTAGTCTGTACAGTATGCCCCTGGCCATTCCCCATCCGACTCGTGGGGTAACGACATATTGACAGGTTCAATCGAATTGCCATGAACGTTGCGTGCGCGTGCCACAAAGCGAGCGATGCAATTTAGATGGATATACTGTGTATGCATCTCAACAACATACCAATAGCAACAACTGCGATGTCAGCGTCTTTTTTCGAAAATCGCCATTGAGAAATAAACATCCGCAGACATTGTGATTTTTGTCTTCCTAAGATTTGGGCGAATATCACTCACCACATGACGCTAACGATAATGCAAAGCCTGTATCCGTAGGTATATTCCGTCTCCCCCACTCACCGATACGGACCCTGGGATGCCTCAACTTGGCAACACATCCTTTGGGGTTGGCACCTGTAATCAGTCTCGGTAACCCGCGAATCTCAGCCTCTTGTCTACCCTGCTGATCTCTCTGGACGGCTTGGTTGCACGACTAGACAAAAGTTCCTTCGTCATTGACCAGACACGCCCATGGAATTCGTTGTCGAGTTCTTTTCCCTTCTGCTCAAGTCCCTCCACTGAACAAATCTTGCCTGTCATCTGTACATGAAGACTGCTGTAGCGCACAGACGCGCGTACGGAGAACAAGTACGCAAAAATGACATCCACGGGTGTCAACTATGCTCAATCGCATGATCATGGTCCGCCAGGAGGCAGAAGTGGCAGTGATCCTGAGAAATTGGTCGTGGACCGTCCGCCAAGCGTCCACGAATCGCTGCGAGCCGGAAAGATTGATCACACGCATCGGAAGCTCAAGTCGCGACATATTCAACTCATTGGAATTGGTGGCACCATTGGAACAGCCCTCTACGTTCAGATTGGCAAAAGTCTGATCGCGGGCGGTCCTGGCAGCCTCTTCCTCGCCTTCGCGATATGGTGCACTGTCATCTTGGCGGTGACGATTAGCACCGCTGAAATGGTGACTTACCTCCCCATTTCCTCGCCCTTTATCCGCTTTGCTGGTCGATGGGTCGATGAAGCAATTGGATTTGCCGCTGGTTGGAACTTTTTCATCTTCGAGGCGGCCTTGGTGCCATTTGAGGTTACCGCGTGCAATCTGATTATTCACTTCTGGAGTGATGCGGTGCCGGTTGGAGGTATCATCGCCATCATCATATTTCTCTACGGGCTCATCAACATCCTGGCTGTCAAATGGTATGGAGAAACTGAGTTCTGGGCGGCTTTGGGCAAAATGCTGCTCATCGTTGGGCTCATTATATTCACTTTTATTGTCATGCTGGGTGGCAATCCTCTCCATGACCGGTTTGGTTTTCGATACTGGTATGAACCAGGCGCATTTGCCGAGTATTACCATACGGGCGATACCGGCCGGTTCATGGGCTTCCTTCAGTGTCTCATTGCTGCCGCGTTCACCATTGCTGGGCCTGACTACGTCTCCATGGCCGCTGGTGAGGCTGAGAACCCACGAAAGGTAATGCCGCGTGCTTTCAACGCAGTCTTTTACCGCTTGACCTCATTTTTCATGCTTGGTGCGCTTTGTGTTGGCATTTTGGTCCCGTACAATGATCAGACTTTGAAGGATGCCTACACAAATGGCGAACCTGGCGCTGCAGCCTCGCCCTACGTTGTTGCCATGAACCGCCTAGGCATACCAGTGCTACCACATATCGTCAACGCGATGGTCTTGACAGCAGCCTTTTCAGCCGGTAACAGCTAGTAAGTTTGGCTTTGTGGTTTAATTTCTTTGGCTGACTTGATCTGCAGTGTTTATTGCGCCTCTCGTTCACTATTCGGGCTAGCTCTTGAGGGCAAAGCACCAAAGTTCCTCACCAAGTGTCTCAAGAACGGTGTTCCCGTTTACAGTGTCATAGTTGTGCTGTTGATCGCATTACTTTCGTTCCTGCAAGTCAGTTCCAACACTGCAACCGTGCTAGGATGGTTCGTCTCCCTCATCACTGCCTCGCAGGTCATCAACTACTGTGTCATGGCAGCGACCTATATCTGTTTCTACAGAGCGCTCAAGGCTCAGGGAATTGACCGAAAGTCCCTGCCGTACCGGGGTATATTTCAGCCTTATGCGGCTTGGTATGCTTGCGGTGCGACGTTTGTCATGGCCTTTTTTGGAGGATACACTGTTTTTCTTCCAGGCAATTGGGACGTCAGCACCTTTCTTTTCAGGTATTTATACATCATTCCATTAACTGAGTTCGAGCAAGGGTACTAATAATGGAAAGTTACATGATGGTGTTTATCTTCCCTGTCCTCTTCATAGGATGGAAGCTCATCCACAAAACCAAGTTCTACTCGCCAGAAGAAGTCGACCTCCAGCAGGATCTCGCCGGGATCGAAGAGTATACAAGGAATTATGTGCCCAGACCTGCCAAGTAAGTCTAATTCGATCATAATGGACACCATGCAGTCACATACTGATTAGCTTCAAGGAACTTCTATGACAGGGGCTTGGACTTTCTGTTTGGCTAGGGGCAAAAGAATCCAGTCATTGTGGCCGGAAACCACGACGATAACAATCTCAACACGACAAATTTTCGACATCACATGTAGTGAGGACAAATGCACATTATTTTAACTTCAATCTCAATACTTGTGTTCAATGAAATGTATCCCAAGTCTTCATCGTGATTTATTTGGACATTTAGGCTGCGGCATTTGGCTGGACTGACTGTGGGTAGTAGAAAAGCTCGTTCGGGTCAACGGCAGCCTTTATCCGTTGCAGCCTTGGCAAGCTCGCTCCATAGTAGACGTTCTGCGCCGTCGTGCGGTTGAGGCTCGAGTCGGCATAGTTGATGTACATACCCCAGTCGGCAGGAGTGAGTGCCGCGGTAACATTGGCGACCCAGCCATCGAGGAACGAGTAACCGTCGGCCGGGTACGCGCCGCTATACTGGCGGTCATAAAACTGGATGAGGAACAGCTTGTCGCGATGAGCATACGACGATGACGCCGTGCGGGTGGCGTTGGCAATGGCTGACGTCTTGCCCCCGTGAAAATCCAGCTGAAAGTACCAAGACCGCGTCGATACTTTCTTGGCCACATCAAACCAATAGTTGACGAAGTTGGTCGCCGCCGTCCCATTGAGTCCCTTGAGCTCCAGACTCTTGGCGTAGATTGTCTCTTGCTATTCACATATTCAAGTGAGCAAATAGACAGTGACCCATTGGGAGTGGGAGAGAAACCTACCAGCGAATACGGATGTGTTACATCGAGTTTTCCATTGGCATAGTGCGACAAGGCATCCAACCAGCCCATACTCTGCGACTGCGATATTGAGCCGCCCGTCTTGTTGAGCAGCGGCGCCAAGGCAGCGGCGAGCCCGGTGGCATCTCCGAAAAACTGCCCTTCGAGGTTGGTGAAGTAAGATGAAGCAAAGACGCGCATGTTGAGCTCAGCCGGCATGGTGTTGCGAGCGTAGTCATCGAGGGCACCGAGCCCGGTGGCTCCATTGGCCTTGGTCAGGGGAAGCGAGGCCGAGAAGACAGTCACGCTCGTTGGAGCGGCAAAGGTATCAAACTCGTACGACGCCGCAATGCCAAAATTGGAGCCGGCTCCGCGCATGGCCCAGAACAGATCCGCATTCTCCGTCGCCGAGCAGTGCGCAACTGTCCCGTTAGCCAGCACCACGGTCATGCCCACAATCCAGTCAAGGGCCAAACCATGCAAATGTGAGCTCATACCAAAGCCCCCATGGAGCGCATGGCCCGAGACTCCAACGCTGGCATCGACGTCAGTTTATGAAATCCACACGACTTTGATTTATTGTCAGACTATTGAGGGGATGGAGAGATGAACAACATACCCAGGACAGGTTCCATGTGCAACAGCTCGCTGCCCCTGATTATAGAGCTCCGTCGCGACATGGCCTAATCTCGCTCCAGCCTGGACCGTTGCAATATTGGTTGTCTTATCCAGTGTCACATTATACATGCGATCTAGCTGCACCATCAAGTGGCCGTCCTCGCCGCCGAACCCAAGCGAGGCGTAGCTGTGACCGCCGGACTTTGCATTGATCTTGACTCCTACTTTGGCAGCGCATGACACGGCAGACTGGATGTGTTCAACCTTGGTCGGTACGGCAATTGCCACGGGCGTATAGGTCAGACGCGGGTTATAAGGTGCGGCGTCGGCTTTCCAATCGGCCGAGCCGGCAGCATCGACGGGCACCAGGGCCGAGCTGAGGCAGTCGTCCAGGGCAGCGCGCTTGTTGATTGCCGTGGCCTGCGTCAGCGCTGCCAACAGGCATACGCAGGCGGTTGCGAGGAAATGCATCTAGGTCTGATTGTTGTCGTCTAGGCCGAACGGCTGTGCAAGCTATCTGCGAAACACAAGAGTATTCCACTGTATCGCGACGTTGTTTCGAATTGACTCAACACTGAACTCGAGGCACTACGACTACGACTCGATCGAGCAGATGGCTCCAGTAATGAGGACCCTTAATAGCATCCATCCAAACCTCGTGATGCAACAAATTCGCCGCCTCTCAGCAGCTGGAATCCCGGATATCATATCCGAATCAATGTTGCTCATCGAATGTCAACATACGAGGAAGCGCCGTACATCCGTTCGTTGGGTTGGGGAAGATAACGCGAGTCACTCGACGTGCCAAATTTTCCCCCGTCTTTCGCTACCCGGGGTCTTGTCAGAATAATTTGGGTATAATATAGCAATTATGCTGATCCTGACGGGTGGATTCCATTGTAATTGGAACGTTGCACAGGGAGAATGGAAGAAACACGCTTGTGAAAATTCCTCTTGCCGGGTTAATCATTCCACTGCCCCGGTGACATCAATATTGGCGACTGTGTGTGGACTTCAACAGGCGCCTGTTTGCTTGGCCGTTTCTCGGATCGCGGGTAAGTTGCCAATTAGCCGCAAGGCTTAGGTATCATCGCTCATGCTTGAGGCGATCCCTCAGGCTGCCGCAACGATGCTCCGAATCTAGCCGTATCCGTGTACGGAGGCTCAATAACATGAATCAATTTGCGACGCGACCCGGCCGAAACGGGTAAAAGCTCTGCATAGCAGGACCTGGAGATACAGACACCAGCTCACGTGTCTTTTTGTTGAGATCTTGATGAAAAGCAGCAATTGCTTCGACCAACAAGTCTCATGTCCTTGTCCCAAGACGCACAAGTGTAGAATTCTATGCTAGTGTCTTGGTGATTTCTCCTTTCTCTTCACTGCATTTACACCTCTGAAATTCACCCAGCCTCGATCATGCCACTTTTCACATCACTGGTACTATCAGCCCTCGGCCTTGTGCCAGGCGCGTTGGCTGAGAAGCTTCTGGCTTCGCACTACACTGGACAGGTCTACTCGCTCGACTTGGCAGTCAATGGCAGTACCGGTACATTGAAATCGACCTCCTCGACAGGCGGATGTGGCAAGATGCCCACTTGGCTCGAGCTCGATTCCGATACTGGCACGCTGTACTGCTTCGACGAATCTGGTGCGGGCCAACAGGGCATCAGCGGCGGAGTTGCAACTACTTATTCTGTCAACACGGACGGCTCCCTCAAGCAGACGGGCCAAGCCAAGACCAAGGGCGGCGAAGTCCATGGATCGTTTTACGGAGGTTCAGATGGACGTGGCTTTGTTGCTACTGTAGAATAGTGAGTCTAGATCTAGATTTTCCTGCATATATCTAATGGCTAACTCGATCTTTCAGTGACGCATCTACGCTTACTACGTTTAAGCTTCCCCTGACTTCAGGTACTCAGGTATTGCAGACGCAAAAGTTCAACATGTCCGCTCCGGGGCCCAACAAGAGTCGGCAGACGGCTCCGCATCCACACTCGGTCATTACTGATCCGACGAGCAAATATCTGATTGCGCCAGATCTCGGTGCCGACCTCGTTCGCATATTCAGCATTGATGCTACTAGTGGACAGCTGGCAGCTTGCACACCCGGCGAGGCAGGCGCCGGCGACGGGCCTCGGCATGGAACCTGGTGGGCTCCCAAGTCCGGATCCACCGACGGGCAAATGCTGTACACGGTGAACGAGCTGGGCAACTCGGTCTCGGCGTGGAAGGCCACGTATCCGAGCTCAGGCTGTCTGACGCTCAGCAAGACGCAGACCCTCTCAACCTACGCCGAGGGCAAGACGGCGCCGACCGGGTCCAAGGCGGCCGAGGTCCACGTGTCGGGCAACTTTCTGTACGCTGTAAACCGCAACGACAAGACATTTGGGGCCAAGGAGGACTCGATTGTGACGTACAGCATCGACGCCGCCAGCGGTGCCATCACGTTTGTCGAGGCCACCAATGCCCACGCCTGGTACCCGCGCACTTTTGCCATTAACAAGGCTGGCACGCTGGTGGCTGTCGGAGGGCAAACGTCGTCGAATGTGGCAATTATTCAGCGCGATGCATCCACTGGTAAACTTGGAGATCTTGTTGCCAACTTGGCCATTGCAACTCCTGGAACAGATGGAGGCGAAGATGGACTCAGCGCAGTGATCTGGGACGAATGAGATACAAGTGATGCAACTTGTAGCTCAACCCGATATTCATGCCGACATAATTTTCACGTGGGGTTTTGCCATGGTCATGATTTACAAGCATGCCTTGCAACAATCTTCTTAACCATGAGATTTTATTTACATCATATAATTGAACTCGACATACGTATAGATGAATTGGCTGCCATGGCAAGAGGTGCCCTGCCGGATTGGTTTCTGCTCACATGCTAGACTTGAACCACAAGAGCAGTTTACATGAAGCAGTACGTCTTCCCAAATTGATCACAGTACAATATAGCTTAGTATACTATACTGAAACCAGGCCATAAGGAGAATGAAACCGGCTGTTCCCCTCGTCATTACTAGAAGCACCGCCTACAGGTAATTTTTGGTGCAACTATGTTGGTTGGAGATGGATCGAGTCATGTATTTGCAAAGCTATCTGTCTAGTGGGGGTTTTCTCAGAGTCCTGGAATAATGTAGTTAGTCTATGACCCTTCTTGCACAACTGGCCAACTATAATCATGGCAGCTGTCTGGGCTATGCGCTTCTGAACCCTGAGCCTGCCTCGGTATCTCTGGCGAACGAGTGCACCATATCTGGTCAGTGATAGATCTTCAGCTGCCCATCTCCAGTCTATTGATGGATAGACTACTACATATCGTGTGGATAATACAGCCGTAAGCCCTGCCGGCTGTCTTCCGCTTGATGCGATACCAGTCTCCCGCACTACCTGGGCACTACCTCTGCGGACCGCGGTCCACATGATAATTCTCCGAACCGTTGAGAATGCGATTATCTCGGCCAGAACGGCAGTCCCACTTGGTATTCCAAGGCATACCAGGAATCATTCTGGACTTGTCTGGAGTCTGGGGACTTTGTCTGTTAGCTCCGCGGCTCTGACATCAAGTTGCAGTAGAGTTTGCGCTGTGCAGTTGTCATGACGAAAGGCTCGCAACTCTATTCGTTCAACTTTCAGACCGCTCTGGCACGTCAACCTAGTTACAGATCTCGAATTGTGATTTGGCTGTCAAAGCAGGTTTAGTTACGACTGATAACATGCGACCGACCGAGTCAAAACAGGATGCCTCTTCGTTTTTTTGCTTGTGACACCAGGACATTCGCAAAGATACGTGCCTCCAGCCGGCGGCCGCAAGGCGGTTGGTTGCAGTCTGACTGCCCTGTGTCTAGTATACGGGTAATTGATGTCACTCCCATGACACAAAGTCATGCTGAGTGATTTCCCACAAGCTAAATTGGTTAGCTGTTATGACGTACCAGGGATTGAAGCTATAACGATGGCCGCAGATATAATACAGGTTGCGTCTGTTCGAATTAAAGCTTAAATCCAGCTCCATTCTTCAGCGACATTTTCAGCTCCAGCAACCATTGACAATATTGCTTTCGCACAATTCACATATTCAACTCAATCTTACACAATGGGTATCGGCAGCAAAATTAAGAAAGTACTCACGGACGAGGAGCCACGCCATCATCATGGCTCGGAGCATCGCAAGGGCCCCGGAGCCTATGCAAACGAAGACGTGCCTCGCAGCTTCAACCGGATCGACAAGTACGGCAACAATATCGTGGATCCCAGAGCCACAGGGGGAACCGAGTCACTTCCCGGGAGAAACTCAGCCGATTACACCTATGGCTCATCCAGCGCAGCCGGAGCCGGTGGTCCTGCAGCGGCTGCGGGCGTCGCGGGCCGTCACAGCCACGAGATTCCGGGTTCTCAACGAGAGCCTGGCTTAACCCGCAAAGGTTTGCCTAGCCAGACTGGAGCTATTAGAAATGGTGGTAATGTTCTTCGCAAAGGACAACAGCAACAACAAGACCCCTACTGGGGAGACGCCGAGCGAGCGGGTGCGGCGGCATCTGGTCCCGGAGCGGGTGTACTGGGTACCTTTGACCGTCCCGGTAATCTTGACCGCCCTGATAACATGCCAGCTAGCGAGATTAACGCAAGATACAACAACATTCCGCCCGGCGATGGCATGGGCTCAGCCGGAGCGCCTGTTATGCTGCAAGGTGGGAGACAAGAAAATCTGGGAGGTGATATGCCCAGTAGCGGCATGACTGGCAATCGGATGGCTGGCAGTGGCATGACCGGTGGTATGGCCGGTGGTATGGCTGGTGGTATGGCCAGTGGTATGACCAGTGGCATGCCAGGCAGCGCGACAGGTGGCCCGTCTGGTCGTGGTGAGTATAGTACTACTCCAATGAACACCTCGATGGCTCCAGGCGGGGCTTCCAACCTGCCTCAACGCCCCATGGAGTCTGGCAACACTTTCCGTGACCAGAAGATGAATAACTACGACACACCAATGGGCGGTTCTGATCGCGGCATGGGCGGAATCGGAGCTGTTGCGGGTACTGGCGCAGCTGCTGGACTTGGTGCTTCTCAAATGGCCAACCGTCAACAAGAGCAAGAACTCGGTGGTGGAAAACCTCGATACGGCAACCCGCAATACGTCAGCAGACTGGATCCAGGAAGCCCCAACAAGATGGATACGGGTGCTAGAACAAGCATGCTGGATCCCTATGGCACCGGGCAGTCAGGAAACGACCAGGGCGCAGGAGTTGGAAACGATATCCCCATTCGCCTTCGCGATGATATTCCATCCGGCCAGAGTCCCGGCCAGGGCATGACGGATTCCTATGCCCAAAGCCGCAATCAAGCATCCCGCAACTCCATGGGCACCGGCAGTCCGGCGCAAGCGTCGGGCGGCATGGGCAACATGCGTTCTTCCGAGACGCCTCTTGGTCAAAAGTCTCAAATGCGTGATTCGGGGCTTGGACAAGGCGACGAGGATCTCAACAACAACAACAACAACAACCGCGGCTCTCAGTACGGCCTGAGACTGAATCCACCCGAGCCCGACTTGGGCAAGGTGATTGGCCCCAGCGGTGAACATTACGGCCCCGGACACCAAGGCGCCAAGGTCTTTCACAAGTGCTACAATTGCGGTGTCGACAACGACATCTCCCGGCATTTCCGCAAGGACGCCGTGTACCGCATGGGATGAGCGGGGGAGAATCGCCAAGGACGCAATGATTTTATGATTAATGATTTCGAAGTAGTATAATCCTTGTACCAATAGCTGTTATTCGCTGCTTTCACAAATCAATTCCATGATTCACAACATGCTCGCCTCGTATCATCCCGTTGAGCACTATCCATGATGTCATATGGCCCTGCCGAGTGTGAAAATGAGTTGTGATGCGGAGTAGTATAGCCGCAAATATTAGCTTGGCAGGCGTCGTCTCCACTACGCCTTTTTCTGCTAATGTAGCACAAATTATCAAAGAGTTTTCACTGCATCCTGAAGTATATGTACGACGACATAATGTTTCGAGGTCGATCAAACGATAATTCAGAACTTTGTGGCCTGCTGGGAATCATCAAATCCACTGGGTACCAGGAATCCGGTACCAACCATACTTTCAAGTCGTAATAAGATACTGCCCCCCTTGCTAAGCGAGGTCAAATTTGAGATCCCCCCAGGTTTTCCGACCCCCACACAACAGATCCCCGGAATTCCCGCCCCAGCTTTTGCCTGCACGACAACGCGGGGTAATAGGTATGGATTGGTAATGGGTGGATGCCATCACTCTGGGACGAAATGGCACGGTAAATTGCGATACTTGACCGCACATGATGGCGAGGAGGGTGGTGCGTGCCAGGGGCTGGCTTCCGGCAAGAAAAGTCGGGTATTCCGCGGCCAAATCCCGCGGTCAGCGGTGAAAGCTGCTGGCGGCAAACTGTCTTTCAAGTTTGCGAACCTCGGCGCGTTGGATGATCGTCTTGGCATGCGGGAGATTAGGTAGCCACGTTGGGAAGAGGCTCTGCTCTGGGTAGAGAACAAGCCTGCGTGATTTCACAATATACAATACTGCTGTTGTCTCTGCAAAAATCAGACGACGAGTTTGCTTTTTAGACGTGCAGACGAAAAGCTGGGTTCTTCTTTTGGAAAAGGGAGGGGATTGACTGCCTACCCCAGGGTTATCCCTCATGCTCATGGCGGTGCTTAGCATCTCCAGATCGAGGAACAAGGTTAAGTCGTATTACTGCAGCTGGGGTCGGACAGTTCTCCGCCTCAATAGCTCGTGAGAGCCCCGTTCGGTCGAATTCAAACCGAAATAACGAGCGACTATACTGCGAGGCCATCCTAGTGGCGTATCCATAGCCCATATATAATGTCATGAGATATTGTCTCATCAAATGTGTCCCGGTTCCATCACTTGGGTAGTGCAGATATCGCCGTTTGATCTATCATTGACGCCTAATATGAGACTGGGCACATCCACATACTTGCAGGTGGCCCTGCTCACCTCGGCCGCCGCGGAAGTGCAATTCGGCGAGTACATCCTGGCACCGTCTACCAGGACGCTGAGCCCCGTGTCTGTACGCCAGACCGGAGGCGATGTGCAAGCAGCTGAAGCCCTGGTCGACCCGTCAAGCCAGTCTTCGACCACGCTCAATGGACCAGACTCATATGTGACGCTGGACTTTGGCAAGAACATTGCCGGCTCGGTCGCCTTTAGTATCGACTCACTTGAAGGTGATGATGAGTACATTGGTATCACCTTTACGGAGAGCTCGGAATGGATCAGCGCAGAGACCTGCGATGCCACGCAGGATGAGGGTGTTGATCTGCCACTCTGGTTCAACCTCACTGGGACAGGTCTCTATGAGGCGGACAAGGCCCACCAACGTGGCGGTTTCCGTTACCTCACAGTCGTCCACAATGCTACCGGCACAATCAGCATTTCCAATCTCACCGTATACTGGACAGCGTCTCCTGAAATGTCGGATCCGGCAGCATATACTGGCTACTTCCACAGCAGTGATGAGAAACTGAACCGTGTGTGGTATGCTGGCGCTTACACAAACCAGCTGTGCTCGATTGACCCGAGCACGGGTAACTCGCTCGGCCTGCCTCTTGAAGGATGGGAGTACAATTACACCATTGCTAGTAAGATCCCATGATTCGAGTCAAAAGTGACGGCGAAAAAGTACACCTGCTGACTGTAATTTCAAGACGGCACATCGGTACTTGTCGATGGCGCCAAGAGAGACAGGCTTGTCTGGCCTGGCGATATCGCCATCTCTGGTCCATCAATTTTTGTTTCGACAAACAGCCTGGATACCATCCGCAACGGCATTGACTCGCTCATGGTGATGCAACAAGCTGACGGCCGCCTTCCATATGCGGGCAAGCCGTTCAGCGAGTTTGTTGGCAACAAGACAGGAAGCCCTGATCTGTTCTTGTGGAGTTTCACCTATCACTGCCATACGCTGAATGACTTGTACGATTATTATCTGTTCACCAGCGATCTCGATTACCTAGTTTCATATTGGGATCAGTACAAACTAGGTGTCAATTACTTGCTCCAGTTCATCGACTCTACAGGACTGGCCAACGTGACTTCTTCTGCCGATTGGTTACGAAAAGGCATGGGTGGCCACAACATCGAGGTATGTCAGAGACAATACCCCGTGTTGAGCGAGCTGTACTGACTGTCCATATTAGGCCAACTCAATCCTATACTTTACGCTCGAGAAGGCTGTGGCGTTGGCGGGTGTTGTAAATGACACAAGCGACGTGGCCAACTGGACAACATCAGCAGCCGGCATCCCGAGCGCCGCAAACGCTCTCCTATGGGATGACGAGACATCACTGTATTGGGATAATGATACGCAAAAGGTGCTACACCCGCAAGACGGCAACGCCTGGGCGGTGCTCTCGGGGGTGGCAAACGGCACGCGCGCATCAGCCATTAGCGACGCGCTGGCCGGGCGGTGGATCCGGCCGTACGGAGCTCCGGCGCCCGAGGGCGGCATCACCATCTCGCCGTTCGTGACGGGCTTTGAGGTGCAGGCGCACTACAAGGTCGGGCGGGCCGACCGGGCGGTCGACCTGGTGGGCTTCATGTGGGCCGACTACATGCTTGACGACCCGCGCACCACCAACTCGACTTTCATCGAGGGCTACTCGTCTGACGGCAGCCTGGCGTACCCGGCCTATCCAGACGGCGATGCTCGCGTCAGCCATGCCCACGGCTGGTCCACGAGTCCAACCTCGAGTCTCTCCTTCCTTGGCGCCGGTATCCAGCTCGCCACTGCAGCAGGTCAGACGTGGAAGATTGCGCCGGCGCTAGGTGGAGTAGAAAGTATCCAGGCCGGCTACGAGACGCCGCTGGGCGCATTTGCCGTCGACTGGCGCAACGGCACCTGCGGGTTTGCCGGATCCTTTGAGACCCCGGAAGGGACCGTGGGAAGCTTTGAGGTGGCCGTCACTCCCGGCTGGACGAAGCTGTTGCTTCAGGGGACCGGCGGCACGACCGAGGTGGACATTACTGGAGAATCAGTGGCGGTCCTTAGTGATATCGCTGGCGGCAAATACAGTCTCAGCATTTCATAAAACGGCTACCTTACTAGTCGTAAAGCTTGATACAACTTGGACTTAATCGTTAATCAAAATTGATATGATCACGAAAAATCATGAGCGAAGACGAGTCATCTTCTACACTTGCAACAATTGAACTAGAAAGAAAAACCTTGCTTTCGATATAGGGACTTTAGTGGGGTTGGTCTAGGTGGGCAGTCCCCCGGGTTAACGTCGGGGATGTGTCTATTGTAGTCGGCTCAGTGCTAACGAGGGCCCTGTACCATTATCCCAGCAGCCTGTGCGGGCAGTCCCAACGTAGGTACCTACCTAACCTGGTAGTTTGTATCTATCTACCTGTAGGCTGTAATCTTTTTCAAATCTTCGCTTCAACATTCAAGCTACCATGATGTCAAACCGACCTGTTTCTTGAACGACTCCGACAATTAACAATGCATCTATTCTTCTAGCATGAGCCTGCCTCCATGTCATCGCAAAGTATTCTGGTGAAGTAGCAATCCCGAATGGCTTTCCACGCGTCACTGTCTACTATCGCCTAGGATTCTACATATCACCCCCCCAAAGCATCACATCATGACATCTCCGCCTGCAAGTCCCAAAGCATGTCACAATTGTCGTCGTCAGCGCTTGAAATGTGACAGGACCCTCCCAAAATGTCACAAATGTATCAAGCAAGGACAGGAATGTCAGGGGTACCAGCGCCTATTCCGCTGGGAGCGCGGCATCGCAAGTCGTGGAAAGATGGTTGGAATGACATTCGGGGACTTGATCCAAAATCAATCAAGGCAGACAAAGTCATGCTCGCAGCTTGTCACGCCTCTCAGAGTGCATAGTCGAGACTACCGCTGCAGCAGATATGGATCTGAAGCTATAGGGTCTCTGACGAATCCCTTGATACAGGACATGAACGAGGCTTCTAGAAAGTATTTGTTTTACTGTGCGTTATAACCCACCCTTGTTATCTCATCCATGGTACTGATAGGCATCTCGATCGCAGTTGCTACTAATGTTTGCAAAGACCTCGTCCTATATGACATCCCAAATCAAAATCCTTTCCGCGAGCTTATTCCCATGATACACCAGCATCCAGTCCTGCTTCATATCATTGTTGCCAACTCGGCTCTTCACATGTCGAATTCATCCCAAGGATTATTATCGGCGAATCAGAACCCCTTATCGGCATCACATACAGAAGTGATGGACTCAGCATGCTGGCAGTCATCCCAATCAGATCAGGCAGGATCTTATTATTATGCTCTGGCAGCCAAGCAGAGAGCACTCTGCCTCTTGAGACCCGCTCTCGACAATCCGTTGTCCATGAATAACGATGTCATCCTGGCGGTAGTGCTCCTGTTCATTGAGTTCGAGCTTCTTGATTCTGGGCGAGACGACTGGAAACACCACATCAGTGGCGCAAAAGCAATCATCGAGAAACTCTGTCTCCCAAGCACGTTTACTCCAACCGTCATGACCCCGCTGCGGCGGTCACTTGTATCAAATTTTGTCGTGTATGTCAACAGTCTTCTTTCGCGAAATTTATTCTTGACCTACAATATGCTTACTAAAAATCAGGTTTGATATCCTCGGCTCGACATTCACGTGCCCGGCCACTCATCTTCCCAGTAGTACTTCCTCAAGGGCACTGTCGTTATTGCAGGATGCTCAAGGCAACCACTGCTCTTCATTCCCCACAGAACTCCTTGAGCTTCTCCAGTCGGCCGGTCAAATAGCCCAAGCCAGCAACGTATCCTCGCGCCACTGTTCCCTCTCTGGTTCCTTACAGCAGCTTCTCCTCCTTATCAGCGTAGCACAGTCCTTTGATCCACTTGCTTGGGCGTCCAGACTTGAACCCATTTCCCCCGCGCCAGACCTCGAGCACCGCACACGTGTCGCCTTTGCGCATCGTGGAGCCGTGCTGATATACCTTACTCGTGTTATTTACTCTCTAGATCCCGCCGCCGACCTGCCCCTCAACCTCGACTGCTTGGTTGAAGAAATCATAGGGCATATTTCATTCATCAGCACGAGTAATGTGTTATTTACAGCGACCACTTGGCCTGCTTTTATTGCAGGAGCAGAGAGCAGTGACTGCACCAGTCAGCAATGGGTAACGCAACATTTCCACGAGCTGTGGAAAGTTGAGCCTTGGGGCCAGATCAGAGGTGCATTGGGGGTATTGGAGAGGATCTGGGAGAAGAGGAGAATGCAAAGAAAGATGCCAATGAACATGGATCAAAATATACATGGTGGTACTGGGAAAGAAGACAATTGGGTTGCGGACTTGCAAGCGGGCGGTGTTGATTGGTTGATTGTATGATTTGTGTCAATTCTCAGTATCGGCACATTCTATCATTGGCTCTATTCCGCTCTCTTGAATTTCAATACGTTGCTCTAGTCTAGCTAATCGACCTTCTGGTCTCTCTCAATTGAAGGAAACATCGCTCATGCCCGCGTAACAACCCCACCTCCATCCAACTCCCTCCCATGAGCCTCGCCCATGGCTTCATCCATGAATTCCCTCTTCTCTTCCTCTGTTAATTCGCTCTCCGCCTTTGGGACTCTTCCCCAAAGAGCCAAGATAACCAAGCCCACCGCTCCGGCTGCAACACCAAACCAAAACGTGTTCTTGTAACTTCTTCCCAGGCCCACCTTGTCCACCGTGGCCGTCTGGACGATATCGGTGAGCCCGAGCGTCAGCGCAACGCCCAGCTGCAGCACCGAGTTGATGACGCCGCCAGCCAAGCCCTGCTGGGCCACGGGAAAGGTGGTGGTGATGAAAACCGTGGCCAGTATGGTCGAGATGTCAATGCCAATGGTGCTGAGAATCGTGGCCGGGAAGATGTAGGCCCAGTAGCCCCGCTCCTGCAGAGGAATCAGGGCGAGCAAGAGCTGAGAGCCCACCGCGCCCAGGCCTGAGATGACCAGGAGCACGCGCCCCGGTACCAGGTGCAGAATGTAGCCTTCTAGTATACTAAAGAGGAGCCCGGCCACGCCCAAGGGGACATACCACGTCACCACTTGGAGCGGGCTGGCCAGCATAATGTTTTGAAAGTAGAGGGTTCCATATACGGAGAAGATGCCCCAGGTGCCGTATAGGAGGAGAAGTGCCAAAAGGAGCGGTGTCATTGCGGGTGTTGTGAATATCGAGGCGGGAAGGAGGGGGTCGGCAACAGACGTTTCTAAGTAACCGGCGGCGAGGAGGGAGAGGACACCCACGACGAAACAAACGGGGATGTAGGGGGTTCTCCAGCCCGCTGGAGCATGCGCGGATTGAGTAATGGCAAAGACGACGAGGGTGAGTCCGACAGCAATGGTGATAGCTCCTGGATAGTCCATCTTGACATTGTTTGAAGGTGGCTTTCCGGATCGCGGATTGGGAATGGAAAAGACGGAGCTAATCAGTGTGATTGCCGTGAGAATCCCCCCGATCCAGAAATAGAACCCCCATCTCAGGTACTGACCGACAATACCAGCAATGAAAATGCCACCAAAGAAGCCAAAGACTGCTGAAGTACCATAGATTGCAAAAACGATATTCTTTCGTCGGCCGGGGCGGTAGATTGATCCCATCAACATGACTCCCGTGGGAAGAAAAGCCGCAGCACCCAAACCTTGCAGAGCACGGCAAAAGTCCAGCATCAACGGATTGATACTGAAGCCTGCAATGATGCTCCATATCAACAGCCACGAGAGCCCCCAGAGAAAGACGGGGTAGCCGCCCCAGATATCACCCAGACGGCCGAATATGAGAAGAGTGCTGGCAATGACGAGAGAAAATGCCGTGGCTGGCCAGACACTCGCTGCCTGTGGGATATCAAGCTCTTTTATCAGGGTCGGAAGGATCACGGTGAAGCCCGAGACGAAGAATTCCGTCAAAAACTGTGACATGGCGATGCTAAACACGAAACAGATCTCGCTCCACGCAGTCGTGAATGTAGGAGGACGTTGGCGACCGAGACGTTCGATGCGGGCTTGCAAGGACTCTTCGATGGGGCATTCGAGTGTATTCTTGCTTTCAACGTGCGGCGAGGAATCGTTTATTGCATCAAGGGTTGTCGGATCTGAGCCGTCGGGACTATCGCCCCTGGAAGGAAGACAAGACATGTCGAGGATGGTGCTTGTAATAATGTGTCGTATTATGCTTTTGTTGTCTCGAAGAATTTTGATGGCTAGTGGGCCATCTGTTTGTATGATGATATTATTGCAAGAAGAAGGGACAAGATGGTTGATTATATATACTGAAAAACGACAATGTTTATTTGAGCTCCCAGTCAGGAGATTTGATATTTTAGAAGGCAGAATGCCAGATTGATCTGTGTCAAGATAGCCCGCATATACTGCATTACTAATATAAAAGAATTTGAGAGATAGAGAGGGAGAGAATTCGTCATTCTGTTCACTATCGAGTCTATTACCATGGGCACACAAAAAAGTCGAGATCTTTACTGACTCGACGCGGGTGAAATTGAGTAGGCAAATCCTAAGCAGTCTAACGGATCCACTTCCCGCGACGCTAGTGTCTTGGCTTCCTATCTGAGAAAAGCTTCGAGCAAAAGTTGCCCTGCGATTGGCTGGAATTGCTACAAACTCTTGCATGGGACGTCAAAAGTATATCAAGTTCTCTGATCTGTGCCTGGTTTTGTTTCCTTGATATATGTGACTGATTTGCGTCAAAGATTTTCATTCTGCTTATTCAACTCAGCATTTGTCAGCCTAGCAATCAATTCTGATCCAAGGAGGGACATGACCTCCCCATTACTCCTCGTCATTCCCTTGTCTTCCTGAAGTTACTTCTTTTGCAGGTAGGAATTTCATAGTGTACGTAATCCGATCCCGAGGACAGGCAGGTTTAAGGAAGAACTGTTTTCTTTCCATCGTCTTTGGGTTCTTCTACCCTGCTCATTTTTGCATTTTGAAGACATGGTTATCGAGGCCATGCTGCGGCGGTAACTTATTCACAGTTTGTTGAGCGCCTCACTAGTTGTTAAAAACATTCATGTATTGATTCAGACTACGGATCGCTGTAGAAGAAATACTCCGCGCTGTCTCCGCAAATATCTTTTCAACCCCAAACTCCGACTCCACCATATTTCATCTCCAAAGTGGGGTGTTCGTGGAGTTTGACGGGTCAAGGCTGCAAAGTGTCGACGCAATTTGGGTGGTTGTGGAAAGGTGCTTCGGTAACGGTTGAACATTAGCAGTGTGAATCAAATAGGTGTGTGTGTTTGTGTACTTAATACCTACGCATGCGCTATAGTAATGTTGTATTTCTGATGAATGGATTTGAAAGTACCCTGCACTGCATGGTCAGTTGTACTCTGTCTACCCGTGCTGCAAGCAAAACAGATCATACCTGAAAACCACCCAGAATTTGGAAGCCTTCCGCTTGATCATTGGCAGCCATGATTAGAAATCCAGGAGCTGAGCCCTTCCTAGCTGACATTCACAACTCCGTCTATGTCGTCTGATCCCCCTCTATCTGGTTCTGGCATCCGGTTGATAGGGTGGGGGCGGATCATTGATCAAATCGGCTTCGTTCCCAGGCCGCCTCTCGAAAGACCGTGTTGAAGCCATCCGGGCCAACCCTGGCCGCGGTGGAGTAGCCAAGATGGCTACCCTCCTTGGACGTCTTACCGGTAATGGTTCGAGCTCAATATGTTCCAAGGCTGTATTGATTCCTTGACTGTCTTCGACGGAGTTGCTCGCGCGCTCCAGACTAGTACGCTGGAAAACTAGACGCCGGCAGTATTTAAAGAAATCACAAGCTAGACGCCCGCAACACCACAGAACATATGCAACGCAGTATAACGCAACGCCCAAAACGAAGACCACTGGAGCCAGGGCACCGATAACCGTAAAGACGACAAACTCAAAGATGACGGGGAACAAGAGTTGATACGGCTGAAGCTGTGTAGTGTTGAAGAGTTGGTTAGCCCATGTCGTCTGCTGTGAGCAGCGGCAACTAGCGGTAATAACCCCGACTAATAGGCCGAAGCATCCCAGAATGATGCACAGAGGAAACAGATCTGTATTTTTCTCGATGAAGTCTATTACAGCCTCTGCTGGTGGAGCCATGTTTTCATATGCTTGATGCAATCTAGGGTCGTTCTGTACATATGTGTTTCTTTGTCGATTTTCAGGGGCTTTCCTGGTGGTGACAACAGTGGGTAAGATTTATTGATTCAAAAATAGCCCGATTGGCATTGTTTTGATGCGAGTGAGAAGTGAAAGAGCCTGCACCTTTATGAGAACCGAGACTTGAGATCATCGAGGGGTAAAGTGCCTTGAGGCAGTGGCGGTGGCCCTAGGTAAGCAGTCTACTGCACCTGCTGCTTGAGTGTTGACATTTTGAAGAAGTCGGGAGCGATATCGAAGAGCAATTTGCCAAGAAGCATCACGAAAATCGCAAGGATAGTCCGGATTTGCTTGACGCGCATCGGTATCAGAAAAGGGCAGTCACTAAAGGTATTATTAGGTTACGTACTTATTAGGCGACCAGTCATTATTTTCATTCCAAGTGTGGTCGAATTGGTCGTTAATGAATCTCAAAATGCAATCGACGTCTATAAACCATCCCAGTCGACCACCCAAGGCCTTGGGCTTTTGGACCGAGGTCTAAGTAGATACTCATTATACAAACATTTCTCTACTCAAAGCGGCATGATCATAACTTGAGCTGTAATCAACCCGACCAAGCGCAAGCCACATTGGAAATTAGCAAATTTCTGACCATAGACACCATACCGTTATAATTTTTCTTTCTTTTAGGCAAATGCAGAGCATACGGGGATGTTCACCCATGTCTGCCACGCGACACGGCCTCTCCCCTTTGGACCCATCTTTGCATCTTTGGCAACGGGCAAGAGGTACTGCGCGGCAAGAAACTTTTGGCAAGACTGTGCAGTCAGGAACTACCACGACTTGAAGAAGGGCAAACCGAAGCCTCCATGGTAACGGCACATACGACCAGAACAATAGGAACCAAAACTCAGACTTCCGCAAACATGGGCCTTTATGCCACCTTCCAATGACTGTGGCGCGCAACGACGCTACCTATTCTTGCAGTTATTTGTACTCGGCAATATACAAGGTCGATCAAAAGAAACTTGTTACGTAATACATATCCCCAGACATAAGTTTACCCACACCCGGAGCTTTGGAAATATTAAAGTGGTTCATCATGGCTGTTTGGTGGTGGCGGTACTCGACCAGCTAGCTACCAGGGCGTTAGTATTCTGAAGGGGATGGATGAATTGATTATTTTTCCTTAGTTTGCCTGAAATCCCAAGCCGGGCTACAATCAGGCGCAAGTCTATAAAAAAATGATGCCGGTTTCAATAGAGGAACGTCCATATCGTGTTTCACTTTGTCGAGCAAGGCTGAGCTAGACGTCATAATTTCATGTCTCGATTTGTTCTCGAGGCTGTATCTGTATTCCGCCATCTGATGCTGCTTGGATCTCCATTGCGAAACAAGAACGGGATTCGAGGTCGACATTCGAGGTCGACATTGATGCTGGGGCGGGTATGCACCGCAGCTCAAGTACTTCTGGAGCAGCATAAACGAATAGTCCATAAAGGCGTTGCTGACAATGTCAGGTCAAGAAGCACCTCAGGAAATTGCCCTCTCCATCAGCCAACAAGTTGAGCATCCACACATGCACTGCACATCATGATGTATAGAAGATGATCACGTTGTTCACTTGTTTTGGTTCATTTCACATTTCGGATCCTAGACTTCCAAGCATTGACCGAATGAACATAGGTCGTCCCAGAGGTTGTGAAACATGTCAGATTTGTCCCCCAACGCTCATCCTAATGACCGGGCCCTTGTTCCGTCAACAAGAGCAAAAAGTCGATGGAGTACCCCTTTCCCTCACGCCGTTCTAAGTGCAAAGGTTTTTTTTCGTCGTGGTATGATTTGTTGACCGTTGCCCCCGAAAATGCAGAAGTACGAAGATTTCAGAACGAACAAAGACGAGACAATTAGTAACCGAAGCCGGCGAGGGCCTCGCTTGTCTTGCTGTCGACCTTGGCGTTCTTCTTGGCGTCAGACAGTTGTCGCTGCGCCAACTTCTTGCGCTCGTAGTATGCGGCGCCCTTGGCCTTGCGGCGCTCCTCGAGTCTAAAAATGGCAGGTTAGCAAACGTTTCCTCCGTCTCACCAGAAAGCTGTCCATACCTCTCAACAACGTCCTGGTACTTCCAGCCAACCTCGTGGCTGAGACGACCGACTGTGCAGTACTTGCGGCCGGGCTGCAGTCTCAGGACACGGAGGGCCTGGGGAACGACCATCTTCTTCTGCTTGTCGTAGGGGGGAGGGACACCCTCGAAGACCTTGAGTCTCTCCAGAGCGGCGGCACCGCGGGCGGTCTTGTGGGGAATCATGCCACGGACGGCCTTGTAGAAGACTCTCGACGGGGCGCGGAAGTGGAAGGGACCTAAGACAATGTTAGGTGATTTGCGTCTTTAGGAGAAATCCAAAGCGAGGGATGTCCTCAGCTACAGGATCAGAGTGTCGGCTGAACGTACCACCGCGAGTCGGGTTGTAACGGGTCATCTTGCGCAGGTAGGCGTGGTACTTGACTATATGTCGAATGCAATGTCAGTTTCGTGTCCTGGTAGTACGATTCGCGGACCATCGGAATTTCAATATCTCATGCCAGGTCGGGGCTCATCGCGTCCGATCTCGACCAAGAATTGATTTCCCACTTGTCCGGATAATAGTGGCGGGCAACGTACGCTTGGCGCGGAAGAACTCGCCGGAGATGTTGAGGGCCTCGCAGCGGACGACAACGATCTTCTGGCCGTTCAAAAGCTGCTTGGCAACGATCGAGGCCAGACGACCGAGAAGGTGGCCCTTGCCATCGATGACAACCTGGAAAGGCAGGTTAGTTCCTGTTGGCCACACTTGTCGCACCGGAAGCGACTGTAGATATCCCAGGCATCTCTGATAACATTGCCATCCTCTTGCCCGAATTCGCGATTCGGCCCTGTTGCATTCCCCTCCAATCCGATCCCATTGCGAATTTCGTTTCGTGGCGTCTTGTGGGCGATCCCAGTGCTTTCCGGTGCTCGTGCAGGGCTGGAAGAGTACTCACAACAGACTCAAAGGACGACATCTTTTCCGGGGAATCGTCAGCGCGGGCTGGTCTGATACGAGGGGGGCGGATGAACAGAAAAGAAGGAACAAAAAAAGGCGAGAGGAATTCAAAGCTCGCAACGCAAACCCCAGAAGTGAAGAATGGACCTCCTCTGAAATTTGTCTTACCTTGAGAGCTAGGAACGATTAATTCCTCGCTGTGGTTGCCGTCGTGGGATTGTCGTGGATTTGTTGATGAGTCGCAAATCCAACTCAGGATTCTGTGTGGTGAAAATTAATCGGGCACACTGAGCCCAGGCGGAGTGTGGTGCTGAAGTGCGCTTGACCAGTTTGGGAACGGTGGGGAATTGGGCGAGAGAAGAGCTGTGGACCCGCTAGGGTTTTCCAAACCTACGGGGCAACATTGGCTGTTGCGATCATCGATGGCCACTCAGCGGCCTCACTGACGCTCCGCTTTTGGATTACCTTGGCTACAAACCAGACACAACTTGCACATTGCCTAGCATAAAATATGCATTAATTTTAAAGCGACGGTATAGCTTACATCAGCAATCCGATCATATCCCAGCACAATGCAGTTCATAATCATCATGTCTCTCTATATTAGCAGCGAACCCCCAATATTGTAAAGAAGCAATCCTCTGATCGCATTCAACAGCGTTCAATCCAAGACCCCGTCTCGTATTATACATGCAACCCGGATTGCTGCGATTCAGTGGCCGTGACTATTGGATTTTCAAAATGCAAACCCCTTCACTGTTGGCAATGCTGGAATCCTGCACCCTCAATTCTGTCCAACTTATGGATGAGATAGTAGCATGCTTGTCCAAAAGGATATGCAGCCATTGACGGTGCCGGGAATCGCGCGCTGATGCTGCAAACGAGCCACATTCCCCTGGTATAGTGCCAGCCAGTTCTTAGTATAGTTGCGGCTTGGAAGAACCTTCTGGCAAATGTTGGTCAATGCCCTTCAGCACCTCATGCACCTGGTTGACCAATTGCTTTCTCTTGGCCCTGATATCCGGATCTCCTCCAGCATCAACCTCATCCAACTTGAGCAGCACCTGCTGCATAATCGTCTCGCTCAATTTCCGGTGTTCATCCTCGCACTTCTTCTTATCTCTTGGTGGATTGGCAGAGAAGTCGACACACAATGGCAGGAGCTTGGTGTTGAAGTGTGAATTGATAGCCTGCAGCTTTTCCATGGGGCTGCTGGGCACTGTTGGGGGCGAGGGCATCCTGCTCGGCTGTCTCGAGTCCTCAGTGTCCGATTTGCGTCCATCGGCACCACCGCCTGGGACGTCTAGGTTTTGTGAGCTATCACGAGGACTTCGCTTCTTCTTCTTGCGCTTGTTCTTGCTCTTGCTTTTGCTCGTGTGTCCCTCGCGAGGATCTGCGACGACAATCTCTTCGCTGCTGTCCGACTCCTCGTCAGAAGGCGAACCCTCGGGCAATACCACCAGAATTTCACTATTATTCTTGACATTGTATTCGCGGATGGGTGCGTCCTGGTCCTTGAGTTGACGACCCTTGTAGAGCATCTTGATGCGCTTGACCTTGCCAGAGCTAACTTGCATCACCATCCCCACTCGGTCGCGAACATCGCGAACGAGGAGCTTGCCATCTCCGATTGAATATGCAGGGAAGTGGACAGGATAAGTGACCCCCTTGTGCTTGATCAGGAGTATATCATCTTCGGGTTTCGCACTTGTCGGCGGCTGTCTTTTCGAATCGTAAACTCGGGCGGGTGCCTGCAGCGAGTGCTCGAGATCTTCCGATGTTATGTAGCTAAAGTCGTCTTCCGTTACGCGCGGTGCGCCATCGGCGTCTTGGGACGCAAAAGGGGACAGGCCTTCGCGGCGGTTCGACCAGCCGGTGTAATGAGACATGCCGAGAGGTACAGCCAGGGCGGCGCAGGCAAGTGTCGAGTATATTACGGTGGGAGACAGTCCCTGGGCAACGAGGTACTCGTTTGATCCGGCTAGAGCTCCAGATAGCTGGTCAACGGTTGCGTTGACGTAGCTTGCCAGTCCTGGTGGTAGGTATTGGGTGAGGTTCTGGAAGGCACCAGAAGATGCCAAGATTGCCTGACTGGAAGCCACCTTGACGGGATTGGGTAGTCCTCAGGATTGAGGACAGACCCAGGCAAATGCAGGTATATAATACAACAAGTGGAAAACAAGGAAAAAAGAGAAGGCGATCGATCGAGACGCACGAGGGGAACGGAGAGTGTGGAGTCGGGACGACGGCGTTCTGTCAGCGGACGTTAATGAACGTTGGGTCGAATGACAGAGAAATTCGTGTCGTCCAGCGCCGTAGTGGGGCCGGGACCCGTCAATCTTTTGGTGTCAAAGGAATCCGCCGTTGAGCAACAGACAGACTCCCAGTGCCAGGCGAGCCAGGATTCCTGACTGCGCTGTATGATTCGTCGATGAGAATATATCGCCAGACTGAATATGAAAAGTCGGCACCCAACTCTAGCAAGATCTGCAAACCTTGTCCAGAGAAATGATTTCGCAGGTTCTGTCACTTGGTTTTTCTTCTACTTTGTACGGTTGAGCCAAAGGGGTTGATGCTTGCGACGACGTGTCTAGTATTTCGGTCAGCTACTAGTACGGCAGCCGAAGCCTTGCTATGATTCGCGTAAAAGGGAGGATGGATTAGGGATTTGGGAAGTAGGTACGTAGTAGTTGGGCCTTGGGGACGCAAGACGCCGTTGCGATCCCCAGGCAAGCCTAGGCGATCCCAAGCCCAGCCTGTTTCTTATTGGTTGGCAAAGAGATTCACGTCCCACAAAGTACAGACGTGGAAGCATGAGACTCGCGACAAGATGCCAACATACAGGCAGAGGATTACGGCCGCAGCCTCCTCGATCAACATGAATATATTGTTGCAGACACTACAAGTACGCAGGAAGCATTTTGAATTTCCATTTGTACATCTATTTCAGATTGAAAGGGTCGACTATATTAGAAAATCAATCTGCGCAAACTCGTGACTCTCCACAGAGGTACCTATTGAGTATTCCATTCCAGTAGTAAACATGGTTGATAGACCAACACGATGGACATGCATGTCAGATGCAATATTGTTCACTTTGAGCCTCATGCAAGTAATGGCGGACAATGGAGTTGGAAACAACTATGCTCACTGAGATGCAAAAGGATAAAAAGAGCCTAGACCTTGATCAGCCGAATGGAGTCTTGTCAAGCAATTCCAAATACTTGAAGGCCAGGGGAGTTTTGGTATTGACTGAGCCCATTGTCTGACCGAAATGTTCCAAAGATGATATTACAAGCCTCAGCACAATACCCAGCCCAGCCCAGCCTGAAAGTAGGCTTCGACCCCGAGAAACATCTGAAGTTCACGGGTCCAAATACTCCTGCGCCCTGCCGTGCCCAAGTAGGGAATGTGCTCGATCGCGAGGCTCGGATTCCTTATCGGCGATAAGGTCAAGGCCGTGCGGATGCAGGAAGTGCGAAAAAGTCAAGTTGCGTCATCCTTCCTCCCCCTGCGATTCCGCTGGCTTCTCGCAATCTGCTCTCCAGACCCCGACGTCGACTTTGCCCCCCTCCAAAGACCCTTGCAAGAAGAGAGAAGAAAAAAAAAGCGGCCGCCCGCTCGATGCCGCACCTCCATATGGAATCATTTCAGAACTGTTCGACTGTACTGTAGTATGGTATTCAATGTCGGTAAGAAGAACGGTGATATCAAAATTTTACAGAACATGTAGTTTATATTTGGGAATCGTAGCATAGTTTTTGATTGCTCTTGCATGCAATCTATTTACATTTGTTGCGCTTGAATTGCAGATGCCAGGTCACCTCAGTCTCGGGAAACAATACATAAAACTTCATCTTTGCCGCAGCGTCAGTGAAGGAGCGCTGAAAGATTTAGTGGACCCTCCGACTGCTTCAAACTCGGTCCCCGTGCTACAAGTCCACTTGCGCAATTGCTCCTCTGACAAATCATAGCGCCTGGATCTGAATCGTTTCTGCACCTCGCAATCAACTCACTCTCTTTGCCCCCCCGCTCTGTATATAATAACCGTTCACCCCGCCGCATACAACACATCTGCCCTTTAGCGCAGATATAGCACTCTTGATTTTATGTCCTTCCTCCGCCGTTTCTTCTCGTCCTCGTCTGTCTCACCAGAAACCATGGCTTCCGCAAAGCAAAAGGCTCAGCAGATCATTGACGACAACGCTGTTGGTAAGTCCAGCATCTTCCCCCTCGCGCCAACCTTGCGCGCACTCCTCTCGTCCCGTTCGTAATTGCGACAACACAAGGCTGACATGATCCTTCTCCCTCCGTAGCCGTCTTCTCCAAGTCCTACTGCCCCCACTGCAGCGCTTCCAAGCAGCTGCTCTCGTCCCTCGACGCCAAGTTCTACACCATTGAGCTGGACAAGGTCGACGACGGCGCCGACATCCAGGCTGCCCTCGCCGAGATTAGCGGCCAGCGCACCGTCCCCAACATTTACATTAGCAAGAAGCACATTGGCGGCAACAGCGACCTGCAAGCCATCAAGGGCAAGCTGCCCGAGTTGCTCAAGGGCGCCGGTGCTCTGTGACTAGGCACAGATGGCAGTACCAAGCTCTAAAGAAATTAGACATGACTCTTGGTTAGACGAACAAGCATACAGCATGAGCGATTAGCACTGTTCTCTTGGAGGGGCGTCGTCTTCAACAGGTACCTGCATTTTACGGGTACCGTTTGGCTTGTAGTAGCAAAGATGTGTTGATCAAGAACATCGCGTGCACGCCGGCAAAATGTAGCCGAGCTGACTTAATATAGACTATCAAATACTGTCAAACGTTGCATACGCTCACACGCTTGTTTCTCGAATGGTGATTATCTTGTCTTTGTATTAGCGAATTGTATGCATCCTGTGAGAGTTGCAGCCCGGAACGGGCCGAGGTTCGTTGCGAATGGTCAAACGATAACAAGAGTATCGTGCTTACACTTGATTGAAGTCAATTGCCGCCTATCACAAGCTCAACAACGGTATAGACCACCACCCAAGCAAATTTTCGGGATAGTTTTAATATAAAGATAAGGAACGGATTGCCATATGGGTGCCTTGTCTCGGTTCCAGTTCGTTGGGAGGTATGATCACCTACAGCAGGCCATGTATGGCGTCAGAGTCTCCGCTGTATAACAGTATCACTGCCGGCTCGAGCACGTGCCATGATGAACTCGGGATCGACAGATCATATGTTATTGTAAAGCAAAGTCGCGGAACATGACTGTCTATTGTCAAGTCTTATCAATCATTCTACCCATGAAAATGGTACCCAACCTCGGGACTAACCCGAGCAGGCGACATATGGCCGCTTCGCTGCCAGTCAATGTGAAACCACGGATGCGCGGGAGACTCTCCGTATACTTGATCAAGGGTGGATTCTATAGTCGGCTGAATCGTGGTCGGAGTTTGTTGCCGAGAGATAGAATCATTCTGGTAAAAGCTCGGTATCTCTAGGTACGGACTAGAAGAACCAAGTCTTGTCAATATTCAATTGTAATCTGACTGTTGGTATTATACCCCGCCATATGAGCGGGGCATACTCTCAGGTACACCTTTGCTCCCCAAGAAGCCCTGTACTTACGCTTTGGAAAGCTTAACCCTACAATGTACATTTGACACATGGCATGCTTCTACAGTATCGCGCAACAGACTTGCCAAGTGGTTAAAATTGCTCCCTCACTCGACAATGTTTCATTCTGGGTGAGCCTCACGATGTGATAGTTCCCGAGAAAAGCACTATTTTCATGGCCGAAATGCCGTCCGTTTGCGGGCTGAGCATGACTGATTGACCTACCCATGTATACCAACTAGTGGGGCTTCCTATATTCGGAAGGTCAAGGTTGTGGCGTGCTGCTTCCTCCTGCTCTTCTAGAAGGCTAGATCCGATGCTGGGAGGAGTCTTTAGTGGTATGCGTAAGCCCGTTCCTGCGCCTGACCTGGGCTGAGGAATACTGATAATCATCTTATTCAGTCCTCTTATAGCGCTTTCATGGGCGGGATAAACCATCACGACTGGGGCACTTCGATGTTGAGGATAAATGAAGGGAGGCAAGGGTCGTCAGCTGCACAGATAGTCACGGCATCTGGGGTCTTTTATTGGACAAGTGTGGGCTCGGAGGGTATGCTTGAGAGTACTGCCAATGCCAGTCTCGAATTTTCGTGGTGTGTAAGTGGTATGCTCTCCACGGACATATTGGCCCTGGAATGGGGTTTTCAGTTCTGTCTATGCCTCCTTCGGTGATGGGTCCCGATACGTGAGACTCGTGAACCACTCACGGAGGAGGAGTTCGACATCTCCTCGTCCTTGGCTCCCGACTTACCTGATGTGGCGATTGTCGAGTTATCCCAACCTGATTCGATTTATCCCGCGACTCGTCATGCACTCAATATAGACGACCGCGTTGCACCAGTATCTTTAAACTCGCGTGGCTCGCTAGACTACGGTCTCTTTCACGTTTCTTGTTTCATCACACGAGCCATTATTTTTGGCCTTTGACACTCATTGTTCGAAGATACAGCCTCATGAATCGCAACCTGGATATTTTCGTTGGGATGCGCCGTGTCCATTAGGACAAGTCCCTTCGCCAGATATAGAGTCACCATGGCAACATCAAGCAACGATTCTGCGCAATACTTGGCGAGCCCGCCCGAGGGGGAAATTCAATATGGCATGGATAATGCTCCCAACAGGAAAGCGGAGCTCATTGCAATGGCGGTGGTGACAACAGCAATTGCTACAACGACAGTTGCCTTGAGATTGTTCACAAGGATAACCATCGTGCGTGGTCGTGTCAGTCCTGACGACTGTAAGGAAGAAAACTTGATGATCGGAAGGCAACAGACCCTGACATATTCACCTAGACATGGTACTTGCCGCCTTGGTATTCTCCATTGCCACGATTGTGGCAACCCTCATACGTGAGTCGGCCAAAATCAAATTTCCGCTTCACTTGAACTGAAAATGAAACAGAAATGGATTATGGATTAGCATATCACATGTGGGACATCCTATTCTCGACGTTCAATATCTGGTATCCAGTGGTAAGACCAAAATGAAAGGACTGAAGGCATCATGACTAACAAATAAAAGTATAATATTATCAGCACTGGGACTTACTCCTTGAGTATAATGTTCTCCAAGCTGTCCATCTTGTTCTTCTACCTTCGACTATCTCCTCAAAGGTGGTTTCGATGGTCTACCTACATTCTTAGTTTGACAAGTATTATATACTCGTTGACATACCTCTTCATGAATATTCTACCATGTAAGCCCATCGCGGCGGCTTGGGATTTCAGTATCGAGACCTCAACGTGCCTGGACCCATGGGCTTCATATTGGGCACTTAGTATCCTCAACATCATAATGGATGTCTGCATCCTGGTCCTCCCCATACCCGTGATTCTTCCCCTACAGATGGATAAGAGGCAGAAATTGTCGCTCATATTGCTCTTTGCAGCAGGCGCTCTGTGAGTTTTTCCACTTCGCTATGATGGCTGTGTTGTGGCACGACGCTAATTCAGTCCTTGCAGTGTTTGTGGTATAACCATTCGACGAACTGTACTTATTCCAGGCTTGAGAGCATCCCATGATAGGACATGGGACAGTGTCGAAGACTTCTTGTTCTCCTACGCCGAGATGAACGCTGGTGTCGTATGCGCCTCCATTCCTGCACTCAAACCCTTGTTCGTGCGCTATATACCCGAGCGGCTGCGTTCGCGCTCCGGAAAGGGACGTAGCGACTACTCGGGAGGCACAGACGGGTCCAATACGGTCGTGGAGCAGAATCGCTCGAGGAGGAAGAGATACAATGAATCGATCCAATTGTCGTCGATTGATGAAACGGGGCATACGCGCAACTACTCGTGGGAGGACGAGGGCGTCCACATGTGGCACAATAGGGATGATGGATTCGAAAAGACGGCAGTGACTGGCTCAAGGCCAGTCATTGACTTGACGAGCCCCAGTGTGGAAGAATTAAGAGCAGCCTGGCCTGTATACGATGCCAGAGCCATGGCAGCGAGCCCCAAGCCGACAAGGAAGAATGGTATCACAGTGACGAGAGAAACGTCGGTACGTTACGAACGGGACTGGTGAGACAGAGGAGCTATATGGGTGATAACTCGATTGAGGGTGTTTTGATATCCACTATACTCAATATAAATATCACAATGGGAATTGTGAATTGATGCGGGTACAGAGTTACTGCCCGTCTGCCATCCACTCCCAAGTTTTCGCCTCTCTACACCGTGTCTGTAGTTCAACCACGGTGCCCGTCTTTGCTGACTTTGGTATATGTCGAGGCCCAATCATTGGGTTGCCGATTGCTGCCGGAAAACCTTACACTATTCGACAAAATGCTTGTAATCAACCTGTGGAACTCGATGTATTGCAGCCTGACATGCCCAGGCGAACCATGTCATTCACTGACCATTGGCCTGCACCATGCAACCAGCTGCTCACTCTGTCTCCTTCACACCCATTTGCATGTATGCAGGAATTTGGCCACAGCCCTCGTGACAAAGTTCGCATCACTGGCAGATCAAGACTGGTTATAATTGCAATCTTCCTTCGTGGGTTTCACTTGCTGTGTTCTCAGAATATTTTTGTCAAAATACCTACTTTCTACACATTTCCAAGACACTCATCGCATCATTACCATAACCATCATTTCCAAGCTACTATGTCAGCGAACTTAGCCGTCACCGGGTCAGTGTTGAAACGCTTCACACAGACCAGTACACTCTTGTGGTTACTGGACCCTGTGCGCGGAGAACCAACCATCCACAATCTCGATAGGCACCCCAGCGATACACACCAGGGAGCCAGTGAACGAAAAACCAGCAAGTTTCTCGACTCTATTGCTTTACTATTTGCTACGAGGAAGGACGGTGATACTGTTTCAGCTGCTACGTTAGAAGAAGGGCAGCCAGAGGGCACTATCATCCGCATCGCCAGTAATGCAGGCGTAGAGGACGACACCTTGGAACAAGTGAGAGCAATTGTGAATATCCTCAACCATGCTGCCAATGGCCCTCAGAGAGGTATGCTTCAAGAATTTAACTTGAACTATGTGTCCGAACCACGTTGTGTATTCTCGCTAAGTTGTTCACCAGGTGGCACGACATCATTGGAGACAGAGAACCAAATTCTGTTGAGAGTGATTGAGCTAGATATCGAGAAAATCAGCCATTACCTAAGCATGTTGCAGAGAAGCTCAGGTGATATAGCCGAAACTGTTGACTGGATACTTGCAAACCCTGGTTTCTTGGGCACACTCTCGGCGAAACCAAAGTCTGACCGATTCCTTGAATGGATAACCTACCTGCGATCCTTGATCGAAGCGGACAATGAACCAGATCACGACCAAATCATGGTGCAAATCCAATGGGCTGTCAAGGGAAAGTGGTCCTACGGTCCGTTCCTTGAAGCTGCATGTAAGGCTCGTGGTAAGCCGGTAGCCCCGTGGGTGGTCAATATCTACAAACTTGGTCGCTATGCAGTGGCTAGCAAAGTTCTCCTCAGCTTTGTCGCCGAGAACTGCGACTTGCTCTGCCCAATTCTTGTAGAAGCTATTGAGCCTCCACCGAAGCAACTTTCTTCCCTCCCTCGAAAGGAGAATAATCTTGAGCTCACCTTACGCCGTAGTCACTGCAGTGACATCGAAGACCTGATCATGCGCCTGGGACAAGCATGGAATGTTACCAATCCAGAGGGGTATCTCCAAAAGAAAGGCTCTGGAGAAGATCTCGTTGTACATGCCGAATTGCAGCTGATCAACTTTTACGACCACAACTTGGAGAGAATGCCCAGACACCGATTGATTGGAGTCAGTAAGAAATCATGCTTCCTGTGCAATGAATTCTTGAAACTTCATTCGACGAAGTTCTCGGTCTCCGCTTGCCACCAAAAGCTGTATCGTAGTTGGTGTCCTCCATTCTGTAGCGATAATCTCGTCTACCAGAAGTATAAAACGCTCATCACCTCAATGAGTGACGCCATGGAGACAGCTATCAAACACCAGATAGAACAAAGGCTCGGGGTTGGTGCTCGCCGACCATATAATTTGGATTCTACAGCAGGTGTATCACTCTCTATATTCTCATCAGATCCCGTTCGGCATGGGTTTGAGCGCGTATCAAGCCCATCAAATTCCATCACACAAGAAGGCTCCATCCATTCACCAACAGCAACTCAATCTGTAATCACATATGCTTCGAGCTCAGCCGGTCATGAGGGGTCAAGCACTCACGCGAGTCTCACCGATGCAAAGTATGCCAGGATCGTGGGAGGGTCGATGGATAAGTCACAGGGAGAGCACATGGACCCAAAGTTGGTCTTTCATGTCACACGAGCTGATGATCGCGTGCGACAAGACCTCGTGTCAACCACCAGCCTCATCGACCAGACTTCCAGGCGTCCCAGCTGGGGTCGTCTATGTGCCACCTTGGCTAGAGAATCGCAATTTGGTGTTGGCTTCGATGATGCCAAGGAATTCCTTTTGGTCAACCAGAATCTTCGAGTCGGCAATGACTGCCAATTCGCTGCCTGCATTGACTATCTGCAAAATGCGCGCTCTTGGAACAATGAGGTTTTGGTGTTTTCCTACGAGGACCTTGCCAGAGTTCAATCAAATGCCGTAGGTAGTGCTTAGAACGTGTCCAGAACATGACCATAGTTTGATCAGACCGCTGCTGGTAGGCCTCCTCCAATGCGTGACACGCGTAGACTCATGCAACAAGGTTGCTTCATCACAATGTTTCGCATGGCTACTTATCTTTTCGGCAGCAATTATGTCTAAGAGCAGGCCAGAGAATTGGTTCCAGGCGAAGCGGTCTCGGGCTGTCCCCCAACCACGGCCCGTAATGCACGCCGAGGCGGCAATGGATTGCTGTGGCTAGCAGAATTGGTTGACGAACCAAGATTGCGCTATAATCTGCCAGCAGCTGCTGGTGGGCCTCTGACATATAATCAGACGGCACACAAGTGCTCTGATGTCATTTATATCTGTCGACAATGAGACGGTAATTGAGGACCAGTCAACTGCATCTCTTGTGTACTTCTGCATGCTCAATCTGCATGCCTTTGCTCTGATGCAGTCCATCGTGTCACCAGCCATTGTTGAAAGACTCAGACTGATCGGCAGGTCGGTGGTTGTGACATGAACCCCAACTGCATGGCGGCCCGAACGACGAAATGTTGGTTCATGAAGACTACCTACCGACTAACTTAACAGCGCATAGTTTGAGTTTATTCCCTTTCGTCCATGGCCATTGGAGAAATTGGCAATTGATAGAAAAGAAAGATGCATTTGATGCATAATGGAAGACCAACAGCGAATATTGAATGGGCCGTCCCAAAAAAAAAAATTAAAAAAAATAAAAATTTAGGCATGCACCGGCCCGTCCTTTCCTACGTCTCAGCTGGAGACATCTGGTGGATTTAATGCACATGCATCCCGCCAAATTCTTTGGGACCCCAAATGCTTCCCTCAGTATCAATGCAGAAACTCGTCGTCTATGATCTGTTGATCGCAAAGCAGCAGCTCATGGTTTTAGGGGGAGAAAGTCATAATCTGGACTTTATTTGGAAAACATTTCAATGTTTTCTTTGTCACAGCAGCGCGGTATTGGCAACGGACGCAAAAAAAAAAAAAATTGGGACTTGGAATAAAGCGGCAATTTGAGTTTACAGCGCTCGGCATGCTAGTGATGATGGGAGGACATGGAAAAGAAGCGTCAGGTTTTTTCTTCTTTCTTCCCTCCAATGCAATTCCGGAAGTCCAATACGTCTTTAAAATCTGCGGAGTCCTGAATTCGTAGGTAATGAAACTTATCTAGGTATATATCCTCTAGTAGATAATCTGCATCGAGAACTCGGTATACTCTAATGAACACCAGCTTTATTTGCCATACACGCATCATACAGCATAGAGGACTAAAGCGCCAAGTTTTCTAGTCTCTTGGGTGATTCTCGAGCAGCCAGGTCATCTCTATCATGCCGTCCGCAACAATTGATTGCTCAGGCAACCAAGGGATCGCAAGCAAACATGCACCCTCGCCTTCTATCCCGGCCATGTGGTCCCAGAACCAGCAGCAGCAATCGCTTGTACAAGAAGAACACAAGTATGATGAGCAGGAATCGACACAAGAAGCACAGAGACTCATTCGACATGCGTTGTTTGATGAAGATTCGAAGTTTCAGGAACTCATAACCTTTGTAGACTCTGCCAACAACACCAATGGGCACAATACCTCTTTCACAAGTTGGGATCAAACCAGACAGCAGTACCTTGAAGCCTTCATGAATGCACCTATATTCACTTTGGGTGTGGGAAGGTTGATACAGTCTGACACGGAGGACGCTACTATGGACGTGATTCCGCAATTTGGATTGATGGGCATTCGACTTGATGCCCAAGAAGCATTTCCAAAAGACAGACTTGTTCTGGCCAATATGAATACTCCATGGTCGGCTTTCATCTGCGGATCTCAAGGCGCTGGAAAGAGCCATACGCTCAGTTGCCTCCTGGAGAGCTACATTGACAGCAAAAGTGGCACTGGCAGTCTTCCGAAACCCCTAGCTGGAATGATTATGCACTACGATAACTTCACCAACGACACTACTACCCAGCTATGCGAAGCTGCCTATCTCTGCTCGGCTGGGATTCCAGTCAAGGTCCTCGTCTGTCCCTCAAATATCTGGACCATGAAACGTCTCTATAGAGGTCTTCGAGGTCTAGCGCCCAACTCGAATCAACCAAAGGTCATGCCTCTCTACTTGACGACGAATCAGTTGAATATATCACGAATCCTTAAGCTGATGGCAGTAGACCCAAGTTCAGACAAGACGCCCTTATACATGGAGGTTGTGATGAATATCGTTCGACAAATGGCGATGGAGGGCCCGAAATTCACATATCATGAGTTTCGGCGGCGTCTTTCAGAGATCAAATGGGCTCCAGCCCAAGAGGGCCCTCTAAAGATGCGATTACAACTACTGGACACATTCCTTGCACCATCACCACTGACCGAATACACCCGACCGGCGCAAGCCGACGAAGACATCTGGGCCTTTGCACCAGGCTCCGTGACAATAGTCGACTTGAGTGATCCATTCGTGGCATCCGATGATGCTTGCGCATTGTTCTCAATCTGCCTGTCTATCTTTATGGAGGACCGTGGTACCTGTGGCCGAGTCGTGGCTGTAGATGAAGCACACAAGGTGAGATAGTCCTCTCCGCACCATACTTTCAACTTGTTGGCCAATTTGGTTGACTGATATTCAAAATCATATACAGTTCCTTGTCCAGACGGGCGAAGCACGTGTTCTCACGAACGATCTCATCTCCGTCATTCGCCAGCAGCGCCATACTGGAACCCGTGTTATCATCGCAACCCAGGATCCAACACTGTCGCCTGAACTCATTGAACTTTCCAATGCGACCTTTGTCCATCGCTTCTTGTCCCCTCGGTGGTATGAAATATTGAAGAGGCATCTGGCTGCCGCGACGGATCAAGATTCTCAAGCCCCAGGCACGCTATTGGATACAATCGTCAACCTCGGCATCGGCGAGGCATTGCTATTCTGTCCAACAGCCCAGTTGGACACGCAAGTCAATGGAATTGGCCAAGAAGTTCCGAAAACTTTGGGCAAACGCTATGTCAAACTGCAGATCCGAAAGCGGGTTACTACCGACGGCGGCAGGAGTATCACGTCAATGGAGTTGGCACCGGAAAAGAAGGAGGATACCGACGAGGAGGTCCCCATGCATATTGTTGCCAAGGTGGGCACAAAAATTGAGGGAAAGGCTAATCCTGTGAAAGACAAGGCCGTGATCGTCAACGGAAAGGTTGACGTTGTGAAAGACAAGGCAGTGAGCGTCAACAAACCACCGAAGATTATGCCCACGAAAAAACAGACCAAGAAAGCCGCCCGGAGCCAGGTTGAGGAAAAGGGCCAAAAGGGCTGGGGTTTACTCGAAAACTTGCAGCCGCTGCAAAGGCGTCAACTTTACTCGGATGCGGAGACCTCCCTCAATGCCATTGTAGGGATACTATCCAGCCACAGCCACGTAGGGTTAAGAGCGGCTTTTGATGAGGAGTACGACATTCGAATGGTAAGTTGCGACAAGCATCGAGCAAAGTCCACCTAAATTGCGTGTCACGATGAAGAACTAATTTGCGACTATTAGACCTCTTACCTTGCCCGATGAGCATTTTTCGAACGATTCCTTGGAAATAAGAAGACGGCAAAATCAATCCATGGTACGCAGATACCACGGGATATTCCGGGCTTCATTCATCTCATATATACGATGTGTTGCAGTCAGCATAGTCATTGCTATAACGTTTCGTCTAAATTTTGACGTGTTGTACCTAGCTAGGTAGCTGCCTAGGTTCATATGATGGCAGTTCAATCTTGCCAAATGTTCTCCCCTGTGTAGTTGATTCCTTCGCCGGAAGTTCGTTTATGAGCGCGTTCTGATCTCTCGGTTCATCGCCGGGTAACTCGTGTCTCATGCCCGCGTCGAGTTCTTCAGGTAGCGGCCGCGGTACACAATCAGAGTGCAGCTGTGGTTTATCTGCAAAGTCGTCCGAATGTGGTGTCCTCTTGGCAGTGCGTCGACGATACAACAGGAAAATAATTAAGGCAATTATAGCGATACCTGATACTGAACCAACGATTGGGCCGGCCATCCAAGCTTTGCTACTGGAATCGTGTTCAGCGCTCGTAGTGGGCTCGGCAGACGGGATCAAGTTGCTATCGGTGGTGATCGTAGGAGAAGCTGAAACAGTCGAGTTCGTTGCCGTCAGCGGGACCGCACCCTCACCGGCGTCACTGGTGGTAACAGAGGCGGTTCCAGTCAGACTAATCGTAACGTCTGCCGTGATAGTTGTGAAAGGCACTGCTTGTCCTGCAACCGTTATATTGGCGACGGCGGTAATACGTTGCACCACGGTGGTCACGCCAGAGGTGTCGGTGAAATTGCAGAAGTCGAAATATTGCTGGAAACTTGTCGATATGTAGCTTGTGGCATTGTCATCATCAGTGCTGGTGACCAAACAAGCGACACATTGATCGTAGGCTGTCCGGAACGCACTACCCTCTTCGCACAATTTTGTGGTTTTGCCGACGCTTTGAGCTTCAGTCTGCGCATCATCTATTATAAATTAGACCAATCAATGAAGTAAATTTTGGATTAATGAAAGTACTGCTTACTGCATAAGGCATAACATCTAGTCGGGATTGTAGTTTCCCTCCGAATTTCTCGCCTCGCAAAAAGTTTGGACAAAAACATTGTCTTGATGAAGTGGTGTACTGGTATGATGAGAAGAACTGGGCGGAAATCATAGCATCCTCTCGGGGCCAGGGCGTGGTATAAGGCTGCCTCTAAGTACGTTCCGTCTCGGGTCTCTTTGAGCCATGATCGAAGATGCTGTGTACCCGCAAATTTTCTGGCATTCGATACTGCATCATTGGCGGCCATAGATATCAATTGCATGTAGCCTCGAGATCGACTAGGGAATCACCAAATTCTATAACTTGGCATTCGCAGGTCAAATTCTGAGTGGACAGATACAAAAAGCATCATGCGTGCTGGGGAGATCCGTTCCGACACTCGAGTGTTACTGGCCGGCTTCCTGCATTCACTTCTGGCATGCATATTGGGGTAGTATTCAGCGAATAGAAGGCTGGACCTCCACTCTCTCGGTAGCATCGTGTCCCCATTTAGATGTCTCAGCTGACACTGAGCCCCAAGAGTAGAGCCGATGCGTGCACCCAAACTGTTTTGGAATATGCTTGAAAGTAAGCTTACCTATCAACAGGGCTTCAAACAAAGTACTACTCGTAGCCCAAATCGAAAAGCGTTTCAGTCAGGCTGGGCTGGATACACAATCAGCATATCTGCCCGCTGCAAGCCTTGAGACACTGAAATGTAAATACTCGAGACATCCCAATGTGCTTCAGGCAATGCAGATTTACAGCAAAACAAGTGAGAGCAGAGACGTCGCCAGGGGTTAGTTGTTGCTGAGATTCATTATTCACCAAAGAATCACTGTTTAACCAAAGGTGCCAGAGTATATATTCTCAAAACAAAATTCTAACGAATGTGCCACAGATCTATATCTTCACAAACTCTCACATGTGCATCATTTCAGCATCACTTATCATTATTCTCCGGCCGGCCGGTAAACCAGCCGGTAAATAGCTCAGCATGGGTAGCCGTGGCGGTACCGTCGCTCTCGTACGTGGGAGTGACGCGGACACTGCCGTCAGAGACAGCCAGGTCGGCCAGTACACGGCGGAAGAGCTCAAGCGAGGCGCGCGGCTGGTAGTAGGGCACCTCGTGGCCGGCATTGTAGACGCGCGTAAAGCTAAAGTTACCGTATTGCCGGGACTCACCGTACTCGACGCCGTCCACCACAAAGGGCGCGTACCCTGCCGCGCGGAACTGCGCCGAGTGCGTATAGTTGACCTGGAGCGAGACGGCCTCGCCGCCGAACCAGTTGCAGATATAATCCTGGGTTTGTTTGTTAGCGCCTCTCTTGTTCTATGTGGAATGTGATGGTGTCATCAAAGGAATGACTTACAGCATCGCCATATATCAATGCGACGCGGACTTCTTGGTTCAACAAATCCTGAAGATCCTCCAATAGAGTCGGATACGCCCAGTCACCAGTATAGTCGAAACCTTGATAAACTTCCCAGCTTGTGCCCGTGTAGTTGAGATCAACTCCAAGGGCGTTTTGCGCAGTGGCAGTATTGAGCCAGTCGGACCAATACTTTGGTGGAACTTGAGAGGTAAGTCTGTTTTGACGAATATCATAGGCGCTGTTGGGAGCAATGACCTCGTATGGGCCTTCGACGAGGTTGCGGCAGATGGATACGGCTTGGGAACACGTTTTCTGGCCCTGCCAGTCGCTGCGGTTGGCCTGGGCACAATAATCGAGCTGGGCAGAGCAACCGGTTTCAGGGAAATTGAAGGCGGTCATGGCAAATTCATACGTCGACTCGTTGATGGCCTGAATTCCGTACGTATTCTTATAGGCAAACTCGGGATAGTATGGCATTTGAATCTTGGTGGAAATGAGACCATTGATAATCCCGAGTGTGTGAAGTTGCAGCTCACAGCCCTCGGCCTCGCCGGCTTGGATCAATTCATTCTGCTCTTTAAAGTAATGAAAGAATCCAGGTCCGTAGTGTCCGCCGTAGCTCTCGGTCCAGAGGTTGAACGACCGTGATGTCACTTTCGAATCCAGAACAGGCAGGGCCGAAATGAATGCCTGAAGAACTTCCCATGTTCCCATAGCGGCAAGCTCTGTGGTGCTGTATCTGAACGGGTCTGTGTTTGCATAACGTCCGTCAGGATTTACGTTGGGTGTTGGAAATCCAGTGTTTGGATCAAAGATGCCCTCGACCTCATCCGCGTAAGAGAAACCTACGCCAAGAGGCTGAGATAAAAATAACAGATTACTCTCCTCACTCCAAGAATACGGATTGACTTTGGTAATGAAATCGTGGGTCACGTTGCAAGGACCAAGCTCTAAGCACAAGTTAGTTGTCTAAACATCAAAATTGTGAGGTACAATTGGCACCTTCGAAGAGACCGATCATGGAATCTGATCCAGGGCCACCATTGAGCCATAATGTGATTGGAGCCTCGTTGGCGTTGTGTCTAAGCATCATGATATCAGCACTGGATTCATATAGCCAACGGGTAGAGCGATGCGCGTAAGGAAACACACCTTGCTTCAAAAAAGTAGAAGAACATATGTGTGTTGGAATCTAGATCGACATATCCAGAGTATGAGTTGACTCCTGGTGTCGTCTCGCAAATACCCTCTTTACCAGGTTCCTTGAAGCGAATGGTCATTCCCTTTGGTGACTTCAGGGTTGTAACCCCAGTTGGCTCGGCAGGTAATTGTTTCTTGATGAGGTCCTCGATATACCGAGGTAATACATTGCCAAGAGCTGCCTGTATCAGCAGAGGGCAGCAAGCTAATGCTGCCGACCTGCTAGAAAACCTCATCTTGGTTGATGGATATCTTTACAGTGGCGATTCACTCGTGAAGCAATTTGCTCACTTGGTCAAGAGCACAGCTGGAGTATGGATAAAAAATGGGACAGAAAGAAAAGAAGCTACTCCTTATCTTTCCTCAAAACGCCTCACTTCACCAAGGCAGAAGCACCGATGACAGTGGAGTGGAGCTGAAATGTAATCTTCTCTCATGCATCTCGCCTTCTATATCAAGTCGGGAGTCGGAGGCAATACTGTGCGTGCCGCCAAGACTCCCATCTTCTGCAACAAGTCATGTAAGTCCTAGGTATATTGCACTCACCCTGGACAGAGTTCTGTCTAATGTGCGTAATTTTGCAGCATCAAGAACAGAGGGCTGCAGCAATCCACCTGTACGTTCGAGGCACACACAACTATAATGACGCTCGACAGTATGGCGGCCTGCCTGTTCTGGCTTAGAACTCATATTGTATATGGTTGTGTGGCAGCATGCACGAGTCGGGCGATGCAGAGTCAAATGGAAATCCAGAAACCATGGAGCAGGTGAGATCTAGAGCTGCGCTGCCCGGACGGACCGACGTTGCATGGTGCAGAGTATGCAACTTAGATCTGTGTCCATGAGAGTCAAAAGTTGAGCGAGCCCCGCAGAACAAGGGGCCCGGATAAGCTTCTGTGCTTGTCTGCATCTAGAGCGATGCCGGGCAACCTTGGCATAGACTAATTGTGCATCTGCCGCATGGGTGGTGTCTCCCATTCGGAGAAGAAAGGCTTGCCGATTCCTGGGGGGATTGAATAGAAAACCGATGGCGGTGAGGTGAGGTGCATAAAAGGCCCAATCAGCGATTCGAGCAGCGGGGATCCTCCGAGTCCTAGACCGGTTGGATGGATGGGAGCATATACGATCACGGCATCCGCCCGAGCGGGTTGATTGCTTCGACCGGACGAACCACTATCCGCTGTATGATCTCGCATCGCAGTGATGCGAACTAGGTAGTTGTCGCTTCTGTGAGACCGTTGATCGACACCAATCACCTCGACACGGCCGGCTAGGAGTATAAGCGAGGCTAGCCAAGAATAATTCGACAAGAGCTGGAGGCCGGAAAGAAACTTACCTTACCCAGCTCCATATAACTGAAACATGTATAATATCTCAATTGGTGCCAAGTGCCTGGAATGCTGAATTGAGCTTCCTTCAGTGTTGATGAAACCAGAAAGGGCCTGGATATCAGTTTGCATGAGGGGTCACTGGAATGCTCCCCATGCATACATACAACTCTGCGTGCGTAGTAGGATGATATCATGATGCTTGGCGTCAGCAGGCCACCAGCTGTGCCATGGGTGGTCAGTCCATTAGCGATCGTCACTATGTGACCGGGCCCTGGATGCATGATGCGCAGTACTTTCATGCTGTCACAAACCTGCGAATCTCTGTAGGACTGAGAGAAAAACCTGCATCCTATCGAGAATAAACGTTCGTGACGAAATGATTCATCAAGGTTACGCAACTGTTACCATTTCCTGGGTGCCTTGGATAATGGTCACACCACAACTTGGGAGTTTGCCTTCAGCGTTCCCGCGCATGGATGATGGGCGATTTTGGTATCTTTCATAATGTACATTTTCCTCCACGTGCGCTATCAAAAGTGGGTTTGTACATTCCGAGAAGGCTGTAAAGCAATTCGCCTTGAACTGTGCCTCACCGGAAGCGAGGGGTTCCAGCCAGGGTTTCTTTTCGTCATAGGACTTGAGCAGCGACGGTGCCTATTGGGCGTTCAACAAATTCCATGATGCCCTCGACAATGTTCTTTCTTGCCGGCTCACTTGCTACAGCCTTTCCAGCAAGATAGTTGAGCCACAGCGCCCGGCTAACCCTCTCATCCGCCACGCGACCAATAGTACCGAGAACATTCTCGTTTTCAGTCTTTTGTTTTTGCTGCTTGCCATCATCGTACATGATTGTCAAGGCACCCGCCTCATCGCGAACCATGATCAACTCTCCCTTTGCCGGCAGCTTACCTCTGTTGAAAAGTGTCCGGAATTCAGTCATGGAGGCACCAAATGCCTCATCGTTGTACTCCTGCTTGTGCGCCTGCGATCGTGCTGTGATCGCCCTGACAAAACCGTCGCGTAGATGAGGGAAGTCTGTGTTCCGCACGGGGATGATTCTCATGGCGCTTCTGGGCTTGACGTCCTTGAGAATATCAAGCCAGAGCTTCTCACCCTCGACCGGGTCCAGGAGCCGTCTCCGCAATTCGTCACGCTCGCTCGGCACAAGAGTCGTTGCAATTGGATTGATGTCCTTTATGAGTCTTGCCTGTATGGCTGCGATATCGGGTGTTGCAATGTAGTAGCCCACGACGTAGACCTCAAAGCCCAAGAATGTGACTGTCCTTGTACCCAAGCCCACGAGAGTATACTCGACGCCATTGTGTACTTCTTGCCCGTCGACGGCCCCAGCTTTGAGTTCCAATGTCCTTGGAAACCACTGAATGGTCGTGTTACCAGTGGGGACCATCTCCCTGCCCTCCTGATCGTGCACCACAGTCTTCCGCTTACTCCCGGCCTCGGTCAAGAAGGGGTCGGCATTCTTTGGTAGGCCAGAGTCGAATTTTGTCGGCTTGTCAATTTCCTTCTTGAGTAGGTATGCCGTGTAGATGAAGGCGACGATTCCAGCAATTGATCCGGCAGCAAGAAATCTTTGCCTCTTGATATGGTACGAGTAGGAATCGGTGCGCATGCGATCGAGGTTTAAGCTTTCATATGCTCGATGCGAGGGGCGCGAGCGACCCATGAAAGTTCGAGCCTGCGCGGAGGCACTTGGGCATTGCGGCAGCCGCGACAGTCTCGATCGTGTGGTCTGTTGCAGTGGGCGGAGGACGGCATCCAGATGGACGCGTGTGCGTGCAGATCTCATCATGATAGATGGCAATGACGTACCAAGTCCAGCTGCGCAGAATCAAAGAACGGATTAGAACACAGGGTGCTACGTAAACAACATGAAAGATTCGAATGAGGATGAGCCACCCCAGAACAAATTGCAGCAGTCGAACTTTTTGAAGGTTGAATTGACAGTAATGGCAATAGCTCAACCCACGCTAAAGCAGCTCACCATCGTCATTAATCGGCCGATGCTTGATAATTGGAAGCACCACAGCAAGCCAAGCTGTGATCTGCTTGACTGGCCGCAACGGCCCGACAGAATATCATCGATCGAACTTGTGCCGAATCTGCATTTCTTTTTAACCTTCAAGTTTAGTAGGCTCATCAGTGGAGTCAAAATTAACCTGGGCATGGGAGCCAGTGCCAAGCTGGGGTCCGGGGAGTCGGAGACAATCGTGGGCTAGTGTACTCTGTACAAGATCCACGCCCGGCCAGCCCTGTAATTCGCCACGAGAAGTGCGAATTAATCAATCATGAACGAGATCAGGTGCAGGGGGGTTATCTATTCTGGTTGTCACTGTTCAAGGTGATCTGCTCCAGTTGACTGGCTGACGCTCTCTTAAGCGCCGGGCCTCATCACATTGAGCTTTCTGCAGGATGTAGAGATTGTCTTTTCTGCAAGAATGCGACCTTGGGACAGAGGTGAGCCACCCAAGAGACATGTCCAGTCGGTTGTCTAGGTAACTCAAGGGTGCATTTTTACGTCTGAGAGTTCGAAAGGACGGAGAAGTCGGGGCACAACAGTCCCGAGCTGGAGCGCAATTTTTTGCATCAGTGACAACGTGCAACCTACATTAGGTAGTATGTAAGGTTAATAACTGTCACTGTCGCCGCCGTTGGGCAGCACCACACCACATTGGTCCCACTCACATTGCTTATCCATCTTCTTGTCAATGCTTGCTGTAATATACAGACTGCAATGGTAGATGGGCAATTAATTGAATGGTCTCCCCAAGTTGAGTCTTATCTCGTATCCGAGCGTGATATGCACTTAAAGAGCTGTCATATGTGCTCCGAACAATGACAAATGAATGATCTTGTCCTATGAATGGGGACGAACTTTTTCGCAATTGCGCAAAACTTCTTATCACAATTCCCATTTGCTCCAAGCGACTAGTTTAATTGAATCATCTCTGCATCGTATTTGTGTCTATAAATGGACTTGGACTCGGGACAGTGAAGCAAACAGGCCGATTCGCGCGGGGAACGTCCAAATGTCTACATCATGCATCTCTATTTAATCATGGATTATGGCTTACTACTCTTGTATGGTAGATAGCTGGAATTCTGCCAATACTATTCGCCTAGTTTTCAGGACAGATGCGGGAACAAGCCAAAAGGATTCCAGAAGGGGACTGCTGATCATCCAACGGCGAGCAGGGAACACAGCAACAAACGTCACGAGCTGTTTATTCTCTAGGTAATATTGTCTAAATTATGGTTATGAGAAGAGCTTGTTTGGCTGGCGAAGTGTGGTATTTCTTTTTTCTGGGCGAGTCTTTGGGGAAGACAGAGCCAACCTTCTGGGCACAATATCAAAACCTCGCCAAGCCCCGACCCGATGCTTTATTAAAAGAATTTTAGAGTTTGTCAGCCGGCACAATAATTACTAGCACACCCATGGAGCACGCGGGAGCGATAACACCGGCCGGCACAATGATTGCCAGCTCAGTATTGGCGCTGAATGTGCCCGTCGAAAGGAAGACGTACACGAAACTGGCGTTGTTACTCTGAACTGGCCGAAGCTGTCTCCCTCTACTTTCCCGAGACCTGATTCATCAAACCTCATACCTTACTAGAGAACGTCTATAGCCAAACATGGTCACGAGCGTGTCCAGAGTGGACCACACAGTTGGCACTGACGTCGGAGGCTCTGTGAGAATAAGAGTACTACTTTTTAAGCCTGAACCGTGCTCTGTTGCTACGTTGAGGCTAAGATGGATCTTTCCGAAAAAGTGTAAATTTGCAGATACAGTAGAAAGAAACGTGGAAAGTCACCAACGACACAGCAAACTAGTACAGAGTAGTTCCTAGTAAACATTTACCTACTCACTGTCTACTACATACCTACCTGCAGCTGCTTAAAGTCGAGGGTCCAAACCCATTGCAGAATCTTGACATCCCACTCTTTCGGGGACCATGATACTCGCAGTCGTTATGCACCATCGTCATCACACCAGTGCTTCGAAATTTCATCCAAATAGCATTCAACTCGCTCCCGCCGTTGCCGGCTTGGTGCAATAATAAGTACCTAACGAAGGTACAGATCAGACGCCTGTTTCAGGGGGCCCTAGCACTAAATGGCAGGGCCGTAGCGGGGCTTCCGTCTTCTCCGATATTCACTTAACGCAAAAAAGTCCCAGTCGTCCAGCCAGCCCCACGCGTCCCAGTCCAGTGGCAGCAACGCTCAGCGGGTTGGTGGTGCCTTTCCTACCTGACCTTAGTTTCCTGGTTCCAAAAGCCCGGCTTCAACCACCGTCAGTCAGTCAGTCACAGTGCATCTCACACACATCAGCCTCACAACAAAACAACACAAAGGTGTCGTCTGGTCTAAGCGATATCATCAGGACGCGCCCCTTGCTTCTGCGCTTAATTCAGCCGAATACCTCTAGTCGAGCGACACAGTTTCCATCCTGAAAAGCCACCAGCAGGACGAAGCGAGCCCGGGCCCTGCGGGCTCACGGACAAGCCCCCGACCCCATATTCCGGTTTGGAGGAAGCGACATCAACGTCACAAACCAGCGGATAGTCATTACTGCCCAGCCATCTAATCCAGGACCGACGGCTGAAAAATGCGCCCTCCTGCTGCTGCCCTTGACTTGATAGCAGGCCGATCCCAGGCTGGACAGGTCACGACTGCTACAAACGAAGCCATGGACTCGGTGCCACAACAACAACAACAACAACAACAACAACCATCACCAGATCAGCCCCCGAGTCAACAAACGCCAGTAGACTCTAACAATAACAACATGATGGACGTCGAAGCGCGCGACTCTCGGTCTTCGTCATCGACAAACTCCCCGCTTCCCCGCGATAATGACGAGTCCGATTTTTATGCGATCAACAATGACTCGGAATCTTCGTTGGGCGTCATGCCCAATCTTCAAGACATGCAGGTTAACGACCAAGAATGTCTGCCCCCAGCGGCTACCCTTCCCAGCGAAATCCTCATCAGCATATTTTCCCGACTCAGCTCACCCGCTGATATGTTCAGATGTATGCTGGTATCAAGACGATGGGCACGAAACGTGGTAGAGATGTTGTGGCACCGCCCAACTTGCACTTCATGGGAGAAACATACGCAGATATGTCAGACATTGCAACTTCAGCAGCCGACCTTTGCATATCCCGAATTCATCAAGCGCTTGAATCTTGCCACTCTGTCGTCGGAAGTCAACGATGGAAGTGTCATCCCCCTCGCTGTCTGCACCCGCGTCGAACGTCTTACCTTGACCAACTGCAGAGAGCTTACAGATATTGGACTCAAGGCCCTGGTGCAGAACAGCCCACATCTGTTGGCGCTTGATATTTCTCAAGATGACAAAATCACAGAAGCTTCGGTCTTCGCCATTGCTGACAACTGCCCCAGATTGCAAGGGCTCAACATGACCAACTGCAAGCGCATCTCCAACGAGAGTCTGATGAGGCTGGCTGAGAGCTGCAAGTACATCAAGAGAGTGAGTCGGCCCTGCGCAGGATCTAGTGAGCTCCAATCACACTCTTTCATACTGACTACTGTTCACAGCTCAAACTCAACGATTGTGATCAACTCAACGACGACGCTGTCATGGCCTTTGCTATCAATTGCCCAAACATTCTCGAGATTGACCTTCATTCCTGCCGCAGAATCGGTAATGAGCCAGTCACTGCTCTGCTTGCTCAAGGACAGTCTCTCCGCGAACTTCGTCTTGCCAACTGCGAGTTGATTGACGATTCTGCGTTCCTGTCACTCTCCTCCAACAAGATCTATGAGCATCTCCGCATCCTCGACCTCACTTGTTGCACTCGTCTTACGGATCGTGCGGTCGAAAAGATCATCGACGTAGCCCCTCGCCTCCGTAACCTGGTTCTTGCCAAGTGCGGCAACATCACCGATGCAGCTGTCTATGCTATTTCGCGGCTGGGAAAGAACCTCCACTATGTGCATCTTGGACACTGTCGCCACATCACGGACGACGCTGTGAAGAGGCTTGTCCATTGCTGCAACAGGATTCGCTACATTGACCTGGGCTGTTGCCAGCATCTCACAGATGAGTCTGTCACCAGACTTGCAACATTGCCCAAGCTCAAGCGCATTGGTCTGGTGCGATGCAGTAACATCACAGATGAGAGCATGTATGCTCTTGCCAAGGCCAATCAGCGAGCCCGATCTCGTCGAGATGCTAGTGGTAACGTTGTGACCGACTACAGCCACAGCAGCAGCTTGGAGAGAGTTCATCTGAGCTACTGCGTGAACCTGACATTGCCTGTAAGTAATTGACATGTGGCCATCCACATTTTCTTCATGCTAACATGTGGGATTATCCAGAGCATTATTCGACTTCTAAATGCCTGCCCAAAACTTACTCATCTCAGCTTGACCGGCGTCACGGCATTCTTACGTGACGATCTAGATGCCTTTTGCAGGGATGCCCCTCCTGATTTCACCGAACACCAGCGACAGGTTTTCTGTGTCTTCTCTGGCAGAGGCGTTACTGGCTTGAAAGATTATCTAAACTCAAGGGAAGAATTTGCACAGTTCCATCCAGGTGCGGCGCCCAGCAGAACCCTGGCAATCCAAGATCCAGATACCTTTGAGGATAACGACGGTGTCGAGGACGATGACATGGGCGAAGGTAGTGATTTCGCCGTCGGACCTGACCCTGTCGCCACTCAGAATCACAATCTTGGGGTGCCTCCACCACCGCCACCTGCACCAGCAACGCCCCAACATCCAGGTCCGCAAAACACTAGTTGGCTAGGATTGCAGGGCACCGCAGCAAACCCTGCTTCTCGAGAAGATCTCGAGCGCCTCTTGCTCAGAGACAACACGAACCCAGCCGTTGCACTCGATACTTTTGCGTCGTCTACGCCCCAAGTTGAATCGACGACACCCACTCAAGAAACGCCAGCTTTACAGATTCCTCCGTCGGCCTTCCAACACCAGGTATCTTACACCCAGGGACCTAGTACAGCCGCTGTCAATGCGTCTGGAGGACCTGGTCAGTCTAATGGCCGACCCAGTACAGCGTCACTCCAGAGCGACTCGTTGGAGGGTCGACGGGAATAGCATTCCAACGATGACTATGGGCTTTATAGAAATCTCTCAGCATCACCACCTCTTGGCGTCTAGTGTTGATTATTGAATGGCATCCGATATTTGGTCAACGGCCTACGATGTTCTCGTGCCGCCAGGCTGAATGGCCTGACCGACTATACTTTCGGCCACGAGACGGATGCAGATTCATATCGCGGAATCATGCCATTTTCATGAGAGAGATTTCTGGCCGAGCTTCGGTCAGGCATGTTCTGCAGCATGACTGGCAGATCTATTTTGGCTGCGATAGTCATGACCTCATTTGACGAGCAGCATTGCCCAAATGGGACAAGGTCATATATAATGACTTTTTTTGAAACTGCTCTCAGTTTCTCTTATCGGCAAGCAGCCACAAACATGTGAGGAATACTGAGGGCACAGAGCATCCTGTGGTTGGCGTACAGTGCAATGGAGGTTGAGATTGGTCTTTCTGGTACAAGGAAAAAACTTTGATTTTTTGAAGGGAAAGGAGAATGCATGGACAAAGAATTTCCAGCGGTCCACCAGCATTGCGAATGATGGTTTTAGTTATGATACCATATGATACCAGAGGCACGGGAAGTTGTGCCCTCAGCTCCAGAATGAGGTGACAATAAGTTGTGCCCAAGCTTGTTCTCTCTGCGTTGGTTCGATCTGCCTTGATTCCGGCTGAGGAATTCATTTATAGCAATGAGATCAAGGCGTATCGGTTTTGGGGGGATGCATTATAAATAGATCATAGTCCAGCAATCAATGGTTTCTTCTCACAAGTAGTGTTCGGTTGATGGATGTAATGCATCTGCCGCTATTGTCTAGTAGAGATCATCTCGGACTTGACGAGGTAATACTAGGACGTCAGCATGATTGATTGCAATGTCGCGAATAACAGGTAATGACAGATGCTCAAAAGCGGAAAGCGGTTCTCCATGGTAGGTGTCCACATTTTGCTCATTGGATCACCATGCTGTCGTGTTGCTTGAAAAGCATGATAAGACTCGGGAAAATGCAACTTGAACATGGCAGGATACATGAGGAGTGTCCACATACAAGTGAGCAGGCCACAGAGTCACTTGATTTAGATCTTTGGTTCTGAGCCATGTTGTCATCAACCTCTTTTACATGGTGTGTAGAGACCATAAACAAGACTCCTCCCAGAGTGGTAATACTTATCACCGCGCACAAGCGCGACGAGCCCCCCGAATATCACCGGGGGTTCCCGATCTGCGGGGTCCCCGCAGGACTTTTCTGGAGCTGGGAGGTACCAATTCGAATCAACTATGGCGCTCCAATCATGGAACATTTGAACATGGAGGTGCAAAAAACACGCTGTACATGTCAAGAGAACGAATTGTAGGATCTGGGGGGGTTTTAATCAAAATTCGACTCATCTGTCATCTATCTCACCAGCATCAAACGATGCAAACCTTATCTCCAGTGACACGGCCTGGTGGGGCTCACAGTTGCTTCTTGGCGGTGACATCATGGGCTCACGATTGGTTGTTGAATCACCTTCAGCTTGTTTTGTGGACGGTGGCTTGGCAAAGGAGACACTCACCTGATTGCCCGATATATCATTGGCAGCTGCGTTGTTGTGTTTGCGGAGATCTGGCTACCTCCTCTTCTCTATCTCTCTCCATCTCGTTCGAACTCATCCAAACCTCTTCTTCTTTTTCCAAAAACAACATACCTACACTGACATTTCTACTCTGCGAAGTCAACAACCCAACCCTCGATCATCATGGATTTCGTCAACAAGCTCACCGGCGGCAACAAGTCCGAGGGCCAGCAGGCCACCAACCAAGACCAGAAGCAGGAGTCTGGCGGCTTCATGGACAAGTTGAACGGCATGGCTGGTGGCGGCAAGGAGAGCGAGAAGAATGAAGATGCTCTGGACAAGGGTAAGTCGAGAAGAATGCATTCCTCCCCCAATCCATTGGGGTGTTCATCTGCTACCCGCGTACAATCTGCTAATATCTGATGCTGCAATACAGGTGTCGACTGGGTCCAGGAGCATGTTCTCGGTCAAGGAGACCAAAGCAATGAGAGCGCGGCCGAGCAGGCCAAGGACGAACAGATTTCCGACTTCATCCGCGGTCAATACAAGAAGACCACGGGCAGTGACATGCCCATCAAGGATAAGGAGAGATTCTAAGTCGGAGCAAATGGGTACAAAAAGCAATGAGCTGCCTATGGGCGGGCGTCTGATATGGTTGATGCCTTGTACAGGACAACTTGGACAATCTGGATGCATTTACTGAATGCCACAGACTGCTCGCATTATGCACCGTCCAGATTAAAACAAAGAATTAAATAAATATGATATAAATACTGAAGGCTTCTAGTCCAATGAAAATGAACAAACTGTCAGGTTGTGGGAGAATCAAACAGGTACCGTGCTGTGAAATCGGTGGTCAGTCTGGCCCCCGCAGCATCACTGCCAATTTAGCGCTGCGTGCATTTGTATCGTTGTCAACTGACAAAAGATCTGTACCACCAGTGACCAGTTGCTTCAAGCACTAGTCAGAATGTAGTACACTCGGCATCTCTTGCCCCAAAATGTGCATCGTGATTGATCCTCGGTTGAAGTTGTGCTGCAATATCCTGTTTAGCAGGCAGCCTACCTACATAACTCAGAGCTACAAAGTACCTAAGGAAGTGGAGAGTGTGGCGTCGCTCAAAGGAGGATTCTGACCACGAATGGAAGGGGGAGAAAAAAAAAGCCAGTCAACTCGTTCTCAGCTCCGGAAGAATATAAGAGTGACAGCAAAATGACAGCGACTGACAGAAGGCTTAAACGGCCATCATGACGTGGGCGGCTTCACCATTCATCCCTGCGACTTGACCAGAACATCTCACAGAAGAATTCTCAACCACCTTTGTGTGTGTTTCCGCTAATATGATGATACCCAATATCCGGCAAGCCACCCAAATCTCCGCATTTTATCCTTGACGGAGATCACCCGCTGGCCAGGGCTTAGGTGAGCTTGCAAAAAGGGTCCATGACTCAGGGGACCATTGTCTTCCGCCGGGACGGTCGCGGGAGCTAAAGCCGACAATTTTGTGCGTCTGTGATACAGTACATTGGACCACGTGCCGCCAGACCACGTTCCTTGGAAAGTCGAGACTGTGGACTGCACTCCGGGCTGGCAGACGGGACCCCTATAGTGCCTCTCGCCGGTGGCGACTCTGAACGTCTGTCCACAGACAGATGCTGGCCAAAAGTCTAAAGTACGCATGGCATCCCAGACGATGGGTGCCGGACGATGCTTGCCAACTGGAACTCAGTTGCCGGTCATCCCGGTTGCAAACTACCTAGCGTTGACTTGATTGAGGTCTTTTGGTTAAAAAAGAGCCGTAAAGCTACAGTACTTAGCGTTCACGTCTTTTTGGAGACCAAGAGCTCTACCTAAGCAGCTAAGCTAACCTTGTGAGGTTTCTTCTCCGGATTCGTTGGTGAATCGGTCGAGATCTCATTGCCTATTTTGGCCCAGTGCGCTTGATCTGAGCGCTGGCTCTAGATGACGGGTATCTATAGTCTGTTTCAGACTGTAAATGGAACGCTCGTCGATGCAAGGTGAGGTTGGATGAGGAACCCAATTCAACTCAAAATCCGAGATTGGCATTGTCGATCGTGACATTCATCTACGAATCCTCAATCAGTGGTTTCCAAGACGACCTGACACGCAAACTGCCAAAGCCAACTTTTGCACAGTTTTATTTACTATGCAGCCGCGGTTGTCATATTTGACAAGAGGTTTATGTGTGCGCACTGACTACGAACGGACCCAAACTACTGGCAGAACTATGAAAAAAGCAATCAGTCTGGCCAGCTGCCGAAACCCGATCCCTCGCCATGGGCCCACCAGAGGCAAGAGAGGAGGCATCTGCCTCATCCTATAATCCGTTCTGGGAGGCTAGTACTCGTCTGGTACTGCAAGGCTCCTGTCATCAACATCTCATTAGTGACCTCTCATTCGTGACCATGTCCTACTATGGCAAGGTTCGCATTGTGATACAGTACTTTGTTGACGACATGAGCACAGTTCACAGCGCGGGCCATCTTTCATCTACCTTTCTTCTGCCGAAACAGCCCACAGCAGATCGGCGGCTCATAAACCTCCATCACGCTAATCTCGTGTCCGTATATCAAGCTAGGTTCGAAATAAGACGCTTCAATGTTAGTGAGGAACACAGGCACGGTCTAGCTCATCTAGTTTTGTGATAGACAGCCGCGCCGCCGCGGATCTGACAACCGCTGGCCTCAGACTACTCTGCTGTGGATCTAGCCGTCTGGTAAACAGGGTTGCCCATGATGCTATATTCAACAATGAGGCGGCTCAGCCCATCCCTGAGTCGTTTTCATACTTTGCCTCAAGAATCCCCAGTGCGCCCGCACCGATCAACCCTTCAAAAATCTCCGATCAGAAGGCGACAATAACAACAACAACAACAATACCTTTTTCGAGTCTCCGAGATGGTAGCTGGGTTCGCTATACCATCGTAGGGCGTGTCGTCGAGGCGAGTCTGGTCGCAGGAAGTCTGGTCTCGTCGCCATACCGATTCCAGCCATGAGGATCGTACGGCTGTACGTGTTGGCAGCCACGTTTCTGTTCAGCCTAAGTCACGCGAAAAGCTTTCTCGATTATGCCGACCAGATTCCAGCATGCGGGGTGGGTTCCAATTCATTGATGATATTCATGTTTGGCAGGACGCTCACAAACAACACCTTTAGTTGCAATGTATACTCGAGGTAGTGCCCGACTCCGCTTGCCACTCGGTGACGAACTCGACTTGTATCTGCGAAGATTCTTCACTATACGATGCCGTCAATGACTGTGTATCGGCAAGCTGTACAGTACTAGAAAGACTGCGTAGGAACTCCTCGCTCCCGCCTCGAGTCAATCTGCCTTGTATACTGATACATTCTTTAGAACTCGCCAAGACCGATGAAGTAGCATGTGGCAGGGCAGAGCGACACCAAACTGAGGATATAGCTCCATTCCTAGTCCTTGACACTGCCACGGTGCTCTTTATGCTGGTACGTCTAATAGGCAAATACAAGATCGCCAAAACAATTGGGCCGGACGACTGGATTGTGTTTGCCATTCTCCTCACCCTTTTGCCATTTATTGTGCTCGGCAATTACGGTCAGTTTCCCTCTTCCAACGAGCCTATTCTTGTGGACAATTCACTAAAAGCCATCTGTAGTCCGTATTACAGCGCTTGGTCGTGACATATGGGATCTCGACGTCAACACAATCCAGACGGCATTAAAAGTATGGCCACCAGATACGATTACACTCGACCATTGAACTGACTTTGGCAGCTTTTCTTCATTGATGAAATATTTTATATTGCAGTCCTGGCTCTCTGCCGCGTGAGCTTGCTTCTCTTTCTCATCCGAGTCTTTTCCATCAGAGTCTTTCGCAAAATATGTTGGATAGTGATGGTATGGGTGGTATTATCATCCATCGCCAACATATTTGTGGTCGTATTCCAATGCTGGCCCATAAGCTACAATTGGGAGGTGATAACCGCGGCGTCTGATCATCATCAATGTCTCGACGTCAATATTCTCGCCATCTACACTGCTGTCATGGGCATCGCACAGGACTTTACCATTATGATTATACCGCTGCCCATCATAGTCCAGCTCAACATGCCATGGAAGAAGCGGCTCATGACGCTCTGCATGTTCAGCCTGGGGAGCTTTGTCGTCCTGGCTGCCTGCTTCCGGCTGCTGCACATTTTGCAGTTCTCCAAGTCGTCCAACCCCACGTGGGACTATACCAGTCCAGTCATCTGGACGTCGCTCGAAGTCAAGGTCACGGTCATTGTGCTCTGCATGCCGACCATACGCCTCGTCATTGTGCACATTTGGCCGGACGAGTTCAGGACGACGCGCAAGAGGTCGAGCGCCGCAAAGACGGGCTCCACACCGAAATCCGGGACCAAGTCGACGCGAAAGAACCCCTACGATGCCATTAGCGGCGATTCGGTGTCGTCTGGGACGACGCCAAATCCTTGGGACCGCGATATTGAGCTCCAGGATCAATCCCCAAAGAATGAATTTGTACAAATTCGTCAAGAGTACCGAGAGGATTTCCAAGACCATCGGGAACAGCAAAGAGAACAGCAAAGAGAACAGCAAAGAGAACAGCAAAGAGAACAGCAAAGAGAACAGCAAAGAGAACAGCAGTGGCAGCAAAAACAGCAGCAGCAGCAGCAGCAGCAGCATTTCAGGACCTACCGAAATGATCATGTCACACCCATTGCGACAGTACATAGGAGTCGCACTACTCCTATAGCCGCGTCATTCATTCGAGACAGAAACGAAAATGACCCGTTTTACCAAAATAACCATGAGTGGCCATTAGCTCCTCCAGCATCGAGAGCACCGGCGCACAGATACCCAGCACCACGAATGCGAACATATACAGCACCAGAGGTACTCCCTCCTGGGTCGTCAGGACATGGTGGCTGGATATAAAAGAATAAATAAATAAATAAAAACCAGAAATATCTTATATATTGAGGTAGCAGGATCTAGAAGCATCTTGGGTAGAAAGGCGCAGGAGCGTTCATGCAAAAGGTCATGTTTACAGGAGTTCGAGGGGAGTCGAAAGGGAGCGACACATTATGATTCCTATCAAGATACCCCAAGGGCGCTGCTGCGCTCGCCCTTTGCACGTTAAAAATATAGAAATTCAGTTGTCTATTTTGTCGTGGAACTGCCTTTTCTTACCAAGAGAGATAAACATATGCATTAAACAGTGCTTCTCATACAATGAATTAGACAGGTTCTGCAATCATATATGCCTCTCATGATGTTGAGCCTAGACTTGGGGCTAGCTCCCGATACCCGGCTGGACCTCAAAGTTGCTACAATCCAAGGATCGTGATAAGCATCCCAGACTTTTGCATCATACCTTGCAAACACTGTCTCGTCACTGAATAAACCTGGTAATTGCGAGAGATAAACACCTGATATCGAGATCAATGTGCGGGTGAGAGGCAATCACTCGACGGCGACGTCTTATTGGGTTGCTCGCCTAAAAAGCGTCACTAGAAAAGAAGTGGATCGTCACAACGGTGCCGACCATGTGGATAGTGTTGTGTTTATTTCCACGTGCCAGGTGCGAATGTTCATTTTCCAGGGGGGCAAGATGGTTGTCTTGTCTCCTGCAGTAGGGCTTATGTCGGAGTTCATTTTGCTGATCATTTCCCGCATTCTTGACGTAAAGGGCGCGCGGGGTTCCCTAGCATGGTAAGATGCTATCGTTGATATAGTAGAACATACCTAGTAGTGAATGATAACAACTTGTGTGGAAGACATCGAAGACATTAAGATGGATAATTCTTTTCGGATATTCAAATTTATCTGAAAATTCGGAAGGCATATTTCTCATCCACCATTTCTCCCAATACTTTCTCCAAATTCATCCATCTATTCCCCTGATCCGGTCATAGCGAGAGAGCATCGACCATGGTTGGCAAGCTAATACCAAAGTATGTCCTCGCGTCCGTCGCCGTGGCATTAGGCGGCTTCATCAACGGCTATGACACGGGATCCGTAGGCGCGGTAATGGAGATGGACGAATTCACAAAAACAATGGGCCCATTGTCGCCTTTTCTGATTGGGTTCTCGGTATCGCTCATTATGCTCACTGGCGCGGTGCCGTCCGTGTTTGGAGGCCAGCTCGCAGACTCTCTGGGCAGATTAAAGGTCATTATGCTGGGGGCCGTGCTCTTTGGTATTGGCGCCGCCATCGAAGGGAGCGCTTCGAGTCTGGGCCGATTCTTGGCTGGAAGGGCCATTGCCGGGTTTGGCCAGGGCGTGTTCCTGAGCAACGTGAGCGTGTACATTTGCGAGATTGCGCCCGTCAAACACCGTGGCATTCTGGCTGGTCTGCCTCAGTTTATGGCGACGGCCGGTATATGCGTGGGGTATTTCACATGTTACGGAACTGTCAACATTCCCTCCGACATGTCGTGGAGAATCCCGTATATTATTCAGTGCGTCATCAGCATCTTTTTCGTTGCCAGCTGCATGGTTATTCCAGACTCGCCGAGGTGGTTGATGTTGCATGGGAGGCGGCAAAATGCTCTCATGGCGCTAGACTGGTTGGACTTTTCCATGATCGAGGCCGAACGGGACTTTCTCACGGCCACCGAGCAGAGGAGCAGTCTTTCTCTGTGGCAGAGTTTGGTGTTACTCTTCCGCCGAGGATATCGATCGCGGACTATCCTGGCCCTGTTTGTTTTGGGCATGGTCCAACTTTCAGGCATAGATGGAGTCTTATACGTAGGTTCATCCCTCCCGAAGCAGCCGTTCAGGTCTAATGCCATGCCAGTATGCCCCCGTACTATTTTCACAAGCTGGGCTCTCGTCATCGACGGCGTCTTTTCTTGCTTCTGGCCTCTCGGCCATTTTGATGCTTGCGATATCGATCCCGGCCTTCTTGCTCGCCGATAAATGGGGACGTCGAACCTCTGCAATCGCTGGAGGTATTGTTCTTGGGACCATCATGTTGTTGATCGGCACCCTATACGCTGCCGGGGTGGTACATCCGTACGGAGTTGCCCGCTGGGTCGTTATCGCGTCCGTCTTTGCGTTTGGTCTAACGTATTGCGCGACCTGGGGAATTGTTGGCAAGATCTACGCAAGCGAAATTCAGCCTTCAAACACACGTGCTGCTGCAAACTCTATAGCTCAAGGTCTTGCTTTTGTAAGTGTTTGCTTTGGGGGGTTTCTCCTGGTATAAAATCGATACTAATCGCCGAGTGAACAGTTTACAAATTGGCTTGTCGCAATTCTGACACCAATCCTGCTGGACAAATCTGCCTTTGGTGCCTATTTTCTGTTTGGAGGACTTGCTCTCGGTACTGTCGCTGTGCTCGCAGCTTACATGCCAGAGACCCGTGGCCGGTCGCTTGAAGAAATCCAAGAAGCTTTCCATCAGCCAGGAATCAATAATCTAGCACAAAGTCTGCGAAGACGGCTTCTGCGTAAAGTGGGAACTGCAAAGGAAAGCATTGAGCTTGCCGATGCTGGGAATAATTCACTGGCTCTGCCGGAATCTAATGGATCCTCGCTGACCGGTCTGCGGCTTGCTGTCAATACAGCTTGAGATACAATGCATGAAGTTTGTACGTCCTTTGTGTGTCTTTTTCCACACAAAGACAAACTTTTGCATCACCAAGACTTTGGGTGAGGATATTTACAGATTCTTGAAGAGGAGCAAGAACCGCACTCAGTACAGCGGATCAGATTTCCTGCTTAAACAATTGCCAGCCTCGGCACTCAGTACAAACACGACAAAGGAATGGTGAACTCTTTTACGTATCTGTAATCAAACTCATCAAGTCTTATAAATATCTACCATCAATACGCATCACTACTGGAGACAATATTGCCTCCCTCCATCTTTGCCGGTACGAATACTATATAGTGCAAGATTCTCTTCATCAGTTCTTTGTAGACATGAATTGAGAGGCAGAGAGCACCAGTGGTGACTAATTCTAAAGCTGTACCTTCCGCGCCCGCGTTTACCACAACCATTCACATGGGACGGATTGACTCACAAAGAACCACTGCAACTACAACAGGCGCCAGGTGGAACCTGCTGCTCTGTTCAAATTTTCGCGCACATGGTGAAATCGATGCAGATAATTCTGGCGTTATCCATAAAATTGGTCACCCTTTTCAGACTTCAAACCACCAAGTTGCACTCGCGCTCAAACGATTGCACGGCCCTAGACAGCTTCCGATTTTGCTTGGGACCTCCTTCCCGCTTTGCGCTTTGCTTTGTTGGTTAATTCACGGTATGTTCAGTCCCTTCCAACCAAACCGCGCCCGACCACACTCACCCCCTTGAGCGAGCACCTATTTCCACCATCAGAATTCAAGCTCACTGCAACGGCAATATCATTATTCAACCTACGTTCCCATCAGAGTGAAAAAAGAAAATCTCTATTCCAACCTTCCCAAGTTCGCCGATGGGCCTCCTTTCCACGACACCTCATCACCTTGGATTGGGCTCGCAAAGATCCTAGCAAGAGCTAACGTTGAGGTGCTCAGTCGCTGGCAGAAACCAATAGCACCAGATTGGCCCCTTGCAACAATCACAGCAGTCTATCATTGGTATTGCCTGGTTCAGAAAGAATTGCTTCAGAGTAATCGTCGTATGCCTAATCTCTCGGATCATCAGTTACCTTTGGAAATTTGGGAACCAGTAAGAACCCTCCAAAGTGCCCAGAACGGACTTGCAATGCTTTGCAACGCATTCTTGATCAGTTTACTAACAAACATCTGCAGCATTGCTGAAGATGGCACATTCAATCTCCTCGAAACCCCCTTGGTCCGATGAGGTCATTGATCATTTCACAATACAGGGCTTGGATCTTGTCAGCCTTGTCGAATACCATGGAGAAGATCTCCATGCCGATATACAACTTCGAATGGTTGCAGCAAAGAAGGTCGAGATGCAGAATCACATTGATCGACTCGCCGCCTTTCCTTTTGCTGAACTCGATGACAATGAATTTCACCGTGTCAACCAACAGTCTTCATCAAATGAAGTTTCCGAAAATCCCGAAGAGAAGAATGCTTTCAACCTTTTCGACTCCAACGACTTTTGGGGTATCGAGACGAATGACAATAGTGGAGGTTGGGGTACGGATGCTTGGGCCACGGACGGCGACACTTCCTCCTGCAGTGACGACTGCAACAGCATAGTGGACGAAGATATCAGCTTCTTTGAAAGCCATATAGATATGCCAGACGATGCAGGCATGTTTGAACCGTCTTCGTGTTTCGGAGAGGGCGAATGTCCAGGCGGCTTTGCCTCCATTGCTGTCGAGTGGGGCGATGGAGAGTATGGCACGAATGTTACGTCCCTCGAAAAGAGGCTCAAGTGGAAGTTTCCATCAGCTTTTGAAATGAATGAAAAGACAGTCGCCCATACCGAGGACGACATGGGCCACTATCTGGAGGCGGCAGATTTTCTGATAAGGCAAGCCAAACGTCTATGTGACCAGCGCCTAGAGCGGCAGAAAAGAGCCTTTCGCAGGATGACGAGACTCCCGTACACGAGGGAGGATCTTTGCAAAAGCACGTCTGTCGTTGATTGGGATTTGGTCACCAGAAATCTGAATACACGCATGGCTGAGCGCAAGACATTTAAGAGATCCAAGCTGTCGTTTGAGATTTGTTGAGTCCGCGAACTTGTATACCACGAGTGGTTTCTGGTCCAGGTATTCACGGTGCTCTTTGAACGCAATCAGTATTGAGTTCTAAGGAGTCAAGAAATGTACAGACAAGACGCAAGGAATCATCCAGAGCCAGATGTTGGACTTGCAAGATCAGTATAGTAAACCATAATGAAATCAATGCCAGGTATCGCCGATGGAATATAGGTGTTTCTACTCTGGAGTCTGTACAGCGTTGTAGCCATGGCCGATGATGCACTTCTCAGCAGTGATGATTCGAATGCCAGTAAAAGACCCAAGTTCCGCTCAAGCGACGTAGTGTCGAATCTGGCTTCGCTTGGCTAAGTAGATGCAATGAAAACTGCCCGCAATTGAGTTGAGAAGACGATCAACACTCTGTAGCTCCAAACACTGAATCCAAGGCTCATGGCAATACGTACAGAGTAATTGACATGGTACTACCTTGATGTGTACGACATAGACAGACGCGTTGACACGGTGGAGTGCCCAGGCCCCTTTCAATGGATAAATACTAGCGCCCGGGTCCACTTCGGGGTACAGCTAGAGTACCCGCCTAAGCATACTAGTATTATAGCGTGTAATAACACAATTATCTTCAACAATCACCACAAGGCGTTGTGGCAGAGTGGTCTAATGCGCAAGACTAGAATTGATCCCATATCATCCTATCTTGTTTCTTCGGAAGCGTCTGTTCGAATCAGGCCAACGTCGCTCATTTTTGCCCTTCATGACAATTCTTTTTGATCTTCTTTGTGTCTGGATGGATTGCGATTCGTTTGCAAGTCTTTTTGCCAGAGTTGGACGTGAAATGACAGTGCAGTTGTGGGTTGAACATAGCGTGGGAGTTTTGCGCTAGTGCGTCATCTGTCAGATTCGCTACGGCGGCTGGCAGGACTGCCGAGATCTGGCAGCGGACGAAGAACCAGACCACCTGTGAAGTACCAATGTCAGAAAATCCCATATCTAGAGGTCTACTGTTGACCATCGTTGATAGGTCACAAAATGTCAAGGCGTTCTTTATATCCAATTCCCGACCTGTGCCGGGGTCCATCCTCCCCCCCCTCCTGATCTGTGTGTTCAGCTTGCTACATCCCTTTTATCATAAACATTGACGCCCGCCCACGGCTCGACGTATGGAGCTCGAGTGCTCATCTCGTCCTTATCCAAGTCCGGAGACCTAAAAGTTACGTATATTATCGAGTATGGCCTAGGCAGATAGACGGCTGCTTTATTAGCACTAGAGACGGATCCAAAAGGTCGTATCCGCACATATTGGACATTGCTTGCGATATCACTCTTTACAAGATTCTTTAAAACAGGGTTGAGCTAGGACGTGGCAGATATTTTGTTCAACGAGTCGCTCGCTTTCCTTTGACCTGGCTATATCGTGACGGTTTCTGGTGTGGGACATGAGCGATAGGGTCTGAGTGCTAAAATTCCAACGCTAGGAAGATGCTCCTAACGCCTTGTTTTTCTCCATTGCTTATACTTCGTCGTCCGTCAACGCGATATCGCTTATTGATGCCGATATCGCGCTTAGCGGGTTCGGCTTAGGCGTCGCCACCGACGTGTGCTCCTCAAAGGGTAGGGGGCAGGCTTCGTTGTGAAATCAAAGTATATTATGTTTCTGACCTCTAAACTCTAGTCGGTCGGATTCTGTTCAACCACGTTATCGCAGACTTCAGATCACCAAGGCATGGCTAACTGGAATGTTCCCATGGGCCATGCGGCCCGCGTGAGTATCATCGATGCCGGCTCCTCGATCTCCAGCATTCCGACCGACCGCCTGATGGCGCCTGTACTTGACGGATTTGGCTACATGCCGAAGATGCCATCATTGTCTTTCCTTGTTGAGTCGGCCAATGGCAAGAAGATTCTATTTGACCTCGGTATCGCAAAAGATTGGAGGAACTTTGCACCTATTATATCAAATCGACTCAAGACAAACGGGTACGAAATTGATGTGAATTGCGAGGTGCCAGACGTTCTTCAAAAGCACCACGTAGATTTGTCATCTATTCACAGTGTTGTGTGGAGGTTTGTTGAAACTAGCATCGGGAGGGTACTTTTTCGTAATACTGATGGTGAAATAGTCATTGGCATTGGGATCACATCGGTGACCTTTCCAAATTTCCTCCAACCACGGAGCTTGTCGTCGGTCCAGGATTCACAAAGGCCTTTTTGCCAGCTTACCCAGAGTGTCAGGATTCTCCAATCCGAATTTCCGATGTCAGGTAAGCTTTTCTAGCTCTGCTCGGCGCCCATGTTACGACCCGTGCGGCTCTATCCAATCACCTGTATTCTAACATTCTTCTTGTGCAGAGACAGGCAGGTGAACGAATTGGACTTTACCAGAAGCTCTATCCATATTGGCCGTTTTCGAGCCATAGACTTCTTTGGTGATGGATCTTTCTACCTCTTGGATACTCCTGGACACGCAATCGGCCACTTAGGGGGGCTTGCGCGGACCACTGTGAATCCAGATACATTTATATTCATGGGCGGGGACTTGTGCCACCATGCAAGTGAGCTGCGGCCATCCAAATACATCCCACTACCCGACACCATTGAATACCCAATCATATCAGCCTCGCTTTACCCCTGTCCAGGTGCTGTAATAGAGCGGCTTCAGCGACCGCGGGGGAGATGCTCGCTGGATCCAATATTCGACCCGGCCCGGGGCGTTCCGCTTGAGGATGCCATAGAGACTGTGCGAAAGACACAGGAGCTTGATGCTGACGAGAATGTGCTGTTCATATATGCACACGACAAGTCTGTTACAGAAATTGGTGATCTGTTTCCACTAGCTGCGAATGATTGGAAGAAACATGGATGGAGGGACCGAATGTTTTGGGCGTTCTTGAGAGACTTCAATGATATCATCAAATAACGTCATATGAACGATTGGTAATAATTGATCCAATGAAAGCTTCAAGGATGTACAATTTCAGTGATTCTGGGTCACTCGTCGGTATTCTGTGTGAATGTGAGCGTGAGCGATGACTTTGCAGTAGTTATGGTCTGATCCAAGAGCATCCCGCTACATCAATTTGTAACTGTTCATTTTTGCTTTTACATTTCTTTTTGGTTTGATTGCGAGTCATCTCAACTTTTTTGTCTACTAAAGCAGCTCCGCATTATACCGGTAATACTCTCGAGCATCAAGAGCTGCGCATGCTCGATCCACAACGGTCCCTTGCCATGAATTATTCTTTACTTGCCAGGCTCAAAAATTATTTTTTGATACTTCATGTTGTGGAAATCGTCGTAGCTAAGAAATTGAGGAATGCGATCAGTCCAAAGACTCACGATTGGGTCCAATCTCAGGCACTTACGCTTGAACGGCATCAGACATGGGCCTGATATTGTCGATCATGAAGCTGTGTATGTTTAGAGCTCGTACTTTGGGTGTATTCAAGATGTGATGGCTTACTCGAGATCATGCTGTTTTTTGGCTAGCACATTGAGAGCTTCGTTGAAAAGGCCTACGTGTCGGGTGTTAGCATCGTTACTATCAATAGGGTGGACCGCGAAATACACCGAGGGGCACATACTCCGCACAGGACATCTTCCCATCTTGATAGTCAAATTCTTTCCATAGGCCTCGTTGCCTGTCCATGGAATCTCCCCATTGTGGACACCGATACTAGAGATGATTCCCCATGGACGCAAGAGCTCGAATCCGAGCCGAAGAGCTGAACTGTGACCCACAGACTCGATCACGATATCAGCACCTCGCCCGTCAGTGAGTTCCATGATGCGGTCCCTGATGCCCTGCATATTGGTCTGAAAATTCCAAGGCTCGGCCCCGAGGGCTTTTGCCTGATCTAGCCTCGCCTCAACGGAGTCGATAGCAAGGACGTGCTGCGGCCGAAACTCTAGTGCGTTGACGGTAGCGCAGAGACCAACAGGTCCACAGCCGAGAAGAACGACTGTACTTGAACCAACTATATCTTGACTCAGGCCGGCAAAAGCGTTCTTGGCGGCAAAATATCCGGTAGGGAAGATGTCCGCCATGAGCACAAGTTTCTTGCTATCGATCGAGGGAGGGGCCTTGACGACAGTGCTGTCTGCTAGGGGCACACGACAATACTCTGCCTGGGCGCCATCAAGTACTTTAGTCCCAAAAAGGGCGCCCTTTGCGCAGCGAGACGATAACTGACGCTGACAGTAGAAGCATTCTCCGCAGCTGATGGTGAAGGGGGAAATGATGGTGTCGCCTTTTACGACCGTGACGACCTTGGATCCTGTCTCCACTACTTCACCAATGAACTCGTGGCCCATGATGAAGCCATTTTCAGACTTCTGGTGACCACGATACACATGCAATTCGCTTCAAATCAACCGTTAGACTTGCCGTTTTTCTCTAGAGATCAAGGTGTATCAGTGCTGACTTGCCTCCCGCATAGAGCCGTGTATTTGACCTTCACAATGATATCCCCAGCATCCTGGATGGTTGGGACTGGCCGGCGTTCGACCTTTACCTGGAGCTTACCCTGGAAGACAACTGCATCCATCGTGGGAACAGCAGCCATGGCGACGGAGAAGGATTATGAATTATGGAATGAACCGTATTTCTTGCCAGAAGACTCCAAGCTGTTCTCTTGTACTATATATAGCATATGCCTACTTTACCGGAACTGTTTTTCAGGGTATTGCCGTTTGATGTGCTTGAATAAATGACAATGGCCTTTCGTCATGGAGTTGAATGGCGAAATCGGGTCGATGAACCGACACCATGGCCCACTATAAGCGATATCGCGGCCCTTTGCGATTGGTCAGTCTGACAGCCTCGGCCTCAAGCTACCTTTCTAGGTTCTGGCACGGAAGCAACAGACTGTTGCCCCTCCCCAGATGACTCGGCTGTCGTTCGGCAGCGGAGAACCTGGCTAGTGAACATTGAATTAATTTCCCACCACTTGACTCCTCGACTTTGATCAATGTCAATTCAAGTCAGTATTACACATCATGATAATTTTCGCGCTGGCGCGTTGAACGTATGATCTGATAGACTTCCGCGGATATAGCGAGGATCAGATGTAGGGGGTCGCTCTGTGACCCAGTTGAAGCGAAAGGGTGACAGTTGCCTCTTCATTATGGCCTCGCAAAGCAAGGTCGGGACGTGTGTCAACTGTCGTCAGATGAAGGTACGCATCCTACCGTATATTGCTCTCGAAGAGTGAGGTAAGCTTATCATATGCTTGCAGGTGAAATGTGATCCAAAGGAGACATTTCCGGGGCCCTGTTCGAGATGTCGCAAACACACCCTTGGCTGTCATATTGATCCATCCTTTCAGAGGACCGCGAAACGCAAGCAAGTTGACCGGGCAAGAACAAGTGAAATTTATGCTGACTATTTCCATTAGACGTGCAGAGGATATAGAGAAGGAGCTGAGGGAAATCAAGTCAAATGCCACTCACGCTTCGCCTACACCAACGGCAAACTTGAGAACTTATCAACAGGGGTCTGGCCACTCCCCAGCAGAGCCCTTGCCCATTATCAGCACACCGCAATCCTTTGCAAATAACATTTACGCCGTGCCTGAATACGGCTCCTGTTTTATAGATTCAGCATTTGAGACGCGGAGAATAGGAGAACTGGAATTATCACCAGTCGCGATTGCAGATATTCTTAATTGGTGCGCGCTCGCCTGCATCACTTCTTCACCAGGGCTGCGTGGGATTTTACCTGACTAACGTTATCTTCTAGCTATTTCACATCATACCATCATCTCTTCCCCATACTATCAGAGCCTTCCATATTTTATCTCAACTACCCACGTTGCAGCCAGCTGCTTTTCTGGGTCTTGATTGCCATTGCATCTAAAAGCATCCCTAAATACAGCCAGCTTCACCTGCAGCTCGAACCCCATGTTAGAACCCTTGCCACCAGCACTGAGGAAGTAGTAGACCATCCCCTCGGAACTGTTCAGGCGCTTCTGCTGCTCTGTTGGTGGCCTTTTCCATTCAAGGCTCTCCGCGAAGACCCTTCTTGGATGTACGCAGGCTCAGCTACCCATATCGCGTTAAGGTCCGGACTGCACCGCCCATGTCACTTCTCCGACTTTGTGTATGGCGATCGACTTGATGCGATGGGAGTTCTAGCCTTCACTAAAGCCTGGATCGGCTGCTTTATTGTTAACCAAATGTAAGGCCGTATCTACCCCATCATCCCTTGCAGATCAGCATCCCTACTTACTCTGATAAATACAGAATTTCGAGCGAGCTGGGACTTCCGTGTACCGTACCTCTTGACTCGACCATACTATCGGTAGTTCGCGGCACGTCAGAAGTTGCCTTACCCACCGTTCTCGTACAACAATTGAAAATAGCATATCAGAGCTACAACATCTGTAACATTCTCGGGAACAATGATCTATCGTCCTCAGGGCTGCTAGCTGGGAGCACTGATATGATGAGAATATTTGAGAGAGGAATCCAGGAAGTTGAAACGCAAATAGGAGATAAGATGTCAACATACACGGAAATGGCCCTACTCAAAGTGAAGCTGCAACTATATTCCTTCGCCTTCACGGCAGATACCCAAAACATTCGTATCGACAGTCGAGCATCCAAATTTCTCTCTAAAGCAGGCCGCGACGCGACGCAAGTCATTGCGACGGCTGCCCAGCATGCCCCTTCTCACAGGCCCCTTCAGCCATGGCCGGCGACGGCAAGATCGTCCATTGTGTACGCGGTGCACGTTCTCCTACGTCTCTTGGCGTTTCCGGAGCACCTTGATCAGGACACGGCCAAGAACTACATAGGGCAGGCATGGGTGCTGCTACACTCACGCTCCGAGTTGGAAAATGACAGCTGGGCGCGACTTTGCGACATCATAACCTATCTGAGTAGTGCAGACTCAACAAAGGATCCGCCAATGGTCGCACCTGTGCAGGCGCGTATGTCAGCCAACATTGTCGTGCAGTCTATCTGGCAGGCTCGAGGCCGGTTCAGTGAGGATGTGCTGAGACAAAGACCTAGAGATTACACAGCTGCTGAGGCCAGAAGAGATCTCACACAGTTTGGGCTAGATCTCTTGTCAGGAACTCTCTTCTTGGACAGCACGCCGTTTGATGACATTTCAAACTCAATTTTGAACCTGGATAAAGGGTGAACTGGAGTCTTGGGTCAAGACAATCACGCACGGATCCGACCTTTGTCTCTTGCTATTTGTAGGCATTCGTGAGATAAAAAATGGTGGATTCAGTCTATGTTCATTTAATTACAAAGTTCCGACTTTTTTTTTTTCATCCTCGTAGTATCATTGACTCAAAGCCTCGAGCTTCTGCTGCAAACCTTCAGGCAGAGCGAGCTTGACCAGCGGGATGTACTGTTGAGAGCCATGAACATCATTCTCGAGATAGTCTCCTGAGCAAGCAGGCTGTCCCCGGCGTCTGCGTGGTATTGTAGCTTTGAATGCCATAGCCACGTCGAAAAAGTCACACCAAATAACCTCGTCCTCGGGTACACCAAAGAGGCGCGAGATGCATTTGCTGTCAAGCAAACCGGATGCTTTGATGGTTTGGTAGACGTCCATATTGTCAAACATGACATCGAGCGTAATCTCATACGGACCTGAGTTCTTTGAGCGGACCACCTTGGCAACATCAACGAGCGTCTGTGGCCTTCCCTCGAAGCATGGCTTAAGTTGCCTATGCACCGCCGCTTTGCCGTTGGTCATGAGTTTGGCAGAATTGGCAAGGTTTTTTGTCTGCTGGCAGACTGCCGCGCCCGAGGCGGTTGTTGTACCACGGATTTTGTTATATGTACTTCCATTGCCGATGGTGTATTCCTGCCAGCGGAACAACCCCCTTTGACCATCGGTATCTGTCTGAGAGGTCGATGCCGGCCGACAGCCTTCTTGACCTTCCGGGAGTGGCATGAGGTGATACACGGAGAATTCAGCACACTGCTTTGTCTCGAGCTCGAACATGCCGCCGATACCCATTGCGAAGTTGCCAGAGGTGGCCTTTTGATTAGGATATGAGCCATGAACGCAGTGAACCCTGACTGTTGAGGCAAGACTGGTGGCAACCTCCTGCGACTCGGCAATGCATTCGGCGACGACGAAGACCTCACTGGGCACGAAGTCAGGATTGTGCTCGTCGAAACCATACGTGTGGAAACCAATGTCCCACTTCTCGCTTATGTGACTATGCTGCGAGCCGGCAAACGCCTTGACTGAATCGAGGAACGAGTGGACCTGGGGAATGAGGATTGGGTCCTTGAAAGAGCCCATGGTTAGCGTGCGATAGCCTGCTACGCGCGCGCCCTCCAGTTTTACGGTGTATGTGGTACCTTCGTGACGACTGGCGTGAAAGACCGAACCCTGAACGCGAACTGTCCTGCCATCTTCGAGCTGATTAAATTTGGAATTTGCTATATCGATGTATCCTCCGGGTCCGATGAGCTTATCTGGTCGCGTCTTCTCGTAGAGGGTATGTGCAGCGACACTGAGAGGCGTGCATCGGGACTTGGGGTCGAGGGGTCGGATATCGAAAGTGAGGTCCTGATTCATAATGCCCAGCGCACCCGGGCCCTTGGGCGTAGCACACAGGCCGCCACACTCGAGGATCTTGCCCATGTGCGAGATGCAGCCTAGCTCCTGCGGGCTGAGATCCGTGTAGTCGGCAAGGCCGCGGGCACTGAGAGCATTCTGGACCGTGAAAGCCACATAAGGCGCCAGGTCGTAGGCTCGTCCTGCTATGAGGACATTGTAATCTGGATGAGCCTTGATGGCGTCGAGTAATGGTTCCGGCCCCATTTGAGCTACGATTCTCGGTGTGGCATCGACCGTTTCAGGCGTCAAGGCAGGCACCGACTCGCCACATCCTTGGATTTTTCCAGATGATAACTTATCGAGGACGACAGTCTTTGGAACTTCGGAGTAAATGGCAAGGACTTTAAGCTTCCAATCGCTGCGCCGAGTTAGTGTATCTCGGCTGAGACTTGGTCCCTTACTCTTTTCTTCCTTTTTTTTTTTGGAACTTACCTGTGCTCAGACTCTTGGGCAATCTCACGAATGATCTCCAAGAAGAGATCCACATGCTCATCGCTTCCATCGCCTCCCGCAGACGACATCAGCAGAGGCACTTGGTACTTCTTGCTGAAGCCTAGCAGCTTCCGAAAATCTCGTTCGTAGGATGAACGAGGACATGTTGTGGTACCTAGGGCCAATTTTGAGGGGCCGGAGTCCGTCGAACCTGAATCAAGGATGATTGCTGTAGGCGTGGCAAAGTGACTGAAGTTCTCGAGGGCGGCCTGCACTTGCTCTTCTGAAAAGCCATAACCCATCATACCAACGGGCGTGATGACCTGGCACAAAGGCCTAGAAGCAACATCTGCGGCAGTCATTGTAATGACAGGACTGTGATTGGTAACAATGAATCTCAAACAAGTTACCCGTGAGGAAAGGTGAAGGGGGAAAACCAGGGGGGGGGTTAAATGATTTTCAAATTATTTGTAGGGAGCGTCTTTAATATAGCCACCTGGAGTTTTGTATTTTCCCCAATCCCTACTGCGTCAAAAGCTGGAATTCACGGTATACTCCATGTATTATTCCCCAGTCCTCGACTGAGTTGCCGCGCGCCATTATGATCACCTGGGATTTCTCACAAAGCGATATCGCATCGGCCGCCGTGTCCGATGCCGAATAAAAAAGCGATCACGCAAGCCGTGCTCCGCAGCGCGAGCCCAAGACAGGGCAAGTGCAGGTGGCCCAGGCCAACGAAAACGAGGGGATCCAAACTTCGAACAAACCGGCCAACGCGCCATATTCCAAGTTTCCAGCAGTCCTGCCACATATTGCCGGTGTGGGTTGCGGGGCCCCGGACCCCATGTTGGATGACTCGTCTTTAGCTTTGCCCGAGACCTTGGACCTCCATTCATGGGGTGCGAGTGGCCATGCACGAGAATACCACCAACAGCTGGTCTGTTGAGTTAGTTCATAGTCCCTATGTATCTATAAGAAAAGCCAATCTGCTTCCATATGCTCCTATTTCCCCCACCCAACCAGATTTTAGGCTTATTCTCTTCAGTATTAAGCTCAGGTCGTATTTTTCTTTTTGACATTATCTTTGTTTCCATCCCATCTCAATACAGTATGTCACTCGACAACGAGAAGCCAGATGTCACCATGGCTGAAGTCAGGGGGGACCCCAAAATGACCCAAGAAGAAGCAATGCCCTATGCTCTTCTGAGCGAGGACGATGCTGCCTTTATGAACAGATTCACTGAGGAGCAGAGGATGAAACTCCTCCGCAAGGTTTGTAAACGCATTCACGTTGGCCTTGATCACTGACATCTGACTTGGACTGTGCCAATAGATTGACTGGCGCCTCATTCCTGCTTTGGGATTCCTCTACCTCATCAGTTACCTCGACCGTGCCAATATTGGAAATGCCAATATCGAGGGCCTCTCGGTAGACATTGGCCTCACCGGAAATCAGTTCAATGTTGCTCTAGCCATCTTCTTCATTCCATACATTCTCCTGGGCACGTCAACTCCTCTCCTCGTCTTGGCGTGAAGAGCAATTTTCTAACGCGTACAACTGGAACAGAGATCCCCGCGAACATGGCACTCAAGTGGTTCAAGCGCCCTTCGCTCTGGATCGCCATCATGACAACGACTTGGGGCACTGTCCTGCTCTGCAGTGGCTTTGTCCGGAACTATGCTGGTCTGCTTGTATGTCGTGTGCTTCTGGGCGTGACAGAGGCGGGTTTCTTCCCTGGCGCTATCCTCATCGTCACCAACTGGTACAATTGGAGTGAGGTTGGTGTCCGTGTCGCCCTCTTTTACACATCAAGCGCCTTGGCCGGTGCCTTCTCAGGCCTCTTGGCCTATCTTATTGCCAAGATGGACGGTATTGGTGGATACGAGGGGTGAGTCGCAGCCGCATATGGGCTTGGTCACCGACTGGGGTTTACTAATTCGTCTTTTACAGATGGCGATGGATCTTCCTCCTAGAGGGCGGTGTCAGTACCATCATTGGACTCGCTTGTCCCTTCATAATAATCGACACACCCGCTGCTTCAAATTGGCTTACCGAAGACGAGAAGCGCTACTTGACTCTGCGTAAGGAGATTGAGGATGGTGGCCGCGAAGTCCAGGCCAAGGGCCACAAGATTACTGGCAAGGTCGTATTGGCCACCCTGACCGACTGGAAGATCTACCTACAGGCCATCATCGCGCTTTCCAACACTATCCCCAATTACGGCTTCAAGTTTACCATGCCCCAGATAATGAAGAACATGGGCTACACCTCGGCTAACGCCCAACTCCTCACCATCCCGCCTTATGTGCTGGGGGCTATCAGTGCTTACTTGTCAGCCCGCTTTGCTGATCGGTTCAAGTGGCGCATGCCCTTCATCGTTGGGCCCCAGATCTTGGTTCTCATCGGCTTTGCCATCACTTGCGCGTACTCTCAGGATATTAAGAACCGTATCGCCGAGAACTACTTCGCTGTCTCTCTGGCTTGCATCGGTTTGTATCCTATCATCCCTGGCGCCAACGCATGGAACTCGAACAATCTCGCAGGTCCAGCGAAGCGAAACGTGGGTATCGGTCTACTAGGTACTTTTGCCAGTGCTGGTGGTCTTGCAGGCTCCTTCATCTACGTCGAGAGTGAGGCTCCGAAGTATCCCACTGGCTTTGGTATGTCACTTGGTATGGCTGCTGCAGGCATTGTAGCGGCCCTTGCTCTAGAGTTCTTGCTATGGCGCATCAACAAGACCAACGAGAAGTACACATTCGAGGAGATCAAGATGAAGTACACAGATGATGAGCTAGCGGATATGGGTGATAAGTCGCCTTTGTTCAAGTACAAGCTGTAGTGGCAAATATTTATTTCGACCTGATCATCGACGAGCAACGTATGTGGTGAGATAAGCTCTATGGCATATTTTCTACATCGTATCCAGTCTGCGGTATCCCCCAAACCAACTTCCCTTTCTTTTGCCCTGATATCGTGTTAGTACCCTAAAACCACACCCACTACGTTTGGCGAAGGAATTTGCGATAACGCTGTGAATACTGCGATATCGCCTCGTAAGTTTGCGGTACCGCCCGTGGAGCTTAGTGTCAAATAGTGGATGATAATTTCCATGCACCAGAGTAGGTAGATAAACGGCCGCTTTATTAGCACCAGAGCCGGATCCAGAAGGTCGTATCCGCACACCTCCACTCCTAACCATCCATACTCTGCGTTGCCCACCCAAGTGTGTGCTTGCGATGCCCTCACTATTTGATTCCGGCACGCACTCCATTTTATGAAAACCTTGTGTTTTCTATTCATTTACGTCTCCATTAATTCATCATCCCATGACAACACAATCCAGCATTAGTGGTTTAGTGGTAAAATCCATCGTTGCCATCGATGGGCCCCGCGTTCGATTCGCGGCTAATGCAAATCATCTTTTTGTCCATTTTGCTCATATTATATTTAATTCCTTTTGCCCAATCTTGATGATTGATTCTTACTTTTCATGGTCAAACAAGAAGAGAGAGAATAAGCTTGTTTGAAGGCGCCCCCATATTGAGTAGCTCAGGTGTCACTCGAATTTCAATATTGCATATGCCCATTTTTCAAAGCTTGGTATTATTGTCAGCACAACAGCTTAACATTTCCGCCCTGTTTCTTTTACTTTTCGTCAGGTCTTGTTTGTCCTGCGTACCTTGGTAAGTATATTTTATTATCAAAACACCCCGGCGAAATAATGGCCGAGTACATGAATCGCTTGGAGCGGATGACTATCTTTTAATCTCAGCCTACCGAACGAACATCCTAACCGTAGGATCCGGTATTTTGTTATAAGACACTATTGGTCAACCCATCGACGACGTAACTTGGAGGAGGGAGCCTTCAGGCATTGAATCAAACCGAACCTCCTTATGGAGATCTAGAACTCTATGGAGAAAGATTGGAGATCGGATGGGTATTCTTGGAACCCGATGCAACTCATCTACCCTTATCAGGCTGGGCGGCATCAAATAGAGTCGTAGAATCGCAGACATTACTGCGATAAGTAATACTGCTGTAGTTCTCCAGAAAATATATAGAAGTAGCCTTCAACCACCTGAGCAGACTGAGAATCAAGTCCAGGAGTTTTTCAACGAAGCTTTTCAACGAAGACCTCACCTCAGTGAGTATCAAGTTGAAGACAAGTACGAAATTGGAAAATGATATCAATAGGGTAACTGCATCAACCATGAAAAGTCGGATTTCGATCATATATAAATGCTATTTTGATATTCTGCCAATCTGACTTCAGATCAACATGGAGCCAGTGACAGCGAAAAGTCCTGCGACCAAGGACATTACAGTAATGCCGTGACTCGTGGCGCCATTGCTAGTCGGTGTCGACGTCGCCGCAGTTCCCGTAGCTGTCGCAGATGCATTTCCCGAACTCGAACCAGCCTCCCCATCTACAACCACCAGTCTGTCCGCAACACTGTAATCTGCGGGGATTGGCGACTGAGCCTGGATGTATGACACGAGAACCTCATCCATCAGATCCAACACGGCACCATCAACCTCCTCGAGGAAGTTGTCGCCACCACCAGTCAAAAAGTCAATGGTGACAACATTGTAGTCCTTTTCGCTATCAAGCGGCTCGCCGCCAATAGTCACGGCGACAAGGCGGCTGCCTACCTCGTTGTCGGGGTTGTACTCGACCTTGATGTTCTTGCTAAGCTGGAGCAAGGAGCCAACCTCTTCTCCCGTGAACTGGTTCACCATGCTGACGAGGCCCTCGAGAATCTTCCACAGCGTCTCGCCATCGTATGTCACCTCCACGATGGAATTTCCGAATGGGAAAGAGGTGAGGACTTCGCCGCGGGTAATCGTGCCGACGTCGATGGTGGCGCGGACACCACCACCATTAATAAGGGCAAAGTCGGGGGAGCCTCCCCCGTCGAGACGATACTGGTACATGGCACTGTATGCTTCTGTCAGCTGGAACTCCACAGCCGAATAATATTCGTGCAGGCATTACTTACTCGGACATGAAGCCACCCAGGACGCACTCCTCGTCATAGCACTTTGTCTGGTCCAGTTCCACATTGGTTTCGCCAACCTCCTCGGAAGCAAAAGCCTCAAACGGCACTCTCCAAGCATCAATTTGGGTCTGCAGGTCCTCGTCCTGCGCGGTTGTGTTGGTCAAATGGATGGGCGCTCCGTGGTATGCCAGAATCTTGCCCTCGCTGTCGTAGGTGACATCGATATAACCTAGGTACTCGCCCCAGCGGTAGGCCGTGACGATGAAGACCTCGTCGCCGTCCTTGTTGGTCTCAATGGTGGGGTATTTGCCCTCGGCGCCGTCCATGTCGCCCAGCAGGGTGTGGGAGTGGCCGCCCATGATGAGAAAGAGGCCCGACGTCTCCTGGGCGAGCCTAATGTCGATATCGTAGCCAATGTGCGTAATGGCGGCGATGCGCTTAATGTCGGTGGTGCTCTTGATCAGGTCAATCGTGTTTTGGACGGCCTCGATGGGGTCGCTAAAGGTGGTGCCCTCGCCGGGCGAGCTGATGCTGGGGACCTCGTCGGTGGTGACACCAATGACGGCCAATTCGTACTCCTCAAAGATGTGGTACGGCTTGATGGTCTTGTTGAGCTTCTCATTGTCGGAGGCGATATTGGCCGATATGATGGGGAACGTCAGGTTCTGGAGAAACTCTCCCAGCACGTCGTCGCCGGCATCGAACTCGTGGTTGCCCAGCGTCATGGCGTCAAAGCCCATCTGGTTGAGGGTTTCGGCAATCTTTTCACCTCCGTAAAAGGTATAAAAGAGCGTGCCTTGAAACTCATCACCGACATTGAGAAAGAGGCTATCCTCATGGCTCGGCCGGGTCTCGTTGATCACCGTCTTGACTCGAGCGTAACCGCCGTAGCATCCCTTGGCTGGGTTGGTGCAGTCTGTTCCAGACGAGGAAAACTCGTCCAGATGGGCGTGGACGTCATTGATGTGGTAAAAGGAGATGTTGTAGTTACCATCGCTGTCAATGAACCGCTTGCTGAGCCGATTGCTGTACAGCGCGTCCTCGGCAACTGCCAGGCCAGCCAGTGAGGCAATGGCAAATGCTTGTAGTCTCAGCATCTTGTTGTTATCGCCAACGACACCTCAGTATACACAGGCTGCAGGGTGATTGAGAGCGAGTGACCATCAATTGAAAAACCCTCGGCGAATGCAAAAAAACATGCGCAATATGTATATCAGCTCCCCTGTAGATACACAGCTTTGTGGCGTTTCTCTTATCAGAAATGTCTTCGCATCCGGCCGAACATTGGGACGCGTCTTTGCGGTGTATCGCGACGACATCGTGGGCAGCATGGTTGGTCTGTATCTTTCTCTGTTCCTCCGAGAGGGGGCAAGCAAGGCACCGATGCTCGCCAAGATCTGAAATGGCTGGCGACACCGTGAACACCCGCATATCAGCAACGCATTTGTTGTCTTGGCCGCCAGCATTAGCACCTTGGCGCACGGCGCGGCAGACTTGGCGATTCCCGGGTTTTGGTGAGCGGCACACACAATCAGCTCCTGGTGGAGTTTTTTAGACTGTCCGCTTTGGTAGTTGAACCCCGTAGCTGCTCGGTGTTGCGAAAGATGATGGTCGGAGATGATGGCTTCACGTGGCTCACAAGAGCCATGTTGTAGGTTCGCATCTTGACCGCCGATTACCGGTGGATGGGGTACTTTGAAAGATGACTTTGTTCCTTGCAAGCATAACTCAGATCACTTTGGCCTTATCGCTCGTCGAGCTTTTGATTCCTGATAGCATGTCACGGCTGTGTGATATAATCAAGCCTTCATTGTGATGGTCTACGATAAGCAGTGAAAGAGCGTCCTGAGATAGTCCTCATAATGATCTCTCATCGTAATCCATAATAGGTTTGGATGATCTAGCACGTCGCTCGCCAATAGAAAAATTGCCGAATTTCTTGTTAGCTTTTTTTTAAAGAAGATATAAAGAGAAAAAGAAGAAATAAACAAGATTTCTTATTTATTTGGAAATATTATACAAGAACGTTATCGAAACATCTCTTATCTGGCCGGCTGCAACACAGCTATTCTGACTTATGCTTATATGAAAGCCGGTCATTCGATATATATGTTTCTGTTTTTATACCCTTGGTATAGACATGGACGACTTGAGTCGTGGGTTTTCGGTCATGGATCGTGTCGCCTATAAGGATCATGGGCGAGCTGCACTGGATTGTGGAAGGCGCTAGTATATCATACCAACCCTACGACACCTTTCGTTCATAGCCACGCAAATGCCGCTTCGTTTCTCTCACCACTGGTGCATTCACTGAAGAAAGACAATGCACGTTTCAACATGGAGCATATGCGAGCTCATAGGTACGGTACTTGGGTATTGAGGCCTGTTATGGTTTGTTTTGACGATCTTTTGCGGCTGGTCACTGAGTCTACGTCACGATGCCGCTGGCCGCAAACTTCCGCGATACCGCTTCCCCTTCAAGGTTCGCTGATACGTGGGTGCAAATGCAATCATCGCTGCTCAGAATGACAAAAGCAAAGTGTCTGACTCTCTGAGCGTGACAAGACCTGGTGCGGCCCAGAATAAATGGCAGTGCTACACGCAACGCGGAAGGCGGTAGGGCTGCCCGAGTTCCAAAGGTCCATGAAAAACCGGAGAGGAGAGCTCGTATAACCCACCGCATCATGATGCTCAAGTCAATGAGACAAAGGTCAATCCAGACATCCGGAATCCAGACAATAAAAGAGCCGGTCTGGACTGTAGCGGCAAGAGAGAAGATCGGCGGGTTATTGTGGACTGTCGAACCCGCACAGACAATAGACAGACTGCTTGATCTTTGATCGGTCCGGTGAGATGTAATGCATGATCGTCGAGTGATTGGCGATGCTAATTCGAGGCTGAAACGGTTTTGGTGGGCGCGCGGTTGTTTTGGCCCCAGGCGGTTGGCACGCAGAGTGAGCCCAGAACACCAACACTGCCGCAAAGAAGCGCTGAAGATACAGCGACTCCTAATTTTACCAACATTAAAAAAGATGACTGATCATGATCTTCAAGCGAATGCCTCACGTCTGGCGTACATAAGGTACAAAGTTACATATTTACGTACTTGTGTGTATGCTGTCAAAGATGATCCTGTCTGACACCATCTCACCTATATCCTACAGACTCGTTGAATCGGCAGAATTGACTGGTTGGCATGGCTTGCTCCCCTCTCGGTACCGCTTCCTTCTTGCGATCCGGGGCACTGGCAACCGAATTCATTGGTGGGCATTTTTCCCGCCGTACCTTTCACCTATGTGATGTCGGGCCGCTTGTCCATAGACGGGGGCGGCGGCGGGGATTCCCTATGCGGCTCGCTAAAACGCTGCTCAACCGGCTGTAATGATCTATCCCTTCTACAGCAGGTCCAGGGAGAAAAAGTGACATTCCGTGGCGCTGTGGCTTGCAGATCCAACTCAACGTTATTGGAGACTTTGACCTCCCAAAGTTGGCACGTGTGAAAGTTGCGCCGTCATTCGTCTCTCGTGATCGACCAATTGCGATGAACGCTGATTTTCAGGGACATTTTGAGGGAATAATAATTTCTCAACATTTCTTTGGGGCTCCCACCACCTCGTGAGTTTTTGCCAAAATATTCTAGACCTTTGCTAGGCCGATGGCACGCAGGGAAGATAAGCAGAAGGTTGGCGCCGTTGTCGATTCGTTGCGCCACGGGTACGAGGTGTACCTGTGTAGAGCTGGACAATTGGCTCCGAACAGTGGTGGATTGGTTGTATTATAGCGGCCAAAATCACTGCACCCAACCACCAAAACCCTGCCAAAGGAACTACCCCCTGGACACTGGAAAATGTGGAGGGCCGCCGACAGCACCGACAGCCACTCGATCTGACCGGGACGTGGGTACCGGATCTTGGTCCAAGGAAATTCTGGAACGTCGACATTCGCTGTCCATTGATTTTCAGGAACCGCGCGCTTTTGGAAACACGGTTCTTGGGGCAGTGCATCTCGTTTTGGCACGCAACACAGCAGCACCTCGTGTGACGTTTTTCCAAAATACAATATTCATGACGATGATGACATCCACTAAAATTTGGTAGCAACTCGTTGGCTTGCTGCTTTCCGGGTGTCGTTTGTAGTTGAGATGAGGTAGACAGAAGTATACCACTTTCCGCCACGGAGATGGATTCCCAGTATGGCAAACCCCCCAAGATATAGTCGCTGCTGGGATGAGAATTCAACTACTGTGTACATTAGCTCCCAGCCATTGATCCAACCTCTTCTGCCATCTAGAAATCGATATTCACTGCATACTAATCGATGGGCGCATGCTGAACACAAGAAAGCACCTGAAGTCCAAGGACTTGGCACGATTCCACTGATAACCCACCTTGGCCATCGGCATTTCATCGTGTCCATTCAGCATTCACCTTGGCCCTCAGAAGTTGTGCTGGCTCTGTCACGATAATCCTGCTCAGGGACAGTCGCGTTGCTGGCGCTCTAGTCCCCTCTTCCTGACCTGAAGGCCATTTCCCAGGGGCCCAGAAACCCACAGATCCACCAACTTTTGCCATTGTCTTTTCCCATACCTGCGGCAGGCGAATCAACTGCATCTCCCCCGCTCTTCTCCTCCTCGACCACGCCTCGGGGCCAGCATACACTACTCGAGCTACTGTACAAGACACACTACACGTGCATAAGGCTTGCAGGTTTGGGGTGCCAAGGATCAGCTGCAGTGTCTAGGTCCCTGCTTCTGGACCCGGCGATTGCAGCCATTGATACCCCTCGGCGTTACGACGGCCAGGGACCAAGAGATAACGTACACACACCACTACAATTGATAGTAGCAGTACATGGTATGTAACCAAAGGATGAGGGAATGATAGGTAATTGAAGTTGCTGCTGTGATTGCTTCGCTAATGTTCTTCTACGTTTGCAGCGGTTGATTGCCACTGTCTTGTTCCAATCCGGTAATAAGTTCCTTTAATGCTCGTATGTACTACCCAGTTACCATCCTGCCCTTGCTCCTTCCCCCCAGTCCAGCGACTGGCTGGATGATTGAGGGGCAACATGAACCTTGGGGGGGACCCTTTCTTAGCGACATCGATCGACCAACGCACATATTGCACTACTACTCTGTCTACCTTTAATGCTTGTCTACATGCAACCTTGAACCCACCAAATCATTGTCTGTTGCCGTTCTTTTTGATAACAAAATCACCTCAGGTTGGCGAGGTATTTGGCACTGTTACATTTCGCCACTTCTAGCCGTCCGTATCTTGCATTGAAAAGAAGAGCACGCCCCCTGACCCAGATTCAGGTACGATTTTCGATCATCGTACTCTCTCCTGTTCCCACCCTCGTATCTCAAACTGAGGCAAGGCGATTCCCCACAGCGGGCTCACTTAAGAAAGGAAGAAAGAAAACAAGCATCATAAGGGAAACGTCATTTTACAGCTGCAGAAAGCACTCTCTCTAACTGTACCGCCAAAAACAGCCCTGCTTTTCAATTACTCCTCATCTTCCCTTGCGCACAACCCCTGACGCCCGTACCGCACATCGTTCAAGGTTGGACGCAAAGAAAAGAACACTTTCAGACGGACTGTATACAACCACTTCAGCACTACAATCGATTCAACTGGTATACATACATACCCATCGTTGAGACATCTTGGGACCACGAGACCGGCTCTTCTTCTTTTGCACTAGTCTGTCTCCGCAGCGTCCTGCTCCCCTTGGCGCTGTCGCCAATTAGACACCCAAACGACACGCGTTTCTCTACGTACTCGCTAATTTCGGGACGCTGAACCCACTGGACCTGGATCAACGTTTCTGGTACAAACCCAAACCCCTGGCTAGTCCCCTAGCTTCGGCATAGCCACAGCGATAACCATAGCATTGAAACATCGACAGACAAGATAGACAGCTACCGAGTTGCAAAGCTGTCAATTATATCAAATACCCATTGTTCTCCCCAGGACAGGGCTAGCTTTTCTTCTTGTCTTTACGAGTTCTTGCTCAGTCCTTTTTCTACCACTGTTTCTTCGTCGTCCTCTCTCCCACTCTCGAGACTGGACTTTGCTCACGAACTGAGCCAAGCGTTGCTCTACACACTGATTTAAGCAAAGCCGGAATTCTTTGTCAAATCAGTCACCATGCATATCACCAAGAAGTTTGATCGGGCGTTCCAATGGGCCGGCGAGAAGATGGGCCAGGAGGTTAAGACGGGTGTTTCGGACGATTTCAAGATGTTGGAGACGGAAATGGCATTGAGACACGATGGTAAGTACTCTGGCTGCGATACACCAAGGATTCTATAGGCTGTGGTGCGCGCCACAGCTTATAGCCTATACCCGCATCAGCCTCCCGTACTAGGTGCCTTGCATATGCTGACTGTTTTGCGACTTAAAGGAATGGACAAGCTCCAAAAATCCATGAACGTTTATACAAAATCGCTCTCAAAGCGATGCGATGCCTACGATGACAAGGAAAAGGCGCTCCCAGTTAGTTTCCTGGGAAGGACCATGATCAGCCACGGCGAAGATTTCGAACAGGATTCCGAGTTTGGCAACTGCTTGATCGCCATGGGACAGGGCAACGAGCGTATTGCCGGACTACAAGAAACTTATGCTGCACAAGCTTCTTCGTACTGGTTGGAGGGCTGCGAGCGGAACCTCGCAATGATGAAGGAATACCAAGTAAGCTGCCCCATCAATAGCGTCTTTCAAGTATGCCCATATCTAACCCGTAACAATTAGAATGCACGAAAGAAGTTGGAGAGCAGAAGACTAGCCTACGATGCGAGCACCGCAAAGCTGCACAAGTCTAAACGTGAGGACGTTAGACTCGAGGATGAACTCCGATCGGCCAAGGCCAAGTACGAAGAGTCTTCCGAAGACGTATATCGCCGCATGCAAGACATCAAGGAAGCCGAAGCCGAAGCAATCCAGGACCTCACAAACTTTATGGATGCTGAGCTCGAATATTATGAACGATGTGCTGAAGAGCTTCGACGTGTTCGTGCCGCCTGGCCTGCATCGACCGGCCAGCCCTCGTCCACTCGTGGCGGCAACCCAGACATTGGCCTGTCTCGTCGAACCACCCGATCTCGAAGCAATACGGCGCAGTCCTTTGGTGAGCGCAACGACCGCACAGAACGCTGGGCAACTCGGCAGGATATCTACGAAGAGGAGGAGCCAGCTCCTGCACCTGTTCGCTTGCCTACACGCTCCGTACGCCAGGCCAGCAGCGGCTCTACAACTCCCATCTCACCACCTCGTCCTGGCTTTAACCGCTCCAGCACCCACGGTGGCACATTCGAGGGACCGCGCGATAGACCAGCTTATCGTGAGCCGCCACTGCCGCCGCCTTCGCAGGAAGCCCTCCGAAAGAGCAGTGTTTCTGCTGCTCCCGTTCCCATCAACGTCGGTTCCCTCAGAGGCAACCTGCGGCCTGTTAGCCGAATCTCGACAAACACGTCACAGGATGTTTTTGCCGATGATTACGACACAGCTACAAGCAGTGGAAGTCCCGACTATGCTCGCAGCGAAAGCCCCGCCACCAGCTACGGCAGCTTGAGCAGGACAACAAGCAACACCGGGCTGTCGATCAAGAAGGCTCCGCCGCCGCCTCCCAGCCGGGCCAAGAAGCCCCCGCCGCCTATTCCCCAGAAGAGGGAACTGACTTACTAGAAGTAAGACTGGAGACCCTCTGGTTTATCAGTTTGCCTCATCCCTTTTGAAACGAAAGTGGTCATATTCCCCTCAGACGCTATTGGCGTTTGAATCCATTCATATACGGTGGAGTCAGTGGCTTATACCTTATTGATCGAGATATGAGCATATTTTACATCTCGGCAGAGAACGCTTCGAGCGACTGTCGAGCTATCTGGAGTTGAAAATGACATGTTTTACGGCAGGGCGTTAGGTGTCTTTTGTAGCTGAAGAACAGGGTATTCTATATACAACTCAAGTTTAGAGCAGGAATCGACATGAACTGGTTCATCTCAATTAAATCAATCTTCTTCGCAACCTTTGCCCTTCGACGAATTACCGACCATTCTTGTGTGCTTTGTTGATCTATGGTTTTCAGCGACTATCATGTGCAAGCAAATAGTGCTGAGAAATAAGGGCCAGCAAAATCTGATCACAGTCTTCACAGTTGCTGCAACTAATATATATTCAAGTCACGGAGCTGCGTCTTCACATCCTCCCAATTTCTCAAAATTTCTCCATCCATGATGCCGTGAATATTGGCATCGCCTATCATCATATAGCCGCCATCAGTATCATCTCGCGCCCGCAAGACAAAGGGGACTGCAGCACCCATAAAGACACAAACGACATCCCCCTTTCTTACATTGTTGGGCGCAGTGCCGAGATAGCCCCTACGTGTTCGGACTAAACTACGACCAATGTTGTAGTGGGAGGTCATGTGGCTGTAACGTTTTGACCTCTCCGAGACCTCGGCATCCGAGGTGCTAAACATCGTTGGCTGGGGCAGCGCATGAAGCCCAGGAGGATAAAAATTCTGATGCGGCGTCTTTTGCGGCATCTCTTGCAAAGTCCTTATCCACGTTAGCCAGGCTACAAAGTCTCTAACGTGGTCGCTATAGACCTTGGTTCCGCAGCGGAAAGAGTGGAAGCCATAGGTTTGGCGGCACGACGCCGTCAGAGTCATACAGTACGCCGCCATAATGCCCTGTACGGATTGGTAGGGCGGCCGGCCAGCCTCGGGGCTGTATGGCTCCCACGGCGTTAGCGGCGAGAACAGCGGAATGTGTGGCTGATCGGGACCGTTCAAGGTCCAGAATTTTTGCTCGCACACGTCTTGCACGACGTCGAACTCAAAGCCGCGTACCTGCAGCGCTCGCCCTGGAGACGGTAGCAGAGCCAAGCGTGAGGCAGCCTTGGCGTCTTCGGACACGGCAGTGGACATTAGGTGGTACCATACGATGCCAATGTTTGGGTTCTTTCTTTCGCGGTGCCAACACGGCACCCACGAAGGAAGGCGGAGCTCTTCGTCGGGATCCTTGTGTATGTCGATCGTGGTCAGGACAAAGAAGGGGTGCTTGGGCCCAGTTAACAGCCGAAAGGCCACGTCGGTGTAGATATCCTCAGCCGACCGGCGGTAATCGGGCACCAGCTCGGGGTATTCACTTCGAAAAGGCGGTAGATGCATCATGGCGTACACTTTATCGCGGGGGTCTGTGGCGTTGAAACTTCGATGTGATGAAAGTAGCTGTGCCAGCATCGGGGGCTGCCCGCCGTAGCACTCGGGGCGCATGCCCAGAATGTTGAGCCCAGGCGTACCCGAGGAGAAATCTTTGGATATGCTCCATTGCCGGTGGCGCTCCCTGAAAGCGGAATGATTCACATGCATGCCGTTGCGCAAGATCCATTCAGTCGTATAAAATAGCGGCGCGTACCTGGTGGTCCTATCACCGCAGTAGAAGAGAACATTGGGCGAGAAGTAGATCTCTTGAACGACCTGCTCACATATGTAAACATCAGAAGACATGGCTTTAGAGCAGAAGAGGGTAGTAGTCAACTCACCCAGACACGAGAGAACCATTCTCGACGTAGGAAACGAAAAAGCGAAAACCACCTGGGTGAGTTGATGGCCGGAAGACTCTCATCCAACCCGATTCGAAGCGCCTGCATCGGGTCTCGACGATCTCTTTCCGGCTGACTCTCCAGCTCCTCCATGGAAATACCCCGGCGTCTGCACACCATCTCTCCCATGAGCTGCACGATATCCAACGCCACGGCAGAATGCTCGTCAGCTTGTCCGAGCCATATCGCGCACGTCCGGCACGACTTGTAGATTCTGTGCATGATCTGAATCTGTTGCGACTTCTCGTCCAGGTCGGTCTGATTGATACACACGGCATCGGCCCACAGCGTGCGCCGCCGGTCGGGCAGACGTAGCTGTCTGAAAGCGTTGAACAGGTTTGTGGTAACCCGGAGGAGTCTGCCATGGCAGGCGACTTGCTCGGTCACCGCGGGGTCGCCCCAGACGTACGATAGCGCTTCAAAGTCGGGGTTGGTGGACAGTGAAACGGTCTGCAGCGAGATGGCGATTGGATCTTCGTCCGTCCCAGGCAGGATGTCTAGGAGCCGAATGTCGTCCGCCTTTTCCAAGCGCTCGTATTGGTAAGTCTCTGGACTCGTCATTGCGATGCGCCTGTGATGCGCCAGTGGCTGGAGCCTGTGGCTATCCGGGTTCAGCCTCATAAGGGCTGTTGGTTGTACAGGAAGGGCCTTACTTCCCATTATGTGCACCAATCGCCTTTTACGTAGAAGAATCATGATGAATATTATCTTCAATTTCTACGGTACGGTCGTCGTATCAGCCTGGTTGGATTTGGCCTTCGTGCTTATCATATTGGCGATTCATCAAAATATTCCATTCCTCGTGTGCAACGCCAATCAGTCGGCAATACGTTGCCACAAGCGGCTGAGCAGCTGAGTACTGGATCCCGTCTATTGCCGCCGTATGGCAGAACATGGCGCATGGCGGCTCCCCTGAGCCTGTATCAGCCAAGACAACTTCCAAGGGGTTTTCCAAACACAATCACTACAGTATTGGTTGTTGTGCTCCAATTCGATATTTGCGAATTTGACACTGCCAGGTGGAGGAAATCTATATTCGAAAAGATGTAAAAGTATATGGTTTATACAAGTCTCATGCTTGATCAAGGACTCGGTACAGAACATATGCAGTGCTACAGTCTACGTACTATATCATTTATTTTTATGTTTATTTTGATTCTCTGTTGCAAGGCGTTTTCATTTGTGACTCGATGTATCGTGAACCGCTGACTCATCTGGGTTCGGAAGAAAAGACAGCCAAGGTCCTTCCTTCATGTAACTAACAAAGCCATTCGCCTTGATATGATCACTAATCCATGGAGAGATTCGTAGGAGAGCCCTCAGCCACCACGTCTCCATGGCCTCATATCTGGTAATGTAACCTGACCTGCTGACAATCAGGTTGGCATGTGGCCGCTGTCTCTTCTCGTACTCGTCAAACACTGACACCAGTTCTTCTTTGGTCGGAGTCCTCGCTTCTTCCGCGACGCATCGGTGCACCCAGGGCACGAGCTCATTCAGGAGGTGCACAACGCCTTCAACGGCAAGGTTACCGCCAAGGCCGGGGTTGACCGTGGCCTTGTGCACAGAGTCTCCTACCAGCACGACTCTGCCGCCCGAGTGCCATTTTGTTCTCAGGACGCCTTCCTCCAGCGGCACCATCGCGGCCTTTTGTCGTCCCATCCAGAGGTCTTGAAAGGTGTAATTTGATCCTAACTTGTGGTGCCCGTACTTGGAAATGGTGGCCTCCATCTCCGCCTCGGTGAATTGGGGCGTGTTGGGCGTGCGGGTAACGCCATCGCTCTTCACAAAGAGGAACCAGAATACCAGCCCGGGAGCCCCGGCGGCCGCGACGCCCGAGAACCCGCGGTAGTAGACATTGTGCACTTCACCGGCGGCCAGGAACGGCTCGCCCAAGTGGCTGGAGTTGACATTGGCCGAGGTGGCAAAGATGCAGTGGTGGGTGCTCTCAAAGCCCTCGCGCATCTCTCGGGCGGCAGCGGGATCGCGGTCCTCCATCTTGTCGGCCAAGAGTCTTCGGATGGAGCTGTGTATGCCGTCGGCGCCAATCAGCATGTCGCCGACGAGAGTCTCGCCTTGATCGGTGGTCACCTCCACACCATGTTGAGACTCTGTGTATGAGACTACTCTGCAATTGGACCGGACGCGCGTCTTGTCCTGGATTTGGTTATAGATGCACTGTAGCTCGAATTTACGTTCCATGAATGTAGTCCAGCGGCCGAGAGTCCTTGTACCAAATATTAGTGGTTACCTCCTGTACTGGTGATTTCGTCCCGAGGCCGCGGTACTTTCGCATTCGACTCACATCTTGGATATCTCGAGGAGTATCTTCGAATGATCAAGAAGGTATCCATGTTCATCATAGTGATATCGTTGGCCTAGAGGGTAAACCCTTTCCTTGATCTCTGGCCAAACACCAAGCTGTTCCATGACCCTTTGGATATGTGGATGGATGGATATGGACGCTCCCGCATTTGGCGCAATCTCCTGTCTCTCGAGAACTAGAAAGTCGATACCCGCCTTCCCTAGAGCCAATGCTGTAGTGAGTCCTACCAGGCTGCCGCCCACGATGATCACGAGAAAGGGAGCGGCTGAGTGCGCCATGGTTTCGCGAAGAAATGGATATCTTCTGGAATTTCGTTTCGTAAAGATCCAAACCGCGTTGACTTGTGCTTCTGTGGATTCTTGAAATGACTTCCCCGCGTGTCCAGTATGGGTCGATTCCTGACCAATGTGCGAATCTGCATTAATACTAAACGAGACGAATGGAGAGGGGGCCTTTTGGCACACTATACCTGAAAGGTAACATCGAAGTCAAAACGTCAGATCACGCAGCCTGCAGGACCGGATGGTATCTATTGACATTTTTGGTGTCAGTCCATCTCGAATCTACTGTTAGCGCTCTCAAACCTGATGCTCTTGGCATCTAGGCGCGTCGGTTCTTATAAAAACATTTAGGTCTCTGCACGTGATTGAAATTATATTAAAGATGGAATGGAGCAAAAATGTATTCACTGGGTTGTATCACGGAAACATCTAGCTCGGTAGCGATGGGGCATGAAGATTTTTGAGTGACCCAGCATCTCTGTTATGTTTCAGGTACCCTTTCCTCCCTGGTCGTCATTGGTGGATTCCTGGTATCGCATCTTGGGCTCGTTGTCATACTTCTGGATTGTCGTTACTGTAAAGTCTCACTGGAGGAAACGAGATATTAGAGAGTAATGTACAAGGTGAAAGAAGCTGTATACTCTTACTTGTTGTCGGCCATCGACTCGTCATCGCTGCCGCTACCGCTGTCGCTGGCCAGGGATGTAAGACTGCTATTGCGTTCCAGTCTTTCGTGTCTCTCAAGTACACTCAGAATCTCCTCTTGCTGCTCCAGGATTCTCTGCAGCATGGTCATCATGACTCTCTGATCCTCGAGCATACGCTCTTGGGCGTCGATCATGCACTGTTGCCAGGTAGTCAGCCCATTGCAGTCCTTGAGGCTCTGCTTTGATGCCGTCTTCGTGGGATCGACATTAGGGCTATGTCCCTGGATATGAGCGCTTGCTCCCTTGTCCGCGCTCTGTGATGACGACATGATGAGTGAACCGTTGATTGATTTGACTGCTAGGTGTGCAGTAGTGTGATGAAATTGGGACGAGGACGGAAGCCTAGGCAGAATGTGGCGGGGAGAGTTGCAACTGATGCCTGAAAATCAAGAGAGAAATGTCAATCAATGGGTTTGACTAGATGTCATAAAGTTGGGCAAGGTCCAAAATGGGGTAATGTAGAAACTGAAAAATCATGTGTCCTTTCCCTAATGGACGGTGGACAAGGACGGGAGCCCAGCTGCGTACGTGAAGAGAACTATATTATTCCACTGGAATAATACAAGGCTTCTACGCTCTTTCCCTCGTTTCTGAAACGCTTCCAGTGCTGTTCGTAGCATGGCAGCTGCTCAAACATCCATTCTCAGACCATTTCTGGAATGATCCATGTCTTATGTCATAGGGACGCCTCCTACTTGGGTGATTATGGATCTCGACCTCAACCGAGAACGGAAGACACCGAAAGTTAGGCTCGCATGGGACAGAATCTAGGTGCTTGACGAGCATAGAATCAAAATAATAATTGAACTTTCGCACTGAAAACGCAATAGCAACAAGACATGGTTCTCATTCACTTAGTAAAAGCTGTGCAGTATGGAGGACAACGCAAAGATATCAGAGTTTTGGCTTACTGTTAGTGACGCCAAACTGCCGAGAGCACCATTTCTCTTTTTTATATTTTCCCTTCTTTTATTCTTCTTTCTCTCACTTTACCTTTCCGTGTTCATTATTCAATCAATATACAATCAGCTGCTGCTTGCTTGAGCATTGACTGTCGGGAGATGTAGAGCGGAAATAGCCTGCGGAGCAGACCCACAGTCACAACGCTGATAGACTTCCTGTCATGGGGATTTTGAAATCAGCTTTATCTAATGTTGCTTCGATCTTGCAAGTCTTTTTTAAAGATTGCCGTGCATATACTCCCGCCGTTTGGAGCCAGACTCGGCGCACGATCCGGAGGCTCTCGGCTTGCCGGTGGGCCCCAGACCGGCTCCAGTTATATCAAGTCAGCGAAGATCATTGATGACTGCAGAGACCCTTGTCAATCCCAAAGTCATCAGAATTCAGATTCTAGCCGTTCTTAGTAATTAGCGCCAGCAGACACGTACTCCAGAGTCCTGATCCTCTCTCTGAATCTGTAAAGGATCCGCAGAAGGGACGCTTGGACCGTCTACTATGAGCAAACAACGGACGCAATTCTGCCGCATTTGATGACACGGCTCACACTCATCCATCTTGTTCTTACAATTGCGACCAAAATATTCAGACTCAACTCGGCGGAGTGCATAGTCCTGACAAACATAAGATCATGGGCTCTACGGACATAGCGCCAGATCATGCGCCCTCCGTAAGCAACTCCCGATGTCATTTCTCTCCTTTTCTGGGTTGTCTCATGAGCAAGCATTGCCCAAATCGGTGTTCCAAGAGAGCAGGCTCAGACAAATTATTTGAAAGAGCTGTTTCAAACTCATTTATCTAGTCTAATGGGCAATTGCTAACACATGTTGTTGTAGTGGCTTGTCCCGCTCTCGACCGTCCTCCTCGGGCTAGGAGTTGTCAGCTGGGACCTCACATACATTTTGACGATTCGACGCAGTCTCGCCACCAAGTCGTACGGTCTTCCAGCCGCGGCTCTTGTGGTCAACATTACCTGGGAGGCCGTCTACGGCTTCTACGTCAGCCAGGCTTGGCTTGAGCGCGCCGGCTTCACCCTCTGGTTCCTGCTCAACCTCGGCTGCGCTTGGACGACCGTCCGCTTCGCGCCCCTCGACTGGGCCCACACGTCTCCGTGGGTCGGCCGGCACATGGCCGGGCTCATGGCCGGAATGGCCGTCGTCTGTCTGTGGGGACATTGGGCATTTGTATCCTGGTGGCTGGCCGAGCCTCACCGGGGGTCCGGCGATAAGGCGGGCAAGTGGGTAAGTAATCAAAATCTGTGGTGTCCTTAATTTTGGCATGTTTTTCTCGAAGAGTCTATGTTTGAGATTCCCGGTCCCGTAATTTTGTCTTGGGAAATACCTGTCGACCTGGTGACGGTAGCTCGAGCACTTGGGGGAAATTTATATCCAATCATGAAAGAATTGAGAGGCTAACACTTTTCGGCTCACTAGTATTTCGGTCGCGATGGGTACGACACCACCGAGTTGGCTTTCTGGTCTGCCGCTGTTGCTGGATTGCTGACTAGTGCCTGCGGTATTGCTATGCTGATCAATCGCGGGCACTCGGGTGGCACAGACTACAAAATATGGTGAGTCGAGTTTATGCTCACCATGGCAGACTGTTCTTTGCCCTTTGTTACTGCTCTTTCTCTCTTGTCATAATACATTTGGAAAGTCGGCTCACATGTCATGCTTACCATAGGTTTACTCGATTCATCGGCACCATTTGTGGGATGCCTCTCTGCAATGGTCTTCTATGGTAGTACTGGCCTGAAGCGCATGGCTATTTCCTCAACCCATTTGCTATATTTCTGGTCGTAAGCGCAATTGGCTGTGACTTGATATACCTTCTTGTTCTGTATGAAGTCAGGAAGACGGAGCGGATGCTTCCAGACGGCCGGCTTGTCCGGGGTGATGATTTGCGATTCTCATCTCCTACAAAGCCAAAGAATTCGTAGTGTGTCATTTCGCCATGGCGTTGAGATAGAGTTGCTTCTGTACGAAACCGGAGTCATGGAGTTACAAGAATAAACCAAAGGATGAATAACAATCATTCCCGCTTGAATGCCGTGTAGAGTTTGGACATCACAAAACACTAAACTATTGATGAATATCTATGGTGAATAGCGGTCCTGTCCTCGACCAGAGTTAGACATCAGAGACAGATATATAACCTAAAGTGGTCAGATCAATCAGTATACCCGTGCTTTTTCCAGTAAGATCGTGTCTCTTGATGTCGAGTGCTCACGTACATGACAATGAAGATATCTATCGATCTGTTATCGCCTTGGTACGACCACAGATCCAGTACCCGTAATGATCGTCCTGGACTGTTTCTATACTAGCAGTGAGATTGCGTGTAGGTTGGTTGATGGACTTCCAGAATTTCCCGCCTTGCATTTCTGAACGTCCCATTGCTGAGTCTCTCCTTTCAGGGTCACCGTATTTTTGGGCAAGAGTGTGCCATAGAGTATGACTATCAAGACCGATACTGAATTCCTTGCCACGCCGTGGCCCCATAGCACATAATATGCGTTCTGTAGGTCCAAGTATGATAGTTTCCACCTCTGGTATAATCTCCTTGTTGGTGCTATGATTGGACAAGTCAACATAGCCTCGAAATGATATGTAGAGCTTTTGTAACCGCGGAAAAATCTTTGGAATAGTGGCAGAGAGTGCGAGCAAGGAAGGTCCTTGTCCCTCGTCACCGCTCGTGGTACTGTGCTGAACGGGTTCTTGATTTTTATAGATGGAATCGAAGTACCACGTGAGCTCCAGAGATGTAATTTCGTTAAACAGGTGATGCGGAATCAGACGAGGTACTTTTAGCAAAAGCTGTAGTGTAGATATATGAAATGTGTTGGTTCCATAGATGATGAATATCCCATCGACGTAGCTAAGGTCATGTTGTAAGCAGGGCTGGCATAGGACTGAGAAATCCAGAAAGAGCACTTCATTTGAAGAACACGAGTCATTGGGTCACAATACGTACGCTTGTCTACACACCAACAGCCAACTCATAACATGAGAGAGATCAACGAGGCACGTTGTTTCGCCCGGCTGACAGCTGCAGATGAAGCCCTGTACACACTGATCCTCAAATGGCTCAGCAGGCCGGCAGAGCGCGTGGATATTTGGACGACCGATGACAAGATCTGGATCCCATTTCCTATATCTCGTGCGGTGACAGAGGCAGGCAGACCAGTGCCAACGTTTAGTCTTGGCTGTATTAGGAACCAATGTAGAAACACTTCCGTAATACAGGTGATCCGAGTCGCTGTCAAGCAGAAACGAGTCCTGCTGTTTGCGCACCCGTGGATGATCATAAACCAGATCTAGATGGATAGTCCTTCCCCCACCGAATACGCATTTCAGAATCTGCTGTCGCAGCTCAGGGGACAGGCGGCCGAAAAGACCATAGTTCTGGATCTTCTCGTCGAGGAGGTCCGTGGTAGTCAACGGCTGGATTCTAGCAAGGGCAAATAAGGGATCATCTAGTGCTGGCAGTTGCGAATCCGGTGTTTCTTGTCTGTTCTTGCCAGCCAACTTGTGTTTGATCCATTTTCTGATGGATGGCATGGCCGAAATCCGGAAATATTTCGTGGCGCCTGATATCTGATGAATTTCGCCTGCTTTCACACCGCCGTTCAGGCTTCGGCTGAAGAGTTGAACCACCCAGAGAGCTCACAAAATCCGATGATGCACCTGTGTATTGTACATCGTCAGAAAAGGTAGGGATGAATTCAATTTATATTTGTTTTAAGAACGCTAGCATTGCTGCCTGCCTCACACCTCAGGAGACGGACTGCTACTATGGCTGGACATCCGGCAGCCGATGTTGCGGCCGCTAGTGAAACGATTCGACTCGCACAGCGAGTGGCTAAATCTCAACGACTATCTTTTAATGATTACATCTTACAAACCTAGGTATCTTACTATCTGATAGATAGCTGAGCTATATTTGAGATTGCTTCAAGTCGCTGCAGTTGGTGATCTTTATTCTGACAAAGACGCGGAGCAGGATTACACCAGCCGACCACGCGCTTACTGGATGCGCATTGTCGCGTTGATCGCCAAATCTAGCGGGATCGGCAACAGGGTTGTGCCGCTGCTACAAGCTGAACAATACCTGTACTATGTATATACAAGATTGCCAGCCTGAAAGACAGCCTGACAGAACACATGGGGGCAGGCACATGCTGGTGCGACAAAAGAGCACCTCTGACATGTGGCAGGGCGAGAGCCGTCAGGGGGACGTGGTGGGATGAATATGGGGCCAGTATTTATTCTGGAACGAATGGAGATCGAGTTTGAAGCTTAAGGACTCCCTACGGAGCTTTAGGACCCCGCAAGCCAGTGACGTTGGATGACTTGGCAAAGGTCGGGACTCGCGTGGATGTCAGCTCTTGCTGTAGGATATCCATTGTGTTGAGTGTTGCCATCGCAACATGGAAATAGGCCAGCTCATTTTACTGAGTTGTACCTATAGAAAGAATAGCTTGAACTTGCCCGACCCCACAGACTCGTGTGTGCCAGGTATTGTTACTATTTGGGGGGCTGAAATGCCCACGGATTTCAGCAGGAAATGTTAGAGTTCAGTAGAGCTGCAGATCAGAAGCGATAAGCATTTGGTTTAGCGGGAGTTCGTACACTTCAGACCTGCATAGGACCTCCTAGGACCTGCCTTGGTAGCGGCCGCTGCAGTGCGTCAACTGCTAGGAAGGAAACCAATTAGCCGGACTAGAATTGGTGCAAATGAAATACCCACAGGCCATCTACCGTTCATGGCTTGTGGAGGGACCCGGGGAGATGGAAGTGGATATTGATATACCAAGGTAATATACCAAGGCAAGGGACAGGAAAATTGATTGAATGGCCCTGGCACTGAAGCAAAATGAGAAAAAGAAAGAGACAATGGAATTTTTTGGTCCAGCTAGAAATAATACCTATTGACGAATATACGAAGCACTGACGCGAGCCTTCTCGATTCGGAGATAAAAAAAAAAAAAACGCGCTTCCTTGGTTTAAGCTGACCTGACCTCAGGGTCCCGCCAACCCGCAAGGCCCGAACGCGACTCTAAAAGTTTGAAGACCAGGAACGCGTCTCTGCGGCTGCACCCACTCTTGGAAAACAAGGCAGCTGGACAGGTACACTTGCAGTGACTGGGTCCCCACTGACAGCGCCCCAATCGATCGCTGGCCCGAGCTACCCCTGGCGTCTGGAGCCGATTACAGCATTAATTAAATTTTACGGGGGGTCTTGCGACGGGCTCTCTAGCGGACTATGGTGGCGTGGCCTTGCATGAAATACGGGCAGAGGCTGCTCGGTTTCCCTTCCACCCACTCTTTTGCAGAGCCAAGAAGAGGTCCATTCAGTCAGTCAGTCAGTGTTCAGATAATCACAGGTTTGCAAAGCACGTGTGCGCATTTCGATCCTTTCTTCTCATATCTCATCTCACATCTCCATCGAGCACCTTAATCAGCACAGAACCGGTCCGTGGGCAGGCAGAGAGGTCTGGACGAGCATGACGAAGATCAGGGCCAGCAGCTAGTAGCCCGTTGAAACTTTTTTTCTTCTTTGGTTAGCACCTGGCCTACTACGTACCTTGTATCTTCATCATCTTCGTCCGCTCCCTTTCTCCCAGCCAGTTTTGTTGTTTCGGCTGCCTCTCACTGGGCGCAATACCCTCGCGCGGCCCGCCGACAGAGCAGTTGATCGGCCAGCTGCTCTGCACAGGTCGTCGTTGCCCAAAGGGCTGTAACCTGTGTATGCGGGCGTCCCTTTGGGTTTCATGACCGAGACAACGCAGCCAACTGCAGCCCTGCCTTGTCCCGTCAACCTGCCGCCTCTGGCTCCCAGACTACATCATTCGTTCCTTTCTTTTTATTCCCATCTCACATTTCATATACCCCGGCAAATCGTCGCCGCCGCTCTCTTTCTTATTCTTCTGCTTTCTTGCATTCCTGGCATAGCAATAAGCAAACCTTAAATATCGCCTGCCTGCATACATCACCTAGCCTCCTGTCGCTCCTTCCAACCACCCGGAACATCCATAGATTGACACGTCAAGAAATCCTCCAGCAGTAAGCTGCAGCAGTGCGCACAAAATACACGTCAGTCGCCAACAATCGCAAACGCTGCCAGTCCCTCAATCAGCTTCTAAAGTAGCCATCCGTCGCTCCCAGAGACATCCTATCCGTCCGCCGAGGAACCCGGCAGAATAGCCGTGCACATCGTGGAACCTGGGACCGGCTTTGCGACACTGGATGGGAAATGAGCACGACCAAACGCTCAACTTTACTTGCTACTAGATCTCGATTTGCACCAGAGATGGACGACCTCGGTCATTACAAGCTTTCATAATTTTCTTCTCCCGAGACCTTCACCAAGGCCAAGCATGTTCGCGGCCAATTCGTGACGCAGAACAAGCAATCGGACTACTAATACACAGGACATATACAACCAAAAAAAATCAATAAAAACAAAACAAGATCACCATGGCCGACCCAGCAAATCTTTCAACCACGACTCCGCAAGGCCAGCGATCCACCATGCGCCGAACTTTGCGGTCCACATCTCCCCAGTCTCCGTCTCGGCGGCGCGGCGCCGATGCGCTTTTGATGCGCCTGACGCCAGCCTCGGCTGTCGAGGCCCTCCGAGTTCCCAGCGGAGTTCTCAAGTCTTGCCTTGACGAAGCATCGCCATCAGAACAGCACTTTGCAATGAGGACTGCCATAGCGTCCAAGAAGATTCACGAATGGCTCGACGAGCTCTTGGACTGGCCATGGCCCAAGGACAGCACGTCTGCAGGCTTCGAAATGCCACCAACCAAAAGGAGAAAGTATTCCGAGTCTCAAGAGCCAGTTGGAGACGGACACCAAAGCCTGGAGCTTGAAGGTGAGGCCAGTCAAGAGACGGAATATATGGGTAGTGTGCCGGCCACCGAAATTGTGCGCTATGAAGGCAGGATTGAGCAAGTACAAAAAGGGTTGGATGAACTCGACCTTGAGGACATCAAATCCCATGTACTCTTCAATCACATCATGCCTCTATCGCGAACAGGCACGCCCATTTCAGATGCCGGTTTCACCTTTGCCGCAAGCTCCATGCCGTATACGAAAATGGAAGACATAACCGCTGTCATAACTGCTATTACTGTGCAAACGCTGCCGAATCTTTCCAGATTGACAAAGTTACTCAAGACGTGGAATATTCGAATAATCGTCCTGCGCAAAGTACCTACAGTTCTGAGGTTGATCACAGAAGCTCAGGTTGCGCTGAAATCCGGCTGGAGTGCTATACAGACAGCGCCGCCACCGAGCACTTCAGTAGTATCCCGAAAAGATTTTGAGGTGATGAATTCGGTTCTACGGCAAAAAGTGTCTCTCCCAGGGCGAGATCTCGACTATATGCTGGATATTCTAGAAGGGATGAGGGACACACTACCTGATGCCTGGCTTGATCAGATGGATGCTGTGGAGAAGGATTACGCCGAGTGGGTGGTTACAGCGGAGAGGCGTGTGAGGAGAGGGGAGTGGGGAGACGTCTATGCTCCATCGCAATCGGAAAGGGGCCGAGCAGCTCCTACATCCCCGCAACCGAAGATCCGGATTCAGACTCCCAGTCCTACTAGAGATCAAAGTGGTAGAGGCAGCGCTTCGAGCGAAGAGGAGGTCTCTACCCAAGGCTCTACTGAACAATTTACCGGTGCAGTGGAGGATGTGTCCCAGCACGCCCTTCAAAAGCGGGAAACCGAGCCAAGTCGGCGAAAGGCTCAAGATGTCGATGGCCCAGCTGACGGAGTAGTATCGGAGGCCGCCCTTTCCGAAATGAACCGAAACATTCTTCGCGCTGTACCAGAAATCTCAGTTGCAGGCTCCCAACTTCAACACAAGAAGAGCTTGTCAGAATTTGATGCGGAATCCTCCATCCTGGAGTCGGTTTATGAGGAGGACGAGGACGGCGAAGACGAGCTTCAGTTACCCCCTGCAAGATTTGACGCACGGCGGTTTAGCGAAAGGTCAATGGCATCAACCGTACTACGTGATCCTGCCAGTGACTTTGGTCTCTCTGACAACGACGCTCTACGGGACGATTTCAGCGAGCTCGAACTAACCCGAGTGCCAGACGCGGACGCACAGTTTTCTAGTGATGGACCAAGTCCGCCTAGTTCGCCACCGCTGAGATACATGCGCAGAACACCTTCTGTATCATTCAACGGCATTCCGGAGTCGCCTGAAGAAGATTCATCGCCTCCGCTTAGTCCTTTGGATCCGCCCCCGCACATATTTGATACCGAGAGCTCCTTTGATTATGGTACCCGAGCGAGCAGCCCCGAGCACCCGAGCACCGTCAGTGAGGTTGGTGATGATTTGCACCAGCAAATTAGGGCCGTTCTGAAGGGCATTCCCAGCAATATCCGTCTATCTACAAGGCCATCTGCCATCAACTTGAATCCACCTGATCTGCAACTGCCGAGCCGCCCAAGGGCAAGGACCTCGGAACCATATCGCCGCAGCACCTCTGCTGTCTCTACTCGTTCGACCATGTCTTCTCGATCCGAAACTCCATGGCTCCTTGCACCAGCTCGAGCATCACGCCCCCAATCTAGAGCTAGTCGCGAGACACAGACTTATTACCTATCACGATCAAATGGCGAACCTCCATTGAAGTTGCTCGTGCGCTGCGTTGGAGAGAAGGGAGAGCGGGTCATGGTTCGGGTTGGTGGAGGTTGGGCCGATTTGGGCGAGTATCTGAAGGAGTATGCGATTCATCACAGTCGAAGATCCAAGGGTGAAGGCAAGGTCGAGGTTAGAGATTCTTCGACCCTGTCAGCCACCAAGACTGGATCCAGCCCGCCGGCTCGACCAGCTTCCGCACTCGATTCGCCAATGACACCACTTGCAATACGAAAAACTCGAAAGGTTTCGGGTGGTGAGAATTCATTAAGACGACCTGCAGTGCCAGCACGGCCTGATAGCCCACCGTCTGACGAATCAAGTGGCGATTCGCGGGACTCGTACGCTCCATCGAACCCAAACAGCAGCATTCTGGGCATGTCAGGTCCACACCCAAAGAAGACGAGATCGCTCGACGAGGAAAGCCGTCAATGGGTCGAGGATATGAGGAATAAGGTTCGCACCGCTAGTGGTGAGCAGCGGACTGCTTCCGGGCAACCACAGAATGGCAACAAGTTTGGCGAACTAGGCAAAGTTGGAGGAACCAAGCGCGTGTATAGAAAGAAAGTCGCTTGATTATGACATGATCAATGTGGACGTCGTTATGATATCGTTGCGTTGGAGTTTGGGCAGGGAAACGATCAACGAATTTCTGGGATAGCCTACAAGGTCGGACTGTTTCCGGCCATTCTGTCACTTATTACATTATTCCCTTCTGTCACTTTAGGTCGATGCTCTACAAATACCCCCAATTTCTTTCAGTCAGTGGCTGTCTATAGCTCAAGGAGAAAAAAAAAACACAAATCATATCAATCCGGAATTGTCTACGCAAGATGCAACAGGGCATGCAATCACATGCCCCAAAGGATCCCTCGCCATCGTGCCAGCCGCTACCCGTTTATTTCAGCCTTGTGTACTGGCTGTACGCCAGCTACCTCTGAAGTCGACGGGCCGGGAGAGATGCGCGAGCCAACACTCCAGTGTCATTTCCCATGTACGTATCCTTACTGCCATCCATACCTAGGTACATGGAAGCAGCGAGATGCGATCATGCCCAGTAGAGTCGATCCAAACATCCCCACTCGAGCCGCGTCTCGACCACCAAGAACGAGTAGCTTGACAAGCTCGAGCTTCTTTGCAACGTTGCTCAGTCTGCTCCTGACCAAGTCACAGTCTCACCCACCTCGGAACCTTGGCAACATGAGCCTGGACTTGATGGAGGGACTTTTAGTCATGGCCCAGAACGAGGGGCCAGCTCAGCAGATCCAGATGACACTTCACCAGGCACTCAGGGGGGTGGGCACTCTGCGAACCTTGGCCGACTGGGCTGTTTGAGGCTTCGGGTGAACTATCCTTCCCGACCCCACTGAGAGAGAAAAAGACCCGCACGAGTTGAACCCCGCCGGCCAGCCAGCCCGGTGCTTGCAAGCCACCCGCCCGAGCCATGAACATGGCCTTGTTTTTCTCCTTCTGAGGAAACTGCCGTAAAAACCGCTCACCGGGGCTTTGTGTTCTGGCGTGGAGACACCCCGTCCCGGATCCTTCCAACGGAATCCCGCTATTCGCTATTACTAAACTTTCCAGAGTCGGATTTTTTTTCTTCTTTATTCTCTCACCTTGCATTTGTCGGCGGTGTGGACGTCGGACAAAGTGGGACTTTCTTTCGGTTTCTTTTCTCGTCTCTCTGTCTTGTTTGTCTTGCGGCAAGCGCGGAGGACGGCGACGAGTTTCGGGGAATATCGCTTAGACAGTGATTCGCGTGCCTACAGTAGGTACGTACTCTGCACCGAGGCGCCGAGTACTGCCATTGTAGTCTCTTCTCGGGGGGAACTTGACAACAAAGATTCATGGATGATATTACTGTCAACAGAGTATGTACCGAATTGCCGTGCAACACTTCTGCGGGACTTGGACGTGGTTCAGGGATGAGTCTTATGGACATTGTACACCATGTCAACGTGGCGCACGGTAATGGAAGACTCGTCATAGGAAGATCTGGCTGCCTTTGTGATCCTGTTTCGTCTCTGCCATCATATCTAGTTGGGCACTTTAGATGTGCTTTTGCGACTCAGATCCTGTGTAGTGGGCAAAAGGGCTCTACTCGGTGCCTCTAATACATATGTCTACAGACATGAGCAAGCTGTCCTGAAATGCCCTGAAACGATTCATGTTCTGATCGCTACTATGCAGCTTTGTAGCCTTGAAGGCTGACTGTTCACCATCACTTGATGATGATGAGCTTCAAGACTATCTGACTTTAAAACGATGCCATGAGAACAAGAAACAAATGCATATAAGCTCTGGGTTTAGAAGATGAATATTGAGCATTGTAGGAGAAAGGGGGGAAAAAAAGACATTTCGCTGTCAACAATACGTATAGCGAATATCGCCCGCGCCATGGGCACACAACATCGGGCGGATTGCAACCATGGCCCCCAGACTATACTGACAAAACAATCAACATACGCAAAAAATAATGCAAAAAGAAATATCAAGTTGCCCGCTGGCGGAATTGAACCGCCGACTTTCGCATGACGCACGTATACAATTGTTACGAGTGCGACGCAATACCACTATGCCAAGCGGGCTCTTGTGTGGTGATGACTATAATGTGTTGCTATCACCATTCATATCGGACATACCACGTGGCCTGTTTTGGCGACGGAAAATGGCGCAGAGGGGTACAAAGAACAAAGTCGAGACTTGTCTCACTTCAATGCAATCTGTCAAGAAACAATAAGCAAAGAACATCGTCACCGACCAGGCTACAAAATGATGCACAATTCTACTGGATTAGTTATTAGTCAACGGATACAGACGACGTTGAGAAATGGCCAAGACTAGGTAGGTAATAAAATGCTAATACTAGTATCAAACGGAGATGCTGCAGGTCAAGTTCGGAGGGTCGTTTGCGCGCGTGCATTAGTCGACGTTTTAGCGAGTTTCCAACGGCATCTACGTAATAAATGATGCCAATAGCCCGACGTTTTTTAGCATCCGTCGACTTGTACCGTTTTGTTGTTCTAGTACCGTTTTGCCGGGTATTATACCTTGATCAACGCAATTCCAAGAGATATCATTGGTCGCATTTAGAAGGAGGTATTCGTGGGGAGGCCATATCAATCTGATTCTCTTGCGAAGCCGTCACCGAGTGCTGCTACACATGGCCTTAATTCCTCAAATCGAAGCAATTTAGAGTGTCCCCAATTGTTAGCCATATTCTCTTGGGTCTAGCGGCTGGCAAGAAATATCAAAGGATGAAGAATGTTATTATTCATGTCATTGGTTACTGAATATAGCGCCCGGCAATCATTTGCAGCAAGCAGGACATTTGAGTTAGAGTGTAGGTAATGGACAGACGGATTCTAAGCACACCTTGCGATGCTCCGAGATGAAAGTGAGCACTAGTTCTCAAATCGCCCTAAATGCTGCTTATAATGACCGTCCGACCGTCCGATTCTGCCACTAAGAATGTTTTTGCAAGACACTACAGAAACTATGCAGTCGACATTGAGACATACTTGGATCTTGATTTAGCAATCTATTGACAAATCTCTAGAACCAGTGATTAGTCTGCTTTAAAGTTGTCGGACGATCAAATTCGATCTCACGTTGATATATGAGTACAAAAGGGTCTACTATCCCCAATTTTCTTTTTGGTCTCAGAGGGGCACTGATCTATTCACACCAAATGCATTATATCGCATCTGCATCATAACTCGAATAGAATGGCACCCCAACTAATCTTTGGCACAGCTTCCTTTGGAGGTCCACAGACGGCATTCCAAGACGTGGACGATGTCAAGATCCTGCTTCAAGCGCTCCAAGATGTTGGCATTCAACGTCTAGACACGGGAGCCAGATACCCGCCAACAAACATGGGCAGATCCGAGCAGCTCATTGGAGAGGCGGCAAAGGGTGATTTTGCACAGTTCCTCGTTGACACCAAGGTGTTTACCGATGTGGCGACAGACGGGAGTGGAGACTTGACAGGAGAAGCGATTCAGAAGTCTGTTGATGCGAGCCTGCAGCGACTGCAACGTTCCAACGTAAGTTGGCGACCCAAACACTATCATGAGACCGTCGTAGTTTGACATGAAATTTTCACAGGTCAATATCCTTCACGTTCATCGGGCAGACCCTTCCACACCCTTGGAGGAACAAATACAGGCATTCAATAAACAAATTTCCGAGGGTCGCTGCAAAGAGGTGAGCTGCGGCCAATTACCCAGACAAGGTTCATTCATCTAATCATTTTGCTCCTTCTAAATTCAGTGGGGGTTATCTAATGTACCGCCGCCAATGCTTGAGAAGATCTTGCAATTGTGCGAACAACACCAGTGGAAGAAACCTGTCTGCTATCAGGGACAATACAATTTAGTGACCCGAGGAATGGAAACCAAGCTCTTGCCCGTACTGCGCGCACATAATATTAGCTATAATGCCTTCATGTACGTTTCTGTCATATAATCGTCCATGTTGATCCGCAAGATGTATACTCACGTCGACTTTCCAGGCCTCTGGCAGCAGGATTTCTCACTGGCAAATTGATCAATGATCAGCAAGCCGGGACTCGCTTCGCCGACGACCATCCGTTCAAGAACGTGGCGCAAAAGATGTTTGGCGGAGATGAGCTGCTTCAAGCCATGAAAGTCTTTGACGAAGAGGTAAAAGCACAGGGACTCTTGACTGTCGAAGTCGCTCTGCGTTGGATCGCGCACCACTCGGCCCTTGGACATGGAGATGGCATCGTTATTGGTGCTAGCAAAGTGGAACAGGCAATTTCTACAGCAAACTTTATTAAAAAGGGTCCCTTGCCGGATGCTGTTCTTGTAGTTGTAGAGAATGTCTGGAAGCATGTAGAAAAAGTACGTGGCGACATCATCTAGACGGACTCAACCACACCAGATGCAGAAGAATGTTTACATTTCAAATTTTGGAAGAAGACCCAGACAGACATGAACTGATCAATGCTTAAAAAAAAATACACCAATGGTATGGTATTACACCTTATCGATCATGTAATCATCTGCAAGTTCTCTTCTTCATATTTCCTACTAGAAAAGGGACAAGAAAGCGTTCGCGCTTTGTTCTGAACTCGCCTTGTCGAATCTCTCCTCATTCAAGAGATAAATATCAGGAAAGCCAGCAGTCGTCTTTTCATGGAGAATCAAGGATGCCACAGCTTCGCCACTCAACCAAGCTTTATCCATACCGTGTCCATTGAACCCCGCGGCTATGAACTCTCCATGTCCTTGCCGCCCAGTCATCTTTGATGTGAGCTTGCCAACATACGGCATACCATCCGACGTGAAACCCATTATTCCCGACCACACCCTGATGGGATGCGCAGGCTCCGATTCACTCAGAACCCGGGGAAGAATCGACTCAAGATTCGCCTTTGATGTCGGGGAAATTTTTGAGTCGTCGCTCGTTGCCACCATTTCGCTGATGTTCTGAACATCTCCACCAATCCAGATATGGCCCGTTTTTGGGTTCTGTTGAGCATAGTACAGACCCGTCGAGAAAACTCCAGTCTCAGCATTGAAAGATCCTGGGCTCAGCGGCGTCCACGAGATCTCGGAGCCCAACTGTGGAAATAATGGCCCAACTTCTTGTACAGACATTGTCCCTCTCACGGGCCATAGTTTGCCACAAAGATGAGGTGTCAAGTATGCAGAGAATCCGTTGGTGCAATGAACGACTTGTCTGGTGCGGAGAAGTCCTCTTGGTGTCTGTAACATGTAAGGATATTCGTCATCTTGACTATAATCAATACTTGTCACCGGAGTGTTTGTTTCGAGAGTAAATCGGTCCTGAAACTTGTCCAACAGTAGGTTGAAGACGGCCGTGAAGAGCCGATAAGGCGACAAGGCGCCAGATCCGTGTTGCTCAATAGCACCCACAATATCTCGATAGCGATAGTTCTAAAGTCATATTAGCCAAGGTTTCCAAATTTGTGCATAGGTGAAAAAAGAAAAACCCGCCTTCTCAGCTGTTTCTTTCGAAATGACTTTGAAATTCAAGTCCCTTTCTGGTACCAGTTCTCGGATGACATCTATATCAGATTTCATTTTTCCAAACATTTCAGAGTTTGTAAACCCAACAGAGGCTATGACTGAGCGAAACTCTGACGCCTCGCGGTCGGCATGTCCCAACTTCGACACCAGAGTCTTGAGACGTGACATGTTGGCTTCGCTAAAGTACAGGACCTTTTTGGCTTGCTCGAGGCCATGGTCATTCATGATGCGACCAAACAGCGAGTCGGCATCAGAAACCAAATGACCACCGTTGCGTCCAGTCGCACCGCTCACGGCGCCGCGAGCTTCCAGCACCGAGATATGCAATTTCGACGCGGCGGGTGAGTCGTCGTGGAGCAAAGCGTAGGCAGTTCCGCATCCCGTGATGCCAGACCCTATAATAGCTACGTCCACATGTGCGGGCAGCGTCAATGATTGAGCCGTCGCGACCCTGGGATGCGGAGGTTCTTGTCAAGCTGATATTGTAGGATTTGGATTTGGAAGTTCGGGAAGTTGCTCAAGGCTCGCTTGAATGCGCTGTCTGAGATCTGGACTGGGTGAGATCACTTGTGGTGACTTGACTTGTGACGGGCTTTCTCACCTGATTGGTCCATGTTGACTATTCCTGTTTTGAATGCGAAATGTTGGAATGGAAATATCACCAAACCGCCAGCTCTGATAAAGCTGATCGACCTTTATTAAGGAATAGACAAACGCTGGGGAGAAGAAATTCACCACCACCCATAAAGACTGGGTGTGGAGAAGCCGGTAACTTTCCGGTTCAGTGGGATGCTTGAAATGTGTACAGGTACTCTTTGCAGTCACATAAATGAGGCTAGCACAACCGACATCTCACAATTCGCGACAACGCGATACTGGTATAATAGCAAATCACAGGATTGGTGATTTGCGTATACACCAAGCCTAAACTGGTGCGGATGTACTTGCCTGCTTGGGTAGCATTTGTGAGCTTGATAAGCCGGTAGGTTAGCCGGTCAATTACAGTGGTATAGTCTGTTTTCATCAACCCCCCGGCTTGGCACGCCCGGCTCGATCCACCATGATTGGACAATGCAAGTATTGGGGTCGGGTCTGAATGCCGGCATTTTGTAGCATTGTAGACGAGGGAATGATTACAACTAAAGATAATGCCGGCTTGTTACAGGCCAATAACCACTTAACATTGTCCCTTCTGTATATCTACTACGTAGTTTATCAGAATCAAGTAGACAAGAGAAGCTCTATAAGGACGGAAGCTTACCCACGTACCTGATGCTCATGAAAACGGCTTTGGGATGCAAATCCACAACTAAGTATCCTTCAAAGTCCAATATTGACTGCGCTCCGCGATGAACGTTCACGAAAATGACGTTGGCACGTTGCTGGGCACCTGGCGGCTGGGAGACGGTAGGTAGAATTATTCCTTTGATGGAGGTAATCATACTTACTTATTTGTAGCAACCTCTACCGCCATAGTGCTCCAGCCAACTCCTTCCGACGATGCGCAGGACCCTTTGGTGCGTGCCCAAGCTGCAGCATGCGCTGAATAGTTTCGCTCTAACCAGGAAAATGGCAGAATTGGACAAAGTGGCGCAAGGCGATCAATTTCGGCTTGGGGTTATTCTACGTCCTCATCACGTTCGTGCTCATCGACATTTTTGGCATCGCGTACAACGACTATGTAATAGAGCTGGGTATGGGGTATCAAGACTACAATGAGATTACGGCCTTGAACTATGTGGGACTGGCTATAGGCTGTGTCATGTTCATTCCGTTGGTCTACAAACTTGGACGTCGTCCCGTCTACTTGATCAGTCTTACCATCCAACTTGCCACCGCCATATGGGCCGCAAAGATTCAGACCTTGGCTGAGTTGTATCCGCTCAATTTTATTCAAGGCATCGGCGGTGCAATCAGCGAAACAATTGTCCAAATCAGCATCAGCGATCTCTTCTTTGTTCACCAGTATGCCACCATGAACGGCCTCTTCCTCCTCTTCCAATCTATTGGTGCGTTTCTTGGGCCCGTGGCCGCTGGATACGTCGTGGTCGGTCAAGGGTGGCGTTGGCAATGGTGGTGGTGTGCCATCTTCTTGGGAATGAGTCTGCTTCTGGTTTTCCTCTTCTTTGAAGAGACGGCATACGTACCTGCTCTGCAGGGCCGACCAGCGAACATTGAGACTGTGCCAGCCGGGAAAAAGGACGACCCAGAAACTGGTTTGGACATCACCAGGCAGTCGTCAACAATGGGCTCTGGTCCTAGTGCCGACAGGTCTTGGTTGGAAAAGCTCCGTCCATACACGGTATACGAGGGTTCCGTTCTACACCATGCCTGGCAGCCCTTTATCCTGCTTTTCCGTGTCCCGGCAGTACTGTATACTGCCCTGACCTACGGGATTCTGCTGGCGAATTTCGCCGTTCTCACCTCGGTCGCCACGACTTCGTTGTTTTATCCGCCTTACAATTTCGATACCGCCGGCGTCGGCTTGTTCAATATCGCGCCCTTTATTGGATCGTTTCTTGCTAGCATCACGATTGCACCACTCAGCGATTTCATGATTGTGAGACTTTCAAGAAAGAATGGTGGAATCTACGAATCGGAAATGCGACTTTGGCCAGCATTGCCTGGTGCTCTCTTCACGTGCGGCGGCTTCCTTATGTTCGGCATTTGTATCGCACAGGTAATAAGGCATCGATATACTCCTACTTAACAGTTCATGAACTAATGCGCAGTATAGGGACGCTCGTGGGTGCTACTTGCCTTGGGGGCAGGTATTTTTGGATTTGGATTTGTCACCTGCGCCGACATAGCATTGTCCTATTTAACGGATTCGTATCAAAACGTGAGTTTTTTCCAGAGTCATATCTTGGCCTTCTTGCTGACATATGAATAGCTGATTGGTGATGCCATTATTGGTGTGATTTTCGTTCGAAATGCAATTTCCGTCATCATCCTATTCGTACTGACGCCGTGGATCGACGGGCTTGGCCTAGAATACATGTTTGTCTCGTGCGCTCTTATCACTCTAGTGATAACGTTGGGCTTCCCGGTAATTCTCCTCGTGTTTGGCAAGAGAATGCGGCAAAGCACTTCGGAACTGGCGAATAAGTTCTCCTTGCGGCAATCGCGACGCACGTAGCTTCACTCAAAGCTTTCGATGAGCTACATTCATAGCGAAAAGACCTACCTCAAGTATTCGGATCGTGAACCTTGAGGTCACTTTAGGAGAAGAGCGTAAATAAAACCAATGAAATCAGTTTTATAGACTCCTGCAAAGAGTGAAGAGTAATACCATGATTATTGCGCTCTAGGCACGCCCAAGAAGCATGTCTAGCGTGCGATGAACTACTGTACGAGTCTTGGCCGTCGACCTCGAGGACAAACTCTTTGCTAAATCCCTGGCTATAGATTAATTGTTGCATGTTCACTATAACTGTCCTGTAAAATCAACGGAAACGCAATCAACGCTGCTTATAACTCCAGACATAGGGGTCAAAATTAATGCCAAACATATGTCGGAGCTTTACCACGGCTCATTTGATCTCGCCAGACTTCACCCACTGCAGGTTCAGAAATAAAACCTATGGGGGCATTCAGGCCGCTCTGAGGTCCAAATTCTATCTTTTCCGGCCTCGGTTACCGAAAGGCCTCTTGAGCGCAGCGTGAATTATGCCAAGGTGACAACAATGCACCGGCGGAATATTCCCGGTCTATCGCCAGAGATGTGAAGGGTCACAGTACGACCCCTCAAACTAGACCTAGTCGAGGGTATCTCGATCATGTAGCCCCAATATGCTATAATAAATGTGTAAGTCTCGCTTTCCAAGCTTCAGGTTGACAATTTCTCAATTTAACTTGACACACATGACCAAAATGGACTACAAAGTCAAGGCCGCTGAAAAGTGCTCGGCGACTTATGCTGCCATTCCTGAAGAATGGAGACTTTCTCCCGAGTGCCTGTCACTCCTTCAACAGCCCGTCGAGAAATGTCGCAATAATCTCTTCGAGCCCGACTTTATACAATCTTCGGGAATTTTGTCTCCCAAAGAGCGTGAGATTACAGAAAACTACGAGGTCTCGCGTTTGCTTGGTGCTCTGGCAGGAGGCACCCTATCAGCCGTTGAGGTGACTGTCGCGTTTTCGAAACGGGCCGCAATTGCTCAGCAGTTGGTAATGTCCCTCGTGTCCAGGCAAGCATCACTCAAAAGTCACTAACAATCTAATGGACTGGTTGTCTTACAGAGATACTGTTTGATCAAGCGCTCGAAAGGGCGCGAGATCTTGATGCTCTCAGAAGCAGTGGAAATCTCGCTGGGCCGCTCCATGGACTGCCAATCAGCATCAAGGATAGCTTCCAGGTAAAGGGTACACAGGCGACCATCGGCCTCGTTTCATATCTAGATCGCGTGTCAGACGTGAACTCAGTACTGGTTGATGTTCTCCTCCAGCTTGGGGCGGTTCTTTACTTGAAAACCAATGTCCCCCAAACGATGATGGTCGGTTCACTCTCCTAAGCTCTTGCCCTCGCCGCGGCACCTGACAATGTTTTGCAGACTGCGGACTCCCACAATAATATCTTTGGCCGTGTTTTGAACCCGTGGAATACCATGCTTACAGCGGGAGGTTCCAGTGGCGGAGAGGGCGCACTAGTCGGCTTCCGCGGATCTCCTCTCGGCGTTGGCACGGATGTTGGTGGTTCGTTGCTTTACATTATAATGAACATCACAAGAACAAATAAACTAAGAATTGAATCCAGGCTCGATTCGAATTCCCTCATTATGCTGCGGAACATATGGCTTCAAGCCAACTGCAGGCCGCATACCATATGGGCAACAGGTTGGATGCAGCGATCCAGGGCTTCGCATGATTCTTGCCGCAGCTGGCCCAATAGCAAATGACATTGATGCATTGGAGATATTCGTAAAGGCGGTTGTCAACGCAAGACCCGCCCTTCTGGATCACACAGCTATCGATGTTCCTTGGAAAGAGATGAAGCTAGCCACGGATCACAAGCTGCGGCTGGGATTGTTGGCCGAGGATCCGCTGTACCCTCTCCATCCTCCTGTCCAAGCGGCGCTGGACAAGGCTGTCAACATATTGAGGGAACACGGCCATAAGATTATCGAGATAACGCCCGTAGAAGGGCATGTAGCTGATTCGGCAGAGGTGGCCTGGAATCTCTGGGGATTAGATGCCACAGCAGATGAAATTGTCAAGGCCGGGGGCGAGCCTGCAGTGCCGTCACGTCTGAGTCTGGCGCGAGATGCCGCGGCCACTAACTGGAGTTTTGTGCCAGATCTGAGCCAGCTACCAGCACTCAAGAAGCTGTCATTCCTAAACATCAAGAGGTCCGAGATCGCGGCAAACTGGAACCGCACCTGGAGAGTGCACAATCTCGACGCTGTCATTGGGCCGCCGGCGCAACACACGGCCGTCGAGCACGACAACTATGGAATACCAGCGTACACGGTTCTGCTAAACTTACTAGATGTAAGTGTTTGCAATCTCCACGCTGCTTGCATTTTCTAATTTGGCGATTTGCAGTATCCAGCTTGTGTTCTCCCCTTCAGCCACGCCTCGAGCTCCACGACACCGAGGAGCTTTGAGAAGAAACCGGGCCAAGCAGGGCCGCCATGTAGGTGCCACGCAGGCGGACCGTCGGTGTATGCAGACCGTTCAACTAATGTTTCCAAGATCACCCATCTGTTGTCGAAGGAGCGCCGTGTTCCATCCAGATATTCACGCGGAAAATGTGCGACGAACAATGTCTTGCGGTTGCGGCTATCATCGACAAGGCGCTAAACCTGTGAGTCTAGACTTTGTGGGGGATTTGGTTTGCGGGGTGAACCAGCGGATTTGTAGCAACTTAGCAGGGTCCAGGCGGGGGTAAACATACCTAGACAAGGGTATCTGTAGATGAGCCTCGGGTGGGTGCGAAGATAACGAATTCTGGGCAGATCCGTGTAAGAGGGTGTTGTTGTATCTTGTTGTCTTAGGCCTCCAGGACGGCAAAACTGCTCGAAACACTATCCCTTGACTCCCAGCTGCCGATGACGTTTCCCCGACCCCGTGCGTAGTACATATCAGACATCAGATCTATTTCTACTACTCAGCCATGCCGAATCCACCAAGATCTTGCGATCGTTGCCATGCTATCAAGGAGCGTTGCGTATGGAATCCGAACTCGCCCGCATGTAAGCGCTGCACCCGTCTGCGGCATGTCTGCGAGACAAGACGCCCAGTAAAACCACCTGGACGGAGGCCCAGGCCGTGCACGTCACCCTCATCAGGGAGACCCGAAATGGAATATCCAATGAACGATCCCACTGTCGCTTTGCTGCGTGACGTTTTTGGAGCCAAGAGACAACTCATCCTACGCATGGTGGAATCTGATGACAGCCTCGAGCCCTTTCTCATTGGACCAACCTTTTGTGCCAGCCACCGTCAGCTCCTCATATCGGTTTTCACGACATCGACGACGGTTCTGCAAGACGCGTTACTGGCATCGTCGACGGCTTGGATGGATGATATGTCGATGGAGCCGTGCGACGCCTATCAAAAGGCCTCGTCCGCGCTTAGCAAGCTCTCCGCGCTGGAAGTCAAGAATCAGGACGATGCAACCACGTGTTTAACACTTGGCGCCCTCATACACACCTTTGCGCTCAAGTTGCGGGTGGGAGACATCTACCTTATTTGCTCAGAGGCTCTTGGACGCATCAAGCCGATATACGAGTCGGAACATTATTCCGATTCTCCAAGTTTCTTCATGTTGACGTGCATGGTAGCCCACGAAATATTGGAATGCTTGGTACGATGTTGCAGACCCATGTTGCGATATAAACCGTCGGTTGACCCAACTCGTGTTGACCGTTTCGTGGGATTGAGTGGGACGTTGCTGCCACTGCTGCAAGACATCTGTGAGCTGAACGCTGCCTTGTCCTGCGTGGACAGGACCGGCGGCGCGGAAGTCAATGCTGCGCTTTTGTCCGTGGAACAGGCCGTGATGGACTGGTTTCCCCCTGTGCCATCTGGGTTCACATCGCTATTCACCTCGATGGAAACAACTCACATGCTCTGCCAGGCACGGGTGACGCGAATGGCGGCGCTGATGATTATACATCGACTACGGCATCCTTTTGGCCGGGAGACTGGGTCTGCATTGGCAATGGCATCCACCATCATGCACGAGTTGGAAATTACACAGCAAATTACTGGCAAACAGGCCAAATGCGTTGACCTGGCCATCCTAGTAGCATGTCTCGAGTTTGAGGGCAACAGTAGAGATTCATGGATACACAAGACTGAGCGGTTACTCGGCTACTCCATGGAGTACAAAGCAAGGATTCAAGGCATCATCAAATCTTTCTGGGCAGCCAAAGATCGTGGGCAAGACCTATTTTGGTATGACCTGAGCACAGTTGCTTGACTCAACATATTGACAATCAATTTTGGGGAGACGCTGCACGACTTGAGGCAAATAATTGTCTTTCCCACACGAGATTTTCTGAAAACTCACTGCTTTGGGCATGCATATGGCGGCACATCTATCTTAGTAGCTGCCTTTATAATCAACTCCTTATTTCATCATTGGAAGTAAGGAGATGGTGATACGCGATACGTAGAAGTAATATGCTGATTATCATATCAGAGTGGCAGCTGGCAATCCGCCAGGACTTAGGCGGAAATCATTGGTACCATTTCATCTAATATGAGCCTATAATATAAGGTGGCCTGAGAAGAGAGCTAACCTATACGCAAACGGCCTCCAACCTTCTTCCGTTGCTCTGCCTCAGGTTATACTTGGACACAATCCGAAATTGGTATCCTGGCGACAATTCAAATTAGAACACAACTTGAATTGAGTCACAATCTATTCGGAACTCTTACCTTAGTCCGTGATTTCCTCATCGGGCACTTTCTGTTTCGTGCCTTTACTTTTCGCAGACCTCTATTTTACAAAGAAAGAAAGCACAAGAATCATCACGGTGAGCATAACCGACGCCATGAACACTTTCAGCACCGGAGCTCTCAAGGTGCTGGGGCAAAGCTTCCTTGTCAGAAGCGGCCAATAGCCAGGACGTCTTAATGCCTAGAAACAGGCCGGGCGCTTGGATGGCTGGATAGACAAGACAAGCAGCAATATGCTACCAAAGCCCGCGCCTGGGTTCCCAAGCATACAACCGATAGCTAATGTCTGCGCAGCATCGTATTTCAACATTTTATTGAAAAACTTACAGAAGTGCCCACAGAGCCAAGCAGCAACATACCTGGCCAACCATTAGGCTGATATCCAGCGGTGCAGAGCTAGTATACTTTGGGATAAGACAAAACTTGTTACTGCTAGCCCCGCTGGCTCAATGGTAGAGCATTAGACTTCTATGGTCGGTAGAATTATTGACTATGCAATCTAAAGGTTGCGGGTTCGATCCCCGCGTGGGGTTTCACGCTTTTTGCTTTTTTACACACCTGACATTTTGAACTTGTTTTTTCCTTTGGAATTCTTGCAGGTCAAATCCCACCCACTTATTCTTTTGGCATTCGCTAATGCAGATGCGGATATTATCTATTTAATGCGAGTTTACAATGGAGTCGCCTTAATTTTATGGGTAATCCGGGTACATACGCAGTCGCTGCTAAACGGTATGGTTGCATTGAAATATGTTGCGATTTACTTTGCGACCTCATAGTTCCTTAAAGTTGGGCTGGATGGGGCTGATGAGGTCAGCCGAGACAATATCAAAATTGCCGTGGTTCATATACAACCATGGCACGGCAAAATGTTAAAACTTAGTGTCATGGCCAAAAACTGCCATTATACAATAATAGGTAGAGAGCATGCTCGCAATCGTTAGGGAACCATCACGAACTAAGATTTATATGCCCACAGAGGAGGATAAGACATACTATGACACTTAGGATCCGTTTCAAGGCCATATTGTCGAGTGTTTTCTGACAAAAAGCCCTAAGATTCGGAAACTGCAAGGTAGACAAATAAGCATATTTTTGAGAGCTTGATTCATAATGCATCCTTATATACATACATTGAATTAGGAAGATATTAATATTACAGACTTCTTAAGGCAAGCTTCGGCATACTTTGTGGACCGTTGGCTTTTAAACTATAAGGCAAGCTTTATATATCCTTAGCGCTGGACCTTTTGCGCTTAAGGGACATCAATTATCGGGCGTGAAGCACAGCACAACTTGCCTGATTTCTCCGCAGGTCTCGGTTGTCTTGCCCGTGGGCACTACATAGACTTATGGCCTTGGTAACGACAAATCTTACATGGAGTGGCCTTGCAGCAGTGAGCAACAGAGTGGCTTGATTCGCGGCAACAAGCCTATGGGCCAGGATGACCAGTTCGTTTAATCTCATCCTGCCGCGATTTTTGTACTCACTTTTTTTTCAAGAGGCAGAAGTGAGAACGACATTCTACTTATGGAAATAAGATCAAGGATGCAAACGTTGAAGGCGCATTGGGGAAAATAAAAACGCGCACCTTGAGAATGAGAAAGCGCCATAACACAATCTAAGGTGGACGGCGAGTCATGCTATTACTGTGGCAGGAAAACGGATATGGAAATCAGGTGTTTTTTTTATAAATCCGATGGCAATAAATAAAACAATAAGCAGATGGTTTATTTACTCAGCTCTCTAACTACCTTAGAAATACATCACAGCACTATGCATTCTTGAAAAATGTATTTATATAACAATTCCTGATATAGCAGTATTAAAAAGTTGCAAAAATTCAAGAGGAATTGAACCCCACGCGGGGGTCGAACCCGCAACCTTTAGATTGCCTAATCAATTATTTCACTGACCATAGAAGTCTAATGCTCTACCATTGAGCCAGCGGGGCGGTTATTGAAAATTTGTTGTTGTTATTTAGTTATAAGACGCGTTTGATAATCTTGTTACTAACGCCAAATATTTAAGAGGGTGGGACACGAGTAGCACTTGTCATATCTCTAATTGTTGTCGAGATAGGATGCTGAGACTAGAAAGTTCAAGGAGGCAAGTCATTGTACTCGGCCTGCGTCATATGCGGCATCCTCTGAATGCAGGTGGAGGGGACTGACATGGGTAAGGTAGGTAGGTAGAAAAGCAGATGCGCAGACACCGGTGCTCATTTGGAGCCCATGCCAGGTGGTTCACAAACTCGAGAAGGACGGTCGATTCAAGCAAAGGTTCCAAAAGATATCCCCAGGAAAGCCTTGACGATAAAGGTATGGAGTTGCGCCAAGCATCTTTAAAATCATGACATAAGCAGTCCCCTCATGTTTTCTTGAATCTGGACCTTTGTCTCAAGAGAAATCAATCAGCGACGAGGTGAAGATCGAAAAGACCAAAAATGAACATTAAAAGAAAAGACAAGCACTGCGTGTGGTATTGTTGAAAGAATTTCAAGCTTATGGAGGAAGAGAACATGAGACCAGAGCTTGTGAGCCCGAGGTCGGCAACGCCGCCTATGAGGATCCAATGAATAAAGGCGGAGACTGTTTGGTAGTAAAAGTTGACTGAGCGATTCCTTCACCGCGGCCATGTCAGAGAGATCGTGAAATGGAATTGCTCTTCTGCGCGAGAGGCTTTAGCAGATAAGTCTATACGTTTTATTACCGATGATTTTGGACCGCTGACAAACTATATGGGATGAGACAGCAGATCTGCGTTTTAGGCTTTCCCTTGTCGTTCGAACCAGACTACCTCTCTATGCACCCCGAGTCAAGGGCTCGCCGTACTGGATCTTGGCAGCACCATACTTCTCCAGTCGGATAGCCTGGATGGCGATAAATCCACTGGTATCCTCCGGGCTGAAGCCCTCAAGGGTGTCCATGCTGGCCTGTTCCTCACTGTACAAGATGCTCTCAGGTGCAGACCTGGAAAGGACGTGAGCTGCTCCCTTGTAGACCATCATGTTCACTGTACCGTGAACGTGCTTCTGGCTGAAGTGGATGGAGTTTTCTGGTAGTCGTGATTAGCAAAGGTCATGCTCCTATTTTAGCTAAAGTATAAACTTACCGAGCAATTCACGCTCAGGGGAGAAGTACATGCCTGGCTAGGTTAGTTCCAATACTTCTACAGGAGAGAATGAGGGGAGCAAACCATTGTAAAGGCACTGCGACCACTCGTTTCCAATCCAGTGCATAATCTGCTTGACCTTGGAGTCGACTGTCATTCCTTCAATATCGATGTGTGCAAGTCTGAGCACAGTCAATGCAGGAGAGTCGTAGGCTCCACGACTCTTCAGGCCAATGAAGCGCGACTCAACAATATCTATTCTTCCAACGCCGTTACGGCCAGCGATGTCGTTCAGGGCCTTGAAGAGCTCAAGAGAGCCGGTCACTGTCTCACCACCCTCAACCTTGAGCTCGACGGGAATTCCAGCTCGGAAGGTGACAGAGAACTTGGTGGGGACATCGGGGGCCTCGAGGGGATCTGAGATTCAGCATGGTTAGCTTGATGCTGCAATGAAAAGACAGATATTGAAGCGTAACTCCACAGAGACGTACCGACAGTTCGAGTCCAGACATCCTTGGGTGCAGGCATGTCAGGCTTCTCGAGGATACCACTTTCGTAGCTGCAGTGAGCCAGGTTATCTAACGAAGAGTTAGCTTGTTGCCTCATTACGATTGTCCATCTCTCTGCGCACCGTCCTGAGACCACGGGGCCTTGGGAGTGGACGAGACGGGGATGCCGTTCTCAGCAGCAAACTTCAGGAGATCCTGTCGGCCTCTAGCATGACATTAGAACTCATCAATTAGATAGGCGCGATTGAAGCTTACGCGAAACGGTTGAAGAAGGCGGGAATTCTCCATGGGGCGATGACGGAGAGGCTCTTGGACGTTGTTAGATTTCTTGCTGCGGAAGCTTGGATAACGGATACATACAGGGTCGCATGCCTTCCAGGCAAGTTCGAATCTGACTTGGCTGTGATTTATTAGTTTCTGAGGCAGTTGCCCGACAGCACCGCGAGAAAACGTACTCATTCTATTCATTGTTAGCAAGGACTGTCAAGAGAGGAAAGATGCAAGCTTTACGTACGCCCTTGCCAGTGCAGCCGTGGCTGAGAATCTTGCAGTTGTACTTGTGGGCGGTCCGGACTTGAGCGCGAGCAATGACGGGGCGGGCCAGACTCGTTCCAAGGAGGTATCTGACGGAGACATCAGCTGGGAAGCTAGAAAAAGGGTATCGCAAACGCCGCGGAGTTTCTTGATGGCTCGAAATCGACCAGGTCGGGAGCTTGTGAAGTATGTGCAATTGAACTCACCGGTCCTCGTAAATTGCATTGCCTGTTGTTCATTTGTGTTAGTCCATCTTCCTACACCGCCCATGCACCTGATAGTGCTAATACAAGCGGAATCGAGACGTACACTGGATGGCAGGGAAGATGAGCTCATCAACAAACTCCTGCTGCAGGTTCTCGATGATCATGCGCTCAGCACCGAGAGCCAGAGCCTTCTTCTCGACCTCAGCAAAGTCTTCCTGCTGACCGACATCGGCAAGGAAAGCCTGGGAGCAATCTAGGTCAGTATTGGACCGGTGTTGGAGCTAGACACAGATAGACATACGACGACGGTGTAGCCCTGCAAAAAAGATTACATTAGCATGTCAATTGACATTATAAAAGGTCTAAGAACATTTCCCACCTCGAGAATCAGCCATTTGAGGATTGTCGAAGTGTCGAGACCTGTGCAGCGTCAGCAATCGAGGGTTGTGATTATGGTGCCGAAGGTGGTTATCGGCTGGTCATCGGAGGAAGAGCGTACCGCCAGAGTAGGCGCTGTGCAAAAGTTGTCAAGTTAGCTTAGTCTGAGCTCAATTATGGAATTGTCTTACAGGCAGACACGTTTGTCGGAAGACATGATTAATGTCGTTGTTGCTGTTGCTGTTCTCGTGGGTTGTTGTGGTTGTTGGCGGTATGGTGAAAGAAAGCAAGCGATAGCGGCGGGGGATTTTTTTTTTGTCAATTTTTAAAAACGCAGCTTGAGCTGCATGAGCTCCAGGGCTACACAGTATGAGTCATGGTGTGACTCTGTACCTTAAGGTTCTTAGAGGGCTGGCAAACACACCTGTACCTCGCCGTGAAGCCAATTAAAGAGCTATGAGTAAAACAGGGCTCCATTTATCCCGGATAGAACGCAAGGACCCACGTGATAGCGCGGGGCTTTAGGCGGTATCAGTGGGGTTAGCACGCTAAAGCGCCCTACAGATTCAACTGGCCCCTCAGTTTCATACCATAATAGCAATGTCGAAATGTTTTTTTATTTCCCTTATCTTATTGGTATAGACGAGCTTGAGCCTTGAAGCTACCTCTAGCTTTATCAATGTGGCAGCCCCGCTGCCTCGAGATTGGCCCAAGCCGTGCACCAATGAGGTCATGCTAGCTCGGCACTCGAGGCACTGTAGATTAGCCTCATAACAAGTCTTGAATTCAAGGTTCTGACTGTTCACTATTCCGTGGCTCGGATTATTTATGTAAGCTCTACTCAGATGGTATCAAACGAGCCGCCTCAGCCCCATACCTCCCTATGAAAAGAAAAAAGAAATTGCAAAGCCCCCTACGACGCATATGGGGCATGAGGCATACAGTTTGATGGAAAGAAAAACTTTGCAATTCTACTTACTTTATCGTCCAGGAACAATATAAGTTTGTTTCTCTTGCTTCAAGAAGACAAAAATGTCTGCAGTAAGTAGGTGTCGACAAGTCATGACTTCAGGAACATGTCGGACCCAATCACTACCTAGTAGTTGCTACCTCTTTATTTACGAGCAAGTCTTTTTTTGCTCCTTGATATTAACATATCCCCCACACTCCTTACGATTATATACCTTATCATCAAGTCGCGAATTATCCTTGGCCACCAGTCTCAAAACCTAAAACGCTGTTATGGCCATAGTGCTTACAGCGAAGGATGGTCTCCCCTTAGTAGAAACTATCATAGTGCCTCGTAGTGCCTCATGTATTTGCGTCTGACTACATGGTGTTAGCAGGTTATTGTCACAACTATAAAGTGACCTCCAACCCTCTGAAGCCCGGTCAGAATGACCTCTGGGCAGACTCTTTGTATTCCATCTCCATCTCCATACTCGGCAGCATGGCTCCAGGAACATCCCAGGTCGCAGCCCAGCTCAAGGAGCAACTACATCATGAACACCCAGACTTGATTCTCACCACGCCCGAGGACGAGAGGTTTGATGACGCACGTGCCTGCTTCATTGTGCGGTCCGCTCGGCCCTTTGCCGTGGCGCGGCCGCAGACTGCGCAGCATGTCCAGGCACTGATCAAGTTTTGCATTGACCACGACGTGGATTTTTGTATCCGGGGTGGTGGGCATGATTGTGCCGGGAGGACCCAGGTCCCGGGCGCCTTGATGATTGACATGCGCGGGATCGATTATGTCCGCGTCGATGACAGCCGAGCGACGGCCCGGATCGGCGGAGGAGTGCTGCTTGGTGACCTCACCAAGGCACTTGGAGAGCAGGGGCTCGTTACGCCATGGTAAGCTTTCCGTACTGTAGTCTCCTGAGCTTGCCTTGTAAAATATTGAAGAGTTGATATTATTTTTACAGCGGCACGATAGCGACAGTTGGCTATACCGGATGGGCGACTCTCGGTGGCTATGGACCGTTTTCAAGTTTGTACGGCATGGGAGTAGATCAGATTGTCGGCGCAAAGCTTGTTAACGGTACGGGCACACTTGTTAATGCGAATGATGAGATCCTGAGAGGCATTCGAGGCGGCGGAGGCATCTTTGGTGCCATTGTTGAACTTACAATCAAAGTTTACCCACTGCAAAAGGTATGAATATGCAAGTCTAGGAACAATCTCGAAGCGGAGGCAGCTGACATTTTGTAGGGCCAGATCCTTTTCTCACTTATCGTCTATGAATCAAGCGATTTGGAAGACACGGTGCTATCCTACACACAAGGCTACGAACAAATCAAGGCAAATGCCGAGCTGCCGGCAGCTCTTTCGCTCCAGCCAATGATCGTAGAGCTACCTGAACTGGGAAAAGCATTTGCCCTGCTTGCCGTTTGGGGGAGGGATGATCACGAGGAAGGTCGTCGCTGGTTCGACAAGATTGCCGGCCTAAGCCACTGTCTCATGAACTCGCCCGAGCCCATATCACTACATAAATTTGTCAAGAACAATGAGGAAAATCTGGTCACCTGGCTATCCTATGGTCGCACCTACACCACAAGTGTCAAGCGCTGGACGCCCCAAACCGCAAAGGTCATGGCCAAGTATGGCAAGCTCATACCCGGCGGCGGCACGGCCATATCTGTTCACACTCTTCGCTCTCCGAAGCCGAGTAAAGAGTCAGTGTTTGGCTCCCGGGTAGACCATCTGATGGTTGAGATCATAGCTGTGTCTCCCGATCAAATGTACGAAGAGAAGGCAGCGGCCTGGGCGTTGGCTATGCAGAAGGAGCTGAAAGAGACGGACCCCGAGAACATGCTGGAAGGATCTTACATCTCGTTGCTTAGTGACGAGGAAACGGATCTCAGAAAGGTTTATGGAGAATATTATGATGTTCTTTTGGGTCTGAAGAGAAAGTTTGACCCGCAAAATGTTTTCAAGCACACCATACCGAATTTGCCAGTGTAGATAGATGATCTTCAATCATGTGGAAATCCGTGGCACGAGTTCATTGCAATATCTCATGACATGGTAGACGCGTTCAGATGACTTGCTTGACTCCCCTAGTTAGCTAAGAGTTCACATCTAGTTGAAAGATACCAGTTCAGTAGAGAAACACCCTTGAAAAGTAGTTGAAGAAAGGAGCCAGAGCAAAAGAATCAGAGCTACACTATAGGGATTCGAACCAATGAACCAAAAGGATGAGCAGCCTCAAGACCGCCCCCAATAGCCCAACCTAGTTTACACTTCAATTCATCGAAGCTGTGATTTACTTGTAAGGACTGTAATAGCTTCACATTTTATCTACATATTTAACCACTTTGAGTTGACAGGGACCGCTAAGGATATGCAGTTGAGCTAGAGGGTTTCTTGCAAAATATAGATTTCTAAAGTAGTATCTGATAAGAGAAGCCTGGTCTACGGTGGCCACAAAAGCAAAGCGAGTTGGCAACGTTTCTATGTATACACGAAAATATTCTGTGGTTTCTGTCATGTTTCCTTGATTTGTTGATGATTGTTAAACACTGAGCAAGACCAATATCGATGCCAACGTAGAGAGATAATATGTCTAATGGCTTGTAGTGACGTGAATGATTCTCAAGTTGAGTGTAGCAAGATTTATCACGATTACTAGGAAATATTGGTCCCCTTGTGCGTGAAAGAACTTTTGTGTGGGATTATTGACCTTGGGGTGGTTGCCAGTTGCGATTGTTTCTGTCGCCGTTTGTTGTGCGTTGGCAGGCAACCGATTCTTTTCCCCCATTCTGTCAATTGCCCTAGAGACAACAATCTGTCACGCTGCTTCACGTTTGTCGTTTGGGTACAAAATCCAGCTTCGACTCCAGAAACTGCACAACCCTTTTCTTACCACACACAAACGCCATTCTGCTTTCAAGCAACAAGTCAAATCAACATCCATTCCCAATCCTTCGACAACAACCATCTTTTCCCATACCTCCAAACATCCTTCAACGTTAATCTTCTTCACTACTACCAACATATCTCTCAAGATGTCTGACAAGACTGTTTCCCCCACCACTGCCAAGGCAGCTTCCCCGGCCAAGAAGGTCGAGTTGACCACTCGTGAAGTCGAGGTCCTGGCTGCTGCTTGGGTCTCCCTCAAGGCCGACGCCGATGTAAGTCTCACAGTAACAAATATTCAGCGCATCAAGAGTATCCTCGTTGTTGTCGTCGCCGATTATTGGACATCAACATTATATCTTTCGCGTCAAGCCTCGGCGCTTCTGTCGCACCTGATGATCTTCATCACTTCCTTCCATCTCCATTTCAAATGTTCTTGCTAACGCATAACTCCATAGGTTGACATCGACAAGCTCGCTCAGCTCACTGGCTTCCAGAACCCGCGCTCCGCTACCAACACTATGTACGCCATCAAGAAGAAGTTGGCCCAGGTGGAAGGTGCCGGCGAGGGCTTCACCGGAATTGCCCCCTCTGGCGGCAAGGGTGGCAAGACAACCACAATCAAGAGCAGCGCCGCCGCTGCTGCTGCTGGCGCCAAGAAGGCTACCACTCCCCGCGGCAACAATAAGCGCAAAGGAGGCGCCGAGGATCACGCCGGCACCGACGCCGACAATGAGGCGTCCGAGGCCCCCACCCCGGCTCCCAAGAAGTCGCGCGCCACCAAGAAGTCCTCCAAGCTGGCTAAGATTAAGGATCAGGATGATGAGGATGTTGACGCTGCTGCTGGCGACGACGACAAGGCCGGTGTTAAGGAGGCCGACGCCGAGGCTGTCAAGGGAGAGGACAAGGACTCGGACATGGATGAGGTCTAAGGGCTATTGGGATCGAGGCACTGTTTACGATCATGTTTCACGGATGACGTTTATTCTGCCATGCTTTTTCTGGGAATGGTTACTTCTTTGTGAAGGCCTAACGCACGGCGTTTGGAGGCGTTGAGGTCCTGGCTCATTCATTGTTTCCGCCTACGTGTATCGTATGGCGAAGATCCCTTACATAGAGAACTGTTAATAACATGGTGCCATGTTAGGGATGCAAAGCCGATGTGTGTCTTTATAATCCTTTCGCTTTGTGATGGACTGATTACTACCAGATGACATCCTATTTCACAGCACCCAAGTCCTTGCCGGAAGCAGTGTTCTTGCCCAATAACATGAGCTTACCTAAACACATAGGATGCATACTGCTTGTCATTCGTTCTTGCAATGCTTCCGAGCTCGGATCAGCTTGTATGCTTCGTCCTGTTTTCTGCGACTCATGAAGCTCAATGATCACCATCTATCTTTTGTTCAGTCATTTTGTTCTTTCGATTACACGGCTCGATATCATTATTGTTCTCTGTTGGATCAGTCACAGCCTCCGACTGAAAGTAAAGCTGACTAATTGCTCTGGTCACCTGTTTGTGCGAATCGCGAACCACGAAACTAAGAGTTTGAAAGATGACCAGTCAATCCCACCTACATACTCTAGTCGCAACGGTTTATAATCCAACTTGCTAGTCATCAACACCAGATGACGTTTCTAGTCTAAATGCTTAACTAATATCCAACCAACTCCAAGATCCATCGAAGGTGCTGCCCTCCCAACATCCCATCCTCGGCATTTTCGGCGCGAAGGCGAGATCGGGACCAGAGATCCGGAGTAGGAGGAGGAGGAGGAGGTGTAGGACCCCTTCTCCACACCCCAAATGCAGGGCCTGGCAGCACGCGATGGGATTCCCTGGTGATGGCGTCCAGGAAGCGTTAGCCTATACAGATCCACTTACCGCCGATAAACTGGGTCTTCCTGCCCGTTTTATTTCCCCATCATGTATGGCACTTTTTTCTCTCTCTCTCCTGAGTCGTGATTTTTTCTCATCGTTTCCCCTACCACTGATCAACATTCTTACCACATTTAAATCTCTTGGCTTTTTTCCCTTCTCCATTGGTTTGTGATCCAAGCATCCATCTACTTAATAATCTAAACCTTATTCCCGAAAGTGGCTCCCTTATACTAACTAACCAGTGTCCAAAGTATCGTGGCAGTCCCCAGGTTTTCCAAATCTCAGATTAGCGGCATAGCCGACTTCGCTTCCGGCAAACCGGCCCAGGAAACCATCCCCCGCAAGTCATAAAAAATAACCGTCAACAAGTATATAAAAAGGGCGATGCCGGACATTGCTCACAATGATGAAAAGCCTCATGAGCGATCTGCCGACGAGGTAGAACCCAGGATTTCAGTATCTCGAACCTCGACAAGGGAGGACAATGACGACTTGACGGCCCGCGGCCTGGGGGAAAAGTCGGCCGAGTCGGCACCGGGCTTGCCGCTCACCAACCCCGTCCGCGAAGTCGCGACCGGCAGCAGCGACGACGACGACAACGACAACGTGGGCGCCGTCGAAGCGCAGCGTGTGTCGTCGCGCGCTTCTTCGACTAGGTCCCGGGCATTGAGTGTCGTGCCCAGGGCAAGACGGCGCGGGCTGTTTGCCCGACTGGCCGTGCTGCCCGAGGTCCATCGGCCGTATGACTACTCCAACAAGACCAAATGGACCATTACTTTTATCGTTGCCATTGCCGCCGCCGCTGCGCCAATGGGTTCGGCCATCTTTTATCGTAAGTTTTGCTTATTGCACCTCAATGTGTGAGCAAGAAACCAAACTGACCCGGCCGGACTATAGCCGCCCTCCCGGAGATGTCGGCAGAATTCGACGTCTCTTCCACGGTGGTAAATCTGTCAGTGGCCTTTTACATGCTGGCCATGTCCATCTTTCCGTTGTGGTGGTCCTCTTTTTCCGAGACCTTGGGCCGGCGCACGATATATCTATCGTCGTTTCTGCTCAATGTCATCTTTTCGCTCATTAGCGGCATGAGCGTCAACATTGCCATGCTCATTGTTTTTCGGATCCTGTCGGGCGGCGCCGCGGCCTCGGTGCAGGCCGTTGGCGCCGGCACCATTGCCGATATCTGGGAGTCCAGGGAGCGAGGGCGCGCCATGGGATTCTTTTACCTCGGGCCGCTCATGGGTCCCCTCATTGCGCCGATTGTGGGAGGCGCCCTCGCCCAGGGCTTTGGCTGGCGCAGCACTGTCTGGTTCCTCACGTGCTACGGCGCCGTCGTATTTGTGCTTATTCTCTTTGCCTTGCCCGAGACGCTCGCGCAGCGCAAGCCGCTCGTCCCCCGGCCGGCTCAGCCCGTTATCGCCGATGGGCAGGCCTTGTCCCGGGTGTCCACAACGCGGTCCGTACAGATGCAGTCCCAGCACGCGGCTGCAGTTTTGAAAAAGGCTCTTATTGACCCACTCGAGGTCTTGACGTACCTACGGTTCCCGGCTGTTGCTATTGTTGGTAAGACGAAATCTTAATTTGTTCTTAGTTTGAGGTTATTCGTGTTTGGCTTTCAAGACACGTGCTATTTATGTGGTTACACCACGTACTAAATTCTTTGACTAACTCGGACATTGCAGTGTACTATGCAGCTATTACCTTTGGTTCGCTATACGTCCTCAACATCAGCATTCAATCCGTCTTCTCAGAGGCACCCTATGGCTTCTCTGCCATTATTATTGGACTGCTGTATATTCCGAGCTCGCTGGGATATTTTATAGCCTCACTGATAGGCGGAGCTTGGCTCGATAGAATCATGATCCGGTCCGCGCAGCGTGCAGGGAGATACGACGCCGATGGCAAGCTAATCTACCTACCCGAGGACCGGATGCGCGAGAACGCCTGGATCAGCGCGACGTTATATCCGGGAGCACTGATCTGGTACGGCTGGACGGCGTCGAGCGGCGTGCATTGGATCGCACCCTGCATTGCCAACTTCTTTTTTGGTGTCGGCTCCATGCTCGTCTTTAGTGCTGCGACCACCATGCTGACCGAGTTCATGCCGCGCCGTAGTAGTAGCGGTGTCGCTCTGAACAACTTTGTCCGTAACATTTTCAGCTGTACTGGCGGTATCATTGCGCAGCCCCTCATCAATGTCATGGGTGACGGCTGGCTAATGACCATGGTGGGCTTAATCGCCTGGATCTCTGGAAATGTTTGTTTGTGGCTTTTGAGGAAGAATGCATCAAAGTGGCGAGTTCAGATGGACAAGGAGCTCAACAAATAAATTAGATCAAATGGGATTCAAGATGGGACGAGTACTGGAAGAATCTAGAGAAATCAATTTCACAATTCACAAGACTATACTGTTGTCTACTATAAACCATAATAGTGCAAAGGATATCGCCAATAAAGTCGTTCACTAGGTGCATATGTAATTGCTTGCCAAGTCTTGAAGAAATCATGGCCGTTTGGGCCTGTAATGTATTCACCTCGATTCGAGGTCGCTTATCCACACACTCTCTAGTTATTATATATGCAGAGTCCTAAAGCATCCCCCTTTTGTTTCCCCTTTGCCGGCATCTATCGGCCAGCTTGTTTGTTGTCATCAACCATAAATGCATGGGATATCTATAAAGCCTCTTCCGGCTTCTTCGAGCCAAGAATATAAACAAGATAAGAGAAAAAACGCCGCCCAATTTTTAAATCAGACTTATAAACTTTCTTTCGACAAAAAGACACCTTTTTTGCTTCTTCTTTTCTTTCTTTACTTGAGAGGATCGTAGACGCGGTCCTTGATCCACTTGGTGAGGGCGACATCACCCCACTCCTCCCACTCGACCCATTGCGACTCGGGAATGGCGCTGACGCCTTCGCGGCGGGCAGCCTTCATGACCTCGCGGGCGACAACGACGCTGGCGTCGCGCACGCGCTCGATGCGGGGGTAGATGAGACCCTTGTGGATCTCCTCGGCGTTGAGGGTCTCGGACAGGGACGAGGCTGCAATGTAGACCATTTCGTCGGTCACGCTCGTGGCCTTGGCCAGGATGGCGCCCAGGCCGAGACCGGGGAAGACGTAGACATTGTTGCCCTGGTTGGGGTAGTACGTGACGGTGCCCTCGCTGTGCTTGACGTTGATGGGGGAGAAGGGCGAGCCAGAGGCAAAGATGACGGTGCCGTCGGTCCACTGGATGGCTTGCTCAAAGGTACACTCGGCCTTGGTCAGGGGGTTGCTGAGGGGGAAGAGGATGGGTCGGCGTCCAACACCGCCAGAGTCGACGGATGCCTTGAGGGCGCGCACGACGGACTCGGTGAAGCAGCCAAAGGTGGCGGTAAGACCGACCAGGGCAGACGGGCGGACGTACTCAATGACTTCCTCGAGGGTCCTGAACTGGTGTCCGTTGTTGTCCGAGCGGGCAAAGTACTTCTTGTGCTCAGCCAGCTTGTCACCACGGTCCTTGGTCACGAGACCCTTGGTGTCGACCAGCCAGAACTTGTCCTTGGCCTCCTGTTCCGTAAGACCACGTCGGGTGTAGTACTCGACCATCTGCTTGGCGACACCAACACCAGCGGAACCTGCGCCCATGAAGACGAGGCGTTGCTCATCGAGAGGAACACCAGACAAGTTGACAGCGCCAATGTAACCACCAAGAACGACGGCACCAGTACCCTGGATATCATCGTTGAAGCACTTGTATTGGTTGCGGTAGCGGTCAAGGAAAGCAAAGGCCTTCTCGGTCTCAAAATCCTCAAACTGGATGAGCATTTCGGGGTAGACCTCGGCGCAAGCAGCCATGAACTCATCCATGAAATCCTGCATGACCTCGAAAGAAGGTCGCTTGGCACGGAGACCAAGGTAAAGGGGATCCCTCAAGTTGTCCTCATTGGCAGTACCGCAATCCAAAACAATTGGAAGGGTCTTGCCGGGGTGGATACCGGCAGCGCCAGTGTATAGGGCTAGTTTCCCGATCTGGAAAAAATAGACTTGTCAGTCTTGGGGTTCATTCATTGGACCGCGAAAAGCCGAGGAGGTCTCTATAGACTTACAGAAATCCCCACACCGTTGACACCCAGGTCACCCAAGCCAAGAATTCGAGATCCGTCAGTCACGACGCAAATCTCGGGGTTGGCGTGAGGCCAATTCCGGAGAATGGTCTTGATGGACTTTCGCTGCTTGATGGAAATGTACAGAGCCTCGGGACGGGTGTACAAGGTCGAGTATTGCAGACAGACGTCACCAATGGTGGGTGTGTAGACCAGAGGCATCAGCTCACGAACATTGTCAATGAGCACGCGGTAAAAGAGGTCGACATTTTGGTCCTTGAGAGAAGACAGATACAGGTACTTGTCAATGTTGGTTTGTCTCGAGTGGATCATCTTCATGCATCTCTCGACTTGTGTCTCGGCGCTCTCCATGGCATGGGGAATCAGACCAGTCAGATTCTTGGAGACTCTGTCCTCGGGTGTAAAGGAGAGACCTTTGGGATGTGTGTTAGTATATGGGAAAAGAATGCAAAATGTTGGGGAATAGCTAGGAACCTACCCTTATTCCACAGAGGCTCCCGCAGAACTTGGTAGCCACCTGCGGACGACTTGGGAACATAGTCGGTGCTACGGTATTGTTGCACCTCACCGTAGTGGTTCTGAGCGTAGCCACGGAGTCCGTCGAGAGCAGCCATTTTCATTTGAGCCTCAATGGCAGCGATATTGACCGAAGACATTGGATTGAACTGGGACTGGGACCGCCGAGAACTTATAGACATGCGCTTGGAAATAGATGTGGAGGAGGAGCGGGCCGAGTTGATGGAGAAGGACGGGCTAGACGACCGTGGGGTGGAAATATCTGAGCTAGCTGTGCTGTATGTCGTAGAGTTGAACGCCATTGAACGTGGAGAGGGACGATGCAGAGGAAAAGTAAAAGAAGAAAACCTCGGACGGAGGTGAGAACGGGCGTTGGCCACAGCAGCAGCAGCAGCACCACAAGCAGCAGCAGAATCAGATGGCTCGCGCAAGGGTAACGAAGGTTTTTCGGAAAGATTCGTGGCAGACGGACTAGGCGTGCAGGGTTGTGGTGGGTGGTGGCCGGTAGTATTAGGATTATGTTGAGTGGTACTGGTAGAAGGTAGTAGTGAACTCGCGCTGCGGTCGTAGTACTTGTGGTTGCTAATCAAATCAGACATTCGTCTCGAGACTATTCCCGCCGTTGGGTGTGGGCGTTTTAATAACAAGTCTTTAGCTGACCCGGTAGCCCCCGTCGTGGAGGTCCCTGCCCTGAGAATCCTAGCCATGCCGATATAACCAGCCGTGACACGAAGGGGGAAGAGCAGTAGTTTCGTTGCAGTTTCAAATGAATCAGACACCCCTATGGAGATCGTCCCAAGTGAATTCCCCTGGCTGGGCAAGGGTAGTATTCCTGGACACGGACGAGGGATGATCACCAAATGCAACGAATGCAAAGTGAAAGGGAAAAAAAAGGTTGGCAATCCGCAATACTCAAGCTTTTGACACTCGTGGCAAGCCAGGTAGAGGGAGCGGTCTCGGCCAAAAGAGATAGAGAGAGAGAAAAAAGAGAGACAGAGAGATAACAGGAAAAAATGGCTGGATTTGATGTATAGTAAAACCCGGGATTCAGTGGGATAGACAAAAGTTGGATGAAGCTACACCCCAGACCCTTGGAGTACAACCACTTAGACGCAGACAATGTAGGTCTAGTAGGCAAGTTCAATGTACCTCGTGCAAGTATTGACTGTATTTGATCCTGAGAGAGAACCAAACCGGAGGTGCTGCCGTGGATCCAATGCTTAATAGACGGGCACCTGAAGATTCAAGGTGTCGAATAAAAAACCGTGATTCTGAATCACACAGAGCGACGACTTCGCTTTGCGGCGGCCGTTCACTCTCGTCAATCTCCGGGTTTTCTTCTTGCATCAGGGAGTATATTGGCCTAGCAGCAGATTTGTTGGGTCCATATAATGGGGTTCGGGAGCTAAATTGGTCCCAGGGCCTCCATGTTTGGCTGCAAGGTTCCGTATTCCGGAGTTGGGATCAGAGTCAGTCCAGTCACCAGACTTAGCACTACCTACACCTTGGCCAATTGTTGAATATGCCAAACCTTTTTCTTTGCACCCTCTACTGCGGCGGCGTTGTTCTTTTTTCTTTTGTGACACTGGGAAACGTGGACGGCGCTACGGGCTGTTTAGGCGGTATGTGTATGATGATACATATCGGCCATGCAGCTGGGCTGAGATGAGCCAATCGACAGGGCTGCAGCTTGTGGGTGGACTTGGCAGAAGAAAGCTGCTTGCTGCTGTTTGCTTGCTTGCTTGCTTGCTGCCGCTTTACGTACAGTTGCTTTCATGGTACAGTAGACGAGTACCGTCCATAGTGCAGTAGTAGTACGTACAACTTACATGCGAAATATGACCCGATTCCGGCCAGAATTTCCATTCTCAGGGATATGTGACTGAATGACTGGAAAAGAAAGACCGACAACAAGACCGACCCCAGGCTCGGTATGTTGCGGTTGTACATCTTTTTACGACCCCCCAGCTTTCTGCCTTCACCGAGCTGACCTGGGTCCTGTAGCCAAGTATCAAGCAGACCGACCACAAGGGGGCAAGGCGGCTCTCACCTGTGTTCTCGGCATTGAGTTCATCACTAGCACTGCTGCTACTGCTCTAGTTTTAGCGGAGGATGCGCTGTGGGGGGAGCTGCTGTTGGACCGCGTGGGAACGGTTATAGCATAGCGCACATGGCTAATGTGCAGCATCGGACACCAACGGGCCACTCGTGGAGACATCCGCGCGTATAGTTATCGTGAAAAGCTGGCTAGACTTGCCCAATGTAGACGTAATACGAGACTTGCGGCGTGGTATTCTTTTAAATTTTCTTTTGTTCTTTTCTTTGTCGTTTGAAAAAGATTGATACCTGACGGATGATCGATGGATTGCTCCTCCACCCCGTGTTGATATTGCGGAAAAGAAGCTGGTGGTGAGTGAGGATTACGGACCAGCAAATCGTCCAAAGAACAGCTGCAAGGTTCCTTTGGGATGGCCAAAGAAAAGCCAAGACAGTGCCGAGATTTGGAACCGATCAAACACAACAAAAATCCAGCGGGAAGTTCTGGGGGATTGGGATTTGCTGATGGGATGGAATGGATCTTGATGGAAGGCTGGTCTGAACATTGGGCTCAAATTCCAGCAGCAGTTCCAGCGTTCGGGAACATGACCCTGGTCCACTGCTGCTGCATGTCGTTCTGTGGGTGGGTTCCGTCCGATCCATGCATCTCACAGTGACCCCCGGGCTCATCAGTCTCAGTCAGCAAAGAACAAAAATCCGCCGTCCGGGACTCAAAGCTCGTCCCTGCATGAGTTCAAAATTTGCTTGTCCATTCCTTTTTGGCCAGGGCCAGGCCTTGTCTTGTTCGCTGGAATTCTGGATTTAGCAGCAGAATTTAAACTATCTTCTTGATGCTCTTGACGGGTGTAAGTCAACGTTTATTCTGTCAATATAGGAGGTAGATATAAGTACAGAGTATACTACAAGAATGCAGCAAATCTGCCCCCGCTCGGATACGTGCAGTTCATTACTACATCTGAGTAAGCCCAAAACGCAAACTTTTTCTTCTTTGGCCCCCTCCCAATCTTCGGGACTTACCCACTGCGGAGAGGGGGAAAATCACAAAACAGCAAGGGCGCTTCATCAGACGAAGTGACATGCAAAAAACGACACGGCCGGCCGGTGGTAGGACGTTTCGAAGGAAGGGGAAGCACGCGACAGCCCCTGTGAGACGTGAGCAGAATGGTCATAGAGGCTTCCGACTTCTTCCGAATTTGCATGGTCATGGCTTGGCTACCGCGAAGCCAAGTGGTGCGCCCCCATTGCTTAGCCCAACCCAATTCAAACTCTGCGTCTTTGCTGCGGGCTCAAAGGTCTGCAAGTCTCACACTTTTGGCTACATTAATCCACTGCCCACACCCCTCTTTTTCTTCTTTACTTGTACTAGCGGCCTATTTACCCAGCAGGAGCCACAAGTCGCCCGTCTCGGTGAGCAATCACATCACTGGTATTAACAGTCCCCTTTCTTCCACAAAGAGTCGAGACAACATCTCCCGGTCTTCCTGACACGGTGGATATCAGCCTTGTGTCTGATGCGCCGGCCTGACCACTCAAGGTAAGGATGTCCCTGACCCACCGAGCTCAAACATCACCCGAGCTTCATGATCGTTTTCGAACTCTACAATTATGCCATTTCCAGGCTTTTCTTGGACATCTTTGATAGCAAGGGCATCCCGACAGATGGCAACAGTGATAATTCCAGACAGCTGGGCGCGCGCAGAAAAGCTTATCACTCGTGACATATCTTGGCTTTTTCCCCCTACACATTCCGATACCGCTGACGGGAAGGCATGCAGCACGTATGCACAGATATGTATGTACCTCCAGGTTTAAGCTGCCCGTTGCGCACAGGACGTTGCAGTGCATACTTTTGATCGTCTCGTGCACGGCTAGAGTCAAGTCTCCCAACCTGCCACGCAAGCTGTATACTGTACTACTGGTTATTGATAAGAACATACTTTACATATGGTTTTCATGTGCGTTGTCCACGCTTTCCTAGCCTTTCAATAGTGATAACGATTGGCCTAGTTTCTCAACAAGTATCAATAACTCACAATACAGCCAATAGTCAGTATCCATGCTCTAATTGACATGTTGATTGGCGGTTGGCCAACAGATAATCAAACACTCGATATGGTCTATTATTGGCACTCGTGCATCCGCTCGATATCCAAGGCCGTTGATATCGTCCCGTCCTGTCAACAAGCATCCCCCGTCTCTGTCTTGAGCTTATTCCCCAATTACTGTTGTCCTGATAAGACGACAAGCTTTTGGGCATAAACACCCAGTTGGCGGACGTGGGATCTTCTCAACAAAGAGTACTCGAGGTCTCAGCCCATTCATTGAAGCACGCCCCATGAACCACGGCAGTTCCAAAGCAATATAGCTAGCGAGTCCTCGGGTCTGCTCAGATCATGGGAAGTCTAATGTCTGCACCCGATTGGTGATATCGCAGGAATTCTGATGAGTCTGGAATGGCCATGAGATATGCTGCAAAAAAGACACATCTCAACTTCAACAAGTCTGCGAGCTGACGTATATATGAGCTGGTGTCATCTTCACTCAACGATACGCCGAGCTCTCCAGCAATCTTACGATCCAGTGCCACGAGCGGATCCTGAATGGAATCTTCGTCCATATCCGCCCATGCACGGCGAACAGCCTGGGCGATCCTTTCGCTGGTGATCTCTAGTTCTCGAGGGGGCTCCAACAATATTTCTCCCTCTATACGTACAATAGAGCGCAAACTCTTTATCAGTTGTCGGATCTCGCAGTCCAGTAGATACACCTGCAGCCAGAGCAAATTCTCTGCCCGAGGACGGGGGGAAAACTCTCCTTTGGTCCATCTCATTGATTGGTTGTAGCGTGTTCTACGAATATCATCGAGTCTCTGCCGCCATTTGACCACATCGAATTCCACAAGAAGTTCGTTGGCGATCGGAAGAATAATTGGGGTTTTCGACGCGTTTCGATTTGTATCGTTGTTAAGCACTGGCGACACTGGAGAATACAAAATCAGCATTCTCCTCTATGATACTAGGTACAGATAAGCTGGATGTGTCGCCATGGCACTATTACTTTTCCAGGGACATGGCTTATAGTTTGTTAATGAATAGTATGAAAGTATGCTCACTGAGATCATTCCATTCCTTCAACAGCTCATCTTGCGTATTTCCTGCATCGGAGTCATCGGAGTCATCGGAGTCATTGGAGTCATTGGAGTCATCATCCTCGACGTGGGTGAACATCATTCCGCTAGCAGATATGAGTTAGCAGTGATATGGAACCATGGAATCGGTGGTCCTTCTCTCCTTCTTTCCTTTTGTAATCTTCTACGAACATAGGTGTGGCGCATTGGCATGCTGTGACCAGGATTGCTGCTTGATCGGCTTTGGGATCACATCCATAGAAGCGGCAGGGCATAGAAGCAAACTAGAGGAAATAAGGTGAAAAATACTTACTAGTAGGTCCAACCACTTTCACCACGGAAAGCCCTCGGAGGACCTTTGTTGATGGTGGGAAAAACACCGGACGTGAGCATTTTAAGCAAGTCTCCCTTGAGGCTCTCGATTTTAAATTCCGTCATCAAGTCATATGTCTGCCCTTCTCTCTTCTTTACTAGTGTTGCGAGTCGAGCAAATACTTGAGTGAAAGGCCTGAGTAAGGCATCGCTTGGAAATGCAGCGACAAGAACAGGAAGTTGAGCAACTGTTGCTGTTAGGAGCACCGATGGCCATACCATTTGTTTGTCGCCCATCTCCCTCTGCCATGACGACCGTTCCGGCCAGAACTCATCCTCTGAAGGGGACCCTGTCTTTTCTGACTGGAAAACACAGGTCTTGTCAGCATACAAGACAATACACACGGCAAGCTGACATACCCTGAGAGCCCAAGAGATAGCATCGGCCACATGAGCCTGTTCGCTTAAATAAGATGCTCTACCGTGCTAAAAAAAGTCAAACTGAATCAAGAAGTAGGCACCTGATTCTGATGCAGGTGTAAAAAGGTGGCCCATGACTCGGTTCAAATTGTCGAGTTGCCACCATCCAGGTAATCTTGCTCCCACGCACAATCTAGTCCCACTGTTTCGCTGAAATCTGACGACGCGCCCATATCCTGAAATATTCTCGGTGGTGATGGAACCTAACTCTCCAAACGCGCTGAACTCTCTTTGTTCAGCACTGATTTTGACAGATGTCAGACCCATGAGGAAGCTGATCTTTCCCAAGAAATCAAAGCTTACTGTCTGGGTTGGTACATCAATTGCTATCGGGATGCATTCGGCATCAACAGTACCGTTTACAAGCTTTTCGTGGTGTTCGAATTCGAATGAGTCTAATAATTGTGCCCAGGTCGCCCTGGTTCGATATGATTTTCTAGGTCTGTTCATGAATATGAAGACCTTCCATATCAACCAATACTTCCATGGCAGCTCATATATCCGAAGACTTTCCCATTTAGCATTATTCTCGAGTGTTTTGTGGTACAACGTCCAGTTGTCGTCACTGCATCAATCGATGGTCAATGGTTCATGCGCGTTTAGTAAAGTCTGGCAGTAGTCAACGTACGTGACGAGCCAATAAGACTTTTCCCCCCCATTCGACCTATGCCAACGATAGTCTGTATCCTGCCTATCTAGGCCTTTCATCCAACGCACTAGCTTGCTCTGTGATTTTGCTGCCTGAAAGCGTTTTCTTGTAAGAATCATGTATTCGTCCATATCTAGCTCAGGGTAGTAAAATTTGCGCCGCCAACTCCGAAGTGACCATCGCTTGCGTACGTGAAGTGATGCCAATCCGATAGCCGCAAAGTTGCACTTTTGACGGGCGGACTCGTTGGCGCCCGCGTACTGAAGCACGGCCTGGAGAAGCGCAATCACAAACGCTGCGATCGAGATTATGGTCGCGGACAGCGCAAGGCGGTTGGCTGTCGTCGTGAGAGAGTTTTCATCGTCGTCGCTGTCTGAGGACGAGGAGGCTGTCAAAGTCGCGTTGCGAAGGGTTGTGATCAGGCTGTTCAGGGCTTCGAGCAAGAGCAGCTCAATCTCTGTCGCGTTGGAAGACATGTTTCTCCCGCCGTGACATTTGACCTGTGCCGCTTTAGTAATATGCAATTCTGCACTGACTGTGCGTGTTTTTCTTCTGGAGAAAATGAGAAAAGTAATGTAGTTGGGTGCATCGTCTGTTGTGCGTCAGGCTGTGAACCCCGCCCGTCCTCATTTGGCTGCAAGGCTGGGGGGCAAGAATGAACGTATTGCATATTTGCATATGATTTGCATATGATGTTACACGCACACGCACAGAGAGAAGCCGGAGCTCTTTCGGAAATGCCTAATTTCACCCATTGCGTGGTTTCGGGATCGTTTATTGTTCATGGCATCCTCATCGTATACCCGTCAAATATATGCACAGCGAAGCCTTTGTATACTTACTACAGAAGCCTCGATCCAATCATGCTTCAGTATTCCAAAACTTTAAGCTTCTAGATTATAATTTCACAGGGAAACTCTCACTTAAAAGATTCAGTGAGTAAATAAATAAACTCAATCATCAATTTCATCTATCCCACACGTCTCTACCAATGTATACCTTGGGGGGAAGTAAACTTTCGTACGTTTCTCATCAGTCATGATATTCATGCGCCCTCCAACCAGCAACCGATAAGTAGATTTATCTTTTTTTTCCCCATTGTCATTACCACCAGTGTGCCTCTGATCATTATTCATGCCGCCTCCATTCCCTCTTTGCTCTCTCAATCTCATCATCGACGCGCTCTCTGTCCCAGCCCCTGGCTGCGGCATCTGCATCTATACTCCTGATACTGTCGTAAAACTCTTGTTCCTTTTGTCTGCGCCGCGCAATCTTGGACTTGAGGTATTCCAAGTCATCATTCTTGACCGCGTCGCGAAAGTAGCGGCGCATGCGGTCCGAGTACAGCTGGCACGCTGCCGTGTCGAGCCGCTGGGAGTGATTGTAGAACTCGGCCTTTACATTTGAGGCGCCGCGCTCAATCTCGGGCCAAATGACGTCTTCGTAGCACTCTTCGCACACGGTAAAGTAGGGCATCGACCGCATAGAGAACCACTTGCGATCCCGCACCGGCTGGCCGCCGTAGCACTCGTCGAGCGAGCAAATCTTGCGTACCTTGTTGGCTAGGGCATGAACGTCTGGGGAGCGTTTGGACGCGAGAGCAAGGTCAGAGGTCGTTTCCATTTGATCGAAGAGAACCACGAATCGATCCCGGCCAGCACCAGCATGATTTTGTTTTCGCATGCTGCAAATGCCACGCGAGGTTTCCCCAGGCTGTCCCACCGGCACAAAAACACCCTTGAGGCTAGGCAAGAGGGTCTCAATACTCTTGGCGCAATGGTGGCACACCTTGAAGTTGCGGACAGGGCGCCGCGTCTCCGGGTCCTTGATGGTATACCATATACGAATTGCCTCCTGATTTCCAGAGCATGGCTGATGATCTCTTGTCACATTGTTCAGTCCTTGGAACATGCCCAGATCTGGTATTTGGTTCTTGTGCATGAGCAGCCAAGCGATGTGATACCATGGCGATGCACCAAAGTCACACTTTAAAGGCTTATCAGTAGCCCGGAACGGCGGCAACACAAAAGACTTCTGCCATTCCGTGTTTGCGAAAGCTGTGCTGACACATGATGGGCATATGTTGAAATGGTCGCATTTTGGCAGTGTAAGCCAATCCACATGGTGAGTCTGTGGGTTTGTCCTAGGGCATTCAGGCAAGTCAGGAAGACTGCCCTTGTGTCCCTCCGAATATCTTCTGTATGATGCATTGGGCTTGTCATCGTGGACGCCGTCCTTGTAGGGATCAAACTTGGGTGGCTCCCAATCGCGCTTTGACGTAGTAGACGAGGACGGCGTCAATGAAGACGAGCGCGAATCGGGCTTCTCATCAGCCGACACACGGGCCTTCTGCGGCACAGGCTTTTGTGATGGAGGAATGCCTGAGGGTTTGCGATCGGCTGGACTCCCAGGCTCCTTCGCCGCTACGGCAGCGGCAGCGGCAACAGCAGTCAATACAGGGACTGCAAGAGGGACGGCAGAGCTAAGCGAGGATTTTGCTGTTGAAGTTCGCGAAACTGGTCGCGAAAGGTCATCCTCTGTACGAAATCTGCCCTCAGGCTTCGAATTCTCCCTACCGACATTCATTGGGAACGTCGCACTGCGTGAGTTTCGTCGCTCATTGTATTCAGTTCGATTAGGGAATAGCTCCCCTTGAGAAACACGTGGAGATGCAAGTGGCGTGCTTGGCTTTGACCGCCTACCAAGAGGTTTTGGCTCTGTTGGTGTTTGCAGATGACCACTCCGTTCTTCATGCACAAAGGACTTGACTCGCTGGCGGGGAGTGGGACGTCTGTCCACTTCCTCCTCACTTGAGAATCTGGAGTCGTCTGACTCCCGCTTGCCTCGAAAGCTCAAGGATCGCGGCTTCAAGGACTCGCGGTCGGGACGGTTGGTTGAGGACAAAGAGTCTGTCCGGTCAACGTTTGCTGGTCGATCCCCATTTTGGCGGTGCTTTTCGTTGAGTGCATCTCTGCTTTCCCGGCCTGTTGACCCTTCTTGCGCCACCTTGCGTGCACTCCGTGAAGTTTCGGGATTTCGTGATTCTACTGGTCCCGCAGAATATGGCCTGTCAAGAGTGTCGTCGGGACGTCTAGAATGCCGCCGTTCTCCAGGATGGTCATCCCCATGAGCCCTGCTGCGTCCTTGACTAGGAGAATTCGGTCCGCTGTAGTCATAGTATGTACGATCGCGCCCCTTGGTAGAGTGTTTGGTCACATCCGGAGACAGCAGAGACTCATTGGGGTAGCGCTGAGAACTGCGACGAGGCGAAAAGTAGTCGTCGTTACCCGTTTCTCTCCCATTCGCAGATCGCGATCTTCGAATATCCTTTTGCCGCGACTCTCCGTGCCCATCACGGTCAAGGTCGGTGATGATGGTGGGTAGATCTTCCAGCCGACTCTTGCGTCTTTCGCGAATAGGGCGTTTTGAGCGCTCTTCTGTCTCAGGTCTCGAGGACAACTTTTCCTTCTCTCCGTCCGATGCAACTAGAACAAATTTCTGGCAGTCATTTTTCTCTTCACGATCTGGCGCTCGCTCCTTGCCCTTTGTGAGCGGAGGCTTTTCGGTATCATCCACTGAGCGCTTCTGGCTGTCATTGTTCTTCAGCTCGGTTGTATCTTCGTCCGAGGTCGAAGACGAGCTGGGGCCGAGAAAAACAAATCGTTGCTCGGGATTATGCTCATACAAGGGACCAGAAATTATCGGCAATTGATCCGGATCTCCAGGATACCGTGGCTCCTCGTCAGGGTAAGCCGAGAGGATTGACCCATATTCCTTAGCAATCGACGCGGATTCGTCCTCGACACTGGGGCTCGGTGGGTAGAACGATCGACGTCGCAACTCGGGCGGGTATTCGGTGGAATGAGAGGATCTCGGTATAGATGTGTTGTTGTACGAGTATGACGAAGTATTGCTGGACATGTCTTAGCCAATCTGGTCGTGTAGAGAGAATAACAGTAGAATGTTGTGACGTCGTGCGCCTTTGCATAGTGGTACCCCGCCATCCGACAGACCAACGGCGGCAGTCGACCTCGCCTACCTACCTAACCTAGGTACCTAGGCGACAGTGTCTTGGTGGGATGAGCTAGTAAACAAATGGTAACATACTCTCTTGTATCCGTCGTCTTCACCCTGGAGTTTTGCCAGTATCCGTGCTGCAAGAAGCTCTCGAGGTCAATACCGTCGGGCATGGTGTCAAAGGCAGGTGAAGAATGTGTGTTCTAGGACATCGTAGGCATGGGTGATTGCGATGATGACGGCAGATGCAGCCTGAAGCGGCCTGTCTCCACTGTCTTCTAATGATGGACAAGGTAGGTTAGTAAGTAGGACTGCTCTGTGCCAAATCAGAAAAGTCCTCGGTTTGGCACTTGACTTTACTGCATGTACTTAAAAGCGTGACAGGCTGAGACAGAAGCAAAGTAAAGCAGCGCACAATATTCTAGAAAAGCTCACGACAAAAAATGAAATTTCTTGAAAGTGGCAAGATGGGGGGAGGTGATCGATCAGTTGTGTGGGAACAAGTGTTTCCAAATAAGGTGTAAGCCTGAGTGAGGTGAGGGTCTTCCCCGACGCTTGGTGGTGGATCTCGAATAAGGTTGGGGGCCTTGGCCTCTCTCCTGTCCTGAGGAAAAAGATGGGACAATATGAGGCAGTATTGTCTTATAAGAAGGAAGAGTAAGAAAGTTCCAAAGTTCCACGGTGAGACCGTACAACTATTGTATACCTGCCATATCTCTCATCTCTCAACAGCTCACACGCAGGTGGAGGTGGTTGTGGCTCTTCTCGGCCGCAGCTCATGCCATTCTAGGGCAGTGGCGGACAAAGATTGACCAGGTCATTCTGCAGTGCTTCAGCCAGTCGCGGAATTTAGAGCGCACGCACACACACTAGATGTCCTCGATGATGATCTATCTGGGCGCCTCAATATGCGGTGGGAGCCTTTGACAAGCCGCGGGGTCCCACGGCTTCTTTTGGCCCAAGCCTTAACGGGATGTTACAACGTTTCTTTCGCGATTTCGGCCAATGTTGAAGGAGGGGCATACATATGTAGCGACAAGGATACTGCTTCCTGGCGTTCTTGGTTCGAGTCCTTGCCCCTCACTACCCAACACCTATACACATCTCACAAGCAACCATGAGATTCCTCCCGAGCTTTGTCGTGGTTCTCTATCCGTTAGAGCCCGTTGAGAAATCCTTTGTGATTTCCGGAAGAAGAAATGCCACGCCGAACTCCGGGTTTGAGTGAAAAAGATAATCCTGGTTGCACCGCCTCTCAGCGAAATGCTGAAAATGACCTGCGCCTCGCGGGCTTAGTACCTCGTGCACTTTAGGTACGCTTTGCAACCGGGCGTAGCATCAGACTGTGGTGGCCTTGCTGGCGGAACCTTTCATCAGCTTGTGGTACTGAGGTCTGCCCTTTTCATTGCAAGGAAAGTCCTATAATATGAGTACGTACACTCTGTACCCCTCTGGATGAGTGCAAGTCATCATCCTTTTTGGACATGACCGTTGAAGAATTTCCAGGTACGTGCGTCAGTAGTTTCCAAGGTTGTCAGCAGAGAGCCCTGGATCCATTCGCAGTTGTCATCATGCCAGCAGCGACTTGTGTAATGGAAATGGCGGTGGCCTGTGTTACGCAGAATCCTCCCATAAACATGCGTTTGGGGATCATTCGACAAGATATCGCGAAAGCGCAAAACTCTCCTGCTTTGGAAGATCCGAGGTCTACCCACGAATCTCATCGACTTCAGTGTCTGCTAATGCAGCTCATAGTAGTAGTCATCCCCACTGATATGCATTCGCGTTGCCGATGAAAGCGCCACCATGAGAGTAGTAGACTTATGAAGTCATCTTCTGGGCATCCACAACATTGGAAAGTGCTGAGTCGGCACGCCATGTAGAGATTTCAGCCATCGGCCTCGCCTTGGTACCACAAGATGTGCTTTGTGCATGAAGAATGCCAGCGTCGCTCACCTATACCATGACTGCTGGTTCAATGGCACGAAGCGACCACACCAACTTGACTGTGTGTCTGCCCAATTCAAGTTGCACAGCTTGAAGTAGTCGATTAAAAGTCATCGAATCACGGAGCCACCCATCCTTCTTATGCTGGCTTTTACCACTTGAAACTCAGATGCATTGCATACACCGATCTCTATAAGATGCTGCCAAGCCACAACACGCGCCTCCACCATCTTCGTCGAGCCCCCAGCAGTCGTCGAGGAACAAATACCGAAAATCGCCACGAAAACTTTGCATACTAACAGTGTGCGAATATGCTGACAAAGGATGCATATGAACAGCGCAGAGACTTATCCGGAGTGACACTGGCGCGCGTCGTAGCTTCTCACATGTATGTTGGAGGCCACCAGCGACACTTCGAAACTTGTCCGAGAGATGCAGCGAGGACCGTGGCCGAACGAACAGCCTTACATGCTGGCTCAAGTATTCGACTGTACCAAGTACAAATTGCTCAGCGGAGCACCACGATACCCTTGGCCACTGTTGCGAGGCGCCTTGCTTGGCTCTTGTGTCCTCGTCAGCGTATGCTGAAGTTCGACCTTGGAAATAATCTGCTGACGGCTTGTTGCACCAGCAAAAATAGTCGTTGTTGGAGCTCATGTGTCGGGAATGGCGATCCCACATCCGGCCCTATCGTGGTCGGGCAACAAAAGGCATACAAGGCACTGAAGGATAATGACATGCCATGGGTTACGCCACAGAAGAATACTCAGGGGCCTCAAAGTTGTACGAACCGCGATTTTCTCAGTCCGCCTTTGGTGCGATCCAGGATCAGATGACGGAGCCGAAATAGGCCCTGCTAACCTTGCAACATCGTCTCAAGATCAGATGCTTTGATATGAAGAGCTCATACTTGTCGGCAAGAAAGTAACGCGGAAAGCCTCACTTTCGCCTTCTTCTTTGAATGTTTGCTCACGAGGAACCTTCGAAAAGGCCACAACTGTGGTTCTTTGCGCTTCCTCGGAGATAAGCGAACAGTCTGCTCACATCCAACGGATTTGCCGTTGCGAAAGGACCAAGAAAATTTGGGAGGATCATCTCCAGAGTCCAACATCATGCTTTTGGTTCTTTTGCCATCCAGGCTTATCAACCCGGATGGCTGAAACCTTTGGGGATTCACACGGCAATAGAAGAGGTTAAACGGTCACGAGCGCAAGCATCCGTATGTGCTTGACCGTAATCGAGAGTGAAGCAACTCATGTCGCAGTGTCCTGGAGTATTGACCGCGGGCCGTGAACAAAGGTCGTAATGTTTGCCTTACGATGAGGACCGCCACCTGGCAGCTATCATCTGGTTGGGTACGATATGTCGTGCTTCCTCCTCCTTTTAGAGAATTTGGCGTTTTTGTTTCTTCTTGGTAAGATCCGCGATTCGTTGCAATCGTCGGTCGTTAGTCAAAGTCAGACCAGCTGTCATGATGTTTCCAATACTGAAATGATAGTATGGTGGGAAGTATCGGCATAAGCAAATGCGGTTCTGGTATGCTTGCCAGGAAGGATGTTAGCACGAGCGGCAGAGTATACGTTGTGTTACCCATGGCGTCTGCCGGTAGATCTTTTCCGCGAAGGGAAAGTACATGAGTTGCTGTGACAGACCGGGCAACTTTATGTTTGATTGAATTCGGTGGATAGATGGTCTGTGAAGTGCTCGAGGGAGTATTGGGGGGATCGCACGGCATCAACTCACCACTATCAGGGGTTTCCCATCTGCATACCAGAGGACGTGGGCAACCGCTTCCGGAAGCATCCGGTGGTGTCAAAGGTTGCCATGCAATGCCATCACAAAACACTTGGTCAGCTTCGGAAGCTGTTGTAGCCAAGTATGCATCCAAGAATTCTCGCTTGAATGCGAGATTTCATTTGAGAACAATGGGCGGCGAATGTGGACAATTGGTATGAGAAGCCAACAGGTCATGGCCCTAGCTAAGCGGGCAGCTCCTGAGCGTGGAAAAGCTGCAAAGTTCGTCAGATTAAAGGCGGACTGAAATAATTGCGAAAACCGATAGATAGAAAGTAGTGCAGGGGGAAGGGACTGGGATAGAGAAACGATGGCAAGGCTTGCACTTGCCATCGTGTAGAATATCCATGCAACATAGCGAGCCGTTGCTTAGTTGCTCATTCCTCAGTACATACTACCTCAGTAATCTCAACCATTTGAGATGCTGCTAAGTGTTTCCATCTCTGAGCTCAATCAATTTGATTATTTCATGTGGTACCAGTGTTTGAACTCGATCATACAATCCTTCTGGAAATGTTACATGTTCTGCATGTACAACCAAATCCACAATGCTAGACGGACCTTTACAGAATGTCACCATGTTCAGGACGTCTGCTGCATTGATGTGAGCTGTGCCGGGTATTATTATTGATTATTTGTATTCAATTCTCAAGCAAGGGCCAGGCCACAGAAGCTCTCGCTGGCAGATACGATATTGGATAATGTACAGTAATTAAAACGTATACAAGCGTTTATAGACAAGGGCGACAGAAGAGGCAGTCGAAGGGAATATCGTTCCTAGCAGCCAGTCCTTGCTGCGAGTTCAGAGGAGACACGAATGCCGCCCTAGGTAAGATACTGCTCAATGTCCTTGTCTTCTTCATCCTCCTGGAGCTCCTGCAGCCTCTGCTCCTCGGCGTCAATGAGCTTCTTAAGCATGACTCTCTGTCGCTTGCGGGCCTTCTTTCCCCAGTCGGCCGATGTGCTAGCCGCGGTGGCCTCGGGGTCCGGCACCTCGTCGTCGTCGCTGTCTTCAGGGATGTCGACCTGGCCGCGCAGCTGGTTGGGCGAGATGGCCGCCGCCGCATCCTCCTCGTGCGCCTTCTCAAATTGCTTCTGCTGGTACTTGGCGCTGAACTTGATAATGTATGGCCGCACCAGCATGTAGGTGCCGACAATCATGACGAGCCGTATCCAATGCTTGATGGTCATGGTCGAGAAGGAGGCCGTCAGGTTCGAGGTAAAGCGCTCGCCTGCCATGGTGACGAGACTGAAGAGCTGGTGAAGCGAGTCGCCCAGGTGGGCGACTAGATCTGAGAGTTCCGACATTGTGACGGGTTGTTGTCGCGCAGATTTGCGCAGAAATTTGCAGGTATTGTGAAGTCGAGGGTAATAAACAGTCTAGGATAGTTGAAAGATCTCAAAGAAGCCAGAAGAGCAGAAGAAAATTGGTGGGAAATTGGGTTGAAGCCGGAGGAGCCGAGAGCTTTGTGTGAAGTATTTGAGGAGCTTGGAAACTTTCTTCCCATGCTGCGCGGTAAAAACATCACTAAAAAAGAAGCCTCATAGCGATTTCACTAGTGCGACAGCAAGAGCCAAGAGCCCCGCCGCGCTGTAAGCTGGAACCCTACACGGGGAATGCCCGCTACCACATTGCCAGCTTGGGCACCTCCTGACCGCCCAAGGGTCGCATTTCCCCTTGCCTAGGACCAGGGCTCTCCGTCCCCTTCCCCACCTTTTGGCTGCGGCAGCACTTAACGCGATCAGACGCGTCAATGCTTGTTTGAAACATCACAAGTGAGCCTCGAAGTTGAAGATCACTCCAGCCAAGCTATCTGTTGAACCATGGCAGATGATGCAGATGAGGAAACGCGCAAGGTAAAAGATTTGCCCCAATCCGCCATGAAGAATATTCTTGCTCATGAAATTGTAGCGCCTGAAAGCTGCCCTCTGGTACGCCGTGGGCAAGATTGCCGACGAGGAATCGTTGAGAAGAGAGCGCAATGTCACACCTCAGTTTATAGGTGCCTTGATGGAGATGGTCTGGCTACAGATTGGTAAGATCTCCACTGCATGGTTTCGTGTTATAAACATGCTAAAACATTATATCAGAGAGCGTTGCAATCGACCTGGAAAGCTTCAGTCGCCATGCTGGAAGATCAACCATTACCACTGATGATGTTCTGCTACTGGCTAGGCGGAATGCAGATTTGCATGGCATCATCAAGGACTTTGTCGACAAGAAGAAGGCTACAAAAGCCAAGGGCAAATCCAAGAGATGAAGAACTGGCATTGATTGAATGAATGCTGTATCATCGACTCAAATACCAGGGACGACAGGCGCCTTCTAAATGCTGATGGTGGCCGAGTTATCTTTCATCACAACCATGCATAGGTTGGCAGGATCCGATGTGAAGGCCTCATGTCTAGACTGTACGCTCAGCCATATCGAGCAGACCCCCTCGCGACAAAGTCTGAAATAAAGCCACGGCACAGATATTCGACGGAGTTGTTTCTTCACTACGATAGAATAACAACAGAGCCGTCTGTCGTCATCCAGACTAGGAATACCATAGACAAGGGGCTTCTCTGGCTTGGGCAATGAAATATACCCAATCATTCATTGGCCAAAAGCCCGTTATCACATAGAAGTTTCCAGACTCATGGAGCACGGCCCATTCTCCGCCCTGAGTTCTTGTCGTGTTGGTGGCTTACGTAAGACTATATAGTCATTGGCGATACGTATTGTTGTGTTTTATATCCACAGGTGCTAACACAATCGGCCCCGCTGAATCTTGTCCCATTTATCAGCCCCTTTTCCAGTGAGTAACAATTCTCTCAGTTCCAATGTGCTCCACGTTGTGCGAATTTACCGTCTTGGTGTTCAATGCAATAAAATTGACAAGTCTGTTTTGTATTGTCTACAATATACTCGTGCCAAGACCAGTGATCATAATGATGTGTAGCGGGAAATCTGTAGCCACACAACTGTGTGATAGGCATAATTGCTAGGTAACGTTCACCACGATCGAGGGCTTTCAAGTTTGGTTCAAACAGGCATTGTGTTTAAGCTACATGTTGGAATTTATCATCTTGAGATTCAAATCATGCTAGGACTATGGAAATGAAAAAGTCGCAGGCTACTTAGTGAAATGTGAAAGAAAAAGAAAACAAAGAGATCGATGGTATCGGTGAAGCGAATTAAACAACAGATATATACAGCCACAACTCCAAGATGCCAAGGACAAATCAACTCTACCACTTGCCAAACAGAGTGCGCACCCCAGCAGCATAATCCTTTGAGTAGTTGGTACCCAGCTGCTTGCGCATCATGCCGACGAGGAAGCTAAAGGGCTTCATGGATCCAAACTGTCCGGTGCCGCCGCTGGGACCGACCGAGACTCCCATCATGATCTTGTTGCTGTCAAACTTGTACTCGTCCATGGCGGCGCCGCGAAGATAGGCGTCAAACTGCTTGGTCAGGTGCCGCAGCTGCCCTTCCACGTTGACGCCCTGCATGGGCTGCAGATTACCCGCGTCGCCGAGCACAAACACATTGTCGTAGCCGGGGGCCCGCAACCGGGAGTCCTGGGCGAGACGGCCCTCGGCGTCCTTCATGGAGGCTGGCGCGAATTGCGTGTTGGTGATGACGCCATATGTCGGGACAAACAGGTCGGTCTCGATGGTCGTCTTGGTCCCGGCCTGCTTGGAGATTTCCAGCGTCTGCTTGGAGCCTTGGCCCGGCAAAACGGCAATGACCCTAGACTCGACCAAGACCTTGACGCCGAGACCCGTGAGTTGGCGCAGGGCGGACTCTCGCGTCCGCCTCATGATGCGGCGTTCGAGTGGGAGGGCATCAGACACAATGAGCGTCACCTCCTTGAGTCCCGACTTTGAATACGCAGCTCCAAGTTCTCCAGCCAACTCGACACCGGTCACACCACCGCCTGCCACGACGATAGACTTTGCTTTCTCGATGGCTCCCTGCAATTTGGCAATGGCCTCGCGCGTCTCGGTGCTGCTGCTCAGGGGCTTCCACGGCATATTGTCCCTGGCGTCGGCACCCGTAGCCACGATGACGGTGTGATAGGCAATAGTTCGACTCGAGCCGTCGGCTAGGCGCACAACAACGGAGTTGTCCTCGGGTGAGAGAGTCTCAGCTTTTCCGGCCACAAACTCAAACTTATCGACTGGATACTTTGCGAATAGTTCTGGAATGGACCACATGTACTTGTCTTCCACCAGCTGTCCGGGTAGCACGATCCGCGGAGAGGCAAGATTCCAGTAAAAGGTATCACTGGGGTTGACAAGAACGATACGAATATCTTTATGCGTGGCTGCAGTTCGGGAGAGTAGGTAGTGGGCGACAGGCAGCCCAGCAAGGCCGGCGCCTAGAATGACAATAGTTTTGGTCATGTTGTCTTTTTCTTTGGCTCTTTCGTACTTCCTCGGGACGTGGACAGAGATTCAGTTGATCAACTCAAATAAATATTGGTGGTGATAGATCAAAGTTGGACTTTTGTTGATTAATTTGCGAATAGCTTATTGAGGTTGTTGGAAATATTTTTGTGAAATATGCAACTTTGACCACCTTCTTTATATAGTTTGTCATATAAGTCTCTCCACAAGGGAGTCCCTACCTTTACGTGGCTGGAATTTTCAGGCATCTGGAAAATTCTCTCATCATTGCTTGCAAATTATCGTATCAAAGCGCGCGCGTTACCTTACAAAGCCGCGAGTTGAGCAGCATCTGAGTTTTGAGATTGAAGAGCAACGGCAGAGGCCGAACAGCGATGACTAAGCGGCAGGTTGCAACTCGACCAACGCCGACCCGACAGCCATCGGAGACTTAATTTTCTACAAGAATGTCTTGTTGATCCGTGTTTGCTGGGGCGCGCTCGACGTGAACAGGGACGAGAACCAATATTTCAGCTTGCACTTGTGTAAGTAGCCGCGCGGGCTCCTTGTCTAGTTGTTAGTTTGAGCTTGAACCGCCGAGAATTAAATGACTAACTGGGGCATTCGAATTATGGTCCGTGCGGGCCGCGCGGTTGCTGACTTTGGAAAAGAGTAAAAGAAGAGTTCGTATCACCAGTGAGCAGAATTGAATAGAAAATAAATCAGTAAATTTATTGCAATACATTAGAACTTACTATCGAATCCTTTCTTTAATTATGTTCTTGATACCACTTTGTTCGTTGCTAAGGCTCAAGCCACACCAATCTACAACTTGGTACTATAGTCCTAACCAATACACGCCGAGAAAGTAGCATAAAAATACATAAACTCAAGTACAAGTTTGAAAAAGTTCTTGTACATTCATTTTATTCTTGGAGTATGTAAAAATCTATCGGCAAATCCATCACTCCTCCATTCTCAGCATACAACATCAAATTTGATCATTGGCTAGTCTCTGCATTGCCAAACACGAGTATGCCTGGAATTACGTGACGAGCTGATTCGAGAATATGCGGTATTGTGTATCAAGGGTATATAAGTAAGACATATTGTTACAAACTTCCTCTGCTTACAGAGAAAAGAAGGTTCCCGCAACCAAAGCTACTCCCAAAAGCAACACATTCACGTCATACCAGGCAGCCGCAGCTGACTTGAATGGCGTCGCAGTGCTCGTGGTCGTAGAGTTGGATTTGTTCTCCGTACCAGTGCCTCGTCCGCTTCCCGTGGTGGAGTTTCCAGTAGTCGTGCCCGTTCCAGCTCCGGCCGTCGAGTCGGCGGCGGGGCCGGGATTCGTGACGACGAAGAAGTTGCCCGCTACCACCTTGTCCAAGAGTCCAGCTTGGGTCAGGACTGTCTCTGCGTTGAAACCCTGACGGCTCTGTGCGGCCTGCGTGAGAACGCTCATGCTTTCCGTAGATGCGGATGAGGTATCGATCAAGAGTTGCGTGTATCTATGCGATAGAGGCGTGCGGGCAGGAGGTGCAGGCCCAAAGTACGACGCAGCCGCCGCGACCGCCCCTGGCATTTGCAGTGTGAAGACCTGAGAGGTGCCGGCGGTCGTGTTCAGTGCCGTGGGAGTACTGGCCTGCATCAGATCGGTCTGCATCCAGTGGAGCAAAGTGCTGGTCTGAGGTGGGCTGTCCGTCGGAATGTCCAGGTCAATCATCATGACGGCATACGTCGTTCCCGTCAGCTTTGCATTCGTGGCGATCTGAGGCTGTTTCTGCGACACTGTAGCGGAATCATGTTAGTCGGGCACTATAGACTAAGAATGGCAGATTCCACTGACCCTCTTTCGCAATTTGCTTGCCACCACTCGCATCGATACCAGAGAAGGATACTATCAATGGAGTCTCGGTAGCAGGTGTAAATCCCTGCGGCGTGGCAGCCAGCGACAATGAAGCCGCCGCCAGGACAATGACTGATTGGAACAACATGATTGCGATAGTGACAGACGATGGGGCGCGCAGCGCAAAGACCAGCAAAGCAACAGGCGAGATCTCGATAGGACGCGAACCAGCGTATCTCCAAAATTCTCCAAAGCTCCAGAGATCTTCTCTTTCGATTTTCTTTGAATTCGTACCGGGATCAACGCCCATTTTGTTGTTCATGCTGTCCTGTTGTGCCGAGCAGTCTGAAGCTCGTGATCCACCCAGACGAAACCCAGGCTAATGGTTGAAACGTGTTGCATCTTGCCAAGCACCAAGCACAGGGTATTCGCATTCACTTCAGAGACATGATAAAACCGAGAGCCCCTTCAAACTTTATAACATTAAGAAAAAAAATCTGATATCTTCTCGAGCAAGATCTCCCGCGGATTAGCTACCGCAGGTGATCTTGCAAGCCCAGGCTGGGCTGGTACAATAACCAAGTCTAGCCCCGATAGCTCCGGCTCCCGAAATCGACTACAGATACTTCCGCCTGGAGGGACTTACCTCGGTGATCCCAATTGAGCAGTTCATCTCAGAGCGATGGGAACGCCATTGCAATTTGCTTCTTTGAGTCTTCTCTTTGAAAGTCTCTTTGAACTGTTGACTTTGCGATAATGTGGACTCTTTCATGGTGGCAACTGGAACCGACATGGTTTTAGTGGCCACTGATTGATTTCGCGCCAGCCGCCTGTACTACAGCAACAATATAGCCCCCGCGCGCGCGCCAACGTTTGCGTGACCTTGGAAGAAACATAGCCTTCTGCCTTCAGGTTGAGACCGCATCAGCAGTGTCGGGTATCTCATTCTTGTGCTTCTTGTCCTTGCGCCGGCTTTCAAAAGAACGCTGCAGCATGTCTTGTCAAGCAAGTGTTTCGTTCGTCGGCCGTCTTCCAGGTCCGGAATCGATTCGAAGAGAACAGAGGAGCGTCATCGAGGCGGATTGCGGGGAACCCATGTCGCAGCAGCAATATCTATCCAGCGCATCACAGCGCATGTATTCTACGGCTGAGTCTGGTATCTAAGCCTGTAGATTAGGTAGTATGTAGTCAGCGGGCGCCGTGTAAGCGCTCGGCCACACGACCCGACTCTTATTAGCTCGTCTTGTCTTGGTCAACCTCGCCAACCTACCTTCATCTCAAAAGAATGTGAAACGCAGTATCACGAGCACCGCGGCCATGTTTCGTTCCGTTCAAGATCAAAGTTGATCTGGATGATGTGCATCTGCTCTGCACCCAAATGGCCGCTCATTCATTGTCACGGCCGCGGTGATCACTGCTCAGAAACTCTGGGGCGACTGACGTTTTCGATGATCCACACCCCATGGAGATGCGAACACGGAGGAGAGCACTGGAAGGACCTCTTCCTCCGGCTCTGCCGACGTTGGCAAGAATGGGCATCGGTGAGTTCCCAGAGATGCCGAAGGCAAAGGCTGTGCGGATGCGCATACCAACTCTCTCATACCTCATGTCATTGTGAGCATCGACATGAGGGCGATAAAGAGAATGGTTCGTGAGTCGGCCAGGTGCATTTGACTCGCATTTCCGTGTAAGCCCGGTATGAAGCACCAGCTGGTGTTCATTGCATTGCAACCGCGGCATACTTTGGTCTCCATGACTTGCGGTTGCCCTTTCTACTTTATCTGGGAATGTTTGGCAATTTGCTGCCCTAGTGTAGAGCTGTCTGGCTATCATTACCCCGGAAAGGAACAAGCCTCCTAGCCCATGATACTATCAGCGCTGAGTCGATGATGGTCGCGTGGACGGAACGCTGCAGCAGAAGAACGCCGAATTATCCCCAAAGCCATCGTATGCAACGGCATTTCCTTGGTGCGCTCCCAACAGCTGCTCGGACTCCACTCACCCGCCCGCCCCGTCGTAAGATATGTGCGTCTGCTTGAGCCATATCTCATTCCGGTAATACTACAAGACGAACACGTATCAGACTTGTGAGCTGAGCATGATACTATTGTCGTACAGTCGATTCAGATCTCTATCGGTAGACATTCGGCATTATGGACCTATACTCCGTCCCAGCCAGAATCCACCACCAAGTTCGGACCTGGAAGCAGGAGGCGAAGGCTTGAATGAATATTCTACCACGATACGTCCTTAGGCAGCCTCACTTTGGTCGGCGTTTAATGCCTTGTTTACAGGTGAAATCGCAAGTACCTGTTTATTGAGGACCCGTTGCGTTAGGTCAGATCTTTGGCAGCTAGACATTGGCTCCTAATACATCGACGGGGCCCCGTCGATTTAATATCGACGGACCCGTCGATCTTATATAAGCATACCCTGCGCGCGGCTTGCACTAATATTAAAGAAATAAAAGTAATTTAAACCATTTTCGCATTATAATTATTTTCGTATTATAATTATTTTCGTATTGCATTTATTTGCGTATTACAAATTTTTTTTTTTCGTATTATAATTATTTTATAATTATTATTTATAGCTATTAAAAACGAAACGCTAAAGCTTATAATAAAAGTATAAATTCCTATCGCTATTATATATATAATAATTTTATAATTATTCTTTATTTATTAGCCTTTTTATTATTATTAAGCTATTCGTTTTTATTATAATTGCCGTTTTTATATTTATTAGTTTTATTATTTAATATAGGTTTTACGGGACGTTTAAGCGTAAAAGATTTAGCTTTAGCGGGTATTTTTTTTTTTTGCTTAAAGCTAAACGGTTTACCTAAGCAATTTTACCGCGTCCTAAAACCAAATTTTTATAATATAAAGCTAATATAAAGCCTTTATTATTAATTAAAATATGCTAAATTAATTATATATCTTTAATTTATAAAATAATACGTTTTATATAAATATATATAAGGTTAAAAATTTAAAAAAAATTAGCTATATAATAATAATATAATTATTATAATTTATTTACGTATAAAAAATTATATTAATTAGCTTTTAGCGGCTTTTTAAAATATATTAAAAATAATAATTTAAAAATATATATTATTTATTTTATTAAAAGCAATTTCTCGTATTAATTTATAAAATAGCGCCTTAGGTATAAGGAAAAATTTATTAATTTAAAACCGGCGAATTTTTTAAAGCGCAGTAGCTATTTTTAAATTAGTATATAATAATTATATAACGATTAAAAATATTAATATATATTGCTAGGTTTATAGCGTTAAGAACGTTATAGCTTAATTTTTATTTTAAAGGTTTTAATAACTTTTTTTTTAATAGTTATACCGCGTTTAATAGCTTTAGCGACCCTTTTTGCGCTTTTAATAAGCGTTACTTTTTTAATATTTTTACCGCTAATATTAGCTATTTTGCTTTTAGTTTTTATATACGTTATATTAATTTAATTGCTAAATGCTTAAATTAGCTATAATTATCGAAATTATTATATTTTTTCGTTAGATTTTAATATATTAAATAACGTAATAAAAATATAATTAATTAGCGTTTTTTTCGATTAATTTAGGCTAAAATTCGCAGAAATATAAATATTAAAAATAATAATACGGAAGGACGTTTGCTTTATAATATAATAATTAAAATTATTTAAAAATAAAAATTTTAAGGCCGATTATTTTTTTTTTAATTAAAAGCTTAATATAATTTTTAAAAATAATTATATTTTAAATTAATATTAAAAATTTTATATATTATTATTTAAATAATAATTTTTCGAATTTATTAAAATAAAATTATTATTTTTTATTATATAATTTTAATATAAATTAATAATTAAATAAATTTATTACGTTAGGAAATTTTTTAATTTTCCTATTTTTATATTATAATTTTAAGCAAATAATAAATTTTATTTTATTATTTTTCGATTTTTTTATTAAATTAAAAGCTTTTTACGCTAAAATTCCGTTATTTTATTATATTTAATTAAGCGATATTAACGCGATAATTTCCGATCGTAAATTTTTACTCGATATAATAATTAAAATTAATATATTATAATTAGCAAACGCGGTAAACGAAAAGCAGATAAAAAGCTTTTTTCGAATTTTTTAGGCGGTTAAATCTCGAACCCGAAATTTAAAATTTTTAAACGCTTAAAAAAAAACGTAAGCTTATTATAAAATTTATATAATAAAAGATTCGTCGCAATTAAAAAAAATAACGCGAAAATAATTAAAATATATTTAATAAAAAATATACGGCCGCTTTTATAAAAATAAAGCAAAATATTAAAAATAAAAAATAAATTTTATAATAATTATAATAATTATAAATATTAATTAATATTTTTATAAAATTTATAATAATATATATTTTAATTAAATATATACGCGCGCTATAAACGAAAAATTTATAAATAAAAATAAAAATTAGCTTATATTAAGTTATCGAAATAATTAAAAAAATAATAAAAAGATTTTTAATATCGATAAATTTAATAAGCAAACAAAAGCTATATTTATTATTAGCCGCCGCATTATTGCGATTCCTTCTTTTAGCTTGGATGCAATTAGAATAACTTAATTACAAAAAAAGCTAATAGCAATTTTGCTTATAAACCGGATTATTATTCGTTATATTAATATTATAATAGAAAAAACTATAAAAAATATTTTTTTATATATATAGCTCGAGGCATAAATTTGCCCGATATATAGCATTTAAGAGTTTATAATAAAGGTATATAAAAAAATATTTTAATTGTTATATAATAATTATATAATATTAATATAGAAATATTTTTAGTTTTTTATTAATCGAGCTTATAAATAATAAAAAATTAGTTAGCTAAGCGTATTTTTTGATTTATACGATAAAATCTATTTATTAGTATTTTAACGCGGTAATTTATTTAAAATAATAAATAGCGTTATAAATAAAGTTAGCGTATCCTAATTTAAGAATTTATTAGTTTTACCGCTAAATAAATAAAAAATAAACCTTTTATATTTTTTAAATCGATGCTTATTTTATAATATCGATTTTTAAAAACGTATATATCTTAAAATAATAGCTAATTTAAAAGCTAAAAGCAAGGCTATATTATAAATCGGATATAATAATTATATAATAATAGATTTTAACCTATTATTTTAGCAAAAAAGTTATACGTCGAAAGGTATATTGCAAATTTTACTATACCCGATTTTAAATTATAAATAAAATTTATAAAGCTTAAAAGGTATATAAATAACTCCGTACGCTTTTTAGC